CCAGGCACCGTAGGAACGCCAGGCACCGTAGGAACGCCAGGCACCGTAGGAACGCCGGGTACAGTGGGCACGCCAGGGGTAGTAGGCAAGCCGGGCCCAGTTGGCAGACCAGGAATAGTAGGCAGGCCAGGGATGGTTGGCAAGCCGGGCACAGTAGGCACCGTGGGCACGTTTGGCAGACGGGGGACGCCGCATTGCCTCAGCGCGCGGAACACGCTGTCGATGATGTCCTGTGCTCTGTTGGCGTCGGGCGGGTCGAGGGTGCGGATGTCTCGCACGGCACCGAGCACCTCTTGCAGGATTCTGCCGATGCAGGCCTGACGACGGACGAGCTCGTGGGCGCCAGTATCCGGAGTAGGCGCACCGAGGGCAGTCGAGGCCGCCGAGATGGCGACGAAGACAAAGACAGGCGAGATGAACTTCATCTTGGTCGCGCTAGCTTGAGACCGCTTTGCGGGGTTGTCAAGTGGTCTGGGGGGAAGAGGGGAGTGGGGAAGATCGAGAGGGTGGGCGGTGATGAGCGAAAAGTCGTTTCGAGGTCAAGAGGGTGGCAGTCTTTATAACTTTCGACTCTCGTCAATCCGACGAAGCATGCACAGTCATGCTGCTTTGCACAAAGCCGAGCGATTCCTGCTGAGCGAAAGGCTTCGTCGCCGTTGAGCCTCGCTGTGGCAGCCGCTCTGGTGACGGCTTTGATCGTCTTGCAACGAGACGATCACGGAGGAACAGGAACGACTCTCCTGGATGAGTCATTGTCTCTCTGCGACGCCTCTGCATCATAGCCGTCTCTTCAGGTCTCGTTAGCAGATCCTTCCTTTTCGAGATCGTTGTCGTGTTGAACACTGAGTAGAGTTGCAGCGAGGCTGCGATGTACCTGTGGATCTTGTGTGAGGCACCACGATTGCGGAACCGTGCATCGCGATCACTCAGGTCGTGGTCTCGCCAAACATCGCATACGATGCGTGGATGCGCCACCGTTGCCCCACAAGCCATCGGTCTCGGTTGATCAATGTGTCGAACATGGCGATGGGAAAGGTTGGATGAGCATCATTCTCACCGCGCCTGAAGGCGGAGAAAGAGGCGAATTCTTCGGTGGTGCGAGGGAAGTTGCGTGATGATTGAGCACTCGCAACTGGAATGTTGGTGGAAAGTGATCGAGCGACGAGATCTTTTGGAGCATCTGAGTTAGACTAAGGGATGGAAAGTCGAGACTACCGATCAGCCATGGTCTTGAATCAACTTCCCGGCGCGCAGCAGTTGATGCAACGGGAGCCGCATGAGTTCGTTCGATCCGGGGTAGGCACAAAGTCTCCGCAAATACCGCCCAGAAGCCGTCGAGCCGGCCTTGAACACCGGACACGGATGAACATGGAAAGGGCTACTGCAAGCTAGACGACGGCAGCCCGCGGGTCCCGCCCACTTGCCCGCCGCGAGATTCAGAACCCTCAGAGGCATCTCGTGCCCGTGATCGGTGCCCGTATGCAGCCCCGTTGAAAGGCTTCATGCCGCTGTTGCGTGATTGCAGCCTCCGACAAGTGTGTGCGAATTGTGGCAACGTCTGACACGACCACCAAAAAAGCCAGGATCACATTCCGCTAAGCGAGGCATGTCACGCCAGAAAATTGTGGGGTCGCGCCGTCGAGACCCGTCAGCCACGTTCGGTGCATTTGGCACCGCAAGCGACGTACGAGGCAATCCACTGCCACTTGCTTTGCAGATGCCGATCATGCAAATGCCGCACACCGAGGCGGAGCGGTGGCAGCAGATCGCGGACCAGCAACAATTCTACAGACGAGACGGTGGCGGACGCGTGCATATCCGATCGGGATCATGCCGTTCAGAATCGTTGTCCCCCATCGACGCTGGTTTCGCCTGCATCGTTGTCACGAAGTGACGAGCCTCTCACGCCTGGATCCGTTTCTGCGTGTGTAGCGAGCCAAGTCGAGGCGAACGTGGGCGCTCGCATCAGTCGCAGCGCAGCACCGACCCTGCCAAATAGTATTTCGCGTGAGCTGTCCTGCCTCGTTTGGACTGACTTTTCGTGGGTCGTGCTTGGCGTGGGATCGTGTTTCGCCGCCACTTTACGAAGAGTTCCGAGGCGGGGCTTGGGACCAGACTCGGGGCTGACACAAGGGCTGCAAAGTCACGCTCAGCCTGGCATCACTGGGGCTGAGCATTGGACCGTCGCTCTAAACGCTTTCGGATTTACCAAGATGCTTACGTATAGCTGTTGCATCGGCCGTCTAAGGCTCGTCCGAGCTGACCTCATCGTCAGAGAGCATGTCGACCGCTTCTATGGCGTCGTCGACTTGGGTTCGAAGCTGATGCTGTCGTGCGCGTTGCTGAATGCGACCATTGGCGTCACCGGCCGAGAGAGGCGAGTTGCTGCCGGTCCTGCTCATCAACGCTGAAGTCGCGCTGGTCGTGGCAACAGTCGAGGGGTTCGAAGGGTGATCGGCTAGCTCGAATGACTCTGTCCAGTAATCCAGCTTTTCGTCCTTCACCTCCTGTTGCGCACCGTCGAACCACTGCAGACCATGTCGAGCGCGACCCATGGTCCATGCGCTCACTTCGCACGGATGCACCCTTGTTCTCGACGCACCATAGCTCTCGTCGTGCGCTTCGCGGCGTAGGACAGTGACGAGCTCCAGGCGCACCTTTGTATCGTTCAAACGCGGTCGACGCAGCCTGCGTAGCCAGCGTCGGTACTTTTCCGTAAAGCCGACGTAATCACTCTCGGCATGCCCAACGAGCAGCAGCATCTCGAGAGATGGGCACCGATCGATGAGAATCTGGATCGGATTGATGCTGCCCGCCATGTCGAGCTCCACCCCGCCGGACTCCTTCAAAGGCGAGGAAGGCGAAGAGACGATCATGGGCACGACCAGGCCGAGCCTCGTCAGCTGCGGAAGGCACGCTAGTGCTGTCGCTACGCTCGGTGTGAAGCGAAAGCGCGGACCGTGGAGCTGCAGATGGCGGAGCTGGGTCCAGCGAGAGGGAAGCCAGAAGTCGCGCTCAATGTCGGCGCCGTAGTGGCCCATCAGGCAGTCGTACGTGGTCAGGTGAGGCGCCAGACGGGAGAAGTGATGGTGGAGGCCGCGTGGAACGCCTTCGAGATGGAGCTCTTGGAGAGCGTGGCAGTTTGAGAGAAGAACGCGGACGAAGGGGAGTAAGTCCTTCTCGAAGTGGGTCTGCGCTTGAGAGGCATCGAATAGGGCTGGACCATAGCCATGCTGGAGGGATTGCCGGCTTCTGGCGCGGAGTGTCAGGCGCTGGACCCTGGAGCGGGCCAGTGCTCGTATGCCGAGTCGGTCCTGATCAAGTGAGACGGCAAAGGAGCGGATCTGCTGCAGACCGTACAAGCAGAGGTCGGGAAGCAGATGCGTGGACATGACCGCGCGGTAGCATGCTCTGCTGACCCTCGCTAGCTCAAGTAGCCGAGCTGATGCATCTTCCTGTTCGGAGGACACTTCTTGCGCGGCTAAGAGCACGCTATAGACGATGAGCTCGACCGGGAGCCGAGGATGGCCCAGGACTGGCGCTGACGGAGGAAGCTTGAATGCATGCTCGTTTCCTCCACCGATGGTCTCTATATGCTGCTGTGTGAACACGGCTGTTCTTCTGCGTGGTTTAGAAGGAGACGATGCTGGAGACCAGGATTCGGCCAAACGAGCGAAGGACCAGAACGAGTCCGAGAGTGTCATGTCCGTGTTGGAATCATGGATGCAGAAGTGTCCAGAACGTGTGAGACACGGTCCAGAGGGGTGAGAGACGCAGCGATGGTGTCTCGTGGCGAGTGCTGAGCGTAGACGATAGCACTGGACTGTGTTCGTGCTCAAGAATGTATGGTGATGACGAACTTGAGGTAGTTGATGATGGTGGAGCTGTGCAAAGACGAAATTGGACGTTGCTCGTCATCATGGCTAATCACACTGCATTTTCCATCGGCTTGTTCCGACACAAATGCACTCTTTGACAGTCAATGACAATGCAATCCCACTTGAGCTGGCTCACACAGCAAGATGCACAGAGGATGATGATGGCTACGATTGCCAGATGCGATGACATGCAAGGAACAGAAGGGAAACCAGATGAGTGACAATGAATGTTACGTGAAAGCTAAGGTCGGTCGCGTTGGTATATATCAAGAAAGTGTTCTTGCGCATCGATCGCCAAGTGCAGCTTGTAGATGGAAGGACGACCGGCAGCAGGAATGACGAGGATGAGCAGACTTGCAAAAGGGCAACTCTACATGGCAACACAGTTGCATCCTCCGCCGGCGGGCGCGTACGGGTCTTCGCCCTTGCTGACAGGGCCCCAGACGGAGGGGACGAGGCAGTCGCGCGTGCTCTTGCAGTAGTTGATGAGGCTGTCGTAAATATGCATGAGGTGAAGATCAAAGTCAGCGGTCTGTCCATAGGAAGCAAGGGGGAGAACGTCGGGCAAAGCATCGCAAGCTGACGGCAAAGATGCGGTGCAGTCGAATCGGCAGCGGTCGAAAGTGTCTTGGATAACTTACCTTTGACTGGCCTCTGATACGCGGATACGAGGTCGCTCAAGGTCCTCCTTCAATCGCTGATTGTGCTCTGTGAGTCGTCGCAGCTTGAGCTCGGACATGGACTGCTTATGCGGCTTGACGTTCATGTTGGCAATGTTGCTGGTGGAGATGGTCAAGTCGAAAGCCTAAGTGAGGCCAAACAGTCGGTGTCGAGGGCTGTTCAGCTCGTCTAACGCTGCCGATAAGTAAGAGTGCTGCGTCGAGTACAGTGCGAGGTGAGGTGTACGAGGAGATGGTGTGAGTAGCCAGAAAGGGGAGGGATGGTTTGATTCAACGAGGGTCCAAGCTGAGTATGCATGTGTTCAACTTTTGGCTCTACGCCTTGGGCGCCAGACGCTGCGCGTTGCAATTCGAGACTCTCTCGGCCGTCTTAAAAGCTTAAAATTCTTCTGCGCCAGAAGAAAGGGCCGTTTAATCACCCGTTTGGTTGACCGAAGTCGCGCTCTGCTGTATCGATATTTTGATCATGCCAGGCTGTGAGTGGTGAGCGATAAGATGGCCTACAGTCGAGTCAATCAACTCATGCATGCAGATTTTCAGAAGAAAGTCTCCACAATTGGACATCGTCGCTGAAAGCTTGACAGTCGAGAGCCATCTCAGAGCCATCTCTTTCCCCTTCTACGCCATCATCTCGCACATCACTTCCCCCTTCCAGCCAGCCTAGGATCTCCACCGATCAACGGTCCCGAATCTCGCAACCTCGACACACAACAGATCACTTTCGACCCTCCGTTGCGTCTCGGCATCGAATCTATTCAGGGTACGTCTCGTAATCCACTGCAACCTCGTCCAGATCTTTCAGCTCCAACTTGAGCCCAGTGCTGCTGCATACACGCATGAGGGTAGCGGTGCATCTTTGCATGTCGCTCTCGGCGAAGCAAAGCTGTTGTCCAGATCGAACGCTCAAGGACACTCACTGACAGTCACGTTTGCTCATCCTCTTGCAATCTTCCATTCTCGCATCGCTGCTTTCGCATCACGCCCCATCATCATAATGTCTCCACACTGGTCTGCTAATATCCTGCTCGGCTCTTCACCTCCATCCTCCGACGTCGAATTGCTGTCGATGCGATCGCACCACCATCCTCAACCGACCATGCGACGCTGCTCCTTTCTCCTCGCCGCCAATCGCGACATGACCGCCGACTGGATCACACGATCATTCTTTTCGACGGCATCTCCTCCGAACCTGCCAATGGCGACGTGGTCTCTGACATCACCGCTCATCGTCTTCGATCGACGCTGGTATTCATGCCGACATGTTCTTCTTGATCTTCTTTGCATTTTTTCCGATTTCGACTCACACTCTTGCCGTTCTAACATCCCGTGGTTTTTCGTCTCGCCTCGTCTATCTCGCCTTTGTCCGGCCGCGCCTCTTTTGTGCGACCCTGGTTGGGTATGCCCGCGACCTCCGCGCACGCCTTGGATTCTCTTCCTCTGTGGCGGCTCTTTCCGCGCGCTGACCCACTCACCGCTGACCCCCTTCATCCCCCAAAACTATCTTCCACCCCGTCTGCCTCTGGCTCGGCACGCTTCTTTGGCCTGCATCTGACCTCGTTCAAACCTTGTCGGCCTTCTTCGCTCCGTCTTGGTCACCGACTTGTTCTTGGTTGCTCCGCTTCACCCTCTCCAATACGTCGGCCAATCGGCTTTGACCCTTTTGTTGTAACCCCACACCTGTCATTCGTCCCTGCACCCGATCCTGCCCCCTCCCACTTTGCTCCGAACCCCCCTCGCTCTCGACATCCCTCCATCACACCATCATCACCACCTCTCATCTTCCATCCCAAGTAGATGTCTGCAGCTCGTCTTAGCTCCAACGCTTCCACTCGAGTCTTTGCAGCTTCCACTCGCTCTTACTCGACCCTCTCGTCTCAAGTTGCTCGCAGCACCAACACTCGCACCGCTTTCCAGAACGCCTCGCTTCTGACGTCCGCTCGCAACACCAGCAACCTCAACAGCGCTCCCATCTCCTTCGGTGTCAGCGCCCGTCTGTTTTCATCCACGATGACTGCTCCAGGTAAGTTCAATCAGCTTCAGCTGAAGCTTGCCCCTGTTCCTATCACGACCACCCCACACCTTTTTAGCAATCAGGACGACTCCGTCACGACTGCTAGCATTCCAGCCAGCATTCCAGAAGCAAAGGCAGCACCGGCACCAGTTGCATAGGCTACGTTGTGCATCGGCAGGTTTCAGCCCACCTCGTCAGCTCAGCAAGCACCAGTCAGCCTCTTGCGCGTATGGTCAGATGCACACGAGCAAGGGTGACAGCGCCACTTTCTTTGTCTCCACGCTCCAGCGTCGGACAAAGATCTCCGTTCGGCCTCTGCTTTGGACCAAAGCTTCTTGGCTCTGCGTCCTTGCTTGGTTGGCTGGTTGGCTGGCTCGAGCGGAGAAACACGAGAGAAATTGCCGTTTTTGCGCTCTTTTTTCTGTGCTTCTCTGTTGGATCTTGCTTTGGCAGAGAGAGAGGCGAAGAAATCTTGGAATTTTCCGGCTTTTTGAACGCGCCGGATGTGACGGCTCAGGTGCGCCTTTTCGGTTCGCCTGTTTGGCCGGTGAGCCGTCACGCCAAGCGGCAAATGGCATATAGACCACCCCAAGCCTTCCCCGCTTATGCTATTCTTCGCTGCCTTGTACCACCGTCCGCCCTTCCTTCCTTCTGTGGCGACTTCCTTCTCCGTCGACTGAAGGACCTGATCGCTGACATTACCATCATCTCGCTGTCCCGCCCTCGTCATCCGCCATGCCATCGTCATCATCCATCGTTCGTCCACGCGGTTCCGCCATGCCAGCCAAGATCAAGGTCGCCAACCCCGTCGTTGAGCTCGACGGTGACGAGATGACCCGTATCATCTGGCACAAGATCCGCGAGGACCTCATCTTGCCCTTCCTCGACATCGACCTCAAGTACTACGATCTCGGCATGGAGTACCGTGACCAGACCGACGACAAGGTCACTGTCGAGGCCGCCGAGGCCATCAAGAAGTACAAGGTCGGTGTCAAGTGCGCCACCATCACTCCCGACGAGGCTCGTGTCAAGGAGTTCGGCCTCAAGAAGATGTGGCTCTCGCCCAACGGCACCATCCGCAACATTCTCGGTGGTACCGTCTTCCGTGCGCCCATCGTTCTCGACGACCTGCCCCGCCCCATCCCTGGTTGGACCAAGCCCATTGTCATTGGCCGCCACGCCTTCGGTGACCAGTACCGTTGCCAGAACTTCGCCGTCGACAAGGCCGGCAAGTTCACCATGAAGTTCCAGCCTAAGGACGGCTCCGAGGCTCAGACTTGGGACATCTTCGACTACCCCGAGGGCGGAGGATCTGGTCTTGCCATGTACAACACAACAGAGAGCATTACCGGCTTTGCTCACTCCTGCTTCAAGATGGCTCTCGAGAAGAACATCCCGCTCTACATGAGCACCAAGAACACCATACTTAAACAGTACGATGGAAACTTCAAAGACATCTTCCAGGCCTTGTACGACAACACGTACCGTCAGGACTTCGAGAAGAAGGGACTTTGGTATGAGCACAGGCTCATTGATGACATGGTGGCGCAGATGATCAAGAGTGACGGTGGCTACCTGATGGCGTTGAAAAACTATGACGGCGACGTGATCTCTGACATCACCGCGCAAGGTTTCGGCAGTCTGGGTATGATGACGAGTGAGCTCATCACCCCCGACGGCACCATCATGGAGTCAGAGGCCGCGCATGGCACAGTCACTCGCCATTTCAGAGAATTCGCGGCAGGCCGAGAAACATCGACGAATTCTGTTGCTTCTATCTACGCCTGGACCCGCGGTCTCGCCTTCCGTGGCAAGCTCGACAAGAACGACGACCTCATCTACTTCGCCAACGCGCTCGAGCAGTCGTGCCTCGATGCCATTTCGGCGGGCAAGATGACGAAGGATCTCGCGCTCATCTACCACGGCAAGGGCATGAAGCGCGAGCACTACGTCACGACCATGGAATACATCGACGAGGTCGCCAAGCTGCTCAAGGAGAAGCTCTCGGCGCGAGGCATCGAGGCGGGCAAGCTTTGAGTCGCTGTCTAGTAACGAATCTCAGATCAGCACCCGATCCACACGCAATTCAAAATATTCAACAATCTCCCGATTCGATTGTGCGCCTGTGTGAGGCGAACCACCTCGACCGTACTTTCTACAGTCACATCGGATATGGTCACGCTCTCTCGACTCGGCTTTTTTGGGCAGTCGCACTGCTGCTGCGCCTGGCTGACGCTCATACTGACCCTTCGCCTCCCTGCCTTTCGCTTCATCACAGTCTCGAAAGCTGAAAGGGAGCGCCACATCGACTGCGCTTTTTCCCCTTCCCCGCCACCATCACCATCGCCTCTCGCCCAGTCGTCAACGCATTGTCTCGTCGCCTCGTCGTCTGCTTGCTCACGCCCAGCGCTCACTCGACATTCTTTCGCTCACCGTGCTTGCTCGCCCACCGTCCACATCGTCTCCAACTCCCCGTCGCATCCGGTCTTCGCTACAATCTCTCCGCACGCCGTCCGGTCAGGACTCGCTCAGCATCGGCCAGATTTGTCGCATCAACTTCGCGATCGCACCACAAACCGCTCGCAGCCGTCTAGCTGCCGAAATCCTCGAACATCTCGTCTTCTGACGTCGCCATGCAGGCGCGAGATGCGCAGGACACACGAGACACAGAGGGCGGACGACGAGACGCGCAGGATCAGCAAGCTGCGGAGGAGCAGCAAGATGCGGAGGAGCAGCAAGATGCGGAGGAGCAGCAAGATGCGCAGGAAGAGCGAGGCTCACAAGAGCAGAGAAACACCTCCGATGAAGATCGTTTTTTCGACACCGACCAGTCGATGATGGCTCGCATCATGATCGGCGACACATCAGCCGAAACCGACGCTTTCTCCTCCGCGTGGCCATGTCCGAAGCTGAGGCTTTCGGGCGCAACCCGCGCCTTCTTTCGCTCCCAAGCATGATGACGAGTTGGGGTCGGGAGTGGCTGTCGGGCGTCCGCGGCCGTTGCGTCAAGGTCAGCGAATGGTGGGACTTTCTCGGATCCGGCGAGGTGTTTCCGCCCGAGGCGTGGCTCGAGATTGCGCAGCTCGAGTACAACGGCTATGCCGGTTGCTCGGATGATCTGCGCGAAATCAAGGCGGACATGGAGGAGGCGATGGACGCCATGGACCTCGTCCAGCCTCACGCTGTGGTGTCTCAGACGACTCGCAAGCAGGTTCGCGGCATCTTGGGCGGACGACGCAAATGGCTTTTCGACAAACGACGACTCGAGACGACCGAGGAGCGATCTGCTAGGGTCGCCGAGCGTCGCGCGCGAGACGCAGCAGCACGAGCAGCTAGGGCTGCTCGACGTCAGTCCCGCCACAGCCAGTCCGGTAGCGCTGCGCGCTAGTCCGGCTTCTTCGCTATCGGCGTCGCCTCACCTTCGTTTGCAAGTCGCCACATCGCATCAACTGGCAGCTCGCAGTATCGTTCACATCGCATCGCGTCTCTTAACGTCCTTTCAAGTTCCGTCAGTCTCTTTCTCGTCACTCATCGTGTAGCATCGCATCTCATTCCGTTCGTTCCAGCCTCGTCAATATCGTTCGCACTGTATCGTATCGCTCAGCATTGCATCGTCCCTTGTCTCTCGTCTCCTTGCAATCGATCGATTCCCGTCTCTCTGTCGAGCTCGAGAATGTGCGTTGAGCTATCCGCATACGCCCTCGTGCACTTAGAATTGCGTGTGAGGAGCTCTCGTTGGATACACCACGCCTCAGGGACTGAACGATATCCGGCCAGCGGGCGTGCTGTCTGTCGAGGTTCGGACGCAGGTTCATGCGTTCGTCGGTGCGAGTCTTGCTGCTACGTCGGACTTGCTTGCTGGCTGGATTGATGGGTGGGAGACGATCGTGTGTGACGAAGAGCGCAATTAAGCTCGAACCTGCACCTCTCACGGTCTTTGCCTCGTCAACCGTACCGCTGCACTCGAAGTGAACCATTGTGTGCCAGAAGTCTGCACCCAGCTCCAAGTCAGAAGCGAAGAGTGCGGGTGCATTCTGAGGCAGCGACTTGCGCCTGCTTCGCTCTGAATCGAGCCATTGCTCAACCAAACGGATGAAGCGGGCGTTGAATGCCACACAATCTCTGCGGACACGAGAAGGGGTCGGGATTGTCCATCCCTGTTCCTCTACATTTGGCGTCGAAGACCCAGCAAGGCCATGTCTGCCATTGCTTCCGCATCAAAGACTCGGCTGGACCATGTCTGCCATTGATGCTTGGCAGTATGGCCGATGGCTGGTCTCTGCGGCCCTGGCTACGGAGCCAGCATCAAGATTCTGCAATGCCTCTTCTCGCATCCGTTCTGGCATCGACACTCACTCCATTTGTCTCGACCTCATCGCCCTGTGGACAATCGATCCGTTTCCTCGACAGATCGACTCTCAGTCCGAACTCCACCATCGCTCTCAGCATCGATGTCCTCGACAGAAGCTTTCCAAACGGAGCGCTTTTCTCTGTCTCTTTGCTTGCGCGATCGGACATCCACCCTGTGCTCGACCATAACACCCTTTGCGTTCGCCCGCGACCCACATGCCTGTCATCGGACCCAACGCGAGCCAGCTGCGTGCCGGTGTCCAGGCAGCGATTCAGGTGGCCGACGAGGAGGAATTTGAACGACAGCTGGCTTCCAGTACTGTTCGATCCCACGAGAAGGCCGAAGAGCAACTGCGAGCCTTCGGCGAGCAGTCTGTCGCCGAGCAGCGCAGAAAGGGTGACCTCTCCATCCCCGCCGATTTGGATCAATACCTCCGCTCGGACACGCCCTTCCCAGACCAGTTCTGGTCGGCGTTGACCCATTGGGCGTGTAAGCGCTTCGACGGCGACATCGGCCGCACAAGCACGACGATCACGATCGTCTTCTACGGCTTTTACTGTCGCTCCAAGCCAGAAGCTCGCGTCGGCAGCAGGATCCGCGAAGCCGTCAAGTCAATCGTCATGCACCATCCGTCGGTGCGACCGCCTGACGAGAAGAAGTACGTGGCCTCGTCCGATTACGAACAGATTCTCGGATTTGGCGCTTCACGGCAAATGAAAGTGTGCCCGCAAACGGGTGCAGATGGCGATTCTCTTTGGCCTTCTCGTTGCTACGGGCTGCAGAGTCGGCGAGCTCGTCGCGTCCGCCGGCTGTGGACCAGGCAATGCACTCCTCTGGCGAGACTGCCAGTTCGTTCTCCACGCGCCGGCACGCCAGGGCGACCACAACCGTCTCGTTGTCAACGTGACGTTGCGCAACATCAAGCGCTGTCGCAATGAGCACCACCTTTGCAAGTATAGGCAGACTCCGTTGGCACCTTTGCGACGCGACCCACTCAAAGATGGGCAATCGCTGATCGCAGATCATCTTGCGCATGTGTACTGTCTTTGTCTTCGTCACAGCCGCACGGTCGCGATCGTATCCAAAGCTAGACGTGACAGCGAATCCGCGACTCAGTCTTGCTGCAGCTGTGGCTGGCCATTCGCGACCGCGCCTTGCAGCGCGGCATGAGAACTCGAGGGTCTAGCCGTCATTCACCTCTCCAAGCTTCCAGCGGAACACCACAAAGCTGCCGCTCCACATGAGCAAAGAGCCCTCGCGAGAGGCCCGTCTTGCGCACCTTCAAAGCAGGCGGCCATGTCGACACACATCGTGTCCGTGCACCATGCTGTCAAATGAAGCGTCAAAGGTTCGCAGGAGCACTCACTGCATCCCCCAAACGCTCTGCAGTCACACGGCTTGATATCACACACAGACTCAACACTTCCAGAGCTCCCCCGCAGTGCAGTGTTCCGAATGAATGTCATTTGCAATATGAAGACAAAGCAGAACCGATACCCTGCCATCCGCGCTCACTTGGCGAAGGGGATATCGTTGGTGACCTCCTGCAGTTTGTCGTAGAGCACGCCTCTCTTGTTACCATACGCATCCTTGACGAGCCACTGGGCGTGTTGCGCAGCCTCCCTCTCGGTCAATTCGGGCTTAAACCTGTCCCTCAACCGATCGATGGTGGGCATGCCTTTGAAACTGGGCAATTCGGTGCCCAGCATCAACTTGCACGTATCGACGATTTCATCGCAGAACGGTCGGGCGGCGAGGAACGCTTTGACCACGAGCTCTTCGAACATCCGGAAGCCCTGCGAACCAGGTCCGCCCATGACGTCGATCATCTCGTGGCTCAACTTGAACGAGTACGGTTCGAAGCGCATGCCTCCTGGACCGATGTCGAAGAGGAAGCCGAAATCGATGTGGACCAGATGGCCGTCACCGTCGATCATCATGTTGCCGTTGTGGCGATCGCGGATCTGCAAGATGTGGCACACGACAGAGTAGGCCGCCATGGATTGGATGAAGTTCATCCTCGCGCGCTGGAAAGCGATGCTGTCCGTGTTGCCGTATTTGCCAATGAAGAAGGTGAGCAGGTGATTGATCTTGGCTCGACCCATCTCGTCACGGGAAGTAGCGTTGGGGACGACATCGATGACACCACAACCAGGACCCGTCGCAGTAACACGGTACGGGTTGAGATACAGATCGATCCCAACCGTGGTGTAGACGTTCTTGAACATGGCAATCACCTGCAACGCCAGCACGTCCTGACGACAGTCGTCGCCGACCTTGAAGATGGCCGCCTGCCAAACGTCGACGCCCGTCTTTTTGGGCGGCGTGTTCTCATCGCCCTCATCACCAGGCTTGACGATCTCGCGATGCACCTTGAACGTCGCCATGAACGGCGCTTTCGCATGCGACTGCAGCGGTCGGCCCGACTTGCGGTCCAGATCCACCACCACACCATCCGCGTTCGAAGGCAGGTACACTCCCGGGTCCACCTTGATCTTGTCCATCTCCTCGTCGATCTTGGCCTTCTTCTCCGGCTTGCTCTTCTTGATGAACGGCTTGAGCTTGCCCGAGATGCTGGTGACCTCGTTGAAGAAGCCGAATTCGCGCTCGTAGAAGTCCTGCGCTTCGCCGGAGAGCGCCTGCACGATGTTGTCCACCATCCGGTCGAGCGTCGGCTTCATCGGGTCTTCCTCCTCGGCTTCGTCGTCCTTGTAGCTGTTCGCCTTCATGTTCCAGATAATTTGGTGACAGAACAGCTGCGAGATCTTGGAGGTTTCGAAGATAAAGTGCTCGACATAGTGGTACTCGTCCGTGCGCAGCGCTTGGACGACCTGGGGCACGTAGAAGAAGGTGAGCTCAACGGGATGCTGTTCGAGCGAGCGCATAGCGTACTGCAGCACCAGCGGGTGGTTCTCGTACTCGGGCTGGAACAGGTCGATCGCCTCGACCGGCGAGACAGCCGCCCAGTACTGGAGCCACTTGAGGTCGGAACTCTCCTTCTTGGCCAACTTGAGATGGTCCTCGAGCAAATACTTGAGCGCCGCCGGGGTGTCGACCACCTTGTACGGCTGGCTGCGGATCAATCGACCAAGGGCGCTCTTGAGTGCCTTCGACTGGAAGCGAGATCCGAGCTGCACGGCGATCACAGGGCTGACGCGCCAGGCCGACTCGACCGTGGCACCCCACGAGGCGTCCGTCATACCCTTGCTGAAGGGCCCGACAAAGTCGCTGCCCCTAGCGCTGTTGTTGAGCGGGTTGGCCCACACGGACAGCCTCGCCACCTCGTTCTCGACCAACAGCTGCAGGAGCCGCTTCTTGTCGCCGAACGACTTGATCGCGTCTTGCAGCGTCACACCGCCGGGCATGCGGACCGACGACAGCGTCGGCGGGAAGCTCGTCACGTGCTGGTCTGCGCGCATCGAATCCCGCTGCAGCAGCTCCAACGTCTCTTGCATGACCTGCATGTCTGCGCTCAGCTGCAGACGGTTGCCGCCGAACGACCATTGCGGTGAGCTGGCGAACCAGCCATAGCCGAGCTTGTAGAGCGCGTCGCGAAGGTGGTACTCGACCAGACCCTCGAGCTGGCTCGTCTGGATGAGACGGAAACCAAAGTTGAGCAGCGTGAACCTGGCTTCTCGCGCGAGAGGGTGGGTGCTCATACGGTCCACAGCGGCACCCGAGTGCTGCAAGAGCCGCACAAGCGTGAGCACCATGGTGGGATCGCGGTATCGGAACGCCTGGAAGCGGCTCGCGATGAGGTGGATGAGCGTGAGGTGAGGCGTGAAGAGGCGAGCTGCCTGCTCTGACTCGGCGGTGATCTCTTCACGGTTGAAGGCGCCCATCTCGGTCTTTCGCAGGAAGGGGTGCTTGGTGGTCAGAGTGGGCGAGAAGAGACCCTTGCGAGCTTTGGCGGTCATCGCCCAGCCGATGGTGAGCTCGACCATGACCTTGGTCTCCACCTCGGGTCGGGCGCCGATTACCCACGTCCATACCTGGCAAGCGGCGGAGATAGCCTCAGGCGTAAAGACCTGGAAGGGGATCGAGACGATAAAGTGCAGCAGCTCGTAATCCGGCTCGGGCAGCGCCACCACCAGCGCAGCGGTGCGGTAAAGCAGTCGACGCAACTCGGCGAAGGGAAGCGCACGCTTCTTGGATCCGACGTCGTTCGAAAGGGTGGCCAGCTGCTCTCGGCACTCGGCGACGCTGGCAGGCGACATGTTGTTGGTCGGGTCCTTGGACAGCTCGACGAGACCCTTGGTGAGAGCAAGATGGATACCGGTCATCTCGCCAAGGTAGGTGCTCTTGGCCGACAGCTCGCCGATGAACTTGCTGCTGGCATCCGAGCGCCATCCACCGAGGTTGGGGAGCAACTGCTCCTTGCGCGCAGAGACAGGCATGGCGCGGGCGTATTCGAGGGCGATACTCTTGCCGAGCTCGCTGCGGTCAGGCAGCTCCGAGTCGTCGAAGGTGCCGAGGTAGCGCTCGAGGATGCCCTGCAGCTCCAAGGGTGCCATCGTCATGATGAGCGAGAGGTATTCGCGCGACTTGGTGAGGAAGGAAGAGAGAATCTCGTTCCTCTGAGGGTACGAGTCAGAGAGGTCGAAGGAGATGTGGGCTCGGTCCGAGACATAGTGGTAGGTGGGGGCGAACTCATCCTTGAACTCGGCCTCGCAGCCATCGCGAAGAAGGGTGAGGATCTCGAGCATGGCCGTCACCACGTCCTGATCGCAGAGCAGCGAGGGGAGCGCGTAGATGAGCTTGTTGAGAATGCTCAGTGAGACCTGACGCACCTTGGACACTCGGTGGCAGCATCCGAGCATGAGGTTCTTGACCTCGTTGGCCACGCGAGGGTCGAGCAGATGCTTGTTGACCTGCTGACCGAGGTCACGAATAAAGAACTCGATAACTTTGTCGGCGATGGCCTGCATAGCTCCCACGAGAGCGCTGCTGTTGAGACCCTCGTTGATGAAGTACGAAAGTACCATAGAAGGGCGACCCATGCGGCTGCGGAGGCACTCGAGGTCGTAGATGGTCGAGAGGAAGGTGACCTGAGCGTAGCTGAAGCCACGAATGTCGGACGCGTGGGTGGGGATGACGGCGCTGAGCGCCTTGCGCTGTGCGTCGAGTGTCTGGTTGGAGAACTCGCGCTTGAGCACCGAGTTGTACTCGAGATCGCTCTCCAGGTAGTTGTGTGCACTCTCGGGCACCAGCGTCGGCGTCTTGAGCGAGATCGACATGAGCGACTTGCCGACAATTTCGGCTTGTGCTTCAGCAGCCGAGCCGGGACGGTGAGTGGCGCTACCGTCCGCAGCGACGTTGCTTCGAATGTTGTTCGGCGAAGCGTAGCCAAAGAGAACCGAGAGGAACCACATGTTGCGGAAGAGCGAGACCATCTCGGTGGTGGGCTGCACCTCTGGATGGATGTCCTTGTGCTCGAGGACCGCTGCGATGGCGGGCAGCAGCGTTGCGAGGTCTGTGTTGAGCTCGGCAAGCTCCTCTTTGCTGCTCTTGGTGGAAGAGGCGACGGTCTGCAACTGCATGCCCTTCTCGGCGAAGAGCTGAAGCAGCTCGATGAGGAAGATCTCCTTGCGACCTCCGGTGGCTTCCTTTTCCTCCTCGGAAGCGGCGGCGTCTCGCTCGTCTCGCTCATCGAGTCGGCCAAGACCTCGGGCGAGCTTGAGCTGGGCAGACTCGACGGCCACGGCGGCACGACGGTTGGCGCCGCCGGTGAGGGCGCTTCTTGACACGGCAGAGAGAGCCCGGACCACGTCGACATAGGCGCCTCGAGGGCCGGCCAGAGCCAGGGGAACGATGTTGTCGAGGATGGCAGCTTCAGCCGAGATGTCGGCGTTGCGGAGACGCTGGAGCAGCATCGAGATGGTGAGCGAAGTGACGTCGGGCTTGCCGACTTCCAAAGCGAGACGCGAGATGACCGTGATGGTGCTGAGGTTGATGAGCCTCCTCTGGTCTTCGGAGCGGGCGGAGATGTTGGCCTGCGAGCCAGACATGGAGATGCCATTGACCTGGTCGCGCGAGGTGACAGCACGAGAAGCACCGCTGCGTACAGAGGCACCACTGCCCGCAACGCCACCGACACCGAGACCGCCAGGCGTGTCTCTGCCGAGGTAGTTGAGGAGGTTGTACATGGTCGAGACCACGAGATCGTCACCGGGAGCGATGGTGACGCAGGTGGACAGACAGCGAGCTGCCGACAGCAGCACAGGCGAGCTGACGCCGCGAGCGCTGGGCAAGAAGATGGGGATGGGCGAAGTGACAAAGTGACGAAGCACGCGGGTCATGGGCAGAGCCAGCGCGTTGTTGTTGCGGACGAGCACGCCGACACTCTGCAGAGCGGCACCCTGAACGCGAGGGTCGTAGATGGGCGAGCTCTCGCTGAGAAGCGAGCGGATGCGGACAAAGACGTTGTTGTCGACCTGCTCGCCACCGGCGATACTGCGGGCAACGGAGCAGAGAGCAGAGAGCTTGAGCGTCTCGGCGAGGAGCTCGGGGACATGAAGCTCGGGAAGCACTTGGAGGCTCTTGACGCCCTCGCTGAGGAGGAAGCGCTGCACGTCGTGGAAGCCCTTGTTGCTGGCACGGAGCACAGCCCACAGAGTGTCGTCGAGATCGTGCAAGGAGAGCTTTGCGGAAGGAGAAGCGTCGGCCTGACCGAAAGCGGCAGACTTGTCGGCATCGGTGACGATGGAGCCAATGACAGGCACAGCCGCAAGAATGCTGCCGTTGGCGCTGCCATTGGCCTGAGGAGCAGAGCCGTTGGCATGGCCATTAGCGTGGCCGTTGCCGGTGGAGGCCAGGGAGGACGACTTGGCGAAGTTGGGGTGGATGGAGAATCGCAGCAGCGAGTCCCAAGCCTTCTTGGTGGCGCCGGGGGCGAGGATGGCGCGGCTGTGGCTGCGCTCGGCATCGTCCAGGGTTCCGTCCGAGTCGAGATCGAAGCGGTCGGCCTGCGACTGACGACTGGGGTCGATGCGGTCGAGGTCGAGACCGAGCTTCTGGAAGTCGGAAAAGTCCTTGATGGGAGGACGAGCATTGACGGCAAGTGCCTGAGCCAAAGTGGTGGAGAGGATGTCGATCGAGGCGAGAAGGACGTAGTGACCCGAAAGCGGGGTCCCAGCGTAGCGGTACCTGGAAAGGAAAGAGATGCGATACTCCTGCGCATCCTGAGCAGCTGAGCCCTCGTCAGCGTAGGTGAAGCCGCCTTCGGGACTGACGAAATCAGCGTCCTCGTCTTCTTCGCCAGAGAAGAAGGTGTCGACGCTAGCTTCGGACTGGTCATCGGTCGGTCGTACGGTGGCCACCTTGGGAGCTCGCCTGGTGGCTCGGCCGGCCTGCTGACGGATGTCGATCTGGTCCTCGAGAAGCAGAAGGACCTCGTTGAGCCTCCTCACCGTCTGCGTCGAGGTGAGGATGGTGTTGAGAACGTCGGCGAGGCGAGCGAACTCGTGAAGCTTCCAGGCGAAGGAAGTGGTTGCGATGGCTCGGTAGAGACCGTTGAAGAGAGGGACGAGCTTGACAATGACGGTGTGAGCATCGCCAGCGGTGGCGCCTAGAGCATCGCCGAGCTTGGCAGCCAGATCGAAAATGGCATTGACGCAACGAGCGCGGTGCTGAGGAGCGTTGATCGAGATGCGAAGGAAGCTCGAAACGAGAGCGAAGGCGAGCTGATCGGGAAGAGGCTGCTGGGACCAGCTCATATCGTGGTCAAAGTCGACTAGAGTGAGCTGACGAAGAAGAGTCTCGAGATCATCAAGAACGGGGGCGAGGTGCTCGTCATTCTTGACGTCGGTAGTGTGCTCCGTGGATCGAGAGGCGGAGGAGATGGAAGAAGCGAAGAGCGCGAGGCTGATCTGAGTCCTGGCAGCCGAGGCGGAGAGGAAGAGCTTGGAGCCAGTGGTGACCTTGCTGGAGGTGGCGGTCTGGGCGAAGAGAACACGAACGCGAGCTCGAGCAGAAGGAACGTTGGCAATGTCCTCGGCGAGGTTGAGGGCCAAGCCGTCGAGGATGAGCTGATGGGTGGGCAGGTCGAGGCTGTCCATGATGGCGGGTGTTGGCGCTGACGCTTTGGGCCAGCTGTTGTATCTGCTTCTCTATAGGTCGGTGTCAAGTGAGATGGTGGACCAGGTGCTGGCAAAGAGCGAGCGATGATGAAGAGAGAGAAGCAAGGAAGCGCAGTCAGAAGGAGCGCTTTGGCTCAAGCCAGCTGATAAACTTAAAGTTGGATTATTTTGTGGAGAAATGGGCGGGGCGGAGAGGCACAACTGCAGTGTGACGATCCAATCTAAAATGACGTTTGAAAGGGCGCACTGCGTGAAAAAGGCGCTTCGCTTCTGAGTTTTGCCCCGCTTTGAGTCTGCCAAACGCACAAGCCTCGCTCTCAGCGCTTGCAATCGCCCGCCCCTGCATCAAGAAGAAGCAGATCATCTGCTCAAGCTGTGGTCAAGGGGCCATCATGCTCACTGCCTCGCACTCAACAGCCTGTATGGCGAAGCGTCGCAGCCCAAACTCGTACCTGAGGTGACAATGATTGGCTCTAGACTGCTGCAGACGGATGCTCGACCGACTGCGACGGTGTCGGTGTTTCTACATGTGGGCTGTCACTTGTCACAAGGTGCCGGGCTAGTCTGCGGGTGCGATGCAGTGTGGGTTGATCTGACGCGATGAAAGGAATCTCGAAGCCGTGATCAACACTTGCACGAAGATCCATCCTCGTTGGTCGCTGTTGCTGGCGCAGCAGTCACGTCGATGGCTGAGGAAAGCAGATCAAGGTCATCAGTCAGTCTCGCTGCTATCTGTCTTCTCGCAGCACAGGTACGATCGACTTACTCTTGTTGGCAGTGGCAGCGCCATTCGCCGCATCCGCATCCTTGTCCATTCCAGGCAACGCCTGTGCGATCTTCTTGAACAGCACCTTGACATTGTGCCCCGCCTTGGCCGATGTCTCGATGAACATCACATTGAACTCTTGCGCCTTCTTCTCTGCTTCTTCCGTTGTCACTTGTCTGTACATGTCAAAAGCCGAGACAGACCGGATCGGTGTCAGTGTACGATCGAGAAGCTGAACGAGATGAGGCAATTCTACCTACCTCTTGTCGCTCAAATCTGTCTTGTTGCCGACCAGAACAATGATCACGTCGTTGCCGCGCTCTGCTCGTACGTCGTCGACCCATTTCGCTGTGTTTTGGAATGATGCTCGGTCTGGATCAAGTGCCGAAGGAAAGAAGTCGGGTTTGAGATCAGTAAAGCGATTCGACAATGCGGATGCCGGGCTACCGGAAGCTTGTCCGTCTCTGCGGCTTACTCACTCGTAATGTCATACACCACAACTGCCACCGACGAGTCTCGGATATATGATGGAATCAAAGATCGGAACCGCTCCTGTAGGATTGTACCGACGGAGAAACATGGTCACAATGTCAGTCCTTCATCCGACAATCTATGTATCAGCGCTAGCAACCGTGTTACTCACCTGACCAGCCGTGTCCCAGAGCTGCAGACGCACTGTCCTGTCCTCCAGGTACATGGTTTTCGAGAGAAAGTCGATGCCGATCGTCGCTTGATACGTGTTGTCGAACGTGTCGTACATGAACCGTGTGATGAGCGACGTCTTGCCGACCGACTGTTCGCCGAGGAAGACCAGCTTGAACTTTCGCAGTGGCTGGCCGAACTCGGCTGTGCTAGCACCTGGTGCGTTGGACATGGTGGGCGACCGGGGAGATGTGAGGATTCTGATCGCGAAATGGGTCCTTGAGCGCTCGACTGGATTCCTGTGGTCGTCCGAGCTGCTTCGAGGCTGTGATGAGGCCTTGTTTGCTTTGGCGGAGGCGGTATCTCTCGAGGAGCAGAGTTCGATGGTCCTAGCCGATTGGCAACGTAGGTGCTTCTTGTTGCGGCAAGTGGCTAAGCAGGGCGCTGCAAAGTGCTTCTCAGATGGTAGATCGTGCTGCGAGCGGCGACAAAAGGCAATGTGGTGGTGCTGAGTAGCTCGGAAGCGGAAGGTTGGATCGATAGGATAGGGTTCGCCAAAGTGTAAATTGGCTTTGGACGTCGGATTGGAACACGCACAGCACAGGACAGCGCGGCAACACCTTCCGCCGATCCCGCATGGTCGCAGCTCACCTTCCCGTTGCGGTGCGGGCGCAATTCTCGCACGGACGAATTTCGGACGCAATTCGGAATGCAATTACTGAGGTCTAACATTTCAAATCTATTGTCTTGTCGACATCGTCATCTTCGTTAGTATCAAGAGGGCTTCAAGCATGATGCGGAATGATCAGGTGACATTCGGAGCTGGATAACATTGCTGCCAAGATTTATGCAGCGTCTATGACAATGTGGAGTGAGTTCTAGTGGGAAAGGTGTATGGTCGCTGTGAATGAGCTTCCTTTTGAGTATGTTTGTCCATGCGGACTGATTAGCGCAATCTCCTGGACCGAGTTCGGTCAAAAGCTGCCCTTCTCCAAGTCGCATGCAGCGATCTGCATCGAAGGGCTTCTGCTTGTCCCTGCCGAAATGCTCGCCTTTCCATAGTGCAGGTACTGCATCGTCGACTCGCTCCTCCTCAGCACGGGCACGGTCTGCTTTGCCTGAGCCGCCTCCTCCTGCTCCCTCTTCTGCTGGTACCTCTTCTCGAGCGAGGCACCGACTTTCCACACCACCCAAGCGCCCCATACTTGCGAAAAGGCGAGACCAGCCGTCGAGGTCCAGAACAGGGCCGTCCAGGCGTGTGACAATTCCGATGTGCCGTGGCGCTGGTAGGTCGCCCAAACCCACACTGTGCCGCCAATAGAGGCGAACTTGAAGACCAGACTCTGCACCGCAGAAACGCAGAACAGCGGTCGGAGCACCTTGACTGGCTCCGAGAGGCGGTACATGAACAGTGCGACGAAGCACGTCTGCTCCGTGGTGGCTTGGAAGATCCACAACAACCCAGTGAGGGCGAACGACGGATCCTGCAGCTTCTCGAGCATGACCAACGACAGCGAGATGGCGAAGCACGTGATGGCATGGTGCGAGATCATAGGATACGTCATGCGGTATCGATAGATTAACTCGAAGACGTAGAGCGCCGCGATGATACACGCCGATGCCCGCAACACATTGATGCGCCACACGCTAAACTCGTTCTGCAGCAATGCCGCAACCGCCAGCTGCAGCACAAGTGCCACCGTGGTGAGCAGGATCTGGAGTACGTATACCACCATAGTGCGGCGGTGCTCCGGCTTGATATCTTTGTGCCATTTGTGCCCGATGGCCCGGGGGAGGATGAGATTGTGCAAGACATTGGCGAGAAGGTAGAGAATGAAGAGGAGTGTGATGAAGCTGATCGGGAAGAAGTAGACCGTCTCGACGCTGGTCTTTTGGTTGATGAGCTTCGACACCTCGCCCAACGATTCGGGAGAGAGGTGCGAGAGAATGGTTGCCGTCGACATGATGATCGAGCGCTAAAGAGCGTGAGACGATAGGAGGAGGTCGCGAGAGGTGGTATGGTGGAGAGGGGACAAGTTGTTCTGGTGAGGAAGGAATGGCAATCGACAAGCAAAGCAACTGTAGCGTGATCTTATACTTTTCGAAGCGAGTCGATGAAGAGCATCGTGGTTGCTATGTAGTGCAGCCATCTCGGAACATGACAGGGGAGCGGCATGAAAGCAATCAAACGGCATCACCGCAAGCGAGATCCAGCGCCACACAATCTTAACTCACAACGAGGTACCTTGGTACACAATTGAGGCAGAGGAGCAGCCTTCAGGAAGAGGCATCCGGATAAGTTTTTCTGCGCTGCCATACTGACAGCCTCGGATATTCAGCATACGCCGTAGCGTGCGTGACAGGATAATCTGGCTCTAAGGACGCGTTTTGTTTGATGGGCCGGATGAGACAGGTGCAAAGTAGGGCTGCTTCAGCTCTATTGTGAGCGAGTTCATAGCGAAATGGGCTGCGTGGGAAGGAAGCGAGGGGAGCGCAAGATGGCCGATCAAGCAAACGTGAGAGAAAGGCGAAGGCCTGCTCAGATCGGAAGCATGAAATTCAAGCTAGGCATCGGTCGCGACCATGCATGCGCTCTTGAGCTCGGAGCGGGATGCTCTTTTTCCGACGCTGACAGCAGACCGCTTCCTCAATCTCATTTCTGAGGAAGCGAGAGAACTGCAGCTAGGCTGCAACGTGGACCGCGAGTGGCTAAGCGAAGCAGTCTGACAGGCCTCGCTTCCACCGTCACCTTTCGCAAGCGGACCTCGGGCGTAGTTGGAGCGCCGAGGAGCCCGCGATGCCACTGAGGGTACGCACACCGCTGCACACAGACGGGCAGGCTCGGGAGATAGGCAATAAAGCCGGCGGCTGCAGATGACGGCTCACCACGTGGTTGACAGGACGCATTTTAGCACCGGGAACGAGAAGACAGCATGGAAGAGTAACGCGACCGATGGCAGCACACACGTTGGACGCTGCCGGCGATGCCTGCTCTGCAGGCCCGGAATAATCCTGTGCGACGTCAGAGAAGGAAGATGGCTGCTCAAGGATAAAAGAATCGTGATCTATACCGGCACGGGAGGGGCGGAGCTGGAAAGCTGTCAAAAGTTTCTTCCTGCCTCGCCGCGGTGGACCCTGATCTTGGGTCTCGCTTCGATGTGACAGTTGACAGTCAACACCACGCAGTGATGGCTCGACGATGGACGCCGAGCGGACGGGGCACGATGAAGTCGCGTGCCATCGTCGGCGCTCGGGCTATGGATACTACCGTCGGCTGCAATGCAATCGTATCTGACGTCGCTCGGACAAATTCACATGTGCCTGACCGCGGCGCCTAGCTTACATCATGGGTGCGAGAGCATAGTGCAAGCTCACGGCGAGTCCTTCCAGACTTCAGCAAGAGGGTGCTCCGTCAAGCGTACCTCTCGTTCGCGCTTGGGATTTTGCTGACCGCGAAAGCACGCGACAACTCCTTCGGATGGTCGCCAGGTCTTGCCTTCGATGTCCGACACCAGCGCAGTTGACCGAGCATTCTCCGGCTAAAAACTGAACTTCATATTCACGTTACCCGTCTCGGCCCTTCTTGTGCGCACGAGAAGCTTCACGAGCATTTGGTAAGGGCGAAAACAAGCTTCGTACGCTGCAGAGGGTCATCGGCTACGGCAGCCATGTCTTGACGCGACCACGTGTTTGAAGTTTTTCGAGTCGAGGGTGCGTTTATCCGGCTAGCCACGATGCCGGACACGATCTTGCTTTTGGCTCCACCGACGCCTCTGAGAACCCTTTTGCTTGCTTGCCCTCATTGCCGAGTTCTACGGCGTCATCTTACACGCTCCGTTAGGAAAGACATTCGCCTCGAAGACAAACGTTGGACGAACCGGAACAATAAATTTGCACGAAGAAATTGGGGACCAAAAATCACCATAAGGAACAGGGTGCACAAAAAGGCGCTCGTATCGGATGCAGACCGGTCTTCGATCGGGCGATCCGAGGGTTCACACAAGTCCGGACTTGCTTGCCGCCGGACGGGCTTCCTGGTGGAACCAACGGCATCAGTGAAGAGACACCGTTTCGGTACGAGAGCATGCCGCGAATCAACCTCAAAGTGACGCGAAATGGCCCAGTCAGCCCACGCTGTGCGCATGAGACACGGTACGAACGGATAACACGGATGAGATTTACAAGCACATAGGACCAAACGATGGGCGTACAGAGGCGGCAAGCGAGGTGCTCGTCGAGGAGAGGTCTGCAGAGATGGCCTCCCGGCTGCTTTCAACCTAGTCAAGACTGGAAGTCAAGTGAGCAGCACCGCGTTGCAGTTTTGACCGACGTCTACTTGTACAGAGCGCGCTTGGCAGCACGGACGACGATGGGAGTGTCGGGGAACGAGAGCTTCTCGAGGTTGGCTGCGTATGGGGTGGGCACGGCAGCACCAGTGACACGCTCAACGGGAGCGTCGAGGTGGTCGAAAGCGAAGTCGTTGACGGTGGTAGCAATCTCAGCGCCGACCGAGAACTGAGGGAAGCCGCTCTCGACAGTGACGATGCGGTTGGTCTTCTTGACCGACTCGATGATAGTGTCGACGTCCATGGGAGCAATGGTTCGGAGGTTGATGACCTCTGCCTCGACACCCTCCTCCTTCTTGAGAATCTCGGCGGCCTCCATGGCGTAGTTCATGCCGATCGAGTGCGAGACAATGGTGATATCCTTTCCTGGTCGCTCGATCTTGGCCTTACCGATGGGGATGGTGAAGTCATCCGAAAGCGCCTCTTGAGAGATCTGGAAGAGCTGACCGTAGAGGATCTCGTTCTCGAGGAAGACAGTCGGGTTGGGGTCGCGGATGGCCGACTTGAGCAGACCACGGCAGTCCTCTGCGGACCAAGGCGAAATGGTCTTGAGACCGGGGATGGAGCCGTACCAGGCAGCGTAGTCCTGCGAGTGCTGGGCACCGACACCAGCGGCAGCACCGTTGGGACCACGGAAGACGACAGGACAAGGCACGTTACCACCGGACATGTAGTAGGTCTTGGCACCAGAGTTGATGATCTGGTCAATGGCCTGCATGGCAAAGTTGAATGTCATGAACTCGCAGACGGGTCGAAGGCCGGAAAGAGCAGCACCGACCGCCAAACCAGCGAAACCGGACTCGGTAATGGGAGTGTCGATGACACGCTTCTCGCCGAACTTGTCGAGGAGACCACGAGTGATCTTGTAAGCACCGTTGTAGCGGGCAACCTCCTCACCGAGGATGAAGACCTTGTCGTCGCGGAGCATCTCCTCCTCCATGGCCGAGTTCAAGGCATCACGAACAGTCATCTCCTGGGGCTTGCCGTCGGTGGAAGCATTGCGGGTGCTGGAGGGGATGAAGGCGGTGAGTGCGGCAGGGTTGGTGGTGAGACGAGACGAGCTTGCGACGGGGGACGATGTTGCCTTTTCGAGGAGACGCGAGGGCTGCTTGGCAGCTGTGGTGGTGGAGAGCGATCGGAGACCAGATCGGTTGGCGGCCTGGACACGGGCCAACGAGGCGAAAGCGGAGCGAGCGGCGGCCATTTTGAGGTGAGTAATCGTGCGCAGCTACGGTAGCGACGGCAACAACGATGACGAAGGTGAAGGTATAGGGATGGTGTGAAGGAGAGTAAAGACGGCGTGTGACGAAGAGGAAGGATGCGGGTGATCCGAGATTCGTGACGAGCAGCGAAGCGAGAGAAGAAGTCGAAGAGACAGGACAGCAACACACACACACACAGCCAAACGGGCAGGGAGAGACTGTGCGCGCTCCTCAGCGAGGAAGAAACCAAAAAAGTTGAGGCGAGAGAAAAATTAAAGGAAAAGGGAGGGCGAGCCAGCTTGCAAGCCTTTGGCCGGCTGGAATTGGCACGGCACACATGGCATCGATAGAGTCGCGATGCGATATCGGTGAAATTCTCGAGACTGAGGCCGAAAAATCTCAGTTGCAGCTCCAGTCAAAATGGCCGGGCAATTCAATTTCTACTCCAACAAGCGCTGCTGGTTCGAATTCTCGGACTTTGTTCGGCCATTCTCGCGAATACAAAACAGCAGCAGCAGCAACTCACCCTCGCCTCATTCCGCACAGTCACAACCATCTCCCAACATCTGTTTGGGGCTGAGCGGAAACATCCCGCCGTCGTCGCCGTTTCCGCTTGCTTGCTTTTCCTTTCAGTGTCACCGGCGAAATTGTCGGTGCCGGATGTCAGGTCAGCCAGCCAGATCAGCGATTTATCCTTGCTTTGTCGCATCCTGCCCGATCGATCCATTCGCCTTGATCCTCGAGAAGCGCGTCTCTGCCTCACCCTGCTTGGAACGTGTGGTCTGATCACACGGCTCACTGAATTTTCCCACATCGCTGTCTGCTGCCTCATTCGGATTGCTTGCCAAATTCCTTCCTTCTTCCTCCAGCAAGGAAAGCGGACCCGGAAATCACGAGCTCTTTCTAACGTAGCGAGCTTGGCTTGAGATTCGGCATTCACGCAGACACTTTGGGTCTTGATTCTCGTCTCCGCACCCTCACGCATCCACCATCTCGCCATTATCTGCTTCTCGGCGCTTGTACAAAGCCTTGCAATAGGTCGCATTGGCATCCTATCCGACTTAGCCGCTCCACCTTGATCGCACGGATCGATCCCGCTTCGAACGATCGTCCGACTCAGCTCACTTGCGACAATCATTCAATCGGCATCTTCCGACGCAACCGACTCAGCTTTCGAACCCAGTCCCATATCACAGCGCCACCTTCGACCGCCAGGCTGACACCGTTCCGATTGTTTACACGCATCGAGTCGTCGTTCATTCTCACATCGACTCATCCGCTGCTCACCTCAGTCAGCAAGCAAGATTCAGCTGAGCTCCACTTTCGAGCTTTGCACATCCACATCGACACGGCCTCATTGCATCTTAGCACGCCTCGCATTGTCCACGACGACTAAAGCCACAAGATGATGGACGATCTCACCGAGGCTAGCAGCGACTACGCCGCCAACTCGTGGGTCACCTGGTTCCTCTCCACCAAAGGCAACGAGTACTTTTGCGAGGTCGATGAAGACTACATCCTCGACCGATTCAACCTCACCGGCCTCAACGCAGAAGTGCAGCACTACCCGCAGGCACTCGACCTCATCACCGACTCGTTGGAGGATGACCTCTCCGATTCCATCCGAGATTCCGTAGAAGCGCAGGCCAAGCTGCTATACGGTCTCGTCCACGCACGCTACATCATCACCACACGCGGCCTCGCAAAGATGCTCGAAAAGTACAAGCGCGCCGATTTCGGTCGATGTCCCCGCGTCCTTTGCTACCAACAACCTCTGCTCCCCGTCGGCCTCAGCGACAACCCCTTCCAGAAAGCAGTCAAGCTCTTCTGCCCACGATGCGAAGACATTTACTCTCCCAAAAGCAGCCGACACGGTACCATTGATGGCGCCTTTTTCGGCAGCACCTTCCCTCACATGCTCTTCATGGTGTATCCCAACGTGCTGCCATCCAAATCGCCCACCTCGCAATCGCCTTTCTTGCTGAGCGGATCCTCGCAACACCGCTCCGATGCACGCACACACGCAGACCAGGCCGATGTCGACGACTCGATCATGTCTATTCCTGGTGCTGCAGGCAACGGATCGTCGCTATCAGGGGCAGCTGGGTCGTCGTCAGCGGTAGCAGCTGCGGCAGGAGGCGCCGCAGGTGGTCCTGGATCCAACAACCCACCTGCCAACTCGACAGCAGCTGCAGCCGCCAAAGTGGAACGCTATCGCCCGCGTATCTTCGGATTCCCTGTTCACGAGACGAGCAAGTTGCAAAAGTGGCAGGACAAGGTGCGCGACCAGCAGATCGAGCGTCTAGAGAAGGTCGAGGCGGCTGGTGGGATTGCTACGCCAGGTGCAGCGGCTTTCTTCCGTAAGGCGGTTCCAGCGGCACCACCTGCGCCGGTCGAAGGCGGTGCTCCGGCATCGACGGTGACACCAGCACAGGCGGCGGGTTCCAATGCAGCGGCATCGACGGCTGCAGCGCCACCAGCAGTAGAAGCAACAGCATCACCGGCGACGACGGCAGCGGCTGCAGGTCCACCACAGACGGCAGCAGCGACCAACACCACTAGCGCGCCATTGCAAGCTGCTCCTGCTGCCACACGACCGTAGTAGACCCTCACATGCAAAACCACACGGGCATATCGAGTCAATCGACGTTTTCACTTCTCTTGCTCATGATCCGCGCTGCAAGCAATGCATGCACAGACGTTGTTTCGGCTCTGTGCCATCTGTCCCCATGAACACGCTCTTTTCAGCCTTGCTCGTCACAGCAACTTCATAAGCCCTCGCTGAGTGCCCATCTGACCATCTGAGTACGGCATCACGCACATTCATCGGGGGCCGAAATCCAAAGAGCATGCGATTCCGTCATTTGTACATAAAGCACTTCCGTCCCACTACACTTCAGTGGAGCAAACCACCTCGGCGACCAACCTCCTCATGTCCTCGGCCCTCATCTTGCCTGCCTCTAGCACCTCTTCGTGGTTTGCCGCCTCTCCCACATCCTCTTGGAGTACCCTCTTGACGCTGTCCTCCAACTTCTCCCCGCCCTGCTGCTCAGTCTCGAGTGCGGTTTTGAAATCAAAGTAGGGTTTGAGGACGACCTTGTTGGTGATGAGGCTGATGGCGAGGACTTTGACGCCGGCGTGGGCGGCGGCGATGACTTCGGGGACGGTGCTCATGCCTACTGCGTCTGCGCCAACTTTCTTGAGGAATCCAGCGTCGGCACGGGATTCGTAGGAGGGACCCATGACGTATGCGTAGGTTCCGCTCTCCAGCAGGTTGGAGAGACCCAGCTTCTGGGCGGCGCGGAACAACGCCAGTCGCAAGTGGAGATCGTACGCGTTGCTCAACGGCGGGAATCGCGGTCCGAGCGCATCGAGATTGGCCCCGATCAAGGGGTTCATCGACGTCAACGTGGGTAGCGAGAGATGATCATGGATCGCCATGATGGTGCCCACTTCGAACCGGTCCGCGAGACCACCGGCTGCGTTGGTCACCACGAGCGCCTGGATGCCGAGAAGCTTCATGACGCGGGTGGGGAAGACGCACGCAGCCGCAGCATGACCCTCGTACGTGTGGAATCGACCCAGCGCCGCCACTACGGGGACGCGGGTGGACGACGAGGGGGCGGTGAGGAAACCGAATGCGAGGGAGGACGTGTGACCTGCCACCGTCGACTCGGAGAAGCCAGGAATCGAAGTGTATGGCACATGCACGGCCGATTCGAGCGACGATGCGAGTCCAGACAGACCAGAGCCGCTGCAGGAGGTAAAATAAGAAGAGACATGGTCAGTGACTAGTCGAGCCCGGGATGTCAGAGTCGACCGAGAGGCGACACGGTGCGGGGTACGAACCAGATGATCCCCCACTTGGGAGAGGCGAGCTCGGCAGGTACGACGGCGCGAATCGCGTCCACGGCTGCCTTGAACTGCTCTGGCAGCGAAGCCAGATCTATGCTCTTGGCCATCTTGAGATCTTTCGTTGATGTGTTCGGATCAGAGCAATAAGGTGGGAAGGGGGAAGAGGAGCGAAGGAAGGTGGTGATAACGGGAGGACAAGCTTTTTGTGCAAGGGCCACGCACCCGCCAAGCAAGGTACGCTCTCCCACACGGCTAGTCGGATTTGCCGAGCAAACAAAAGAAACAGGCACCAAATGGAAGGATCTCGGCCTTCTCCGAAGCCGTGGTCACGCTGTTGGACTTTGCTCTCGGGTCAAATACCGCCAACCTTCTTGCTAAAAAGGCTTGCTTCGGGTGATACCGTCGTAGGATGAATGAGGCACAGCGGCGGCATCCGAAGCAGTCGCTCGGTCTGAGCCACACAGACAATCACATGTATCGAACGAGGTCAAATGTGACAATGGAAGTTGTAAGCCAAGTGGAAGCTCACTTTGCGGCACACTGTCACAGCTAAACGAAATGGGATTGACTATGCGACAGCGCGGCTGGGCTGAACACAGTCCGTCATCCGTTAGAACGAGGTCGAGCGATGGTTTAAAGACGGGACAGCTATGGGAAGCGAGAGAGCCTTGAGTCGGACACTGGACACAAGCGCGAGCGATTGGCCCGCAACGCACTGCCGCGCCAACGGACTGTTGATAATTGTCGCTCCTGAGAAGCACTATACCGCGTGATGCGATGCTGGACTGCTCGAGCGAAAGCGCAAGATCGAGATCTGACCACAGCGGAAGCGAGAGAAGTCGTACCGACCGATCTAGGAGAGAACGGTCCAGCAGGGAGATATGGAGGGCTGGCAGGAGGGGCCAGAGTGTCGTTGCTAGAGCAAGGAGACAGCGGCCAGGAAGAGGAGGGGAACGCCTAGTGTCGTTTGCCGTCCGTCCGTGCTTCTCGCACGGTCCCCTCGGAAGCTAGAAGCGACGCTGTGATTCGTGATGCGCAGTGAGAACCGCCTCTGCGAAGAGGCTACAGCGTTCACTGTCGCCGTATTCGCATGCTTTGACCGCTCCTGGGCGTGTGCAGAAGCCTCGTGCAATACTGTGAGAATAGAGAGTAGCCTTCTTTCCGGCTCAGAGCCGCCTTTGGTGCCCAGAAATTCTGATCATTCAGTGCCCAGCTCTGATCGCCCGGCAAGGAGGCAGTAGCGCGCTCTGAGCGCGGCTGGACCTGTGACTTCCAGCAGGGTGACCGACATGCCTTCTTGTAAAGCAGTTCAAAGTATGACGGCACGACGCAGTCGTCCTTCAGGCTTCGGAAAGTACGGCACTCGATCGAAAGGATCCAAGTTGATAGACACGTTCAAAGGCGCAGGCAACGAGTCACACTGATCCTTGCTTGTGCAGGCCGATCAGATCGCTCTGTCTGTCCGTCTATCCCGGAACAAGGGCGAGGAACAGTACCTCCGGTCATGGAAGCTCCCCATCGAGGCGGAAGCATTCGCTTGCAAGGAACGCCCAAATGCAGACGCTCCATTGTACTGTCGGAAACATCAGACGCCGACACGTGAAGACGGCAGTCTCGAGACGCACGATTCATTCGAAGACAATGGCTACTCTACGTGATGGCCGGCATCAATGCGAGTATCGTGTCAGATGCAGCACGTCTGCTCGTACTGTGTGGCCGGGACCTGCTGCGGTCGGGGCTCGAGGGTGCATTGATATTCTGCGCTAGTCTCAACAGAGGCCATGGCTCTCGTCACCGCTTTCGAGCATGTGCCTCGGTCGAGATGGGCTCGAGCTCGCCAGGACAGCTTCAGTGCGAAGCAAGGGGTTGCTACGATCCGTTTAAAAGCATCGCAGTGGCACTCCCTTGTCAGCATCGCATTCGCACCTACATCTGTGACTCATCTATCCCCGTCCTGGTCGTGGTGACAGCGACGGCATCGGTCGCATAGGACACACTCCTTTCCATCCGCATCATCCTCACATCACTATCGATATCCGTCGTTCGATAACTCTCTGTCACAATGGTGCGCATAGTGAACAAGTTCCGCGCTTTCACGGTCGACGAATTCCATTTCCCCCACGAGATGAAGACCAATGGCGATCTCATACGCTTTGCCAAGCCGCTCTTGTGTCCAAAGCCCAGCAAGGCGGTCGAGATCTACATGATCCTGGACATCATCCAGAGCGTCATGACTTTCGCCCTCTGCATGTCGGTCATGTTCAAGAAGGGCCGCACCAAGAACTTCCGCATCTTCACACTGCGCAAGAGCCCGCATGGTACCTTCATCGTGCCCAACGCCATCGTGTGGCTGCTCGGGCTGGTTTCGATCTACTTGTTGGCCTGGGCAGGGTTCTGCAGCTATATCTTGTTCGTGCAGGAGACGGGACGGCCGTTGATCGAATGGTTGTGGTACATTCCCCTTCCGTGGCTGCCGCTTGCGCTGGGTACATTTTACGCTGCATATGGGTTCGTCCTGACGTGCACGCCGAGGTCGCCCATCTCGAACCTGGCGCCGACCAACAAGGCGTCGCACCTAGCGACAAAGCTCAGCTGGATCCATCTTCCGCTGCCTCAATCCGCGTGGGTGATGAACACCTTTGTGCTCGGCGTGCCGAGTGCGATGGTGGTATACAACATCGTCATCACCGCACTCAACGGCCAACAGCGGGCGCTGACGCATCGAGAGGGACACGATCTGTACCGTCAAGTGCTCTCCAAGACGCATTCGCAGGAGTGGCTCGACGCGGCGCCGACGGAGGAGCTGCTGTATCTGACGCGCGTCGCATGGTGCGATCTGGGCAACGTCTTCCGCCTTTGCTGCGCAGCGCTCGCCTCGTACATGGTGCTCGTCCTCCTCGTCATTGCCATGGTCGTCTTCTACTCGATCCCGAATCAGATCTACCTCATGGATCATCTGGTCGCCATCTATCCAGACGACGACTTTGTCCAGCCCACGCGTCGCAGCCTGCCCAACATCCTTCGAGCTCTGTGCAGGATCGGCCTGCCGCGCAATCTACACGGTCCGGCGTATTCGGCGTTCAAACGGACGTGGATGATGGTGCTGGTGGGTCACACTCAGATGTTCTGCGTGCTGTTCGGTTGTTCGGCCTTCATCGTCCCCGTATTCTACCTCTATTTTGTCCCCTGGCACAGGTCGCTGTTGGGCGAGTCGGCCGACCACGAAGTCACCTTCATCGTAGCCTACTGCATCAGCGCGGCGTTCCTGACGGCAGGATGGGTCACAGCCATTTCTGGAGTGCTGACGTTTGACGACATCTTCCGTGCCGTCTCTGGTCTCGCCGGTCCGCAAGCCGAAGTGACGACCAAGACCCAACTCGTTCCCGAGCAGCTGCGGGGGAGGCGAAGCTTGGCGCGCGGATTCAAGGGGGCATCGCTCAGTCTCACTCCTGGCACACCCTACTCCGCCGTCTTCGCCAGCTCTGCAAGCCCGAGCACGCCCAGCTTCCTCACCTCCCCACGAGGCGCCGCGTCCACCCTCGGACCCCCCTCCCCAGCTTTCACCAAGGAGAAAGATCCCAGCGAAACCCTGTTCGAGCCTCATACCCACAACACCGTCCTCATCACCACGGCAACAGTCGTCCGATTCGAACACCAGGAGCAAGATGTCGAAGCGATGCAGACCGACATGTTCCCATACCCGCCACCGGCTGCCGCGAGCCCCTTCGTTTTTTTGACTCGCACAGAGAAGTAGTACAGTATGTTTGCATCTGCATGGATCGCCTTGGAATCGGACACACTCTTTTTGCGCTCAGACAAGACTCCCTGCGACTTGAATCGTTCCGTCGAGAGCTTGTGACGTTCTTCAAGTGAGAGTGATAGCTGGCCAGCGCTCCGGTCCTCCTGAAGCGGTGAGGTCCTCGGTGCGAGTGGTGCGATGCTAGCTTCATTCTCAACGGAGCTGAAACGCAATTGCGCGTGCGTCCCATCTAAGAGCCGGCGCCGTGTGACTGACTCAGGACGGGAGAGTTCGGGGATCCGAGCGTCGTGAGCACTCATGTGCAGTGTCGCCTTCATGGACACCATGGCTAGACTCAAAGTCGTCGACACACGCACCGACACACAGCAAGAAAAGTAATATGCAATGACTACCTGCGGTTGCAAATTCGAGCAGGAAAAGGAATGTCATGAGCGGAAAGAGAATGAATGTCCATATGCTTGCAAGCGAGTCAAGGTACTACTATCAACGAGAAGCCTGCCGCATCATTGCGCGGGGTTGTTCCAGCCGTAGGTCTGGAAGCTGCCGCAAGGATTGGGCAGGGAAGTGTAGAAGTTGCGAACGTTTCCGCCTTTTCCTGGGTTGGGCATGGTGCCAGCGTTGACGAGGTCTACGTACGAGTAGAGCTGCATCAGGTCGCTCGACAGCGCCAGCACCGGATTGCTGGACGAGTTGGCCTTGAAGTTCCAAAAGATGGAACCTGCCGACCAAGCATAGGTGGAGAGCTGCATGTTCAGGTAGGAGGTGGTGTAGCTGCTGGACCCGATCGCTTGAATCGCCGAGAATTCGCCCATGAGGATGGGGACACCAAATTGGCCGCCGGCCGATCCGTACTCGCAGACGGAGGTCTGGATCTCAGCGCGACCAGGTTCAGGCACGGTGAACCAACCGGGGTAGGGGTGGTCCTCGTAGATGAGCATGTTGGGATCCTTGCCCGAAACAAAGGGCCTCCAGAGGTTCATCTTGTCCAACACGGTGCCGGGTGCGAAGCCATTGTGGAAAGTCATGGGGATGTTGTTCTTAACGCAGGTGGCGTAGCTGCGCTCGTAGAAGCTCTGGGTGATGGAGAAGCGCGTGTTGTTGAGCGTCCAGTCGTCATTGACGATGCGTGGCTCGTTGACAACGCCGATACCGTTGATGATGGAGCTGTAGTTGCTGCCGGTGGCCCAAGCCAGGACGTTCTCGACAAAGGTGTCGGAGCGGTCCTGGTTGGCCTGGGTGAACCACTGGATGTTGGTGGTGTTGTGCCCCGAAGACTGGTCACCGTTCTGGGAGCCAGGCATGGCGTGGAGATCGAGCATGACGTACATGTTACGCGAGTAGCACCACTGGAGCATCTTGTTGAGCTGGTTTTGGTACATGGTCATGTCGTTGAGGTAAGGCTCGCCAGAGACGGTGGGGATGAAGGCCCAGAAAGGAATGGGGATACGGACAATGTTGACGCCGGCGTTCTCGAGCGTGTCCATATCCGCCTCGGTGACCCAGGAGTTTTGGTGATCGGCAAGGACCGAAGCGGCACGGTTGCCGAGATTTTGAGTGAGGCGGAACTCGTCCCAGGCGTTGGCGCCGCCCTGCTGGACCATCCAGTCCTCGAGCTGCCATCGTTCGAGGACGAGCCAGGAGCCGAGACTGACACCGTAGGCTTTTGTGTTGGTGTCGGTCCAGCTGTACCTGGCGAAGGGGGTGATGGTGGGAGTGGGAGTAGCAGAAGCGGTGGGAGTGGCACCGCCGGTGGTCTTGCTGCCGCCAGTCGAGGAACCGCCGTTGTGATGGTTGTTGCTGTTGGATGTGGAGCCAGAGTTGCCATTGTTGCTGGCGGACGAAGAGAGGTTCTTGTCGCTCGACTTGTTGTGAGCAATGCCGACACCGGCGCCGACACCACCTGCAATGACAGCGATGAGGAGCAACATGAGGAAGGCAAAGAGGAAGGGCCGGCGTCTCATAAAGTTGGGACGCTTCTTGGCAGCCGCAGCGCCGCCTTCGAGAGCGGCGACGTTGGCAGCCGGGTTGTAGCCTTGGCCGCGTCGGCCTTGGTATTGGTAGCCGGCGTCGGCGCCAGGAGCAGCGCCTCCCTCCTTCTCAAAGTAGTATGTGCTGGAACGCTGACCGTTAGCGCCGTCGACGGCGGGCAAGAGGGTCTGTGCGGCTGGTGTGTTGGCTCCATCGCGATCGTACTTGTCCATGTAGGTACTGGCGGCCGAGTAGCGACCGCCGAAGCTGGTCATGGTACCTGGTGTGCCGGGACGCAGGGTTTGAAACTCGGTGTAGTCGGCGGGAGGCGAGAAGGTGGGGGTCATAGGATCCGGGCTATAGTAGGCCTCCTCTGGCGATGTTGATCGTGGACGAGGCATGGTGACGAGGGCTGTGATGTGTTTGGATGGTGAAAAGAGGGACGAAGGATGGTCTGGCAGACGCGCAACGAATCGAAGAGTGCTGAAGACAAGAGCAGGTGTAGGATCGTGACAGTTCTTAGGTCGAGATGGGTAGCTGTAGTATGCCGTATAGACGGGGCTTGACTAGGCTTCCGATGGCAATGTACTGAAGAGAAGGAGCAAGAAGATGTGACGAGTAGCCAAAGGAAGAAAAGGTGAATGACAAGGGAGTATGGGATGGCGGTGATGAGGGCGGTGATGAAGAGAGGGGGAGAAGAGACAGGAGGAGGAGGGGAAAGGGAAAAGGGGCGGGCGGCGTCAGGAGCGGTTGCTAAAAAGACAATGAAAGAGTGATTCGAGTACCCGTACCCAGCAGAGCAAGGCGAGGCGAGGCGAGCAAACACAGATCTCGGATGGTCAGAAGTGGCCAATCCAACGGAAGCTCACTAGACTAGCTCAGCGGCGGTCAAGAGGATGTGAGCAGCATGTGCACACGAGCTTCCCGTCGATCAGGCGAGCAGGCGGCGTCGGAAGTACGAAGATGGGGAAAAACAACGGCTTGGACAGCAGAGTGTCACGATGCAGCCGACGGAGAGGCTGACAAGCCAAGCACAAGCCAAGCGAGATCAGATCAGAGCAGAGCGGACTCTGTTTGAGAGAGGCTTCCATGGGCAAGTACGGCCAGAGAAGCGTCGTCGGCAAGAGACGAGCCGTGATGGTCTCAGAGAAGCCAGTCAGACTGTCGAAAATTCCTTTCTGGCGAGAAACAGGGAGACCTCGCAGTTCCGAACAACAGGCGCGCGTGTAGGTCAGTGTGGCTTTGCAGAGAGAGAGAGGGGGGACCGTCCCACTTTGGCCGATTGGGTGTTGCAAGCGAGCTGCAAAACAAGCGGCAAGGCGACACATCACACGGTCACCCAATAATCCATTTTCTCAATTTACGTTTAATTAAAAATTCGAGGGTGCACAATCACACGCAGCCAGGCCAGCAAGCAAGCAAGCCAGCCTCAACCAAGCTACGTAGACTCGGGACGCGTTCTGACAGCGTTCCGAGAGGGCTTCGGCGTGCACAACACAGGGGTCGCCTGACCAATTTGGCTGTCCACGTATACGCAGGACGGGACCTTGCATCCAGCTTGGTCGTCTTTCGAGTTGGTCTGCCGTGCTCGATTGACGAAGCTGAGCTCAACTGTGTGGCCTTGGTCAGGGCGAATTCAATTTGGATCCCGTTTTGATTGTTTGTTTCTGAGCCTGAGTCTGCTGCGCCCTGCAAGCGAGAATTTCGTCCTTTGGGCCGTCTTACGCGAGACGGGCGAGCATCAGCGATCAGCGGAAAATCCGTGGATGGATCGACCGACGGCCCGAAAATGCGCGATCGCCTTTCTGAAATGACAAAGACGAATCATTTGTATTGCAGCTGCTGACAGCAATGATGAGCGTTGCACGGCTGAGCTTGGGCCTGGCAGCGTGGCAAGCGGTACGGGGTCTCTAGCTCGACAAAGTGTTTGGTTCCTAAATCCAAATGAAGCGGAGGCATGCCTGCTTAGCGTCGTCTTGGCGTGGGGATCGCACGGCGTGACCACAGCAGCCTCGATCGAGGACAAGGTTTGTGTTCTTGTGTCCCTCCGCTTGCTTTGTAGTCAAGCTAGGCCTCGTTTGACTCGAAAAACAGAGCTCGACTTCGAGACGGCGATGATGCGCTCCCGCAGCAGCGTGTGGGTGGATGGATTCGGTATCTCGTGCAGGGGTGGCAGGTGCGGGTGGCTTCTTTGAATTCTTCCTTTTTCACCCGGGCCCTGTCTCATGGGCGTACGGAATTCCGCGTCCCCAGCAGCTTTGAGCGAGCCGACAGCAGCAGACAGCAAGCGACATTCGAGCCAATCGAAGCGCGCTGAAACCCGCCCACCGACCTTGTTCGCGCCGAGGCTTGTTCTTTTCCCATCGACCAAAGTCACGGGTCCAAGAGAAGCTTGGCATGCTCGGCTCTTGGATTCAACGGTCTCGCTAATCGGCATCCACCACGGCACACGCGGATGGCTCCGTGTACGATCCCAGGACCCTGGCCTGCACCCTTTCTGGTCAACAAGGCGGGACAAGTGCGTGCCTCGGGCGAGGGTCTGGAACGCCAATGGAAGCGGTGGTCTACCTCCAGCATAGCACAGCAGCTGTCACGAGGTGTCTTTGGGAATGGAAAGAAAACGTCAAAAGGGAGATCCTTCTGCGCGAAAGAAAACAAAGCTGCATTCTCTGCAGCTGACAAGACCGAGTGCGTGCTGGCGTCTGCACACATCTGCCGCTCCTTCACGTTTCTGCTTTGCCTTCCCGCTCGTGCAGGCTCGTTCGAGAGCATGCTTGGTGGCTCAACAAAGCCAAAGTCGGGATCATTCCGAGCCAGCATGTCGGTCACGCCTCAGCGCGCTTACTTCGGATCTCGCGACTCACACCACTTGATCACGCCTTTGCCCAATGCAGGCGGAGTGTACCTGCAGCTGCGTGAGTGTCGAGAGCTTGAGTCTCACTCTCTGCACATGCTTCGCGCCAGCATCGGGAACACAGCCAAAGGTCCCACGCTCTTGCCTTACATTTTGCCAAGGCTAGTCTTCACATTCCGAGCTCGCGCTTAAGTGGTTAACGCCAAGCGCATTCATACCGGTATGACAGTCTTTTCAGATCGGTGAGCCGCCACAAGGCCAGCTTGACTTGCATGCCAAGAACTCCGTGGACCACCTCCCCGCGTCCCAACCAAAACAAGGCTCCCCACGCTGGCGGCTGCCCATCGGTTCGGAGTGGACCCTGCATCGCGTGCCTCGTCCTGTGCCTCTACTGTATCGCGATGCTGTCTGGCTGCCACTCGCAAGCTGGATCGGCAGCGTCGAACTTGTCACTTCGAACATCGATACATCAGTCAGTCGATGGGAACTTTCCCACGCATGTATAAGTGTTAGATCAGCAATACGTACATCTTCCCTTTTTTGACAACCAACTCTCGAAAGTGTCACTTTTTTGACTTTGCAAAGTCACATTGCGCAGCAGCTACTGCACGGACCCTGACCCTCCTCCACTCCGCCTCCAAGCTTCCTTCTGATCTTTCACTCGAAGACGTCCCCTCGCTCCTCGCTCTGCGACCCCTCTGCCATGTCCACAGCGATACAGCAGTGGCCAGGCCGATTCGAGCATGTCGATCGCATCCTCGACAAGCCTGGCCCTACCACCGACGATGCCTTTCAAGCTGGCGCACCAGTCAAGGACTTCCTTCGCACTCAATCCAAGATTCTCGTCATTGGCGCCGGCGGTCTCGGCTGCGAGATCCTATCCAATCTCGCGCTCAGCGGCTTCCACGACATTCACATCATCGACATGGACACCATCGACGTCTCCAATCTCAATCGCCAGTTTCTATTCCGCGAGAAAGATGTAGGTCATTCTAAGGCTGAGGTCGCAGCCGCTTTCGTACAGCGTCGGGTTCCTGGTGTCCGCATCACGCCCTATCACGGCAAGATTCAGGACAAGGACGAAGCCTACTACAAGCAATTCAACATCATCATCTGCGGCCTTGACTCAGTTGAAGCGAGGAGATGGATCAATGCAACGCTCGTCAATATGGTCGACGAAGACGATCCCGAATCGCTCAAGCCCCTCATCGATGGCGGCACCGAAGGCTTCAAGGGCCAAGCACGCGTCATCCTACCCACCATCACCTCGTGCTACGAATGCAGTCTCGACATGCTCAACAAGCAGACCACCTACCCGATCTGCACAATAGCCAATACGCCACGTCTCCCCGAACACTGCATCGAGTGGGCCAGCGTCCTCGAGTGGCCCCGCGTCTTTGGCGAAAAGAAGCTCGACAACGACAATCCTGACCACATCTCTTGGCTCTTCGAGCAGGCATCGACTCGTGCAGCGTCGTTCGGCATCACCGGCGTCACATGGAACCTCACCCAAGGCGTCACCAAGAACATCATCCCCGCCATTGCCTCCACCAACGCCATCATCGCCGCCGCCTGCGTCCTCGAAGCCTTCAAGTTCGCCACCACCTCGGCGCCCTTTCTCAACAACTACATGATGTTCACCGGCAACGACAGCGTATACACGTACACGTTTGAACATGAGAAGCGGCCCGACTGCCCCGTGTGCGGCGGCGAGGCGCGCACCATGTCCTTTAGCGCAGAGGACAAGGTCGAGAGTCTCATCGAGCAGTTGGGCGAGTTGGCGGATTTGCAGATCAAGAAGCCCTCGCTGTCGTTAGCCGGAAAGCCGCTGTACTACCAGGCGCCGCCACAGCTCGAGGAGGTAACACGGCCAAATTTGGAAAAGAAGCTGTCCGAGGTGTGCAAGGAGGGAGACGAGATCACTGTGACGGATGCCAGGTTGCCGTTCACGCTGGGTATCATTGTCAGTTTCACATGATTGCAATCGAAAGTGAAGCACAGATGTCATGCGACGATGCGTGCGAAGATGCGCGCGATGGCAGCGTTGGAGCTTGTCCTGTGGAGGATACAACGAGCGGCAGGTGTTAGAAATGTCAGCGGTGCTGCGACTGCTGTCTGCGTGCAGCGATCGATCGTGGACTCACATGGCTGCACCGTCGTGCTTGACGCCCGGCACCCAGTCAACCGTCCACAACCGCTCTCCTGTCTTGCCAATACTGGCCTCCATGCGCTTCAAATGGCGGTGGTAGTTGACGGCTCGCTCGCGTCGATCAGCACCTATGATTGCGCAAGACACTTCAGCAAGCTGTTCCTAGGTCACGCAGCGGATCATCAAGGCAAAACTCACCTTGGGCCATAGCTTCCGGTCGGTCGTCGCCGGTGCCCCTGTCCGTTGCTCCGTTGACAAAGTGGATCTGACGCTCTTGCAGCATCCGACTGAGGTACCAGTGCGGGTCTTGCTGTGTCTGGATCCCCGGATAGATCGGAATGTGGGTCGCGATATTATCGAAGCCATCTGGGGAGTAAGACGAGCAGACAAGAGAGATACGTTGGTCAGTCGACCTGCAGAGCGACCGCAGAGGTGGTCTGGACGTACATTTGTATTCGTTCATGTTCTGTCAAGCAAACACGATCGGGGTCAGCTCTTGTACTCTCAAGCCTGGGCCAGGGGCAATGCACTTACGGGAGCAGGCGGGCCCTCCCGTTCGCCGCTGAAGTACAGGTAGCTCGCTGCGTTCATGACGACGTACTCCACCTTCAGATCGCGTTTTGCTGCGGGCAAGATTGGCGAGCTGAGAATCGAGTAGCGGTGCACCAGCTGACCGCCCATGCTGTGTCCAGCTACGGAGTCATCAGATGTCCCTCCGTGTCAGTTCTCGTATCGGGGAGGTTTGTGTTTCGCCGCGGGTTTGTGATTCGCCGCGGGATGCTTACAGAAGACGATCCGCTCAACGCCATGGTACATCTGTCGGTTCGCGAAGTGGCTCAGAATCGCGTCGAGCGCTTCGAAGGATGATATGCCTGTGTTGTCGTTGCTGACAGACGCTTTGGGACGGACGCTGGGGGATCCCTCTCCCCACTGTCATGAGAATGAAGCTTCTTGTCAGCTTTAGCGGCGATGCGACACGGAAGACGATCGGGACACTCACTCCATTGCCTTTCCATACGAGCAATAGATCCTGGTTTGCCGGCTGGTACTTGGACTTGTCGAGGCCGTTGAGCTGCTCGACGTGGATAGTGCAAGTCAGCGCGACTGCTCACTTCGATCATATCACCATCTCAGCATGTACGTACGAATTGAGGCACCACGAGGAGCGTCTTCTTCTGCTGATCGACGGACAGCCTACCTCGCGCAGCAGCGATGTCGGCCCAGGCGATGTCTGCATCTCTCTCTGCGCAAAGGGAAAGGTCGAGGACGACCGTCAGTTGCGATCCAAAGCGTCAAGACCAGACCGTCGTGCTCACCTTTGCCATGCACGTGAACAACGACTTGCTCGATCGATCCACAGGTGTTCGAACTGAGCCATCGGTCCGTGTATACGGGCAAAGCAACCTGCTCGTTGCTGGCCTGCGATTGCCATTGCAGCAGATCGACTCGTGCACCACCCACTTAGAGCAGTCGGAGACCAAAGTGTGTCAGTCAGAGCGTTCACGTCGAGTGTCTGGGTTCGCGCTCACCCTGTTCAAGTTGGACGCCACTATCCTCCCGGCAAGGTACGAGGTCTGGCAAGAACGGTCGACCGGCCATCGTTGGTGCTGACAAGGAGCAAGGTGAGACGTGGGCCCTTTCTGCATCAGACAACGGTTCCGTGTTCGTGGTAGTGACGAAAGCTTAGCTGGTGATGGGTCCGTGCTCAAGTCACAGCTCGCCAGAGTTACAATTGAGCTCCTTCGCGCCTGAGGCTCGGCACGTTCGTCGTCAGCTCATCAATATCAACTTCCATCGCATCTCGCTCAGGCACACACACACGATCCCACGCAGATGAGGATGGTAGACAAGTACCATGATTTACCTCTGCCTCTACGCCCGGCGCTCAAAAGCGCGCGCTGTTCAGTTTCGACTCTACAAAGGTCATGATCAGCGAGAACAAGTTCCCTTGAGCGCCTGCGACCTCCTCGGCCGCTCTCAACGCAGACACGATGTCCCTCGACAGCCCCGACTCGAGCTCCTGTCGAGCCATGTGCTCGAGCTTGGCCTGCTCCTGGTGCTCCTTCGACCTGCCCGCCGCCCAGATGGCGGCCTGACTGGCGGCGAGGCCCAACGCTTGCTCGAGCGTCGCCGAACAGCCCTCCTTGTCGTCCGCCGACAGCTTCGATTTGTGGGTTCTGAGGTAGTCGGTGAGATGCGTGCTGAGGTCCAATAGCGTGCCGAGCGTGGCGATGCGCACCGCACTGGTCCGGGTCGTCGGACGTACGATGGCACAGCCCGACTGCGTCGATGGCCAGGCGTCTGACCCGCGGCAGAGCACCGATATACAGTTGGTGTGGTTCCAGAGACTAGCGATGAGGATCGACACGATGGTGCGGATTTTGGCCGCGGTTGCCTCTTGCACGACTTTGGTAGCTTCGGCCGCTGGATCCAAGCCGAGAAGGCTCGAGAGCTCGTTAGGGTGCTGCAAGAGGTGGACAAGAGGCTGGAGCGTCCAAGCCGAAGCCTCGGCAAGATGCTGCACGATCGATAAGCCGGCGACGTTGCTGTCGGCTCGTGCAGCGGTTGCTCGCGCCGACGGCTCGGTCCTGGTCAGATTGTAAAATAGACTGTAGATGAGCTCGACCTCCTCCAGCTGCTCGAGACTCACAGCAGCACCAGAGCCAGCGTGGCCATAATCCTGCGTAGACATGGGATGACCAAGGATGCCAGACATCGAGTCGAGCCGAGCATGCAGCTCGCCGAGGCTGGTTGCCCTATCGATCTGCCTTTGGTAAACACGGAGGAAGCCGTAGACGTCGGTCTCAACAAAGCGTGCGCTGACGCCTCTCCAGCTCGGATTATCGGACCCCGCTCCGAGGTTGTCGATCAGGTTGACGACGATACGCAGCATCATCCTCCAGCACTCGTGCGACGGATTCAGATCCCCAGAGAGCAGCAGAGGCGAGATCTGGCCGTTCTCGAGCGGATCGGTGAGCATGTTCGAGGCCAATGCGTTCACCGCACCTTGCAGAGCAAGCTCCTCGCTCGAGCATGGCTGCGACGCAACGGCCAGCAAGAGCGAGAGCAACGGCTTCATGAAAGCGACGTGGTGCGCACTGTTTGGGTTGAAGTGCGTGTCGTTGCCGTTCGCACTTTCGGGGCGCAGAACCGGCGCTCGACCGAGGAGGCTGATGGTGAACTGCAGGAGTTGGGTCTCCTGCACGTGCGCCAGCCATACGGTGGTCTCGGCGCCAACGTCGCGTCGGATGGTCATCTCGAAAATGCTGACGAGAACGTCGAGGTCGTCTTCAAGGTACTGTGCGTCGAAGTCGTGGCGTTGAGCGGTCTGCAAAACTCGCAGCGCCGACTCGATCTTGATGCGAAGCGCTTCGGTGGCCTGACGGCAGAAAAGCTCGACCGATGCATGCAGCGCCTTGTGGCTCTCGATCGTCTTGTCGTTGGGTACCACCATGGACCCCTGCGATGACAAAAGCGAGCGAATGCGGGCGACGCACACCAGGACCATCTCAAAGACGTCGCGGTGGAACTCGGGAGGCACAGTGCCCTTCAAGCTGTCCTCAACGCGGAAGAATCCATGCGTGAGCAGGCGTCCGCAGAGGGTGGCAGCCTGCACGATCTGCTCTGTGCTGGAGGCTTCCTTGCTGTGGCTGTTTCCCCAGGCCAGCTCCATAAGTTTGGTGAGCAAAGCAAGTCGGGTGGCATGCACGCCGCGCATAAAGTCGCCCTCCCGGCCTTCATCGGCAGTGAGCGTGGCAAGACGAGTCCAGCTTGCAATGACGACTTTCCCGAGCAGAGATACCTTGTCCTTGCTGAGCGCCTGCGCGACGATGCGACCCATGCATGTTTCAACGCACTGCGTCCACGCCTGGACCACAGAGTTCTGCACGTCGATCAAGCTCCACTCCATGTTGATGGTAAAGAGGGACAACAGTCCTTCCTCGATCAGTGCAGCCTCGCCACCAAACTCGCCGTCAAGAACGCGACCCTCGGCCTTGCTGCGGAAGGCAGAGGTGCTAAAGTGATAGTTGTCGCCGTATCGCTTGTCGAGATCAAAGTCGTCTTTGCGTCGAGGATGACGCAGAGAATCGATGCAGACGGTGGGGAAAAGTTCCGCCAGCTTGCGTTCTAAAGCAGCGCGCAGCGAAGGATCGCACGGCATGGAGAAGCTCACTTCGATCGCGCCAAGCGTGCGGTCGGACGACGTGAGGATGTCGAGCAAAGCGTCGACGCTGGCTCGGCTGGACGAGCTGCTCTTGGACTGATCTTTCAGGATGCTGCCCAGCTGGATGTCGTGCTGCAAAAGTCGCAGCGAGCGAGCCTGGCACATTTTCCTGTAGCAGTAGCTTGACACCTCGACGTCGTTGCTCGAATGCAAGGCGGTGTCAGATTCGATGACACCTTCGGCTAGTGTCGAAGGAATTTCGCTTGGCTCGCAGATGATGTCTGCCAGGGCACGGAAGAAGGCCGAGTTGGTGCGAATCGTGTCAAAGGCTGCAACGTGCTCGGCCGCGTGCACCCAGGCCACATCGAGGAATCGGAGCACAGCTTCGAGCAGCTGCGGACTGCTGGTGTGAGGTGCTTGCCAGGACAAGATCGCCTCGGAAGCAACATCGAGCGCTGTCTTTACTAGCGCTTGGCCGTCATTTGCGTCGGTCGTCTGCGGTGGAGGTGCCGATCCTGCGGACTCGTTTTGCTTCGAGGAAGGGTCAGCCTCTGTCCTCTTGAGACGCGTTTCGGTCGTCACTGCAAGGTGACGGCCCGTCAGTAGGAGTGTTCCGAGGGCTGGCTGCGTGTCGACGATGGCTGCTAACATGGTCCAGACTTGGACTTTGAGGCCAGGATCCTGATTAGGGTTGCCGACGAGATCGACAAGACCGGAGAGGGTCTCCTCGAGCTCTTCGAGGGTGCCCATATGTCCGATGAGGCCGGGTGTCGGCTTGCCCGCCGAGGCGAGGTCGGCGACGGATCTGAGGACAGAAGTGACGAGCTGCGCCGCCGTCGAGCTGATGGCGGAGGAGGCTGGGAAGAGCACGTACGAAAAAGTCGCACTGGCCAGTTCCACCCGGCTCGACCTACGGCTGCCGCTCCATGCTGTTCGAGAGGCTACGATCGTATGGTCGAAGAAGAGTCGTTCGAAAAGACCCACGTTGATCCTGGCAGACATGGCTCTTCTTGCTGTCTCTGCCGGCAGCGTCAAGAGATCGCGAAGAGCAGCGATGGTGAGCTCGCGCTTGGTAGAGACAATCTGCGTGGCAAGACGCAACGAGGTCGAGATCCACTCTTCGGCCAAGATGGCGTCGTTCTGTCTTCCAGCTCTGCCCAGCGCGTCGAGCAATTGCTGACCAGTGCCGATGCAAGTGATGAGAGGGGCGAGGCCGACGATGCTCGGATGGGTCACGAAGCTCCTTTCTGCAGCCTCATACAGGGCGAAATCCGGCCCGGCTTCGTCCATCAGATCGGATGCGGGTGTCGACGACCTGCGCCAACTCCTCTCCTCGAGGACCATCTCGAACAGTTTTGTGCACTTGGTGCCGATCTCGAGCCTGTCTGCCAGTCGGATGTAGCGCCAGCTCTGGTACTCGGGCCAAACGCATTCGTAGATCCAGCTAAAGGCGCGCAAGAGCACGTTGGTCTTGGTCTCGAGGACGTCTGTGGACAGAACAGAGTACGACCGGCGCAGCTCGGAGAAGAGCGAAATGTGAAAGTCGAGCAACGAGATGAGCCCACCATAAGAGGCGTGGCTCATCTCTTGCGTGAGAAGGGCCGACACAGAAGCGGCGCCTGCTGCCGCAGTGCCCTTGGACAGGTAAGGTACCGAGCCCGGAGTGCCGATGAGCGCGTTCGAGGATCGCACTTCCTGCCAGATCGCATCGGGATCATACGGCAGGAGCACCGTGAGCAATCGCAGTGAAGAACGCACGAGGCGAACGTTGATGGGAGCCGCAATGAGGGCATGCGACAAGAGGCGGACGGCCACGGACGAGAGGCTCTTTGCGTGTGCGAGCTCTTCCTTCTCCTTTTGGATTTGCTCGAGCTCTTCGGGTTCGTAATCGAGGGATAACTCGTCGGCATTGATGTCACGACCGTCGAGATGAGCAAGCAGCGTCCAAGCGAGCTCGGCACTTGCCGAGATGATGCTGGCAAAGAGGTCGAGCACATCCGAGGCAAGCTCTTCCCAAGGCTCGTCGCAATCGGCCGGAGCGAGGTGAGAAAAGCGGACGGCCTGCTTCTGATCCCGGAATGGGTCGGCATCGGGTTGGGTCGTAGTGGGCTCGGCGTACGCAGGTGGGAAGGAGGAGAGGACGTCACGCATGAGCTTCCAGGCGCTGATGGGTCTTGCCGGGCTCCAGAGGACGATGACAGGCTCTTTGCCCAGCTCGGAAATGGTGGAACCCGTGGTGCCAGGGGCAAGACGGACCTGGGTGCCTGGAATCCGCAGGGTACGAGTGATCCTGTAGGTGACGGATGTGTAATCACCGCCTTCCATGGTCTCGAAGGGTGCGTTGGGCGTGTTGGCTCCGACGGGCAAGACCTGAGCAAAGGTGGGCACGTTTGCGAGGTAGTCAAACACAGCAGCGCACGCTCGCTCTTCGGTCTCGGGACGCGAGCGCCCATCAAGCAGAGATGGCCATGATGCTCGTGCGTCGACCCTAGCGTGGCCAGAGAGTGCTTTGGTGAGAAGGATCAGAGGACGGAAGCTGACGGGCCATCGCCGCCTGGCTGTGTCCAGGGTGGTGCATCTCGACTCGTATCTGCTGTCGACCTGCCAGAACTGATCGCAAAGGGCAGCAACACCCTCGACGGCAGACTGACTGAGCTCGAGAGCCAGGCCGGAGCCGAATGTGGCCTCCCACAGGCTGACAAGGGCATTGAAGTTGGGAAGGAATTCAGGCTTGACGAGCTCGGTGATGCTGAGCAAGAGGCCCTTGAAGACGGCACGGTAGGCGAGAGCCGATGGTCCGGCCACAGCCGGGGTGCTGGCGCCGTTGCTGCTGGTCAACAGTGGCGAGGCAAGCAGAGACATGAGGGTGTCGAACAGACGGAGCTCGGGCGCAAAGGCGGCTTGGGCGAGTCGTCTCCACAGAGGTGGGCCACCATCGTCGGTCCGGATGACGTTTGCGAGCTCCGCAAGCGAGTCAGAAGGTGGAGTAGATGTGTCCAGGTCGGCTGCGTCGAATTGGGCTGCCAGAGCATCTTCGAGACGGTGGAGAACGAGCGCCCATGCGAGCAGGATAGGGGCGTGCAGTGGGTCAGCTGAGGTGGTGCTGAGAAGGTCGAGGGCCTGCTCGAGGCTGGGCGGGTGCTTGGCCATGTGAGACTGTGAAGCGTCGTTGAGGTCTAGGCCGTCCATGACCTCTTCGAGAGAAAGCATCTCGACAGCGATGAGAACAAGCAGATGGCTGACGCATTCTACTGTCTCTGTAGCCTCGTTGTCGAAGAATCCGAGATTGGCTTGGCGTCGACCAACCTCGGTCTCGTGCACGGCTCGAAGGAGAGCCAGCAGCGAGGCGGGAGACGGGGAGAGTCTACCATAGAATAGGAGGAAGACGATCTCGAGCAGGCCAAATTGTTCTCTCAGGATCTGCTTGGCCCAAAGAGACGAGTATCGCGGCTGCAGGCGTATTGATTCGGGAAGGGAGAGGTTGGCGAGGGCGCAAAAGTGCTGAATGCAGGAGAGAGCAAAGGTCTCGTCGGCGAAGAGGTCGAGGATGTCATTGGCGAGATCGTAAAACTCGTGTTGTGGATCCTCTGTGATCCGGATCAAGGACGAGATGGTGCGGAGGAGATACATGCGCTCCTCGAAGTAGAAGATGTTGAAGGCGTCGAGCAACTCGGGATTGGGTGGCTCTGTCTTGCTCTGTGTGGACCTTTGGAGTGCGGAGGAGGCAGTCTTGTTTCGCGTTGTTCTTGTCTTGACCGGAGTGGGTGGAGCTGCCTGAAGATGCGATTGGACGATGTCTTGGGCGCCTGCGGCGTAACGATGTTCCGAAGCTCGAAAAGCGGAGAGCTGGACGAAAGCATCTTGGTGGGGAATGTGATACTGGTCGGCGATCTGCTTGCACAGCTGTCGCGTCTCCTGCTGTAGGTTGTGTGTGCTGCCATCGGAGAGTTTGAGGGTGGCTGGTGGCAGCGCGTCCGAGGTCGAGGTAAAGTCTGGACTCGAGTCGACTGGGAAGGGCTGAAGACACGATTTGAGTTGGTCGCTGCGGCTGGAGAGGATAGACTGAATCTGGTGGGCGTCGCGCTGATGGCGAGCGAGCTCGAGGTGCTCAAAGATGTCGTGGTAAGAGACAAAGAGGCTCGACGAAGACGACGCAGCGCCGGCTTTCGAGGTGGAAGGCTGGCTGGTGGATGGGCCAGCCTGGGCGGTAGGCTGAACCATGTTGTAGAGATCTTGAACAGCCAAACCTCAGCTGCTGCGCCGACCAGGAGAGGCTCGAAGGAACGCCGATGATTGCAAGGGCGACCAGACCCGTTTGATGATGGTGATGGAAGGGAGAGGCTGACCACGATCTTGTCGGTGTTGCTTCTGTGTTGATTCGCGAAGAACAGCCGCTCTGCCTTTTCTCTCAGAAAAAGGGCGACTGTGCGTTCGCAATCGGCTCCACTGTCTCAGATCGGTTCGTATCGTACCGATCCTTTTTCAACCAAATTTGTTAGACCTTGGCTTCGTATTTTCAAAGTCCAAGCCAAAATTGACGAAACCACGCTGCAGCGTAGAGTTGGATTCGAATCCAGTTGATGACGTCCTGGGCAGCAGGACAGTGTGTCTCCGCCAATGTCTTTCATGCTGTCCATTGAGTCAAGGTGGCAGGGTCTGTAGGAAGCGGATGTGATCGACTCAGTCGTGTTGGGTGCGAGCAGGCGAGCTCGCCATTCAGTGGAGCTGCACGCAAAGGCGAGAGGCGGGACCGCTTGCTTTTGGCGAGGAGCAGAGAGAGGGTTCAGCAAGGGCTCTCGCCAATCGCGCGCTGACCTGCCCAATTCGGCAGCCATTGATCGCCCTGAGCCGGCTCAGCTGCAATCACCGCCGCGTCTGCTGCTTTGCTGCTCAACTTAACTCAGCCTGTAGATAACGGCCTCAACCATCGAATTCAGGCACTTGATCAGTGCTCCACACTCCAACACACCAGCACAGGACCCTGACCAACGCTCACCCGCTATATGCCCCGCCCGCGAACCGTGTTCTGCTGCCCCCTTTCGGCATCGTAACGCAGCTCAGATCAGACGACCCTTGCACCATCCATCCATGCTCACACCTCATCCATCAATCGACACCATCACCACCACCACCACCACTACTGCCACTACCGCCACTATCAGTTACAGCTCCATCGCCATCGCACTCGACTTCAAGACCTGCCTAGACTAGACTCGTTCCCGTTCGCGCTCCTTCTCGATCAACACCTCCGTCCGCTTATCTTGTTTACTCCCGTCCAGCTCACCTCATAGACCCTGCTGCGTTGATCGCCAGACGGTCCCGAATCCCCTTCCAGCTTACTGGCATTCAGAATAGACGTCAGACGCTCCTTCCTTGAGCGCATTAGCCACTCTCTCGCTGTTTTTGCACTGATGGCGGGCTCTGTCAACCGTGGGCACAAACGCCTCTTTGCACTCATCGCCCTTCTGCCCTTCTGGCTCAGCTTTGCGGCTCTCTCTTCAACCGCCAATGCGCACCTCGTAGGACATGGCGCCGACCGCCCTCAGGACCCATCCCGCAAGTCGCTCGCGTGGGGTCCCGAGCACGTCCACAAGGTCTTCGCCGATGTTGAGGCAGTCAACGAGTCAGCCGCTCCCCTCAAGCGAGGTCTCGACTCCAACACTCGCAAGCATGCCTATGCCGCTGCTATCCACTACGTCAACGCCGAGGATGGTCCAAAAAACCCTTACTCGGTAGCCACCCGTCTGGCAAAGCATCTGCTCGGCTACGCTCAGGGTCTTGCCCCTTCGGGTCACGACTTCTACGTCCGTCCCGACTCGTACACCGACCCCTCGAGCGGCATCTCACACTACTTTGTCCGACAGCTCGTCAACGGTCTCGAGGTGGCCGACGGTGACCTCAACATCAATATTTCGCCCCAAGGCAAGATCCTCTCCTTCGGTTCCACCCTCTTTGCTGGTCACGCTCCTCCTCCCTTCACCAACCAGGGCGTCTCCGCTTCCGAGGCTCTCAATGAGGACCAGACCGAGCGTCACTGCGCTGAGGTGCGCTCCGAGCTTGAAGCTCTCCTCTTCCCTCCGACCTCTTCCGCTGAGTACACCGAGCATCCCGGTGCTGACTCGACCAACACCCAAGAGGCTTTCGTCCGAGGAGGCGTTCACCAATTCGTCTTTGATAGCCTTGCTGGCCACCAGAACCAGAAAGAGCATCCTGCTCGCAGCGCCAACGTAGACCCGCACACGTTGCTGCCTCTGCAGGAGGAGCTTCACGAGCTCTGCGGCGTGCCTTCGGACGACCCGCTCCTCCAGGGCGCCGACCTCTCGTCGCGCATTGCTGGCGCGCTCCCGCATCTTCGCTCCAAGCGCGATGTCCACGGCCCCGAGAGCCTCGTCGACCCTCGGCTCGCCCTCATCTATTTCCTCAAGCAGGCGACTCCTGATGAGGGTCTCGCTGCTCGTCTCTCGGACCCGCACGCCGCTGAGAGCGAAGCCGCCCAGATCTTCACCACCTTTGAACACAAGCTTCAGCCTCATGCTGGCAAGACCGAGTCGGGCGCACAGGGCTCTCACACGCAGATCGAGTACCTCCACAACGTGCCCACCGCCAAAGGTCCCGTGCCTGCTCAGCTCGCCTACGTTCAGACCGAGGGCGAGGGCCTCAACCTGGTCTGGAAGTTCCAGATCCCTCTCGAGGACAATGCCTACGAGGCGTACGCCGACGCACACCGCCCCGGTAGCATCAGTACTGTGGTCGATTGGGTGCATAGCATGCCCCGCCCGCGCGCTAAGCAAGCCGTCAAGCCTGCTAACGCTGGCAACCGCAAGCTTCCCGAGCTCGGACGCCCTGACTTTTCAGACTACGCTCCGGAGAAGCCCTCCAAGCCAACTGAAGCAGGCGCTCCTGCTCCTTTGAGCCACGAGCCTATGTACCGTGTCTTCAAGTGGGGCCTCAACGACCCCACTGAGGGCAAGCGATCCGACGAAAGGGGTGAGCGCTACGAGGAGGCTTCCCCCGCAGGCTGGCACACCGTTCCCGGCAAGACGTCTCCGTTCTCGTCGCTCGAGGCCGACAGCGCTTTCGCAGTGGTCGGCAACAATACGGTGTACTCGGACACCCGAGGCAACAACGTGTTTGCTCAGGCCGATCCTTCGGGCAACGGCGAGTGGAAGTCGAGCCTCATCAAGCGTCCCGCGGGCCGTCTGAGCGATGACAATTCGACCGACATGATGTTCAACTACCCTTACATGTGGCGCAAGTCGGAGAAGAAACACTCGGAACTGCCTCCTGCCGACTACGTCGCTGCCGCCACCGTTCAGCTCTTTGTGACCATCAACGAGTACCACGACCTTCTCTATGCCTACGGCTTTGACGAGGCCTCGGGTAACTTCCAGGAGCACAACTTCGGCCGCGGCGGTGAAGGATACGACGGTGTCATTGCTTTCGCTCAGGATGGCGCTGGCACGGACAATGCCGACTTTATGACGCCTCCCGATGGACAACGCGGCAGGATGCGAATGTACGTTTGGGATCAGTCGACTCCCTTCCGTGACGGCGACTTTGAAGCCGGCATCGTGATTCACGAGTACAGCCACGGTCTCTCGACGCGTCTGACCGGTGGTCCCGCCAACAGTGGCTGTCTCGGCTGGGGTGAGTCGGGAGGCATGGGCGAGGGCTGGGGCGATGCGCTGGCTTCGATCATCCGCCGAACTGGTGCGGCTCCGCACGACTGGCCCATGGGTTCGTGGGCGTCCAACCGCGCCAAGGGCATCCGAAACTACCCCTACTCGACCAACAAGACGATCAACCCCGAGACCTACTCGTACCTGGACCACGCCGGCTATTGGGGAGTTCACGCGATTGGCGAGGTGTGGGCGACCATCCTGAACGAGGTGGAGGAAGCGCTGGTGCTCGAGCACGGGTTCACCACCAACCTCTTCCCTCCTGCCACCAACGCCACTGCCGAGGAGCAGGCGCGCTTCTTCCTTGCCGAGGACGAAGTGGCTTCGCTGGGTGAGCACCGAGTGAGCAAGCGACGCGTTCCTCGTCACGGCAACTCCCTGCTGGTGCAGCTGATCCTGGATGGCATGAAGCTGCAGCCTTGCCGACCGAGCTTCTTTGATGCGCGTGATGCGATTGTGCAGGCGGACAAGCACCTGACGGGCGGACAGAACCGATGCCTGCTGTGGAAGGCGTTTGCCAAGCGCGGTCTGGGCACGGATGCCAGTGTGATCGGACGTACGCCTTGGGGAGGAGGAAAGCGCAGTGACGGCTACGCTGTGCCCCACGACTGCAAGTCTAGCTCAGACTAGGCATATCCATGCATCGTGGCGAGCACAGTGTCGCTCAGCTCGTCTCTTGCTCCGTTCCGTCGTCCGCTATCCACCGTCCCGCCTCCAAGTCTCATGCACGTCGCTTCGCTCCATGTCCCCGCAAATCAGCCGCTTGCCTCACTCTCCAAGGACCCGTCTCGCACCTCGAATTCGTACTTCTCCATTCGCAGTATCTTTCTCCCGGACTGTTGTTCCCAATCACAATGATCGTCCACGCCTCTTCACTTATGTCTTGCACACGCAATCGAATGTTTCCAGAGCCTTGCGCCTCGTCGCACCGGCATCGTGTGCACAATGACGCGGAAGGAGCATTTGCAAAGTGTTTTTGCGTCTTGAGCAGAATGAAAGACCGGCAGCCTCATCCCACTTTTGCCAAGATTCTTGACACGTCCGCGATAGCAGGTACAACCGCGTGGATATCGGCGTGTCAAAGCTACTGTAGTTCAGGAAGACACACGGACATTGCTGCTCCACGACCTAGCCACGTTCCTGAGTCGCCCTGATGCTGCAGGCGCGACGATTCATGTTCAGCTGATCGAATAGCGACGAGGAAGCAGCTGCCAAGAAGCTATGCTTGCCGTGGCAGCATGATTACCCAGAGCCTAAGCGAGGATGCCTGAATACAAGCCGTTGCCGCCTATCTCCCTCTAAAAATTGCGAAAAATCAGGTTCAAACCGGCGAGTTCGCTTAGCCTTGATTCAAGTCGACGGCGAATCGCGCGTCTATGCCGCCCTGTCAGCTGCTGCTGCTGCTGTTATCGGCCCGCTGTCGGCGCGCAGTGGACCTGCATCTGCTCGTGCGGAGACAAATCGCGCCACCTCTCCTGCGCTCCACTCTCACCCGCTAGAATTCACAGGAACTCAGAATTTGTGATGGCACAATGAGAGAGTTCAAAATGAACGGCCAATCTACCTTCAGAGATGACCGGCCAGATGGCTGCAGCATTCACTTATCGAATCACATCCTGAAGCGCAGTCAACGAATCGTTCTCGGTCACCATCACCATCATCATCCTACTCACTTTCTATCGCCGTCTCACTCGTGTTCGCTGCTCGACCTTTTCTGCTCATCTTACTTGCCATCATCGCGACCTCGATCGACGAGAGGACATCGCTCCCTTTCGACGCCACGTCGCCGTCTTTGGACACCACTCTTTATAGCCTTCCAGCTGTCCGAGAGCTGCCCATACGTTACCGCCTTCCGCCAACACAACCTTCCTTTCGCATCGTCGAGGTGTCGCCACTCGCTGCCGCCGTCGTCGTCACCGTTCAAGATGAATCCATACCACGCTGCAGCATCGGCGCAAGACGATGATTCGTCCTCTTTTTCGCAATTGGCATCCAACTCCTCTTCCGATCAGGATCAGAGCCAGGGCCCTGGCATCGGCCCACTCAACCCAGATGTCGTCGCAAATCCTTGGAACACCTCTTTGCTGTGGTCTTCCGGCATTTTGGACAACCGAGATCCGCGCTCCACCTTCTCGCCCTCCGCCAATTGGCGGAACATGTCCATGCCAAGCAATGTCGACACCGCTCCCATCAGCTACTACTTCTCCTCGTCCACAGCAGGGGACTCGGTCGATTTTTGCTTCTCTGGCCACGGCCTGTCCGTTCTTGACTATCGTGGTCCCACACGCGGCAGGTACAATCTCACCGTCGACAATACTACCTCGGTCATCATCGATGCCTACTCGAGCACTGATGAGCTTGCCAAGGCGTCCGGTGCCGAACTGCCCCCCGCCATCTGGACTTCCGAGACCTTCGACGAAGGCAATCATTACGTCGTCATGACCAACCTCAATAACGTCTCCGACATGAACTTTTGGGGTGTCGTCATCAATCCCAACAACTACAGGCCAGGCAAATCCTTCGTCTCCTCCGGCACCAACACCAAATTGATCATCATCGCTTCGTCGGTCACCGCTGTCGTCATGTTTGGCATCTTCATTCTCATCGGGTCGCTCATCTACTACTACAAGCTCGTTCGACCTCGAAGACGCCTTCAGGCACAGATTGACACCGAGCGCAAGGACGCAGCATTGCTCACTCGCCCCTCGAGCTCCAACGTAGTCACTGATAGCTATGGCAGGTCGTTGTCCAGCTCCTCATCGACGCGACTGCGGCTCGACACTAATTTTCTCGCAAGTCAAGGTGACCTTGGCAGAGCACCCAGCAGAATCACTGCCACCACGAACGAATCACAATTCTGGGTCCGATCCGAGACCGACTTGGCCCTCGCTCTCGACAACAGGCGCTCAACCAGGACGCCGGCGGTCTTCCAGGAAATTCGGCTCGGGTCGGTTCGAGACTCTGCTGCATCCTCTCCTGTCGATCTCAGCCCTACAAGCGACTTTGACGCCTCTTCGACAATGTACAACACTGAGCTCGGCCAGCCTCTGTCCCCACTTTCACCCACGAACCCGGCTTACGCCCCTGCACAAACATTGAGCAATCAAGCATCCTTCTGGGGTGCTGCTCCTGCGCTGCAACGCCAGGCCTCGACACATCAGCTGCCGTCACATCGCCACTCGAACTCGCTCAATTCAGGCTCCATTGGCGATCACTCCGCCGCACAGGCCGCAAGAACTGCCGACACGTCGCTGCAACATGTTCGAGCCGCCTCAACGCCCGACGCGAACCCGTTCAAAGATCCTCGCTCGACCATGGCGCTGAGCAATCTCGCAAGGACCGGCTCGCGTCGTCCGCTTCCCACCCCTCCCACAGCAGCAGCTTCGCCTGTTGGCCCGATGCCACCTCAATCTCCCGCAGTTGCAGGTCCGCCATTCCCTGAAGCCGGCCAGAGGCACTCAACGTCTATACCCGAGCACCCGTCGGCCTCTCTTGGTCGCAGTGCGTCCCAACACTATCGCTTTGAGCAAGACGCGTGCTCCTTCCACCTCTCCGACGACGGCATGGTCGATGATCATACCGGCGAGACGCTGCTTCCTCCACCCTACGCGCCCAGAGACATGGGCAGACATTTCAGATAATTAGTCCGCACCTAGCACATCGTCCCTTTGTATACCACCCTGTGCTCACGCAACTGTATTTTCCTCGGCCTCCTTCCACGGGAGTAGACGGCCGGGGCCCCAAGATTGCATCAGTATGTGACCCGTATGTGTGTGTGAAGCATGTTATCTCATGAGTCCGCTCTTATGAGTGCCAACCTGTCCTCTCAGCCAAGCGCCGGTGTCGGCAGGAGAGACACCATCTCTGTCCCAAACCGGTAAAGAAGGCTTTGGTCTCCGCAGCTCCAGCCGTGCACTACAGCTGGCTTGCCTTGCGTTGCCGTCGTCGTACAACTGCGCGACCCTTTCCTCGCGTCTGACTTGAAGCGATCTCGACTCGTCTTCACGGTCGAAGCTTTCATGTGAGCATGTGTGGTGTGAGCGGGTTCGGCGTCGTTCACTTTGTCTATCATCCGGAATTGCCAACTCCGGGCTCAGCTAACAACCCCGCAAGCTTCTAGACGTACCAACAGGTCAAAGTGAATGAGCAGATTTTTGGCATTCAGACACAAATTATTATGCCAGGGCAACCTTTTAATCTATGCTTTGCAGAGTTGCAGAGCACCAGAAGTTGGCAGCTGTCCTAATTGTTTGGCCCTAAAATCCATTTTCTCTTCTCTCTCAAATCACAAATGTTTTTTTGATGGGCGGTCGCTGGCAGCTTTTAGAGCAGCTTGCATTTGTCACCAGATGTCAGTCGCAAGACGTCGAAAATTGCGACTATTTTTGAATGCTTTGATCTGTCTCGCAGGACAAATGCTGGATTTACCACCAAAATTCACGCTTGGCCAGCAATCTTCACGAAAAAGCTGCTTTGTCGATTGTATCTGACGACGAGATTGCGAGTCGAAAATTTCAGGTATTAGCAGCTGCGGGGTATAACGATCATTTCACCAGGATTTTTGCAACATTTTGTATGCTCGGCTCGGGTTTTCTTGCGAAATCATGGATAATTTTCACCAGATACGCGTTGCGCCGGGCAAAAAGGGCTATGCTGAGCGTGACGATGGGGCCTCTGACGCGATACGCGGTTTCTATGAAGATGGCCGCTTTGGCTCTGTGGGGATTGGACCGGCAGACAAGTTGTCCTGTCCGGTGTCAGTGGCGCCGACAGGGTCATGCTCAGCATCGAAGTTGATAGCAATATGACAGAAGACGACGAGACAGGTGTGCTGCGTACGTTGCAGCAAGAGGTGAAGCAAGTTTGAGAAGAGTGTAGGAGGCAGCTCCCGGCATTAGTCAGACTTATGTATGAGGGGTCTCGCGCTTCCAGGGTCCTGGGCAAAAGTGGAGTTCCCCTGCAGCGTCTCTGGGAGCTTCCCTCCTTCCCATCCTCCACCATCATCCCTACTACCCCCCGACAGCATCCAGGCTGCCTTCATACGATGGCGAAGAAGAAGAGAAAGGCGCCTCAGTTCGAGGCATGGTGCTGGTACTGCGAGTGAGTTGGGCATCCCAACATGCGATCGCTCGCACGGTTCTTCGCTGACCACCGTTGATTCCCTTTCCAACCTGCGCTCTGTCTTGCATCGCAGTCGAGACTTCGAGGACGAGAAAGGTAAGCAGCACGGTCCGCTCGTCTGTCCATGGTTACACATGCTGATCACTCGCTCTGTTGCGCTCCTCCTTCAGTTCTCCTGCAGCACCAAAAGTCGAAGCACTACCGATGTCCGCAATGTCCCCGACGACTCAACACGGCAGGCGGTCTGTCCGTACATCTCACACAGGTGCATAAAGCAGAACCGGACAGGTAAGTCAAGACCGTGACAGCTGTTCTTTAGCCGCATCGCCGCTGACGCCCGCTTCTTCTCACTGCGCACAGGATCGAGAACACATTGCCCGGGCGAGATTCGTTCGAGACGGAAATCTACGGGATGGCAGGCATCCCCGAGAAGGACTTGGAGGAATGGAAGGCGCGACGTGCGCTACAGAAAGCGGATGGCAACGTGCCGACAGAGAACAAGCGGCCACGAATCGAGAAGCTGGTGCTGTCGAAAGAGCAATTGCGGATCCAGCTGGAAGCACACAAGGCACTGATGAGCGGCAAGGCGCCGATACCGGGCATGGTGCCAGGCTTTGGTGCGGCGGGGCCATACTCTGTGCCTCCACCAGCGCTGATGCCGGGCTATGGAGCACCACCACCCAACTTTGCCAGACCACCGCCCGGCTTTGGTGCACCACCATCCGGGCTCCCGACAGCCGACACGGCGAGGATTGGGCCGCCCTCCACCCAGCAGCAGGCAGCGCCACAGTCGAGGGACGACGGGCGTGAGGCGCATAAAACAAAAGCCGCGGATCTCTTCTGAGCGATCCCTAAAACCCGACGGCAGCATCATGGACTGATTTCAATACCACATGATTCAGCATCGACTTTCGGACACCTTATCGTGCAGTGTGACCGCATGGACCGTCGAACGGGGTTGGCGCCGACACTCGCCGACACTCGCCGACACTCCGTCGCAGCCAAAGAACTCAATGCTCAGCACAAGGACGTCACAGCAGAGCAAACGAAAGAGACACAGACGAGACGGCAGTGATGGTGAAATTTCTCTTTTGGCATTGCTCGCAACGATCCTCAATCTCTGAGCAGCCTCGCCTTGTCGCGGAAGGCCGAGGCTGCAGAGGATGAGACTGAATCTGATCTGGTGCTCCAGCTGGACGAGATTGCTTTGAAGCTTTTGGTAGGGCCACGAGCATACGACAAGGTGCTCAAAATGACAAGTGATACACCGACCGCGAAGGCAGCCGTGAAGGGAAAGTTGAAGAAGGCGACGCTAAAGATGAAGCTGAGCACGATACTGAAGCTGACAGCGAAGCCTTTCAAGATGTTGTCGGCGTGCTTGATGACCATGGCGACGGCGAGACCTCCAGTAACTTGGAGCGCAACCGTGGCCCACGCGCTTGCGCCGAAATGCAAGAAGGGCGAGGAGGGGCCGTGACGGGCCATCTCGAGGAGGACAGGGAGCGCAGCGGGAAGCAAGGACCAGCCGGAAAGCTGCACGTTCCTCGCCCAGAGGTTTGCGCTCGAAGTCTTGAGGACCATTTCGAAATAGACGCCAGCGAGACCAGAGGTGAAGCAAGCGGCGATGACTGCGAGGAAACCCTGAATAGGCTGCATAGGGGTATCTGCTTTTGCGCTTTCCTCCATGCTCATAGAAATGCGAGAGCCATCAAAGGAGGGCGAGGAGGGAGGGAGTTGGTCGTAGTTTTTGGTATCCGAGCCCGAAAGGAAGGAGCCGATGCGGTCGAGTCGCTCTGGTGGCGGTGCGCGGTGAGCGTCGAAGGGAGGAGGTGGTGGTGGAGGGGGCAAATCGGCGACGCGGCCTGCGGAGACGTGCCCGTATCCATGAGTCTGCACCTCGAATGGGACGAGGCCGGAGACCGACTTGCTCTGGATCTGGACGATGGCGACACCTACGGCCAACATGCCAAGGGAGAGCCACTGCCATGCGCCGATCTTCTTGCGCAGGAGGACGATGCTGAACAAGGCTGTGGTCAAGATCTTCATCTGGTAGGCGCAAATGAAGACGGGCGGCTCGAGGTTGGAGACGGCAATGTACTGTAGATTGTTCTGCAGGACGTAAAGGAAAGCAGGGATGGAGAGCTTCCAGTAGTCCTCGGCCGCGACCTCGTCGAGGACGACTTTGAGCTTAGAGCGCGTTTTTGCGGACGCTCCGCCATCGGCTGTATGCGGAGAGGCTGAGAGCGAGCTGGGCCGCAATGCATCGTATTCGGTATTCGACTGTCTACGTTTTGGAGCTGCTGTGTGATTTGATGATGTTGGAAGGGGCAGCGAGTCGCTGGATGCAGGTATTGAGACGGCGGCGATGGCAAAGGATATGAGGCATTTGAGAAGCTCTGTGAGCAATACCGCCGTGGGAAAGAAGTAGGCTTGTCCGACGGGTGCTGACACACGACTTTGATGCATCACAACACCGAGCGCGGTGTTTTGAAGCGTGAGAACGGCGAGCGAGACATGCTTGAGAGGCAGACCGAAGACGGTGCTGACCATGATGGCGCGATGCAACAGCTGCACGGCAGCGTGCAGATGGCAAGCTGGAGCGGCGATGTGTTGCGGTGCGAGAGTTATGACATGAGGCTGAAGAAGGATGTGGCCGTGCGAAGCTGAAGGGAGTGCGCCAACGCTACTCAGCGAGTCGGTCTCAATCCGAGATGAAGTGGGCGTCCGTTGTGCCGGAACCGCCGCCGAGTTGATCACTTGCAGTCGGATGGTCCAGGAGCGTGCGAAATTGTCGTCGAGTGCTGTCTGCTGTTGCGAAAGCCCCGCCCAAGCTGAGTCCTTCAACAGCAGTCTAGGGAGCGGTTGAAGTCAGCAAGCAAAGGCAATCGAGAGAGCTTGGTGATGAAAGTAACACCAAACCCAGCTTACTTCTGAGAAAGTGTGAGCGTGTGCGTGTGCGTGTGTGCGCAGAGTAGAATTTGGCGCGTCGATCCTTGCACCGCATCCCCAGGCCGAACACGTCTCGCCTTCTTGACAGCAGCCACTTCTACCGAAGACGAGGGTCCAACAAAAGACAGACAGCCTGAACCCTCGCAGCATCTTTTTGGCTCGTGCCTTTTGCCGATTTGGCCTGCAAACCTCCACTTTGCTCGCTGTGCTCCTTGGGACCGACACGTTCAGCTGCAGTCTGCAGTCGTGAGCGGAATCGCGCAGGTTGGCGTCATTTCATCCCCGCACACCAAAATAGCCTTGACAATATCGTCGTTGACGGTCGCTGGAGGTAGACCTGTTCCCGACCATCACCATCTCCAGCTCCGTCCTGGACCGTGGCCACTAAGCAAGTCGGGTCCTCCGTATCGACATCGGGCAGGCCGACATACCACACCATGGCTCCCAAATCTGTTGCCTCTCAGGCTCCTGCTGCCGCTGACCATGGTCCGGACAGCGAGCGACAACCTTTGCTGGCGTCCTCCTCAGCAGCAGCGGCTGCTGACTACGACGCCATCCCTCGCGAAGCAGCAGCGCCACCAGCACAGCGCACAAGGCGGTCACCCTATCTCACGCTCTTCCTCCGCTTCTATTTCGCGGTGGGCGCGCTCCTCTTGCTGCCCGTCACCATCTTGCTCCTTCTGCTCGTCATCAACTTCTTCGAGCCGATTCCCTTGCTTTTACCCCCTCACCGATCGCCTGCCGTCTTGCCTTTCTGGTTCTGCATCATCTCCATGTCCATGCTTGGCCCTGGATTGATCTTCTTCGAGCTCGCCTCCCATGCCACCAACTTCTTCCACCTCTTCGTCCTTTGCTGCACCATCGGCGACGTCGTGCTTCTTCTCGCCGTTCCAGAGTTTCGCATGACTCATTCCTATCTCGGATTTGCTTCCGCCGGACTCTGCCTGCTATCCACGCTGTGGGCCTTCTTCTCGTCCCATCACCTCCAAAAGCAGAAAATCCCCTTCACCCTCAACCCAGACGTCGGCGCTCCCATCGTAACGGAGATTCCATTGGCACGAGCTCAGGCAAAGTGGAGGAGACGATTCAAAATCTTCCTCGCCCTCTTTGGGTGCCTTGCTATCGCCTCGATCTCGGCGCTGGTCACCTTTGACTTGGTCCTCGACGCAGCTGACTCGGGCTTCAAGCCTCTCGGCAACCTTACCCTGGTGCATCCCACCTCGCTCACCAAGCAGCCCGTATACCCTCAGGACCCTGCCGACGTCAACCCATATCCAGTCTCTTTCCGACTTCACCTTGCTTGCGAGTCAGCACCGGCTCAGCCCGAGTCCCTCAAATCTCGCAACACATCCGACAATGTTCCCACTGCCCTTGTCATGTCCGAGCGAGGCGTGTCGGGTGTCATTGCTGCCCAGTTCCTCCGTGAGATGGTAGCCAGGTCTGTGCCTGGGCCGGACCAAGGCGATGACGGGCACCTCGCCCTCACGCGCGTCTGTTTCTGGGATCGCATCGGCTACGGACACTCCGACTTTGTCTACCAGCCGACCTCGGTACGTCTGCAAACAGAAGCACTCTACCACGCTCTTCAAAAGCACGACCAGGTGGATCTCAACACTAGCCTCACTGAGAGCAAGAGCAAGAAGGACAAGAAGGGTGACGGCGAGAAACTCGGCAAGTTCATGCTCGTATCCACAGGGTACGGACACCTTTTTGCTCAGGACTTTGCCGTCCAGCATCCAGAGCTCGTGCACTCGTTCCTCACCATCGACGCTGAGACCCCGGCGTCTTGGTACAGTGACAAGGTGACGCCAGGTACAGGTGCGCGCGCAGGCTACCTTGCTCGCCGACATGGCCCCGTTGGATCGCTCTTCTACGACCTTCTCCCTGCCATCCTCGAGCCCACGGGCGTGACACGCATCATCGGCCTGCTCAAGGGCAAGTCCGTTGTCGACCGCATTCTCGCCCCGGGCCAACGAGCACGAGCAGCCCGTGAGCACGATCTGGGGGGCGGAGGCTGGCGCATCTACGGCGCTGGCGGCGGCAACCCGCGCCTGCTCATGTCGTCCTGGCTCGAACGACTCGATGCCAATCTCGGCACTGCCAGCCCCAACTACGCCCGCCTGCGCAACTCGACTTCCGACTACCGTTCCCTGTTGTCCAAGCGACCCGTCGCCGTGCTCTCGTCCTTCTGGAGGGTGCACGCTGACCTCAATGGCTGGGGTCAGGAGCAGCGCGAAACCCTCGTGGCGCCCGCCAAGAACGCTTCGACGCTCATCGGATGGTGGCGCATCGGCGACCGAAACAAGAGGACCGGTGGCGGCGATGCCGGCGGTCCCGCCGGCATCTGCTCGACCAAGATGGGCGTCATCTTCTGCGAAGAGGCCGTGAGGAAGCTCATCGCCGCGGGTCAGATGTGGAATTCGACCGCTGCGTCGCCCTGAGGTCTTTGCGTGCTCACGTTGTTTCCCAAGACAAGGAAGAATGAAACCTTTGTACATTTGCAGCGCCTCTTCAGGCTCGGAATGTGTGCCGTGTCAGGCATCAGACCACAGTGGAGAGCGATTGGGCTCGTGCTGAGTGAGAAAACAACGCCGCAAGCCCACGGCTGGGAGGAGCATGATATTGACAAAGGGAGTGAAAGACAGGGAATGAGAGATAAACTACAGAGGCCAAGACTGGAAAGAGGGCCGTGGCTCAAACGTGGGCGTGTGCATGAGCAGACTCCAGCGCGTTGCTCGTCACCTTGAGAGGAATTTCGGGTATCCAAAAGGTGACAGCTTCTAGACGTTGACGACTGGTTCAATGCGCTGGCGGGGACTGCAAGGGAAAGCAGTGTGAAGGCCTACAGTGACGATCTGAAGAGCGCTTCTTTTGGTTGAGCGGTTGCTGACAGAGGCAGTCTGCATCTGGAAGAAGCAACGCGACTTTAAGCCTCAAGCTTGGTCTCTTCCACCTTGTCGGCCACCTCGTTGACTTCAGCTTCAGTGGTCTTGTCATCTTCCTCGTTGGCTGCAGCTGGGCTCTGCTCACTGCCGAGCGCACCCGAAGGCTTGCGTCCTCCGCCCCAGGCGCCTGTAGGTGGCGCAGCACGGGGTGCCTTGGCAGCCGCGGGCGACGCGGTCTCTGCAGCCGGCGAGGCAGCCTCGGTCGTCTCGGTTGGCGCACCCTCAGGAGGGGCGGGAGAAGCCGCCCCAGTCTTGTCCTTCTTCTCCTTGTCCGCCTTTGCCTTTGCCTCCTTCTTGGCCTTGATCTCCTCTTGCCTCTCCTTCTCCCTTTGCGAAAGCTTCTCCTCAATCTCTCGCTCGCGCTCCGATGCGTCGATAGGCTTGGCGGTACCGAAAGGGCTGGGCTTGGAGCTGTTGGTGGAAGCGGTGGCCGCGGCGGCACTCTCGGCGGAGCGAGGCTTCAAGTCGAGCTTCTTGCGTTCAGCGGGAGCTCCAGCCTGGGGGGCAGGGCTGGACGAGCCCGAAGTGGGCTTCCTAGCGCTTCGCCAGGTGTCGGTCGAGTCAGAAGCCGCGGGGGCGCCAGCGGTCTGGCCACTGGCACGTCGGTCAGCACCACCAAAGCCGAAGCCCTTCTTTGCGTTGCCGGGGCTCTCGGGAGGGGTCTGGTCCGGGGTGAACTTGGAGCCAAAGCCCATGCGCTCTTGCGATGCAAAGCGTTCATCCACTTCGTTGGCGTCGTTGCGGTTACGGAACGAGGCTTGTCGCTCCGAGTCGCCGCCCATACCGGAAGGGCGACGCGAGGTAGCGGGGGATCGGCCCTCGACAGGCTTGCCAGTCCTCCACTGGCTGGCTAGGTCGCCCTGGCTAGGTTCAACAGGCGTGAGCTCGCGTGGAGGACGGCTGGAGGGAGCAGGCGCGGACTGGAACTTGCTGCCAAAGCCACTTCGAACACCGCCGCTGATGTCCATGTTGTCGAAGCCAGAGCTGTCGTTGCGAGGCACGCCGGAGCGCTCAGGACGAGGAGCGAAGCCGCCGCGAGGCTCTACAGGTGGAAGAGGGCCAGCACGACGCCACTGGGAGGCATCATCCGCCTGGCTGGAAAAAGCAGCTCGGTCACCGCCGAAGGCACTCTTGGGAGGCTCGGCGACGCTGACTCGGACGGTTCGGTTGGCGAGCTGGGTGCCGCTTCGGTCGAGAGCGGCGCCGAGGTCGTCGCGAGTCTGGAACTCGACATAGCCGAAGCCCTTGGGCTTGCCATCGTGGTCGGAGACGATGCGGACACTGACGAGCTGGGAGGGCGCAAAGAAAGCCTCGACGTCGGTGTCCATGACGTCGAAGGAGAGGTTGCCGATGAAAGCGGTAAAGGGAGGCTTGTCGGGGAGAGGGAGCTCCTCACGAGGAGGGAAGCTTCGTTCGGGGCGCTCGAAACCGCGGTCGCGGTCGACACGGTCGGGGACGGAGGAGAGGAAGTCGCCTCCCCTGCGGTAGCTCGAGTCGCGAGGAGCCGAGGAGATGGGAAGGTCGTCCATCTCATCAGCCCACGAAGTCTTGCCGGTGGACTCGTCGGCCAAGAAGTCGTTGAGCGCCATGGTCTGGCCCCTTCCCTTCTTAGGCGCTGTTCGCATTGGAATACGGCACATATGGAGTTGTCAGAAAGAGTCGCTCTGTGAAAGGCAGGTGTGCCAAGGATGGTGGGTACTTACGCATGGTGGGCGAGTTGAGCTGTCGACGGAAGTCGACGAGGTGTGAGAGTTGGTTGGAAGGATCCGAGCTGTGCGAGCTGGACCGTTGTACGAGTACGACCTTGCGTTTGAGGAAGCAAGGCTTGTAAAGGTTGGATGTGGTGGTGATTGAGGCTGTGACACTTTGCAAAGCAAAGAGAAATGAAATCTGGACCACTCGGGTCACGGCTGTGACGATTTGCGTTCTTCGCAGAGAGAAGGCGCACCCCAACTGCAGTCACGGTCAGTCCGTCAGTCCCTTTGAGCGCAGAGACAGCGACAAGCTTGCTCTGGCGTGTGGCTCAAGGGGAAAAAAAGATCTCAGCAGGAAGATTCCTTTGGCCGATTTCTTCTTACAGCCTCAGAGCAAGCACCAAAGCAGACGAGAGAATTGAACCCAACCCTCAATTCACTCGACGTAACACGGTTGAATTTTCCGCCAACGAGTTGGACCCTGAGAGCGGCGTAACAGACTCAGACCGCCGCTTCCACGTAGCAGCCCAGCCATGGCGAGAAGCAACTCAATCTGATGGTGCCCCTTCCCATCACCACCGTCCATTTGCGACGAAGACCACGACCTACAACTGCAACAATGGCAAAGTCAGAAGCTGACAAGAAGGTCAGCAATGACCGGATTGTCGTCGACAACTCGAATCTCTCCGAGCTCAAAGCCACCTGCGACGAAGCTGTCGAGCGCATCTTGTCGCGCCGCACCGAAGCAGACGCATCAAAGACCAAGTCACAAGCTTTTGTCCCGTTCAAGGTCAGCCATCTTCATACCGACTTGCGGCTCATACTCGGCTTCACTGCTTCTGCTATCATGATCGGCACCTCCCTCTGGGCATACTTTGTTGAAAAGGAATGGAAGCGCAATAAGCAGGCGTGTGGCATCGCTGTGGTGGTCTACATCATCCTGTCCGGCATCCAGTTGGCCGACTCCTACCTGCAAGGTAACAACATCTTCATCGGCACTCGTAAAACAGTTTCGAATCGAATCGAATCCGAGCACCTCACCATCGCATCGCCTTCTCTCCCAAAAGCCGTCAAGAAGGGCTCCAAGACCTCGGACGGCAAACCGATCCTCACACCTCCAGCCTACACGCTCAAGTTCGACTACACGCGCAAGAGCAACAAGGGAAAGTCTCTTCTGGCCCGCAAGAGTGGGTCGTTACCGCTGGGGCATTTAGGTGAGTGCAGACGCAGGTGCGAAGGTGAGAACATTGCAGTCGATACTGACACTCTTGATTTACGGCACCACCAGGCGAATGGTTCACCGAAGAAGGAGAGTTTGTCGAGCATGTTTTTGAGCAAAGGCTCATCTCGGGCCTCGAGAAGGCATTCGGTCAATAAGCCAGCAAGGAGCCCGTCCTCGTGCGGCTGGCGAGCTTGCTATCTTCTTTAGCATCTGTCACTTCGATACCCTGCACACGCGCTTCACATCTGCTCCGCAATCCAAGCTTGAGCATCATAACAATAGCGCAGTCGGACCTCTGTGCCGTGCGTCTATGAGGTCGTTACAGACGGATGTTTCGTTGTTGATCGGGTCAGTCTTCACCATTGAGCAGTGTGAGTGTTGCTTTGTCCGAATTGTAAGTTGGCTCGATCGCCAACACGTCTTTGTTTGCCATTTTCTTGGCCAAGAAGAAAAAGCAGAGACCAACACGGACTCGAAAACGAGCCGAAGTCTTAATCTCAAAATTCGGCCGTTGTGTGCCTCTCGTTGAAAGCTGCACGTCCTTCCTCTCCTCACCACATCCTTGACCTTGACTCATCGGCGCAACTCGAAGGGAGCATCCTCGGACATTCCGATCCAAGTCGTCACCATGGCGACACCTCCTCACATCCCCAAGGACCAGGGTCTGCGTTTCCAGAGGCCAGGCAATGCCGCCTACGCAAAGGCTGCTGCTGCTAAGGACGCCGCTGCTGCCAACGCTTTGCTCTCTCGTCGGAACGCTCTCTTCCAGGACTATGCTAGGGCACATCAGAAGCCTGCCTGGTCGCCTTCAATATCTGCCGCCTTCCGCTTCCTCATCATCATTCGCGTCTCTTCCGCCATGTACTCGGTCATCAAGGACTGCGACGAGACTTTCGGCTACTGGGAGCCTCTCCATCTGCTCGTCTTTCCCCCGGGCAAGCACCATGCATCCGTACCCTTCCAGACCTGGGAATACTCGCCACAATTTGCTATCCGCTCCTGGGCCTTTATCGCTCAGTATCTGCCTTTGACAAAACCTCTCGCCTACTTCGGTGTCGGCAAGCGTCAGATCTTCTTCGCCGTCCGACTGCTCCTCGCTTTCATCTCGTCTTTCGTCGACGCCAGATTCTACAAGGCTGTAGCCGACGTCTTTTCCGCCAGAGTCGGGCGTTACTGCCTCATGGCTCTGGCCACAAGCGCCGGCGTCTACGAGGCATCCATCGCTTTCCTGCCCTCCACCTTCGTCATGCATGCTACCACGCTCGCCTTCTCGGCCTGCCTCTATCCCGCACGCCTGCCCTCCTCCGACCCCTCGGTGCTCTCCAATCCATCGCAACGCCCTTTCAGGTCTGAGCGACTTCTTCTTGCCACTCTGTCGTTCGCTGCCGGTGCCATCATCGGTTGGCCATTCGCTATCATCCTTGCGCTTCCCTATGTCCTCGAGCAGCTCTTCCTCCGAGCAGACGACATTGTCGCCAACGGCAAGGCTTCGAACTGGACAGTCTCGAGATGGTCTACCGCCATCGGCGCAGCTGTACTCGCCGCAGGCCTTGCTATTCCGGCCTTCCTCATCGACAGCCTTGCGTACGGCAAGCTCTCCTTCGCCCCGCTCAACACGGTTCTCTACAATCTCTTTTCCGGAAGGAGAGGCGCCGGTCCCGAGCTCTACGGCACAGAGCCATTCACCTACTACTTTTCCAACCTGCTCCTCAACTTCAATGTCTTTTTCCCGCTCGCACTGCTGTCTCTTCCGCTGCTGCTGATTAGCGCCAGGTTTGATCCGAGACGCTTCCAACGCCCAGTGCTCGAGAGCAAGAAGGGTCATGCCGCCGTCGAACAGCCATCGAGCCTGTTCTCGCTTGCCCTCCTCCGCATCGCGCCCTTCTACTTGTGGTTCCTCGTGCTCAGCATTCAGGCGCACAAGGAGGAGCGCTTCATGTACCCGGCTTACACGCTCCTCTGCCTCAACGCTGGCGTCTCGCTCTACCTCCTCCGCACGCTCGCCGAAGTGGCCTTCGTCAAGGTCACAAAGTCACCGTATCGTGCCTCGAAGTCGAGCCTGTTCACCACCATGACCTCCTCGATCCTCGCAGCTGGCCTGTTGCTTGGCGTCCTGCGATGCGTCGGCCAGCTCAACAACTATCACTCGCCGTTCGACGTCCTCTTCCACTTTGAAGGGTACGAGCTGCCGCGGGTCGTCGCCGAACTCTTCCCAGAGACGCTCAACGCCGCCGTCCAGCAGCGCATCGCTCGAGGTCTCTCGCCCGTCGCAACAAAGGAGGAAAAGGACTACAACGATCGAGGCTACGGCGAAGAAAACAAGGGAGTCAGTGTCGATCTCACCATCGATCTCTCGCCGCTCGCGACGCTCGACACACCGGTGCGTCTGTGCTACGGCAAAGAATGGCATCGATTCCCAACGCACTTCCTCGTGCCAGCGGGTGTCGAGGTCGAGTGGATCAAGAGCGAGTTCGATGGCATTTTGCCTAAGCATTTTGATGTAATTGGATCGTCCGCTGTGCAGCCTGCTGATGGGGTTGTCAAGGCTCTCGATGCTGCGCTTGGGTGGACCTGGCCTTGGGCGACGGTGACGCGTCGCATTCAATCGGGATTCAACGACCTCAACCGCGAAGAGGCCGATCGCTACGTCGAGGCAAACACGTGCGACTATCTGGTCGACCTCGACCTGCCCCATCGCAGCCTGGCATCCAAGGAGTCGCAGTACGAACCGAGGTACGCGACCATGAGCGAGCAGTGGGACCGCGTCTTCTGCGGCGCGTTCCTCGATGCCGAGTTCAGCCGGCCCGTGGTGGACCCACGAGACTCGCTCCCGAGCAAGGTGGTGAGGAAGGTCGCTGCGGCGTTGCATCGGGCGTTCTGGCTGCCCAAAGCGTGGCCTGGCAATGCCAATGTCTACGGCGACTACTGTCTCCTGCGCAGTCGCGAGAGCCGTTTCAAGCCTGCGAGCAGCTCATGAGGCGTCAAACAATCACAATCAAAGATCAAGCATTCACAATCAAAGTCAAACAGCAGCTGCTGGGCAAGGACATGTCCGATCGAATGTGCGTGTGAATCCATCAGAGCATCTTCCTCAGCCGTTCGTCGGGATCGTGTTCGAACGCCAACCGCACCTCGTCCTCCTGGCAGGCGAGCATCAATCTCGCGAATCCAGCCGCGCGACCCGTCCCCGCTCCCTGTCCCACACAGATGATGAGTCCCAACGACGACAGTGTAGCCAAGGGGCCATTGAGGCACGTCTCCTCCTGCGCCGGCTGCGGGTTGAAGCTCGTTGTGGTCGTAATGCCGTACATCCTACAAATGGCGTGGTGGTGAGCCGAGATGTCTTGCACCTCCGCTTCGGCTAGTCCGCTGCGACGGAGACACGAGAGAAGGCTGAGCAGCAGCACTTTGGCGTGCAACGGCAAGGAGAGGATGTGCGACACCTTGCCCGATTTCACCATCGAGTCGAGCACGGATTTCATGTCGAGGATCGTCACCGGTTTGGGGGTGGACAGGGCGGCAGTGCGCGCTTTGAGCTCCACGAGTTCGATCGAACGGCGACAGACATCGAGCATGCGTCGTGCGTCGCCGGAGACGTTGGATACGCGCTTGGAGACGTACGTGATCGCGTCGAGGCTGAGGACTTTGCTGCACCCACTTGCGTCGTCTGTCGCCGCGGCAGGATCGGTGGTGTCAGGGGTGATGCCAAGCCGAGACTTGACGATTTCCACCAGCTGCTTGTCGGTGTACGGCATGAAGGTGATGCGCGTCATTCCGAGACGACTTGCCACTTTAGCATTGAGCGTTCGTTCTGGCAAATCCATCGTGTTGGCCACCGCGATGACCACGAGTCGCGACCCGCGCGTGTTGGGCCAGTTGAACATGTTGTACATGACATCCTGTCTCGCCGTCACGAGCTGATCCAGTTCGTCCATCAGCACCACCGTTGCTGCTCTCCCTGGTCCCGCGCCCACACCCGCACCGCCCGCCGCACCGCTCATCTTGGCCCCCACCCTCGCAAAGTGCGAGCTTAGCAACCCCAACGCCGTCTTAGGCGACGTCCTTTGTCCACCCGAAATCGCACTCCACAACAAAGTATACGCCTGAGAAGCATCCGCCAACTTCATACCATTGATCTCGACAAATGAGAACGGGTTCATCTCGTTGCGCTCCGCCCTCGCCGTCAGCGCGCGAATCACCTCGCGCACCGTCGCAGTCTTTCCCGTGCCAGGCACGCCAGAGACGTAGACGCACCCACCGATGCCTTCCTCGACAGCGTCTTCGACGCAGGCCATGATCTCCTCGTACTGGTCCTCGCGGCACGGGAGGTGGTCGGGTGTGGCGCCTACGTGCAGCAGACGCTTGGCGCGGTCGTGTGCGCTCAGCTTCTCTTCGTCGGGCAGAAGCGAGAGTTTCGGTGGTCGTGCGGGTAGAGCGGGATGCGGAAGATTGCGCATCTTGAGCCCCATGAGTCGCGCTTTGGATCGAGGCGTCGCCTGCGCCTTGGCAGGACTCGCTAGCCCGAACGCCATTTTCTGCGGCGTCGACAGCACGCGTCGTTTGGTTGGCGTCATTGGTGGTGCGTCCTTGGCGAACTTGGCCCGCTTGCGAGGCGTTAGGTTGAACGTCTTACCGAAGTCGTCGTCGTCGTCATCGTTCTCGGGGTCGCTGGGAGGGGCGCTGAACTGCGAGCCTTCGTTGTCGGACGACTCGGGCGTGTCAAGGTGCCTCGCTTTGACGAGAAGGTTGTCTTCGACCTCGAACTCGTCTCCGCTCTGGAAGGAGTCGTCGGAGGCGAGATCAGAGTCGGACGAGAAGCCGCCATTGGCCTTCTTGCGGTTGTACTTGCGTTTGGGCGCTTCAACGCCGGCCGAGAGCGAGTCTTCCTTGCGTGGCCGTCCCGGTCGTCGTTTCGGTGCAGAGTCGTTGATGTCGGCGACCGAGGAGGGGGTGTCTGCGCGGCGAGAGCGTGTCATATTGGAGGTGGACGCGACAGAGGACGGTGTCGAAGCTCGCACGGCTCTACGAGGCGTGGCAGCGGGGGTCAGGGTGCCGCCTGACGCCACATGAGCATCCCTCTGCGCTTGCTCGACGAGGTCTTTGACGCCTTGGCCTTGCGAAGTGGCCACGTCCGAAGAATCATCCTTCAAATCCCAGCCTGCCCCTTGCTTTCCCTTCTCGATGAGTCTGGACCAATCGATCCTCCAGAACAGCTCTCTGTTCGGGTCCACTGCACGCTCGCAGAAGAGATGCGTTGGGAACGACTTGTTCTTGTAGAGTGTGTGCGTCTTTGCTGGCTTCTTTTTGCCGCTCGATGGACTGTCGACTGGGAGGTTTGTCTGTGCGGCTGACAGCGCAGAGGACTCCTTGATCGCCTTGGAGCATTCTGGCTGACTCGAATGGATGTGAACCTTTGAAATGATCTCATCAACATCGAAGGAGTAGTCGTGTAGTGAGGGTCCGGCCTCGAAAGCGTCACCTTCCTTGCCTGATCTTGTGCTGGTCTTTGTTCTGCGTTTGGTGAGCGATGTGGCTTTATGGGTGTAATAGATCTCGTGTCGACTGGTGATGCCTGCCATGCGCTTCTTTGCCATGGTCGACATCCATTCTGGCCAATGCAGGAGACGGCAAACGCCGAAGATCTTGCCCTCCTCGGTTGCATCTGTCCAGAGATGGGTCAGGACGCCAGCGAGAGGAGCCTGGTAGGAAGACGGCAAGTAGACGACATCGCCGATGCGGAACTCTTCTTGCTCGAGCATCTGCTTGGATGTAGACGGTGATGCCTTTCTGAGTCGAGGATCCTGATTCTCGTCTTCGTCATCGGAGGACACGTCCTCTGCGTCCGAGTCCGGTACCTCTTCGACTGTGCGTGGTTGACGAGTGAATGCTCGAAAGTGGCTGGTGGAGGAACCGGCCTCTGCGGATGAGACCGGTTCGAGCGGCTCGAAAGCGTATACTGGCGAGCTGGCTGATGGCATCTTGCTGTTGCTGGGAGTGCCGTGTGATGAGAGATAGGAAGGAGGAGAGAGTGTGGGGGTTGAGGTGGTTTGCAACTGCGCCATTCGAAACTCGAAACCAACACTTTGGCTGCGGTGTCTCGCTTTTGGCTCCTTTCATCTGGCATTTCTCAGTTCCAATTTCCCTGCACTTTTTACGCGTGGCGTAAATTGAGGCTCCAAAATTGAGACGCGTTTCGAGTCGGGAAAGGCCCAATTCGCACGAGAAAGAGCGCACGAGCCTCTGTCCACATGGCACACGGCACAGCTCTAAATCTCAAAACCTTCAAAACCTTCCGGTGTTGCTGAGCATTGCCCTCCGTCTCGTTCCACCGTAGCGTCAAAGGCACCGCTTCTACTATCGAGGATGATGGTCAGATCCGCAATGACTGGCCTACGTTCAGGCGCCGCGGTCCTCCGTCGACCACACGCAGTATCGCCAAGTACGCATCTCCGAACGCTCTCGTCCTCATCACATACCGGAGAGAAACGCTACTATCCACCACCAGAGCCCTTCATCAGCAGCAGCGGCGGGGGCGACACCATCTCGATCGAGCCCTCTCCCTTCTCCACATTTGGCGCATCGCCGGACCTTCTCACACACTATCTCTCGCTTCAGCCTGCTCCTCTGACGCTTCGTCAGCTCATGGCTCAGGGCGGCAAGCCTGGTCAAGCGCTCACACCAGAACAGCTCCTTCTGTCAGCACAACATACACATCGAGAACTTCCCATTCGTCTGGCCCGAAGGGTAGGCGGCTTTCGCGCTTTGCCCTTCATCGTCGGCAGCAACCCCTTCATCTCCAGGATAGCCAGGCTGTACGCATCCAGCTTCGAAACCCTCGTCAAGTTCGGCCAGATCCAGACGCAGGAGGACAACCAGCGATTCACCGCCGTCATCGAAGACCTCGTCTCCGCCCACGCGCAGAATATCCCTACCTTGGCACGAGGCTTCCAAGAAGCGAGAAAGTACATGGAGGCACGACAGATCTCGGCCTTCCTCGATGCCGCCATCCATTCACGAATTGCCATCCGCATGATTGCCGAACAACATCTCGCCTTGTCAGCCACCTCTCATGGTCTCGATCCTAAGCCTGTCACCGACGCCGACCCTTCCTCTTCGCACGACGACCACCCACACCACCTCGACCCCGATCTTCCCGCCGAAGGCACCTCCAATCAGGGCCACCACGAGTACGGCAGCCCCACCGCCGTCGGGATCATCGAAACGCAGCTCAGTCCCGCACGAATGACCCGCATGTGCGCCGCCTTCGTCCGCGATCTCTGCGAAGGCACGCTCGGCGCAGCCCCCGAACTCATCCTCGAAGGCGACCTCGACGTCACCTACACCGGCGTGCCCGTCCATCTCGAATACGTCATGACCGAGCTGCTCAAGAACTCGTACCGCGCCACGACGGAAAACTTTTTCAGAAAGGGAGCAGTGGGCACGATGCCGCCGGTGATCGTCACCATTGCTCAGTCTCCGAATCATGTCTCGTTGAGGATTAGGGATCAGGGAGCGGGGATCTCGCCCAGTAATCTGCCCCACGTGTTTAGCTACGCATTCACCACTGCGGGAAGTAGCGAGATCGAGGACGCAGAAGAGACGGGGGGCGGACCGTACGCCATGCAGGCGGTCGGCGGGACGGGAGGAGACGCGCTCGCCGAGATGGGTAAGATGGGCCTTGCATCGGGATTAGGCACGCTTGCAGGACTGGGTTACGGTTTGCCCATGGCAAGGATCTACGCAGAGTACTGGAAGAACGGCTCCGCCTTGGATCTCGTTTCGCTCTATGGCCATGGCTGCGATACCTTCGTCAAGCTCCCCAGGCACATCGAGCTGTCCAACACCGTCATCTAACGGCAACTTGCCCGGGCAAAAGAGAGCCGGAAATCGAAGGCTGCGGCAGACTATACCACTTTCATCATCATACACATCACAGACTGTATTTGTATCTCGTTCATCACATCGCATTATCGTCTCACCAAGTCGTCTTAGGCAGATCTGCACACTTTGCTTGCTTGATCTTCTAACATCCATTCGCGTCTGAGGTGAACAAGTAGCAGCTACATAGTTGGAAAAGATTAGGTCGGGAGACGGGACGATTCGGAGGGCACTCGACTTGGCAGTGCCATCTTACTCGATCCTGGGCAGGGGGAAGACGGGGAGGATCTTGAGTCCCTCCTCGGCGAGCATGACCGAGGTGGCAGCGTAGAAGAGCGAGACGCCGGTAGCGATAAAGAAGGCGCCGGCAGCCTTGAGGATGGTCTGGTTGGCCTCGCCCTTGATGTAGCCGCCGCCGAGGCAGCCGAGGGCGATGACGATCATCAGCGCCGCGCCCGAGGTGGGGCCCGAGGTTCGCATCGATGCGAGGAAGATGAGGAAGATGGGGATGAGCGAGATGAAGTAGACCATGGCGGCGGCTTTGTAGTACTCCTCGAGACCGGCAGCCTGGCTAGTGCCGCCGAGGATGTAGGTCGCCTGGATGCCGGTCCAGGGCAGGAAGAGCAGCGAGGAACCGCCGATCAGACCAGCCAAAGTGCCGGCCGTAGTGGCAAGGAACGTAGAGCCCTCAGCAAAGGAGAACATGCACGCGGCAAAGTTGCCCACCATACCCAAGGGCAAACCCAGCGCCATGAGGATCGCTGGGTTGCGAATACCGCGGTGTCCAACCAGAATCAAACCCAGCATCAGCAGATACGCGCCCGTAGCAATGGTCACCAGAGGGAACGGGTTCGCAATGCGACGGTGGTAGATGGGGAAACCGGGCTGGGAAGAGTCCACCTCGTGGCCACCGGCAGTCATGGTGCGCGTCAGTCGGTGTCCCTTGGAGGTGACGACGTGGTCGCTGCCATTGGGGTCCTCCGAGAGACCCCACTGCTCCTTGAGGTTGGGGTGCTTGTAGTTTTGCTGCGTCGTCATGGTTGCGAGACTTGCTTGTGTGGCTTGAGGGATACGACAGGGATGAGAGATGGAGGACGTCGAGTGTACGAGATGGTGGGCGGGAAGGAGACGGTGATGAGGACAAAGGAGAAGGGCGCTCGAGTGGGACTCAGATGACTTGTTGACACACTCAAGGGCTCGATACAGTGCGGTCAGATCAAGGGGCCTCCGTTGGGGCGAGGATTGCGGGGAAGCTTGGACCACCCTTGCTCCTGTCGTCGACGAAACACGGTCGAGCGAACATTGCCGATGCTGCTGCCGAGGTGCAAGCAAGGAGGGAGAGTCGTTCTCGGCTGGACGCATCTGTGTTGCTCTGTGCCCCCATCGGTCTGTCTCATTCGACAACGTAGGCGGCGGCCAATCGTTCAGAGAAGCCACAGGAACAGCATGATCCATTGAAGCTGCCCTAAGGCACAGTCAAAACACGCTAGTCACGGGGCACATGGCCCCTAGCTATTGAGGAGCAAGAGGCAGAGGCTGCCATGTCATCAGAGCGGGTGTGCGGGGATGAATCTCGCGGACTGGAGCGGCGTTCGATGCTAAGAAAGTGCCTGACGAAAACGAGCCGCGGAGAATGGGGATGCGGGGTGACACCGCATGACCTCTGCATGGTGTCCGCTTCGGCAAAGCAAATCCCAGTCCGGTGATAGTTGCCGAGCCTCGTCAGCACCAAGGCTGCCCTGTGCGTTTGGAACTCCTGCCTAAGCACACCGCATGGTCGTGTTGTACTAGAGACACTCCCGTGTGTAGTCATGATAGATCCTGATAGACTGTCTTGGCAAGTCATGCGATTTGGATCGAGCCAGCTCGGCAAACGAGATCCACTCGGTCGGACTCACAGATGTTTGCATTGCTTACACGCAAAGTGACGAATTGAGATGCCACATCCTCAGACCACATGCGGTGAGCTGAGACGAGATAATGAAACGGGGTCACATGGCCGTCTACACTCCCGCTCTCCATCGTTGAAGCAAGAGATGCACAGGACTATCGTGACCAACTCCACACTAAGTCCTGCCGATCGGCCTGGGGTTCGGACGAGCAAAGTGCGGGGATTGATTGTGGATGCCGACGGAACAGAAAATTCTGCGATGCGCGCGCGGCTGGAGGCGGCCATAGAACAGGCAAAGGCTCTTGGTTCAAACCGAGCGACAGCGGCAGAGGATGAGGAAAGGGGTCGATGTTGTTGGGCGAGGTGCTCGCTGAGTTGCCGAGTGTTCCGTCAAGATGCTTTACCCCGCATTCGACCAGTGTGGAGAGAAGCAAAAAACACTCGCCGACCGCCGCTGCCGCCGCGGCAAATCGGTCTCGGATATCAGTCACTTTGTGCAGAATTGCACTCTCCGACACCTTTTTCTCCGCGGCCGGGTACCACCGCAGCATCATCATGACCACCTCGATGCAGCTTCGCCTTGTCCACCCTGTCATCAACTCGCTTACCACCCGTCCTCGTACGTGGCGCGGCTTTTGCAGTAGCATGGTCGCCTAGAGGCGTAAACACAGTCACAATGTACCAAGTAGCCATTGCCGACTCTTTCGCCTGTTGAGTGTGTCATTCTTACCCCGCTTCCGTCCTTGACCTCCCTCGGTTTCCCACATCTGCGTTTGCCGAGGTCTCGCTTTTTTGACCAACAGACCCTCGAAAGTGTGGGGAAAGAGAAGGAGCATGGGCCATCAGGTCTTAGACAAAGGCTGCACGCGCGCAGTGCTTTGCACGACCGTTCCTTGTTATGGTCTTGCAGTGGACAAAGTGCTTGTCTCCTCTTTGCAAAGCCGGCTCTCGCCTGTGCAGATTCTGCAGAGAAGAGTCCGTCCCGCATGACCCCACCGTATCCTCAATGGACGGGGGGCCTCACCGGATCTTTTACCCCTCCCAACTTGTTCATCGCTCCTCGTCACTCGTTTCCCCTCTTCGCTCAAGATCGTCGTCTCCATCGTCACGCACACCACCACCGATCCTCCCTCCTAGCATTCACACACCTTCGCAACTATGTCCGCAAACGGTCATCAGATGACTGCCGCCGCGCCCGGCACCACCATCGGCAGCAACTCTCCCTCTGCCCTGGATGCTCATGCTACCAACGGCCATGCCACCAATGGCCACGCCAACGGCAACGGCTACTCCAACGGCAACGGCAATGGCCATGGCAGCTTTGAGAACGAGAAAGCTCATCAAGCGCCCATGTACCACGGCGGCGCTGGCGGTGGAAACCATCTCAGCCGCACCTTGACCCCCGGTGGGCACTACGCCGATGACGACCTCATTGCGATCGCCAACGGTCACAGGAGGATCGCCAACCCTCTTCCCCTCGGTGGTGAGTATTCTGAAGCCTGCAGTCTGACTTCGCAGCCATCATAGACCTCGTCTGAGCAGCCATACTGACATGTGAATGCGTCTTTTCCCTCATAGTCTTCGGTTTCTCAACGACGACCCTCCTTCTTTCGCTCTACAACATCCAGATTGAGGGAATTGCCATCCCCAACGCGGTCCTCGGCTTCGCGCTCTCTTACGGTGGTCTGGCGCAGTTCCTCGCGGGTCTGTGGGAGTTTGCAGCGGGCAACACGTTTGGTGCGACCGTCTTCTGCTCCTTCGGCATGTTCTGGTGGGGCTACGCGGTGATTCTCATCCCCTTCTTTGGCTTCATGGGACAGTACGATGGTCAGCCCGGTATCTACTCGGCCCAATCGCCGTTTGCAGCTGAAGCCGATAGCGCTATTGGCCTCTACCTCTGGATCTGGTTCGGTATCACCACCATCTACCTCATCGCATCCACGCGTGGCTCGGTCTCGCTCTTTGTGCTCATCTTCCTGCTCTGGGTCACGTTCATCTTCCTCGGCGCCCACGCCTACACGGGCAACGCAAAGCTCCAGACTGCCGGCGGCGCCTTCGGTATCGCCACCGGCTTCGCGGGCTACTACCTTGGTATCGCGAGCTTCCTGAGCCCCTACAACTCGTTCTTTACGCTTCCGGTCATTCCTCTCGGCAAGAAGGACTGAGAGACGCTCGCTCGAACAGCTTGCTTTACCGCGACGGGGCTGCTCGACTTGGTCGGCCTTCGACTGCGTCGCGTTCCTCTCGAACCCCTCTCTTTGACATCTGGCACCTGATTAATATTTGTAATGAAGTACATGTCGCTCCTCGTGAATGACAGCAATGCACGCGCAAATTTGTCGAGCTGGCTCACTCCTGTCCGATTGAGGAGCCGTACTCTGAGCAGGGCTTTGCGCCTGTGAGCATCAAGGTGTTGCGTGCAGCCGGCTCTCACAAGGCCGTCGAGGAGTGTGTGAGGCAGCCGGAGGTCTCGGCAAAGGCGCCAAAATTGTGAATGTTACGCCGGCCTTACTGCAGGCACGACTCTTGTCGGCTATGATCCCGGTTGCGAGTCGACTTCTTCTCAAGATTGGCAGCATAGCCGGCTTGCAGCGTCTTGTTCGTCGAGCTCACCTTCTTATCGTCGACATTCTCCCTCACCATCATCTCCGCCTCACTTGCAGGCAGCATCCCTGCAAGATGGACATCGAAGGGTAAGTGGCGACCTTTCCATATAGGACGACTTCCACTACGCTCCCTATCTGACCATCCCCCACTCTGATGTGCTCCTCATCTGCCTCCGCTCGCACAGCTTCCGCAAAGCAGGCTACGCAGCCGTCGACCGAATCTGCGACTATTACTCGTCCCTCTCCACCCTCCCCGTTTCCGCTCAAGTCCAACCCGGTTTCCTCTCCTCCTCCATCCCCTCTCACCCACCTATCGCCGGCGAGCCATGGTCCACCATCGACAACGAGTATCACACCACCATCATGCCCGGTATCACCCACTGGCAGCATCCCAACTTCTACGGCTACTTTCCGTGCAATGCCTCGTTCGAAGGGTGCATCGCCGATCTGTACTGCGCGAGCATCTCCAACCCGGGGTTCAACTGGAGCGTGTCGCCGAGTGTCACGGAGTTGGAGATTCTGATGGTGGATTGGGTGGGGCGGATGCTCGGGTTGGACGAGAGTTTTCTGAGCACGAGTGAGGGAGGGAAAGGTGGAGGGGTGATCTTGGGTAGTGCAAGTGAGGTCGCGCTGACAGTGGCGATCGCTGCGAGGGAGAGGTGCATCGGGTTGCTCGCGGAGGAGTATCCCATGCCCACCCCCAGCGCACCCGAAATGAATGGCACCGCGAGGACCGAAGACCAGAGTCTCGATGCGGAACAAGACATCGCCACATCCACCCAAACAGCAGCACAGATGGGCGAGTCATCGACGCTCACCGCAAGCACGCGGCTCGCACAGTGGCGCGGCCAGCTCACTTCCCGCTTGGTCATGTACGGCACGACGCAGACGCACAGCATCGCAGCCAAAGCAGCTCTGATCCTCGGACTGGACTTTCGCGCCCTCCCCGTCTCCGCACCGGACTACTCGCTCGACGGCGCCACGCTTCAACGCGCCATCGACGAGGACACCGCCCTGGGTCGCGTCCCCTTCCTACTCATCGCCACCATTGGCACGACCTCCTCTGGCGCAGTGGACAACCTCACCTCCCTCCTCCCCATGATCCAAGCCCACCCGACCATGTGGCTGCACATTGACGCAGCCTACGCCGGCGTCTGCCTCTCCCTCCCCGAACTGCGCGAGTCGATGCACCTCGATGCGATCAATTCCGGAAAAGGGGTGGACAGCTTCTCCACCAACCTGCACAAATGGGGGCTCGTCCAATTCGATTGTTCCCCACTCCTCGTCCGGGACCGTGGAGATCTATCGCGAGCACTCACCGTCACACCCGCCTACCTGCGCACCAAACACGGCGATGCAGGGGACGTGCTCGATCTGCGCAATCTCCAAATTTCCTTGGGAAGACGGTTCAGGAGTCTCAAGATTTGGTTTGTCCTCCGCTCCTTCGGCATCCAAGGCTTTCAAGCGCATCTACGACGAACGATCGAGCTGGCAGGAGTGTTCGAGCAGAGGTTGAGAGAGGAAGGTGAAGGACTGTTCGAGATTGTTGCGCCGCCAAGATGGGCCCTTGTTGTGTTCCGGATTAAGCCACCGGCAAGCGAGGCAGGTGGGGAAGGGGAGAGGTCGGACGCGCTGAATAGGGCGTTCTGGGAAGATCTGCAGGAGTTGTCGGACAAGTTCGTCTTGACCCAGACGACCTTGCCGGGAGTAGGGTTCTGCGTGCGATTTGTGGTGGGCAGCCCGCAGACGAGGAGCGAGCACGTTGAGGCTACGTGGGAGCTGGTCAAAGGGACGGCGAGGAGGACGTGGGCGCGATTCAGTGGCGAGGGCACGGCGTAGAAGGGTCGTTGGAGGTAAGGGAGGAGGTTGGAACGCTGCATTTTTGGAACTCATTAGCATTGTCTAGAGCAGATCGCAATACAAGGAAAGTCCGCTGGTGACGAGTGCCGTAGATCAAGATTTGCTGATTTGGATTGCATGATGAGTGACGTTCGTGTTGCGTCGAATGCTACCTGGATCTCGGCCCAAATCCTTACTTGAGCGGACTGAAAGGCAAGGGCCGCATGATCTGGGCATGCATCTTGTCGATCAGCTTGACCGTCTGGCTGACGGTATCGTTCCACGTCTCGACCTGCCATGCCATGTCCCTGGTCTTCTTCCTTTCCTCCAACGATGGGTATTCCCAGATGTGGAATACCGTGTGAAGTCCGCCAATCTGAGTGAACCAGGCGCCGATGGGTTCAACGAACTTCCTCCTCGCCTCGAGGCCGCGTCGCCAGTGCTGCTCCCATTCGAGCAAGTGGCCTGGCTTCAAGTGGTATGTCCTCAGCTCGTACAGCCCGTTGGTGGTCTGAGGTGGAGACGAGGGCCAGAAGGAGAATTCCTGGGTGAGCCAGTTGGATCGGTTGGAAAGCAGCGGTTGCAAACGTTTTGTGAGTTCCTGGAAATCGGGATCGGATCGAAGGGCAGATTCGGCCTTGTCATAGCCCGCATAGCCATCGTACTCCCAGATGTGGTAGAAGGTCTCGAGGTCGCCGACGATAACCTCCCAGCTGCCGGTGAGACGCATGGGAAGACCCTTGTCGGCGAGCTTTGGGAAGTATTCGGCGATGAGGGAGCGGTATTCGTCGGCGTGGGCTGGCGAGACGGATTGACGCTGGATCTCGTGAATGAACTTGCCACGGGCGACTTGATTAGAATGGGACTGGGTAGTGACGCCCTCGGCTTTAGCAGTCTCGGAGCCGTGGAGGAGCGACTTGAGGAGGCTTTGCTTGGGCTGCTGCGAGTTTTCCGCTTGAGAAGGCTTCTTCGCTGCCGAGCCCTGATCGGCTAGCACGGGGCGCGAGGGAATGATGAGCGAGCGCGATGCTACTAGAGTAGTGGCAGGTGTCTTGAAAGCGCTTGTGGACCAGCCTCGGGTGGCCGCTCGCATGCCTCTGCCAGCAACAGAGAGCGTCATTTTCGTAAGATAGCACGGAATGCAGATCTTGGTTCGAGCTTGCGTTGACGATGAATCCTGGACTCGTTCGTGACTCGGTCTCCGTGCTCGATCGAGGGCCTGGGGGTAGATGCTTCTTGCGGGAATTGGAAACGGCGGGTGATGGTAGGAGACGGAGGGGAAGTTGGAAAGAGAGCTCAGCTTTGAGCAAGCACATGTGGGGAAACAGGAGGCGACGCTCGAGCCACGCACACCCACTGACTCTGTGAGCTTAACGAACCTGGAATTTGCGGAGAACTGCTTTCTGACTCGCAGACCTCCGGCCCAGACTCTCTCAGCTCTTCATGCGAGTGTCTGCAGCACGTGACGTCAGCTTTGGCAAGGGGAGCAGAGGTCTAACAGCACTGGAATTTGTGCAAGGGCGTGGTTGATGCGAGACAGTCGCCGCAAGCGGAGCGTCATCGTCGTCTCGGCACTCAAGCCAAAAATCCGTTGAGAGTCTAATTTTGTGTATTCTCCTGTCTCAGAGACCACAGCCTTTTTGCCTCTTGGCTGTCAGCCGCAACTCCACTTGTGCTCTCTCGTGTGAACACAGCCTCGACATCTCCCAACTCACAGCCGCTTTGCATCTCCGTGATCACCACCATCGCCAAGCATCCTTCGGCATCCATCCATCCGCGTACCAACCTCATTCACCCACCACCATCGTCGTTGCACCGAATCCGATCCGACAAGGAACTACATATACCCCCTTCTACGGATTCATTTGGCAAGCACTCGATCTCACTATCCTACATACCCTATCGAGCAAGCCTATCGCACCATGTCGTTCCTCAAAAAGGCACAGCAGCAGGTGGCCCACACCTCCAAGCTACCCGCCCTCGGCAATCAAGACCGCAGGCAGCTTCAGGATGTTATCAACTCGGAAAAGACCTTCATCCAATCCAACACCAAAGCGGCGACTGACTTCAAGAAGAATGCAGAAGCCCTCAAGGCCTGGTCCGCCGAGGAAGGCCCAGATCTCAACGATGTAGCAGGCAAAATCTCGCTACTCTACGATCACTACTCTGCCTCTCAAAATCGCCTCAACGCGCACCTTGCCACGGTCCGTCTTCACTTCAAGTCCATTCGTACCCGCGAAGAGGCGCTCTCCAATCTCAAGAGCCGCAAGCGCTCGCTCGGCTCTGATATCGAAAAGGTGGAGAAGAAGCTCGCCAAGATGGGTCCTGAGAACAAGGAGCTCACCAAGGTCACTACCCAGCTCAAAGAGATGCGCGGCGAAATGGAGGGTCTGCACATCGAGGTCATGAACGAAGAAGCTGCTATTGGCGATTTCAAGCGCAGAACTGTGAGAGAGGCTCTCGGCATCAAGTCAGGCGCTCTGCTCGAGATGGCCGAGAAGTTGACCATTGTCGCCGAGATCTCCAAGCTTATGCTTGACGAAATCCCACAGCAGCCCACTCGACCCGGCATGCCTCGCGCCGAATACTACGGCTTTGCAAAGACCGAGTCGCTCCTGCAGGAAGCAACGCGATCCATCGCTGATGTCGGCTTCCACCCTACCGGTCAGTCAGCGGGCATCCCTCGATTCAACGACATGACTCTCGCAGACACCACGGGCAACATGTCGCGAGACACGGACCATGCGTACGCAAACGACGGCGAAGTGTTCCACGACATGCCCTCCCAGGGCGACCACGGCGAGTACGATGCCGACCCTGGCTACAACCCGCCCCCCAACCGGGGTGTCACCAACGACGACGTTGCACGCACACCCATCTACGCTCAGCACGCTGCGCGTTCGCAGTGGGCTCAGGAGGGCGCTGCTGGCGCCAATGCAGGCACTAGCGCTGGCGGAGCAGCCGAAGTGCCTGCACCGGACGCCTCCACCCACGAATGGGCACAGTCGAGCTACGAGCGTGGGGGCGACACTTCGGCTGCTTCCGCTGCCGCCGCTGCTGCTATGGCCGCCACCGCTGGTGCCGACCTGAACGCCGTTCCCGGTCACGGCGACCCCAACCAGCCAGACGCCGGTTTCCTCATGCAGAACAGTCAATCGCACGCCGGTTCCGGCCCCAACTACGGCTCGAACCGCAACAGCGGTGCTGACTATTCGTCTGCTCAGGGCGGCAACCACGCCGCCGGCGCACCATCCGGCCTCGCCGACGTCACCGCCTCTACCGAAGGCCATCAGTCGGACGCCTATGACGGCTACACCGCGGGCGGCGCAGGAAACGGCAGCTCAACGCAGCACGAACCACCTTCGAACCCTACCGCCATGCTGGGCGCTCCCACCCTGCCACCCGTGCGCACCGCCACGCCGCTCACCAACTCCGGTGCACCACCGGTGAGCTACACCTCGCCTACGGCAACGGACGACTCGGCCTACTTCCAATCCATCGGCGGTACGCGTGCTCTGCAGGAGGCGGTGCGTGCGCCCATGTCGCCAGCCCAATCTGGTGCTCGGCTGTCGTCGTACGGTGCACTCGGCAGTGCTCCACCTCCGCAACAGCCAGGTGGGGAAGGGAAAAAAGTCACCGCAGCGGCGTTCCGTCGCGGTTTCTCGCGCAACCCTTCCGGAACCCCTGCTGGCATGTCGCCCTCCACCTCTGGTAATCCGTACGACGACGGCGCACAACAGCAGTGGGCATCCAATCCCTTGCCTCAGATCCCCAATCCTCACGCCGGAGGGTATGCCAACTCGCACGATTCGGATCACGCCTCGGTTCCACCGCTGCATATTCAGAAGCGACTCTCCAACTCGCACAATCCGTTGGCGGCAGCTGCCGCAGCAGGGACGCCGCAGGGCATGCAGGGGAGGAGGTACAGTGGTGAGTATGGCGTGTCAGGCGATAGTAATCCCGCCCCGCCGTATCTGGGCGACCAGGGAGGGCAGAGTGTCGATTACGGGCAGGGTGGATATGGAGGATATCACCCACAACACATGCAGCACCCACAACACCCGCAGGTGCAGAGACAGCAGAGTAGCCAGTATGCCGAATACGCCGCGCCGCCACCTCCTGGCTACGGGTACGCGTGAAGAACTCAAGATGTATGATTTGATGTAATGATACCACATGTGAAATCTTTGGGCTTGCTGCTTGGTGTGTCGAAAGGACAAGTGCGGATTGGACTGTGGTTCAGCGATGGGCTCGTCACGCTGAACAGCCGCGTGATGCTTCCGCTCCCGCTCAGGATCCCTTTCACTTCTTCCTCACACTCTCACACTTGAGATCGACAGTAACTGTAACACCCTTGGTCATTGCATCACACATTCCTCCTCAACGGACTCGGTGCGTACTCTCTCTCTCCCACCGCGGGTGCCGCTTTGGGCGTGTCCAACGGCTGTGTCCTCCCATCCTCCCCGAACGCGGCGACGGCGGCCGGCGTGGGGGTGGCCATCACCCCACCCTCCGTTGGGGGGCTGACCCTTCTATGGTCCGCAAAGTAGTTGGCCGCCGCCGGCGGATCCGGCAGAGTATACGGGCTAGGCGGGAAATGTCGGCTCTGGGACGGGCTCATCCCTCGACTCTGCGGTCGACTCGCTTGCAACCCCGAGGCAGCAGCCGTGATGATCTCATCATCGTTCTCGTGTCGATAGGGTTGCGGCGTATCATACGGAATCTGGTTGAACAGAACGCTGACACTCTCACCGTAATGACTTCGACGAATGGTCTCGGCGAGGACGTGCGAGATGTCGATCTCCTCGATCTTGCTGCATTTGGCGCGGTTCTGCGACTGGGGCAGGGTGTTGGTGACGACGAGCTTTTCCAATCTGCTCGAAGCGATACGGTCGAGTGCTGGTCCAGACAGGATGCCGTGGGTGACGATGGCAAGCACTCTCTCTGCGCCATACTCGATGAGTTGGGCAGCGGCGAGTTCGAGTGTCCCGCATGTATCCGCCATGTCGTCGACGAGAATGGCCACTTTCCCTTCCACGTTGCCGACAAGGACCATGCGGGAAACCTCATTCGCCCGCTTACGCTCCTTGTGGAACAAGGCAAAATCCAGTTCCAATCGATCCGCAAGGGATGTTGCGCGTTTGGCTCCCCCCGCATCGGGCGACACAATCACCGCCTTGTTCACATCCACCATCTCGCGGATGTACTGCAACGCCGCCGGTTCCGCATACAGGTTGTCCACGGGAACGTCGAAGAAGCCCTGGATCTGAGAGGCGTGCAGATCCATCGTGATGACGTGGTCGCATCCGGCGTTCTCGAGCATGTTGGCGATGAGTTTGGCAGTGATGGGCGCGCGAGATTTGTCCTTCTTGTCCTGACGAGCGTAGAAGAAGTGCGGGATGACGGCGGTGATGCGTTTGGCCGAGGCGGTCTTGCAGGCGTGGATCATGATGAGCAGCTCCATGAGCGAGGTGTTGGGGGAAGCGGCGGCGCCGGTGGGGGTGGGAGAGACGCACGAGGTGTTGATGATGTAGACATCGTGTTCGCGGACGGACTCGGCGATGCGGACGATCGACTCGCCAGACTCGTTGCGTGTGACGGTGGCCTTGCCTAGCGGTTGACCAAGTCGTCGGGCGACGAGCTCGGCGAGCTGCGGATGCGAGGTGCCGGCGAAGACCTTGATGCTGCCTGGAACAGTCGACATGGTTGGGTTTCAGACCTGGCAAGGCTCGTATAGGGTCAATAGAGGAAATAGAAGGCGAGGAAGATGCGAGATGGGGTGACCAAATAGAGGTAAGGTGTCAAGATGAGATTGAGTGGGTCGCTTTCACTTTGTGATGATCCTCGCACGACCAGCAAAGTGAGCTTTCTTTCTTCTTGGCTCGCAACCGCCAAAATTTCAGTGTGATGGTGGGCCCTTGTGTGGGGCTTGAGAAAAAGTTCTAATTTCACGAACCCTTGTTTCGGGCGAATCATGCCATCCTACTCATCGGGCGATCCATCATTCCTTCTGCAAATCGGCAGATTTTGCCCTCCACACGGCCAAGTCCTGTGCCGTCATACAACATGCAGCGTGGGCGGGCCGTGTTTGACAGCTGCAGCCCGCTTCGTGGCTTAGAGATTAGCAAAGCCGATCTGTTGGTTTCGCCCTTGCCGAAGCGCGGATCTTTGTCGTCATGTCGGCCATCCAGTCTCCGCTTCCGCTTCCTGAGGGGAGGGCCCTCGGACTCCGTCCCCAGGGTGCGACGTCACGCAGAATACAGCCGGGAAAAGTACATCCTCACTCTTGCAATCCATCCACATCGTTTCCAGCAGACCCTCTTCTATGCAACGAACAGCGTCACGCCTCTGCTCACTTCTACATTCTATCACCACCACATATCCATCTGCACGGCTTGCTCGACTTCGACTGTCACTCTTCCTCCCAAGGCCACCCACCTTCGACCTCCCAAGAACACCTTTCAGTACCGCCAACATGGTCGCCTCCAAACGCAAGCCCGCCACCTCGCCCAAGCCCGAGCCACACGACGAAGACGAAAAAGCTTTGGACCCGAAGCTCGCCGAGCATCCGGACGAGGACGAATCGGAAACGTCCAAACCACCCACCAAGCGTCAGAAGAAGTCCACCTCTTCTTCGCCCTCCAAAACCTCCTCACGTTCGGCGGTCGTCCAGGGCGGTGCCAAGGTGGAAAAGTCCTACGGAGGCGCAGCGTATGCCAAATCTGGTGACGGCTGGCATCGGTCCGACTTCAATCCTGCCCCCAAAGGTCGTTCGGACAACCGTACGCCGCTGAACGATCTCGAGGCCGCGCTCAAAGACCACGCCCCTTCCAAAAACAACGACGTGGGGGATGGCAAGAACGTCGTCTACTGGATGCGCATGCACGATCTGCGCGTCCACGACAATCGAGCACTCGCACACGCGAGTAAGCTCGCCGAGGCACGACAAAAGAAGGGCAAAGGAGGGAATCTCGTTGCGCTGTTCGTCATCACGCCGGCGGACTATCGGGCGCACGATCGCGGCGCGAGACGCATCGACTTTGTCCTTCGCACACTGGCCAGTCTCAAGGAGCAGTTCGACAAGCTCAACATTCCCTTTGTCGTCTACACCCACGAGGGAAAACGCACGCAGGTGGGCGAAAAGGTGCTCGAGCTGTGCGGCCAATGGAACGCCTCCCAATTGACGGGTAACATCGAGTACGAGGTGGACGAGCTGTGGCGCGACATCTCCGTTGTCGAATCGGCCAAGAGCAAAAATGTTGCGTTTAGCCTGTTCCACGATTGCTACGTCGTTCCACCGGGTCGGGTGCTGACCAACGACGGAAGGCCGTATAGCGTCTTTTCGCCGTGGAATCGGAGGTGGACGGATTGCATCGCTAAGGACATGTCGTTGATCGAAGCGTCGCCCGATCCGGCGGCGAACGAGAAGAGTATTCACAAGGATAGCACGCTAGGGAAGCTGTTCAGCCTCGATAAGCTCGGTGAAGGATACGGTATTCCCAAGCAGCTACCCGGGTTCGAGTGCAAGGACACCGAGTATATGGCCAAGCTGTGGCCTGTTCGGGGCGACGCACCCAAGCAGGTGCTGGACAACTTTATGAAGGGCAAAGGCGGGGAGACTGCGCTTGACCGACCAGCGAACGAGCCGTCGACCGCCGACGTCGGTGCCAATGCTAAAGAGTCGCGTCTCGGGCGGTACGCGGAAGGTCGCAATCTGCTCAACGAGAATGGCACTTCGCGGATCAGCCCGTATCTCGCAGCAGGGTTGGTGTCGGCACGCGAGTGCCTGCGCCGCACCAAAGAGGTGACGAAGAACAAGCTCACCGTCGGCCGTGACAGCGGCGCGGCCATGTGGAACACCGAGATCAGCTTCCGTGATTTCTACGGCCACGTCCTCGCCGCCTGGCCCAAGGTATGCATGGGCCACGCCTTCATCACCAAGTACGAGGACGTCAAGTGGGAGACGGACCCCAAGACGCTGCAAGCATGGAAAGAGGGCAAGACGGGCTACCCCATTGTCGACGCTGCCCAACGACAGTGCATACAGCAGGGATACATCCACAACCGCGGCAGGATGATTACCGCCATGTTCCTCACCAAACATCTGCTGCACGACTGGCGCGAGGGCGAGAGGCATTTCTCGCTCAACTTTATCGACCAGGACTTTGCCAGCAACAACGGAGGATGGCAGTGGAGCGCCAGTACCGGCACGGATCCTCAGCCCTACTTCCGCATCTTCAACCCACTGAGCCAGTCGGAGAAGAGCGACCCACAGGGTGACTACATCCGACATTTTGTTCCCGAGCTCAAGAACGTTAAGGGCAACGCGATTCACGATCCCTTCCACCGACTTGGCAAGGCCGAGTTCGCCAAGCTGGGGTATCCTGAGCCCATTGTCGAGCACGCAGAAGCAAGACAGAGGGCACTGCGGAGGTACAAGAATCCCGGAGACGAGTAGACGAGATATCAAACGATAGAAGAAGGCACATAGAAGAATCGTTACAGTCATAGATTGCTCGTGGCGTAATAGCAGTACAAACACCTACCTGCTCTCAAGTATGGCTGCAGTCCGGAATCGTGATCTGCTTCAACTTCTTGTCCTGATCAAACAAGCCCCAGTGAGCCTCGACGCCACCATAGAGCGCATTCTTCCACTCTTCGTCGTAGAGCTCGAACCAGAAGTAGCCGGTTCCGTTCTTGTTTGCTGGGCAGACGTAGCCGTCCAAGAAGGTTTGCATCTCCGAAACGCCAGCGTGGGCGCCTGTGACGGTGCCTTGGTCGTTGACGTAGGTGAGTGCCTTGGTGTCGTTTGCGCCCGAGGGCCAGCCGGTCTCGGCGATGTAGGCGGCAGGCTTGTTGGGTGCAGCAGCAGCGACGTTGGCGTCGTTGTCTTCAAAGTACTGGTAGGTCCATGCCGGGCCGTCGGAGACCAAAGTACCGGCGAACCAAGCGTGGACGTTGGCCATGAAGTAGTCGACACCAGCAGCGACGGTCGCAGTGAGCATACTGCCAGCATCGGCAGTGCCGACAGGGAAGGTCCAGCTCTTGGATGAAGCGAAGGTGCGGAATCGCTGGACGTAGGCGAGCAGATCGGTCGCAGAACCACCGTTGAGCAGATACTCATTTCCGACCGAGATACCTCCGACATTCGAAGTGCCAAAGTTGTCGAGAGCAAAGGTGATGTTGTCCAATTGACGAGTCCAGGCGACGTCGCCAGGGTCCGACAGATCGAGGTAGATGGCGGGATAGATGGTAAGATTGACCTTGGTGCGCTGAATGGCGTCGAGCATGAGCGCAGTGACGTTGCAGTCAGCGCCGTACAGACGGACACGGGTGGTAAGTTGCGAAAGAGTCTGAACATCTTCGACAACGGAGGCGAGGTCGACACCACACCCGTACGTGTACTGCGAGTTGAAGGGAGTGTAGCACATTCCGTAGAAGCTGTTGTGAAGGGCAGAGTTCTTCTTGAACTTGGACGGATCGCCAGAGAGGACGTTGCTGTTGCCGCTGGAAGAGGGAGCGCTCTGGTTGCTGTTCTTGTGCTTGGCAACGACGATGCCGGCGACTACACCGGCGATAAGAGCGACGGCAAGGATGGCACCGCCGAGGGTCCACCACAGCTTCTTGCGGGTGCGAGTTGGAGCTGCGGCGGCATAGGTATCAGGTACGCCTGATTGACGCTTCTCGGTCCAGCCAGCGTCTGGATCGGCAAAGCTATGAGGGTAAGCTGCGTTGGAGAACGGCTGAGAGCCTGGAGCAAGCGGTCTGCGCATGTCCTCCATGGTGTAGTCTGGCGAGTAGTTGTCCGCGGCGAGTGCTGGAGTGGGAGCATCATAAGCAGGTTCGTCGGCATAGTGAGGGTACTGCGGTTGCAGCAGCTGCTGACGCGAGGCGCTGTGATCGTCGTATGCGTCCGGAACGTTGCGCTCGTAAGACATGCCTGGGCCTTGCGCTCTCGGTGCTGAAGGCGATGACATGGCGGAAGAAGCTTGCTGGAGATGCGTGCCTAGGCGAATGTGACTCTCGATGATGGTGTGTAAGAGGATGAGGGAAGCGCTCGGCGCTGATCGAGGCAAGGTCGTATGAAGGAAGAAAGAAATCGAGGCGCGAGAGAATGATGGGAGTCAATCAAAGGTGGAATCGCCAGGCATCGATGCTTCGAGATGAAGAATGGCTAAGTCAGGCGAGGGGAGATGATAGCCAAGGAGGCGGCAAGGTGCAAATGCGTAGTCAGGCTCGACTGAGAACGGCCATCGGAATGACGATGAGCCACGCCTGCAGCCTGCGCTTAGCCAAGTCCTACATCAAGTGACAGGAGTCGAACGAGCGGCATGCTTGTAGAACATCACAAGGCAGTGCTGTGACGTGCCAAAGTGTTGGTCTCTGGAAGCTGTGCTTTGTGCCGAATGCTTGTTTGTCGGAGTTTTTGCGTGCTGAACCCTGTCTGAACCCCTTTTTCGTCCACAAGGTCCAACCGCGGGCATCCGTGCCTCTGCCGAAATTTGACAGGCTTCTACCTCATCTTGCCGAACACGCCTCGCCTACACCTCAATCGGCGGACTAGCAAAGCGAGGTTCGATCGCGCTCACGCTCTCCTTTGCATCATCAACCCATTACATTAATTTCCCTTCGACGCTGCGTACATGTAGGTGATACTCGTGTGTGATGGCCTTCGTGCTCAGAGAGCAGCAACGAGCGCGCTGACCGCCGATCCCTGCGTGCCCACGTTCGCCTGGCCCGCAGGCCCGGTCCACTGAACACCGTAAAAGTCGGTTGCGTTCCTACCGAATGCATAGGCCGACAGAGCCTGCTTCTGGATGTACTTGGCGTACGGCTTGCCAGGCAGAACGTGGTTGAGCTTGGCCAGGTTGCGCATGAAGATGCCCTTGAAGGCGTCTTCGTCCGTGCTGCAGTTGGCCGTGGGCTCGCACTTGTCCGTCAGCACGCCCTGGGCGTTGGTGAAAGCCGGGCTGGCGATCACCGCGTTGGCGATCTTCTGGGCGAGAGCGAGGTACTCCGGCTTGCGGTCAGCCTTGCTGAGCTCCACAAGACCGCCAAGGATGACACCCTGGTTGTAGGACCACTCGTCGCCGTTGTTGTTCTGGCAAGCATCGTTGAGTCCATCGTTGACCAGGTTCTGGCTGTTGATCATGCCGCTGTTGACGAACCACGTGTACTGGCTCTTGGCGACCGCGAGCCACTTCTGCGCCTGCTTCTTGTCCTGCAGCCTGTTCGCCAGGCCAGCAGCGAGCGAGAGGTAGAGCTCGTTGGAAATGGCATTCTTGTACGTTCGCGAAGGAATGTCCCAGATGATACCACCATTGCAGGTGCTGCTCTGGAAGCTCTGCAGGTACTCGACGTCGAGCACTGCGTACTGCAGGTACTTGGCATCGTGGGTGATGTCGAACATTCGAAGCATGGCGAGCGCGTACCAGCCCGTGTCGTCGGTCGAGTCGGCACGGAAGATACCCCCGCCGGAAGGCCACCAGGGAAGAGGCTTCTTTTGCTCCTCAATCGTCTTGAGGATCTGGGGCATGTAGCGCATGTCGTGGGTCTTGTGCGTGTACTCCAGCACCGCCGTCATGGCGTTGCCCGTGAGCCACCACGAGGCGACCGTGTCGAAACGTCCATCGGTTGCGTTGTAGTAGGAAAAGAGCGAGTTGAGCGCAGCATCGACTTGCGGGCGGGTGATGTGGGCAGGTGCGGAAGGCACCGGCTTAGCAAGTGTGCTAGCCGAGGAGGTCAGCAGACCGAAGAGAGCGAGAGGGTACAGGCTGGACCACAACATGATTGCTTGAAAGTCGGATGGTATGAGAAACGAGGTATGTGGGGAACTCCTGCTAGCAAACAATGACGGTATAAGTACCTTTCCATGATGTTTCTTATCGCTTCTGAAGCGCACCATCCATATCGTGCAAGCGAGCACCTGCCAAGCGCAACGAAGATCCCTGCGGCTGTTGCATTGCCGTCCGAACCCTAGTCGGTTGCAACAACCCGCATAGCGCTGGTGTCCTCTACTCGGTCTTGTGCAGGTCTGAAGCCATACTTTGCATTCGTACAAGCAGATTCACTGCAAGGCATCCTCGGCAAAGCGTCCTCCGACCTGAGGCACCGCTCCGACCTCGGTCTCGCTTCGTGCCCCTGCGACCCTTACGAGAACCTTCCATCGCCACCGAGGTGATGCATCACGCGGGGTGCGGGGTAAAAAAGATAACGCGGTGCCGGTCAACCCCCATGATACACGGTCAAGTGTTGCATGCGTGCTATTAGGCGCTCTCATCGGTCCGCGAACGGTACGGGCGACGTTCCGGACCGCACTCAAAGCCGAGGGAAAGTGGCGAGGGAGGCAGTTCTCTGACGGCGGGAAGAGAATGTTCTCGAGCCTGCCAAAGTTGGACCCTCGGCCTGCGCGGAATTGGACCCTCGACCCTCCCGCGGGTTGCCGTCGGCCCGACGGTGGCCGATTTCAACCAATCAGCTCGGTTGACCGCGATGGATCGCCTCAAAGATGTCAAAATCATGACCGAGCCTGTCACATGCTCGCCCGTATCTCGCAACGTTGCACCGTGTTGTGTTCACAACGGCCGTTTCCAGACGCGCATACCTGCACCACGCCGCCACGCAAAGCAGCGAGTAATTCAGACAGTCTATCACTCCTCTCACCCACGCAGATATCAAAGGTCATGTGTCTAGATTGCATGAGAAGCAGACAAAGAAGTATGCGGCGGTACTTCTCCTTTTGTTGATCAAACGGACGCCAGATCAGGAGCTGATCGAGGCGATCTTGCCATTCTTCATGGTCACCAATCCCTTGAGGGTCAGGTCCGACATCCTGGAGCTCTTTCCGACCCAGATCTTGTACTCTCCATCGACGACCTCGAACTTCTGCTTGACGACGTCCCAGACGCTGAAGTCGCGCTTGGCGAGCTTGAACTCTGCCTGTCCGCTACCTCCGGGCTTGAGGCCCTGCACCTTGTCGAATCCACGAAGTTGCTTGATCGGCGCATCTGCCGCTTCGGGGTATCCGACGTAGAGCTGGGCCACTTCATCGCCCTGCATGCCGCCCACATTCTTCACGTCGACGGTCACCTCGACGAGGTACTGGAACAGGCTTCCTGGTCCACCCGGTTGCTTGTCGCTCTTGAACTGGCCGTTGAACTCGCTTGGCGCATAGCAGTTTTCCGCCGATCGCTGGATCTGGAGATTCGAGTAGGTGTAGTTGGTGTACGAGATGCCGTGGCCGAAGGGGATGAGTGGCTTGAGACCCATCTTGTCCCATGCGCGGTAGTCGATGTAGAGCCCCTCGTAGAAGTCGACCTGGGGATCGCTTGCGGGCCCACCGACGATCTTGGGGTAGTGCACGGCGTCGGCGTCGGACAGCATCGAGTAGGGCATCTTGCCGGATGGGTTGACGTCGCCGTACAGCACACGGGCGAGCGAGCTTCCCGACTCCTGACCAGGCAAATGCGGCAGAACGAGCGCAGTGATGTTCGGGTGGTCGAACCAGTCGCTCATGAGAACGGGACCGGTCGTGTGCATCACGACAATAGTATTGTTGCTCTGCGAAGCGACGAGCTTGATCAGCTCATCCCCATCGGCGTCGAGACGAAGCGAGTGGCGGTCGCTGTCTTCGCCCGAGCGAGCTTGAACGAAGACGAGCGAGGCATCGGCAAGACCAGCGTTCTGTCGGATGAGCATCTGGTTCTGCTCGTCACCGACATCGTTGAGGTTGTTGAGCACTGCACCGCGGTTCTCCTTGGCAACCTCGGAGATGCCAGCGAGAGGGTCGATGAGGTAGGGGAAGAAACCAGCGCCCGAACCCCAGCCGACTGCCTGCGTACCGTTCGAGGTGGCGTTCGCAGGGCAGAGCTGGGAGCCAAGACCGATCCACGACTGGCAAGCGTTGATGCCGTACGGGTTGGGTCCGGCGTCGCTACCAAAGACGGCGACGCGCGACTTCTTGCTGAGAGGCAGACCCAGGCCAAAGTCGGTGTTGCCCTGAGGACCGGCTTCGTTAGAACGCTTGTTGTAGATGAGCGTGACAGCTTCCTCGCCGATCTCCTTGACGATCTTCCAGTGATCACCCTGAACATCACGGTGCTCGTTGACGACGCTGCCGTTGTAGAGAGTGTTCTGGTAGCCGTCCTTGTACGAGACGGTCGGGTAGCCCTCGTTCTGACCGCGCAGGTACCACTGCGCGAGCAGACGTGTGATACCATCATTGATGCGTTCGATCTTGACTTCCCCTGCATTGAGCGCACGGACGAGCTCCGAGCCACCCACTAAACTCTTGTAACCTCCGGTCATTCCACCGGGCATAACCACATCCGAGCCGCCATTGTACGTGTTGCTGGTATTAAACGCCGCAGACCAGTCCGTCACCACGAAACCTTGGAAGTCGAGCTCCTCCTTGAGGATGGTGTTGAGCAGCTTGCTCGATTGACATCCCTGAGTATTATTGAGCCTATTATAAACGCACATCAGAGCACCAGAGCCAGCACGAACGGCGTTCATGAAGGGCCAGAGGTAGAGCTCGTGCAAGGTGCGGTCGTCGAGGTTTGAGCTGTAAGTGAGTTCGGTGTTGTTGTCGGGGTTGAGCGTGTAGGGGTCCGAAGCGGCATAGAGCTGTCGATAGGTCTCCTGCTCGTAGGCGAGGAAGTGCTTGGCCGTCGCGATGACACCTGCCGACTGGGTGCCTGATACGGTGTAGTAAGCAGCTTCACCATGAAGGTAAGGGTCGGGACCAAAGCCTTCCCAGTTGCGACCCTGGAATGGGCTGCGGCCGAGCGGTCCACCAGTGACAGGACCAAGGTGAACATTGACACCCTTGGCTACGAACTCGGCGCCGAGCGCAGCAGCGCGCTTGTACATGAGGTCGCGGTTCCATGTCGCAGCCGTGGTGACGCCCGCTGGGAAGACGGTGACAAAGTCGGAGGCACGGAAGCCAGCAGGGCCGTCCTGGAAGCAGAGCTCTGGAATGCCGAAGCGGTCGACTCGACCCAGCGTTCCTTCGCAGCGACCACCAGTGATACCCGCCGTGAGGTTGACCTTCTCGTCGAGCGTAAGTTGGCTCACCACGCCACGCGCCTTTTCGACAGCCCACTCCCAGCCGCCGTTTCCGGTGACTGTGTGCAAAGGGCTGTTGATGTCAGCGAGCTCTGGTCCACCGCGATAGAAGGTACCAGCAAGCGGTGCTTGTGCGAGAGCAGAGTTGTCGGACGAGCTGATGTTCCAGTTGATGTTGGTGGTGTCGGTCTGGTTCGAGGCCTCAGCTTGTCGTGCTTTGAACAAGAGGTTGAGGTGCTCGAGCGAAGCAGCCTGGGCGCTAAGCGCATTGGCCGCGTAGATGCTGAGCACCAACAATGACTTGACGGCCGCCTTCATTTTGCGAGCCGTGAGGAGGAGGAGGGGGAAGGGAGGATGAGGATGTGATGTTTGAACCGTCGGCGAACGGATGGCGGAGTTTCGAAGAGCTTATATAGAAGGACATCTTTGTCGATCAGAACCCGCCCGGCGTTCTACGAGAACAAGCACAATGCTTTGAAGGCGTTTCGATCCTTTGTTCCATTCGAGTCGCTCCCGTAGCGGCAGAGCACTGAGCACTACGAGCCCATGGTGTTCACTAGCTGGTCCGTGACCCCTGAGACCGCATGGTACAAGGTCACCGGCTAGTCTTGGCATCAGCGCCACCAACCTTGATGCTGTGAGATTCGCACGCACATACGCACGCACGCACGCACGCAAATGTGCAGCCGCGATGGCCGGCTCGGCTATGTACCATGAGGTACGAGCTGTGGGGGCTCGAACCCTCGTTCCTCGCAGAGCCCAGACAGCGGGAGCACGCTCCCTTTGACGACGGTCGACTCTCAGCGAAGCTCGACATGCCGACAAGGCGCTCGCAGAGTCGTTCCGACTCGATGGCGCATCGCTAACGCGGCATGTTGGGCTACATGTTCTTCGCAAACTTTTTCCTCCATACTAGGGTATAGTGGAGGCCGACTGGACCGGCGATGTCTGCCGAGCTCACCGGCGGAGGGAGTTCTCCGGACTGTTGACGAAGCGAGACAGTGGATGCTCATCTTAGCGAGGAGCGAGCAAGAGAGTGGGGGAAGCCGAGGGATAGATTGCCGAAGCACGAGACGGTGCTTCGAGGCGCCGAATTTGACGCTGTCAAACAATCGTCCCCCCCGCCGGCCTTTGCAGCGGACCGCGGCCAGCCGCAGCAATGTGGGGCCCAACAACGAAATCAGAACAGCAATTTAATTTCAAACGTGTCAGATCGACCCAACTTCTGATTGTCTCCGCACGAATTGTGGCGACTGAGAGACCACATGCAAGCAGATACATTCGAAGGGACTGCAGTAGCCTGTTGAAGAGCAGGTCTCGACCCGACCCATCACTGCTGCAACATCGCTGTGATGCTTAATGATCAACACAACCTTGAGCCAGGCTCAATCGAAGGATCGCGCGCTTGGTAGGGCCCAACGTCGTTGAGAAACACACTCTGATCGGTAGATGGATGTCTTATGTGGGGAAAAGTCCACTCTGCTCGACTTTCGAGGCTCGTATCCGCGCCAAGACCCACCCGACACGGACAAGACGGAGGTAAGCGAGTCATCAGGTCCGTGCCGATGTTTGCGCTTGACCTGTATGATGTCGACAGTTCCTAGCAGGCCTACACAGGGTCCACCGGCGTCCACATCTAGGCAGGGTGCTTCGACGTCAGCGCACACAGCTGTATGTGGTAATCCACTCGATGCGCTCCGTCGGAAGGACGCACGAGTTGATTTCGCTCCCTGACGTGCATTCTGTGCTGCGGCGCGCAAGTGTCGCATGACCCAGTCAATTGAGTCAGCGACCATTTGCGCTTTCGTCGATTTGATCTTTCGTCCTAGAATGATCAGCCGACCAAAGTCCTTGCGGACAGGTGACCGTAAACTTCTGGACTGCGGCGTTCGTTTGTCTGACTGTGGATGCCAGAGGAGCAAACGATCGCTTTTGATACTGTAGAGCGTGTCGTGCAAAGGTGGAGGCGCTGACCGGCGATGTTCGTCTAGCTGGAACCCTTTCCATCTTCCATGTCAACAAGATCGCGGGGCAAAGATTCACGTGGCGAAAAGAGAAGCGTGGACCGGCAACCCTGGAGGGCTGGGGTAGAACCGCGCAAGCGGAGCGCGCTGTTGCACGAGCAAGCCAATCGACCTGAGGTATGGAATTTGCGCGGGGCAAGCGGAGGCCATTTTCCTCGTCCTTATTTGACGCTCCGCCAACGAGAACGGCGAGTACTGCGAGCTAGGCTGGGGTCGTGTCACTCCGAGTTCGCCGGTGTCTGCCAGCTGCACTGATCGCCTCGACGTGGGACCCAAGCGCGAAATCCCCCATCTGCTATACAGCTTGCCAGCGATCCGTCATCGAAGGTGATGGTTGCGTGGTCTGCGAGGATGTATGCGAGCTGAGCGTGAGAAGCGAGCGAGCGATTGAGCCCATCATTTGAGCGAGCTGCAGCGTGCGTGAACAGGTCGTGCCTTGGTCAATGTGTCCGCGTCAGTGTGCAGCTGAGATCCTGCAACTCGAAGATTCGAAAGGAGAAAAAGGTCAATTGGGGCAGTGTGCCTCGACATGCAGGAGAAAGGGTCTAGGGGCCGAAACATCGGTAATTTCGCCAACGACGGGGCCCATTGCTGTTCACGAATAACTTGCGGGCGATCCAGATCATGGATCACCAACGGAGCATCGAGCGACGATGAGGAATAGCGATGGACCTGTCGAAGCCAGCTGAGTCGAACCGGAGCCTTTCACCACCGCAAAGGATGCGCGTGTTTGGCCCACGTGATCGCATGGAAGGCATGCCGACGTGTGGTAGCAGAGTCGACGATGGTCCATGAGATCGTCGCGCAAGTGGTTCCCAGCAGTCACAGACTCGTTCGTGTAGATGACCGTGCTTTGATGAGCTGAATGGTATGCTGAGCTTGTCATTGAGGATCGTCCTTGCTGATTCGAAAGCGGCGCACATGGGAATGGTGGACATGAAGAAGGCTCAGATATATCTGACAAGAGTTCTGTCGAGCTTCAGGCACCAAAGGCAGCCTCAGGCGAGGCGTCACTGCGGTACCGAAAAACTTTCAGCTCAGCTCAGAGCGACTGGGACCGAGCTGAGCAAGACAATAGGATGCTACTGACGCTCCATTGTTCGACACACGCATGTCCAAGTCTGATATCACACCGACACGACTTTCTAAAGTCACACTTTTTGGCGTGTCGACCGCGGTCGGAATTAGCCGATGCGCTCGTGTCGGTTGCATGTGATCTGCTCGCGACATCACTGATGTCACATCGACATACGTCGCCGATGCCTTGGAGAGATGGAAGCGGCGGCAATCATGTCGTAAAGCTTCCGATGTTTGCTCGGTGCTTTTCTTGTGGTTCATGGTGGGTCGGCGACAAAATAGGCCGGTGGCCGAGGTGTTGATCCTACGATCCCGACCCTTTGCTAAAATAATCCCGATGCCGTACCAATTGGTAATATCAAGCGGCCGGTCAACCTCTGGTCGGCTCTGGGTAGCGCAAAAATTGCCGAGATGAGCCAAGCAAGGTCATCTCGTGACCCTTGTCGAATGTATCGCGCTAAGGGAGGCAAACGCTGGCACATAGACCATACGCGGAAGGGCACGTCCCTTGCTGTCGACAAAGGATACACGACGGGCTCGCTTCGAGCGTCAATGGGTCAGCTATTCTTGCCTGATGAGCACGGGTCCGAGTGCCCGTGCACGACAGTACGGCAAGGATGCTTGTCGCACGACAGTGCACCACGTATGCTTGCCCTTGACTTGGAGGCCTCAGTCGATGAGAAGGGCGGGAGAAAGCGAAGGGCAGCAACGTCGCCGGTCGAGGCAGTCTCTCATGGTTCACAGACTGTCGGTCGCGCGGGAACCGGCCTCTGACGTGCATCAATCGTGGCGTCCTGGACTGGGATGCAGAGAGAAAGTGCGGCGGGGCACGCCCGTAAGCAAGAACGACGGAAGGACGGTGAATGCGAGGCTCAGTGGAAGAGAGAGGGATAGCGAGTGCGGGGAACGAGGAGCGCGGGGCGCCGCAAATTGATGGCCTGCAACGCGCAGAGAGGTCGACACGCCAAGCTCGAGCGCGCGAGACCAATGAGAGACGACGGTTGCGGACGAAGCCGGTCGAGAGGGAAAGCGATGGTAGAGCGCGACACAGAGAAAGGGACGTCTCGGCTGTAAAACAACCCTGCATCGTAAGCAGCCATGCATCAATGCTGGCTCCCCGCGTGTGCCTGTCTCTGAAAAGGGCTGGAACAGGCGATTCGACCCTCGGCCAAAAGGTTGCCGATCTGGGGTCTGCCCGGGGAACCTGCCACAAGCCCAAAGACGGCAGCGGACAATGGGGTAAAAAGAAATGAAAAAAAGGGAACAAAGAGGACCCTTGATTTCCACGAGGAAGCTCTCTGGCATTTGCGGAGTCTTGTTGATTGATTTGACTCTCGAGGAAAGGCACTTGAGCAGCAGTCTCATGCCTCATGCACTCCGCTTTCGTGCCATGGCCAGCCAGGCGAGGCGAGGCCAAGCGAGATTGCTGCTTCTTTCCGGGGTTGGACGAGAGAATCAGTGCAGCGGAGTGCGGTTCCCCGTCTGGATCTGTTCATTGCCATGAGGCTCGGCTGTCTTTCAATCGTCCTCGTCGCTCCCTTTTTCTTACTCTCGCGAGCAACACCCCGCGAACCCTGAACCAACGCTCGAGTTTGCCGGTCGCTAAATCCCCCGCTGACCCTCCCGTCGCCTGATTCTTGCTCCGCGAGATGCACCATGACCGGTCAACCCTTTTGCGATGTTGTTACTCGAGCAATGGTCCCGTTGTGGTCACGGCCAACATCGACATGTTGTGCCCATGCACGGCATCGCAACGCTTCGTTGCCAGTGCCTGAATCGTCCGCCGAGGCTGCATTCGCCGCCGCACAATGGACGAGCAGCGCGCGTCGCGCCTGTAGCTCGGCTGTGTCGGTCGCTGATCTTTGCCTGAAACAATTACTTGGCTGACCTCGTCTCCCTGTCATTAAAGCGTTCTCCTTCTAAGCATACCGCTGCAAACTGAAGCGGGAGGATGTCAAGAGAATATTGTCAGGTCAAACGAGGCGAAGAAGGGGGCGGGCGAGGAGTTACACGGAGAAGGCAAGGAAAGAGGCTTCGAGGATGGCGCCTGGGCTTTTTTGCCCAAGCTTACACGGATGGCTGCTGCTCTTGAAATGCTTGTGTCCCGCTCCTTTGTTTCAGCTGTCACTGATCAGATGCCACTTTCCCTCTTGCTCGTTGTCGGCGCTTTGTTTCAGGCACATCAACGGCAAGACTCAGTTTCCGCCCTTGGTTCCATCTCGTTTCATGGCCAGACCCTCGTGGGCATGTTTGCATACTGTCGAGCTGTCGAGTTGTCGTGCTGCTCAGCAATAGGATTCGCCCTACCACACCTTCGGCTCCCGAAAGGTAGAAATAGACGCTGCTTTCCGTCGACTGTCTTCCCCGCTTCCCCACAACTCTCCTTCCCCACCTTCTCCACCCTACCCCTCCCCTTCAAGGCTATCAACATGGTCGCCACCGCTACTACCGGCCAGCAGAGCGAGGTCGCTCAGGCCCTCGCTGACCACCGTCTTTCGATGGTCGGCGCCACCGGCGCCAAGGGTCTCATCAAGAACGCCCGTACCTTTGCCATTGCCGTCTTTGCCTCGATGGGTGGTCTTATCTATGGCTACAACCAGGGCATGTTCGGTCAGATTCTGAGCATGCCTTCGTTCCAGGCCGCCTCCGGTGTCAAGGGTATCACCAACCCTACCCTCGGTGGTTTCATCACCGCCATTCTCGAGCTCGGCGCTTTCGCCGGTGTGCTCATGAACGGTTACGTTTCGGATGCCTACGGACGTCGCAAGTGTGTCCTGTTCGGCGTTTTCTGGTTCCTCATCGGCTGCATCATCCAGGCTGCTACCACCGGTGGCTCGTACGACTTTATCACCGCCGGCCGTGCCGTCGTCGGTGTTGGTATCGGCTCGCTTTCCATGATCGTTCCCCTCTACAACGCCGAGCTCGCTCCCCCTGAGATCCGTGGTGCCCTTGTCGCCCTTCAGCAGCTCGCCATTGTCGCTGGTGTCATGATCTCCTACTGGTTCACCTACGGCACCAACTTTATCGGTGGCACTGGCGAGAACCAGAGCCGTGCTGCCTGGTTGGTCCCCGTCACCGTTCAGATGCTTCCCGCCCTCATCCTCGGTGTCGGTATCTTCTGGCTGCCCGAGTCGCCCCGTTGGCTCATCAACGTCGGCCGCGAGCAGGAGTCCCTCGCCACCATCGCCAGCCTTCGTCGTCTTCCCGAGTCGGACCTCCTCGTCCAGATGGAGTTCCTCGAGGTCAAGGCTCAGAAGCTCTTCGAGGACCGCATCTCGGCCCACGACTACCCCACCCTCCAGGACGGCTCGCGATCGAGCAACTTCAAGCTCGGTGTCGCTGGCTACAAGTCGCTCTTCACCAACCCCGCTAACCTTCGCCGAACCCTTGTCGCCGTTCTCATCATGCTGTAAGTGTTCTCGAGCTATCCGGAGCTTGTCATCGGAAGCCTAGATGCAAGTGCTGACGCCTCTTTCATTGTTTCCTGCACCTGTGCATATTCATTTCCATTGTTCTTTTTCTCGCGTCGACGTAACAACTCAAAATAATTCGACCCCCCTCCTCCTCATCATACCCGATGACTTCAAACCTTCATATCTCCGTCAATCCTTCTCCGTTCGGGCTGTAGCTTCCAGCAGTGGACCGGGATCAACTTTATTTTATACTACGCCCCTTTTATCTTCAAGAAGATCGGTCTGGAAGGCAACACGATCTCGCTTTTGGCCTCGGGTGTCGTCGGTATCCTGCTTTTCCTCTCGACCATCCCTGCCGTTCTCTATATCGACACCTGGGGACGCAAGCCCACCATGATTGCCGGCGCCGCTATCATGGGAGCGTGCCACCTGTCGGTCGCGATCATCATTGCCCGTTGCGGTGGCGACTGGCCCGCTCACCGCGCTGCCGGTTGGGTCGCCTGCGCATTCGTCTGGATCTTCGCCTGCGGTTTCGGATTCAGTTGGGGACCATGCGGTTGGATCGTTGTCGCTGAAGTGTTCCCTCTCGGTCTCCGTGCCAAGGGTGTCTCGATCGGTGCCGCTTCCAACTGGTTGAACAACTTCGCCGTCGCCATGTCCACCCCCGACTTCATCACTGCCGCTCCTTACGGCGTGTTCATCTTCCTGGGTGTCATGTGCCTCATCGCCATCGCCTACGTCATCTACTTCGTCCCCGAGACCAAGATGAAGTCGCTCGATGAGCTTGACGCCGTCTTCGGTGACAACTCCGGCCGCTCGCAGTGGGAGGCTGGTATGATGCTCCAGGCCCAGCGCGATGTTGGTCTCCTCCGCCTTGCCGGCATCGAGGAGTCCAAGGCTGGCCTTGCCCACAACTCTTCGGACGACCAGATCGACGAGAAGAGCTCCGACCTCGCCAAGGACGAGGGCCACGTCGTCACCCACACCGTCTAAGAGCCTCGCTCCAAGCAGTGTCATTGAAGATACCCCCCGTAAAAGCCTTCCTCTTCTTCCTCGCTTTTCCTTACCTCGCTCAAGGAATCGCTCCTTCACCCCCTCCCTTGTATCGGTCACCATCTTACTGTAACCAAAGGTCTTCTGTTACCCGCATCCAATCGTCATTCGCTCATCATACCTTCGACTGTGCTTGTGTCGTACCACTCCGGACCATGAACGCGTTGGGCAGAAGCCTCAGCTGTCAAACCGTGAATATTTTTCTTAAGATATTTTTCGCAGGCTGCAGGCTGCAGGCGTCGAGCCGCCTCGCGGCTGCATGAATGAGATTTCTCCCCCACGTGTCGAACACAACAATGAGGAGGTTCATGCAACGTCGGCTTGCTCTTCTCAGTAGTGAGCGCTCCGAGGTGAGACTTGTGACAGAAGCATGTGCAGCATTGTCAAGGCGTTTTGAGAACATTTCCGCGTTTGTCAGGTCACTGGGCGAGCTGTCAGAGTGACGGCGTTGAGAAGGTCTCGTGCGGGCTGGTCAAGCGTTGCGCTTCGACCTAAGTGCACCGTGAGTCTGCTCTTCTCACTTGTGCACATTGCACATTCTGAACGACCCAGCAGCCGTACCAGACCGTCTCGCGTGGAAAGCTTGGCCACACCGTTATATTCGGAGTCTTCGACGAGCGTCTACACGCCCAGAGTGGCAGACAAAGGCGGACAAGGCCTGGCTTGAGGGCGGTGCCCTGATGGACGGCACAAGCAAGCGCTCAGACAAGCGATCGGATCGCGAGTAGGGCGAGCGGCGGCGAGCTGGGCGTCAAGTCGTGGCCTTGCCTGCAGCCTAGCGTGGCCAGCATGCCTGTATTGGCAGGATCAGCGAAACAGACTCAGCGGCGTGTGCGGGAGGTGCGAGAAAGCTTTGGCAGGCTCAGCCAAAGTGCATAAGCGGGTTCAGCGAGACTGCGTTACTGCGTTGGCAGGCTCAGCGAAACAGACTCGGCGGGACCAGCGAAACAGACTCAGCAGGCTCTGCGAAATAGAAAACAAGCGGAGCAAGGCGAAACAGGCTCAGCGGGACAGACTGAGCGAGCCACCTTTGGCTCCGACGTTCCCATTGTCCGTTTGGACCGACGTTGTGATTCTAGGACCGCACGGAGCATACTGTTGAAAGCACATAAGAGCACCGCTCGCCGGATGTTGAGCCTCACCACGCAGCGACAGAGCACAATTACCGATAGTGGTTCCGAACGTGATTAGCAAGACTTAGAGAACATTCAAATGACACGTAGAGACTGTTTTTCCGATTTCAACCGTACAGCTGCCAATCGTACTTGACATGGCTTCCCCATACCTGACCGCATCCCGCATACTGTCCCGACTGCAGCGACACCGTATCCACGATTGACGATGCCGCTCCTCCGTCCTTCCCGAGTCTGAGCACGAGAGCGTTCTGCTGATCGTCACCTGTGCTGCTCCACCCGCCATACTGGCCAACGTTCGGATTGCCGCTTCTCATGAAAGCGACCCACCTTGCCTGCACCTCCTTGACGACCGCCTTCGTCGATGCGTCGCTAAGCTTGTTCGGGTTGGAGAAGACGAGCTGGATGTCGTCTTCGTGGCACACGCGCGTGGCGCAGTAGTCGTTGCCTGCGTTGGACGGATAGCTGATGCCGCGTTCAAAGAGGGCGATATACGAAGGCGTGTGCGTCGCGTACCGTTGTGCGAGGTTCCAGTTCGGACAGGTGAACATGCCTTGGGTGAGGATGGACTCGAGGTTCTGACGCAAGCCGTCGTTGGCTTTCATGTCCACACTGTATTGCGGTGCAGAAGAGAGACTGGTGCTGCGGCCGGCGTTGAACATCTGACCCAGCAGCTGATCGCGCGATAACGACATCGGGTAGGCTTGCATCTGAGCATTTTGAGCGCCTGCAGACGTCGGCTGGAGCATCGACCCGACCACTGAACCAGATTCGTTCTCCACGTTGGTAAAGATGATCGGTTTGCCGGTGCTCGAGGATCGGCTGGGATCGTTCTCGAATGGCGAGGCGGTGAGCGCACCAGTAAAAGGACGGAACACCTCTGTCATTGCAACGGAAGGGTCGATGCTCTGACCCGCTTGCAGCGTCGACATGCTGGCGCCCAAGAGATCGTCCGCTGACTGGGACCGCAAGCAGGCGAGGTCGGAGCAGCCCGTTTGCGAGAGAGCAAAGTCGCTCACCTTCTGACTGGTGGTCCGGGACTGGGTACCGAAGTTGGCCGGGTCGGAATGCAGAATGGCGCGCTGAAAGAGTGGTGCGGCGGACGGAGCATTCAGGAGCGCGCGGATGAGGTGTGCGCCACTGCTCTGTCCCGCAAGCGTGACGCTGTTCGGATCACCACCAAACGAAGCGATGTTGTCGTGAACGAATTGCAGTGCTTGAATGGCGTCTCGGACGCCTTGGTTGCCAGGAGTGCTGGTGCTGGAAGAGGGAGCGGCAGATTCGTCGGTGAAAGCAGAAGGAGAGAAAAATCCGAACATCCCGAGTCGGTACTGGATCGTGACGACGATCACATTGTTCTTGCTTGCCAGCCACGAGCCGTCGAGACCAGGCGCGGTAGAAGAGCCGGACACGAAGCTGCCACCATGCACCCAGACGAGGACGGGTTTCTTGCCTTGACCAGCAGCAGAGATCGACGGTGAAGGTCGATAAATGTTCAGGTACAGGCAGTCTTCGCTGATACCGTCCTCCGAGATTTCGTACCGCGAGTCCGGTTGCTGCATGCAAGCCTTCGGAAGCTTGCTAGCGTCATACGCCGGGGCATTGAGAGAGGTGAGCGGTTGAGGCCAGGCGAAACGCAACGATCCGACCGGCGGAGCTGCGTAGGGAAGCGTGAAGCGCTGTGCAGAGTAGTCGGTAACCGTGCCGGTGACCGCTCCGAGAGAAAGGTTGACCAAGAGCGGATTGGCGGCAGGACGAGGATTGGTAGAGATCACGCAGTCGTTTCCAGGACAGGGAGGGACAGGAGCGGCACCACATGTCTGCATGCAAGTAACAAAGCTGCAGACCAGGCAGATGAGCGAGCCGACCAGCGACATCGTTGCGTGTGGTCAGGAGGGAAGAAGAGCAGTGAGACTTGTGTAGGTGAGGTGAATGGCAGCAGACGAAGGTGCGTGTCTTATGGGTTCTCGACCGATCGAATGAAGTGAAACAGATTGACGGCTTCCGACAGCGGGAATGAAGGGGAAAGAACAAAGGGACGTCTCCACGATGTATAGCGACCCCCACCAACGCGCCAAATTAGCCGCCCAACTCCGGTCCCTTTGTTCGAGCTCAGCAGTGTTTGACAAGCGTTGCCGAGCGGACGCCATTGCTAGTCAAGACCCTTTGTTCGCCATACCAAGACATCGCCACGCTGGCCACGGATGCAGGCGACGGCAAGGTTGGCGATCGAAGCGCTTACGTCTGTTCATTGACAGCCGCTGACATGCCGCTGTATGATGTCAGCCCAGGTCGACGTAGATCTCCGACAATGAAAGTGGCGGCGCCGACCTGCAGGGACAAAGGGACGTCGAGCTGCCAAAAGTCGTGCCGAGACGCGTGGCCGTTGCCGTGGAATCATGCAGACTGCCGCTTCTTGCTGCCCTTTGTGCGATGAGATCGATTGTTCTGAAGCATTTGGTGGGGTAGCTGCAGCAAGGAGGCAGCAATAAAGGGACACGCCGCTCATTCCCATCTCACCTGAGGAGAGGCAAGAAGCAAGATCCTCGATCAAACCTCGCCAAAGTCACCGTGCCCAGTCTGCTTGGCGTGCTGCACCGCCTCCTTCTCGCCCGTCAGCCCTTTTCCGCACTGTTTGCACTTCAAACTGAAGCTCGCCGTGTCCGTGTAGTACCGCCTCCTCTTTAGCTCCTTGCACAACTCCTTAGCCGCCGCAAGCACTTCATCCTCGTCCTCCTTCAGGCCTAGTGCGGTCAAGTTGGGGAAGATGGTCGTCTCGTTGCCGTCATCGATGAGCGTCAGTGCGTCGTAGTGGATTCCCGAATAGACGACCAGCCCACGATTCTCGTACGCTATATCCTCGCCGAACCGATGCACCGTTCCCGTTGCCACGTCGATCGAGTCGATCTCGACCTGGAAGTGCGCCGACAAGATCGACAGTTCGATCGCACCACCCCACGTCTGCGGTGACAAGATCTTGGAGATGTACGCCTCGCGCGGTTGACCGAGCACGATATCCGGGTAGGCGTCCGGGTCGGATCGAATGGCGGACGCGACAGTCTCGCGAAGGTTCTTGCAAACATCAGAGCCGAGTCGCTGTGAGAACAAATAGCCGACAGAGTTGAACAGACATGAGTTGTCGTCGGGAACTACCTTGAGGGATAGACGCGAGGAAGGGGAGGAAGGGATGGCGACAGAGACGCTGCCATCTGTGACGCTCTTGGCGCCTGCGGCGGAGGAGGAGCTGGTGGAAGATGGAGCGCGTGCTGTGAGGCCATCCTGAAGTGTTCTTGCGCCGAGGCCGTACGACGAGATGGGCCCTGTTGCGGTAGAGATGTTCGGTTTGGGTCCGCCCATTGTGCCGAATGATGATGACGCAGACGGCCTCGAAGCGATAGGGGCAGGAGCCCCAGAAGAGCTACTGCTACCCGCCTTGCGAGCAACGATCACCTGCTCGCCTTTTCGTATCCCCACATCTGCAGAGCTGAGAAGTGCTGCACTGTCAACCGAGTCGAGCTGGAGGGCTTTTGGCGGATACCCGACTTTGAGCTCCTGGTCCGCCCCTGCGATGCCGCACTGCTCGGCAATGTAAATTTGCAGTTCAGCCAGCGTGGTACTGCTGTCGTCCACTTTGAAGGATGTTGTGCCTTGCGGATGTCGAATGCGGATCATGATGGAATAGGTGGACAGAGCGAGAGCGGAAGCAGGCTGGGGGTTGTGGTCAAAGGTCGAACAAGCTTTGGTGCCTTCACAGCAGTGTTGACGCGTCCCTGCATGAGGCTCTCTAACGCCTTTTGGCGCTTGTCCAAGAGCGCAGTTTGGGCCTTCATGGGGTCCGGCCGGTTGACTCACATAGCTCGACTTCCTAGGCCTTGTCACTCATTTCCACCGACTGGAGCGACAGTATCGACTGTCGCTCGTGAGCTCGGGGCTTCGATGACAGTGCGAATCGTGAGCGTCAACGGAGGCAGGTGAACAGCATGCTTCCAGCATGAGGACTCGAATCGGGAGATCTGTCGACCGATCCGGTGGCGTGATTTGAATCTGGTATCGCCTGTTTGAAGAGCTTGAATTCCTTTCGCATGCGTTTGAATACATTTTTCTGTACTTCCTTCCAGGCCTTGAAACGAATTTGGAAGGTGGAAGAAAGCCAAGCACGAGAGGCACGGGGCAACGCGGACACAAGAGAATACTGCAGCGTCTGTGTTGGGTGAGAAGCATCAAGAAGCGCTCTGTGCATTTCATCGATTGGCTGCGTGCCTCAGAAGAAACAAGATCAACACTTCGCTGCGTCACCTCTTCCTCCCACCACCAACACGTACCTCTTGTGACCCACATCAGGTATATGCCGTCACCCGTTCGTGCTAGCGCTTCCACATCGATCCGTAGACTCTCTCAGACCGCTCGTCAGCTGTCCAACGGTTCGTCACCCATTCACACCATGGCTTCCGCTCAGGACTACAAGACCCGCGCCGTCGGTGCGCCCAACACGCTCGACTACCGTGTCTACCTCGAGAACACCAAGACCGGCCTCCCCGCTTCGCCCTTCCATGATGTTCCTCTCTTTGCTGATGAGAGCAAGACCATTCTCAACATGATTGTCGAGATCCCGCGATGGACCAACGCCAAGATCGAGATCTCCAAGGAGGAGAACTTCAACCCGTTCAAGCAGGACACCAAGAAGGGCAAGCTGCGCTTCGTTCGCAACTGCTTCCCTCACAAGGGCTACATCTGGAACTACGGTGCCTTCCCTCAGACCTGGGAGGACCCGCACCACACTCACCCCGACACCAAGGCTAAGGGTGACAACGACCCGCTGGACGTGTGCGAGATCGGCGAGCAGGTCGGCTACACCGGCCAGATCAAGCAGGTCAAGGTTCTCGGCGTCATGGCTCTCCTCGACGAGGGCGAGACCGACTGGAAGGTCATCGTCATTGACGTCAACGACCCGCTCGCCTCCAAGCTCAACGACATTGAGGATGTCGAGCGCCACCTCCCCGGCCTCATCCGCGCCACCAACGAGTGGTTCCGCATCTACAAAATCCCCGACGGAAAGCCCGAGAACCAGTTCGCCTTCTCCGGTGAGGCCAAGAACCGCAAGTACGCCACCGAGATCGTGCACGAGTGCAACGAGGCCTGGAAGCGCCTCATCAACGGCCAGGCGGACGCCGGCGAGATCAGCCTCGCCAACTCGGCCGTCCAGGGCTCCAAGGGTCTCGTCGGCGGTAACGACAAGGAGGTCGCTAGCATCCCCAAGGCCAACCCCCAGCCTGCTGCGCCCATCGATGCTAGCATCGACAAGTGGTTCTTCATCTCGAGCTCGTCCAACTAAGTGTAGGCTTGATCGTCGGATCAGAAATTCCGCGAATTGCACAATGTCAATCGTTCAACGCTCGTTTTTAGGGGCCGTGACCAGACCGCGTGTCTGCGTTGCGGCGAAGTGACTGTGAAGCGTGTGATGTCGTGAAGCGTCCGTGTGCTCCAAGATCATTCACTGCTGTTCCTGCTGCAGGCGCTGCTTCTTCCGTCGCTTCTGCAGCTTCTTCTTTCGGTTCGCGGCTGCATTACCGCTGCTCGTCTTGGCCGCAGCATCTGCTCCCTCGTCCTGAGCCGTTTCTTCATCATCTTCTTCCGCCACCTCGTCGTCATCGTGCTCTGACTCGTCTTGTCTCGCCCTCTTCGCATTCCCGTCCTGTGTCGCGCTTCGGACAAAGCATGCGACGAAGAACCCATTGCAGCTCTCCACGTTCGGCTTGTCGCCGTCCCCAACTCCACCAGGTACGCATCTGATGACGCTGTCCGCGACTTCCTCTCTGCCCTCACACGCCGCCTTGTCGCCTCTCACCGGCCAGGTTGGAATGACCTCGCTTCGTGGGGCCAGCGTCCATCCTCTCTCCTTGGCTTCGTCTGACTCGAGTGCGCGCAGCACAACGCCCTCGTTCTCCGCAGCATGGATGCTGCACGTCGAATAGACCACCTTTTGCAACGACGGGAACGCAAACGCATGACGGAGCATGAGCAGTTGAAACGCGCTCAACTGCGCCAGGCGGCGTTCGAGCTTGGACATCCCCTCGTCCCCCTCTGCAGGATCGGTCTCGACCTCGTCGTCTTCGTTCAAAAAGTCGAGGCGGTTGACGATGCCACTTCCGCTGCAGGAGGGGTCGACCAACATGTGCGTCACCTGCGGATACTCCGATGGCTTGGTGGTGAGAAAGTCTTTTTTCTGGGCAAAGACGTTTCCCATCCCCCCCGAGGTGTGCAGCGCCCCTACGGCCGTGAGACGCTTGACCAGCGTTCTATACCGCACCGGGTCTCGTTCGAACGCATCCACTCTCCCCTTGTCCTGTCCCATCGGTTGGGCCATAAGCGCGGAGAGATGGCTGGTCTTGTTGCCCGGAGCACTGGTTGCATCCACCACACTACCCCCACGAGGCGGATCCAAGATGTACGCCGGAAAGCACGAGGCTAGATCTTGCAACACCACCCAGCTCTCCTTATACATCTCGCTGGCTAACAACGTGCTCGTTGCCTTGGGATGAAACGCGAGGAGCCCGGGTACGTGGCGCGACTCTGCGAACTCTCTCAGCCCCACTTCTTCCCCAGTGACTTGGGTGAAACGGTGCTCGCTGAGCCAGTCAAACACTTCCTCCCGTGTAGCCCGAAGGGAGTTGATGCGCACCCACCGTGGCATGCGAGCCGTCATCTCGTGGTAGAGCGCCCCCGAGCGCAGGTCGGAAATGCGCGCTTTGCCCTGACGGATTTGCTGCTTGACGAGCGATGCGTGCAGCGCAGATTTGTATCGCTCGAGGGTGACTTTGGGTGGCCATGTTTTCGCGGCTTGAATGCCACGCGATTGGAAGAGCAGGTCGTGCGTGAGGACGAGGAGGAGGGCTTCTTTGCTCGGTTGGTCGGACTTGCTTTTGGGAGGAGGCTTCTTCGACGAGGTCGCTTTGGGGTTGGGTTTCGCCTTGCCCTTAGCGGTAGGAGGAGGCGCAAGGGTGAAGACGCGCTCCTCGAGAGTGAGCACGCGAGACTCGCCCAGAGCGTGCAGGAGAGCGCTGCGGAAGGCGAGCGAGTTAACCAGCAGCGCGAGGATTCGGCCTGCATCCGGGTGTGGGGACGCGGCCGCTTTGACCGAGCACTCGTCGCGCAGCACACGATCGAGCGACCGCGCTGAGCGGATATAGAAGTCAGCCATGACTGTTGCTCCCGTTGGGCTTAATGTGTCTACTGATCGAAGGTTGCAAAGGAGGAGAAGCAGCGACACGAGCAGCCAAGTCAAGAAGAACCGTTCAGGGTCCTGCGTTTCTTCTCACTTTTTTCTCCGCACGCCGCTTGACGATTCCGTATTCCGAGAGCTTCGCCCACACGCTGTTATGCCTCTGCTTCTGACGTTACTCAGGTTTGCTCACATTTGGTCTCGCGTTACGAGACGCTGCTAGAGATAGGCTGGGTATGGAAAGAACTGACTGTGATTGACGGCACTGCCGCTTTTGTTACATGACTCAGAAACAATTAGGCTTGTCGATTCACAGCAGCTCCAGTGCCAGGCACGATGGTCTGCAAGGCTGGCGCGGCCTGAACCACGTCATTAGCAGGGGATCGCACTGGCTCGAGTGGGGCGAACGAGGCGCTTGAAGACTTGCGAACACCATTGCTGACGGGCTCCCTGCTGCTCTGTCGCGAGATACTCTTCGGAGGGCGGGGTGGGCTGGTAGGCGGTGCGATGGTGCTCAACGAATCCTGCGTCGCTTCTTGTGCTGCACCGACAGGCGTTTTGGGCACTTCGAGCGCCGCAGGTGTGTTGGAGGTGGGTGGCTCGGTTTCGTGCGTCTGCGATCCAGTGGGTGTCGCGAATCCAGCCGTATCGATGGAAGGGCGGATGCTCCCATTCGCAGTTCCTGGTCTGGTTTGCGGTGACTCAGCAGCTCCAGCTCGGTCCTTGATCTGATCGACCCTGCCGTTCGCTGGTCGGCCTTGCTCTGTCGGGCTGTCTGTCTCTGCTGCGGGGTCCGCGCGCTCCTTTTGCAACGAAGTCCTTTGCTGTGTAATATCGCGTGATGCCGATGTAGAAAGAGGTGCGCCGCCCTCGTTGAGACCGAGTGTGGGAGCGGGCTTGCGGGAGACGCTGCCAGTCTTCGGAGCTGCCGAATCGTCTTTTTTGGCGAAACTCGAGACACGGAAAGATTGATTGCGAGAGGGCTGTGCTGGTGTAGGCGGGAGAGTAGCGACAGACCCAGATGCACTGGGTACGATCGAGGAGCTCGGACCTGCCTCTTCAAAGATGGTGCCGTCGGCAGCGCTGGCGAGAGGAGCCGGGTTGAGAAGCGCGGCTTTGCGCTTGTGCGTGTCCTCGAGGTCCCTCAGATCCTTGAGACCAGCCGACGACTTGGTGACTTCGGCAGGTGTGTCGAAAGAGAATTGGTCCAGAGACTTTGGCAGATCGATGGGAGCTTCCTCGACAGCTTCCGAGTCCTTGAAGGTGGGGATCCACTGACGGCGCTCCTTGAGGAACTTTTGCAGATCGACGCTGGTGGTTGCAGCATCTGTGGGCTTGGTGATGTCGCGAGAGGTGAGGTCGATTGCGTTCCACTGTACGCCCTTGCCTGCAAATAGCTCAGAAGGGCGCGGACCTGAGGGAGCGGCCGGAGATGCCAGACCGCCCGAGACACTCTGACTGATGGCTTGAGCAAAAGAGCTTTCTCCACCCGCAGGAGAGCTCAAGGACGGGGAGATGGCCGAAGGGGTGATGACGGGAGGCGTGTTGAGAATGGCAGCAGGCTGATGCAGACTGGAGCGGCTGTCCCGCTTCGAGCTGGTGCTGTTGAAGTAATCCGAGCCGAGGTTCTTGCTGGGTGGAGCAGAAGAGTCGGCGTCGATGCTGGGAGCCCCCTTTCTGCGGGTGCTTCCGAAGAGCTTCTTCATGCCGTTCGAGTTACGTGAGAGAATCGAGGCGGTGTCGGAAGCGTGCGATGCTCCACGTCGACTGCCAAATTCGGGTGCTGCACCGACCACGTCAGAAGCCTCTAGGGTTGAATTACGCTTGTTGGGACTCGGAGCGTCGTAGGTGACGGATTTGCGTGACTTGAACAGCCCCATCCTCTATGTCAGAATTGAGGTGAAGCGAGGCGAGTCGCGGGAGTGTCGGATGGGTAGGGCTGCCAAGATGTGGATCTAGAACAACGCTGAGACGATCTAGATGATGAGGGGCGATGGCTAGGGTGGAGCAGCGATGCCAGACTCTATAGAGCGAAGAGACTGTGGTGCTTTTGCGACCGATGCGCTTGGCCAGAAATGAGCAGCGAAGGGAGCGTGACTGCGTCGTGGACGAATGGAATGAGCATTCGTTGGTGATGGCGTGGGCAGAGTGACTGTTGCAAGTGAATTGGCGGCGGTCGACGAGGTGCGTTAGAAGTGCGTGTGCCAAGTGCGTTGCGTGCATTCAAAGTCGTGACGTTTGCCTCTGTCTCAGTCTCCGTCTCAGTTGAATCTGCGCTGGGCTTGATGGCCAATTTTAGACAAAGAGAACCCTTTCGCCCTGCTAAGCCACGCTAGTGGGTCGAGCAGATTAAGGTTTGGCTGCGCTTCGAGTCTCACTGGCCCTCAGACTGCAATCTGTGTCTGCCGTTGATAGCAAAACAAGGTGTCATCATATGATGTTCGCTGGAAGCATCTGTGCGGTGATGCGTTGAACGTAGTAGCTCTTACGAAGCGGGCCAGTGAGGAGCCTGGCGTGGTGCGTGCGCTGTGCTTTGTGGAGCCTAGGTCTCCGGCACAGCTCGGCCAACTCCCCTCCAGATCGGGAATATCTGAATTCCAAGTTTGCCCGATCTCCACCTCTGAGCTAGCTCTTGAGAAGAAGCTGGAAGAAACGCGCAGCCAATTTTTGTTGCAGCTCAACCCAAGAACCGCGCGCGCTGTGTGTGTGCACGTCGAGAAAGTGACACTCTCCAGCTCATCAAGATCACTGGGACGATACCACCATCACCATCCTGACGTCACGGCCTCGATCGCATTGAAATTGCACTCGCACCACTCGGCACGATATTACCGACTAGTAACACGCCACTCCAATACCTAGGGATCCGCACGTGAACAAGCGACGCAACCGCCATCATGTCAGGGCAACAGGTGTTCGTCATGAACACAGGGCCGGAGCGCCAGACCGGTCGCAAGGCGCAGATCTCCAACATCACCGCCGCCAAGACCGTCGCTGATGTCATCCGCACCTGTCTCGGTCCCAAAGCCATGCTCAAGATGATCCTCGATCCCATGGGCGGCATCTTGCTCACCAACGACGGAAACGCCATTCTCCGTGAGGTCGAGGTCGCACACCCCGCTGCCAAGTCCATGATCGAGCTCAGCCGCACACAGGATGAAGAAGTTGGAGACGGTACTACCAGTGTTATCATTCTCGCCGGCGAGATTCTCGCACAGTCGTTGCCGCAACTCGAACGCGGCATCCACCCCGTTGTCATCATCTCGGCGTTCAAGAAGGCGCTCGCGAGAGCGCTCGAGATTGTTGAGGAGATCTCCGTACCCGTCGACGTCACCAACGAAAAGGACATGCTCGCCCTCATCAAGACCTCAATCGGCACCAAGTTTGTCTCGAGGTGGTCCGACCAGATGTGCCGTCTCGCCCTCAAAGCCGTCCGCACCGTGGCTATGGTCGACTCGTCAAGCTCAGCAGCGGGCAGCGACCCGAGCAAGACGGTCGACATCAAGCGCTACGCCCGTGTCGAAAAGGTGCCTGGTGGAACTATCGAGGACTGCCGCGTACTCGACGGTGTCATGCTCAACAAGGACGTCACCCACCCCAAGATGAGGAGGCGAATCGAAAACCCGCGCATCATCCTGCTCGACTGCCCGCTCGAGTACAAGAAGGGCGAGTCGCAGACCAACATCGAGATCACCCGCGAGGAGGACTGGAACAAGATCCTCGAGATCGAAGAGCAACAGATCCAGACCATGTGCGAGAAGATCATCGAGTTTAAGCCCGACCTGGTATTCACGGAGAAGGGTGTTTCCGATCTCGCGCAGCACTACCTGCTTAAGGCCAACATTACGTGCATTCGACGAGTTCGCAAGACGGACAACAACCGTATCGCCCGCGCTACGGGTGCAACCATCGTCAACCGCGTCGATGACCTTCGCGATGCCGACGTCGGCACCCGCTGCGGTCTGTTCCACATCGAGAAGCTCGGCGACGAGTACTTTACCTTCCTCGAGGAGTGCAAGGAGCCCAAGGCATGCACCATCCTGCTCCGCGGCCCCTCCAAAGATATCCTCAACGAGATCGACCGCAACCTTGCGGATGCGATGGCCGTGGCGCGCAATGTGGTCTTCAACCCGCTGCTCAGTCCTGGTGGTGGTGCGACCGAGATGGCCATCGCCTACGGTCTCTCCGAGTTTGCCAAGGAGCTCGAGGGCGTCGAAGTCGGACCTATCCGTGCCGTTTCGGACGCTATGGAGGTCATCCCCCGCACGCTCATCCAGAACTGCGGTGGAAACGCCATCAAGACGCTCACCACGCTCCGGGCGAAACACGCCAACGGCGAGCACTCGTACGGCGTCGACGGCGAATCGGGCAAGGTGGTCGAGATGAAGGAGTACGGCCTGTACGAGTCGGCCGCCGTCAAGATCCAGACGCTCAAGACGGCCATCGAGTCGGCGTCGCTGTTGTTGAGGGTGGACGATGTTGTGAGCGCCAAGAGGGGCAGGCAGGCGGGTGGCGGTGCAGCACCGGGTGTTCAGGCTCCCGACGCGGGAATGGGCGAGGACGCCGGACCGGACATGCCACAGATGTAGAACGACCTCCCGAGGCAGAGCCGGAATGAACACGATCAAGCATACGTTGACAAAGAGATTGTGCATGGAAAAATGAATGTGTGGTATCTAAGCAAGTGTTCGGAAAGTATGTGTGTGTCGCGGCATCAGACCTAGGCGTTGGCCTGGCCGGTGAACGTAGCCGCCGCAGTGGCGGGTGGCGAGCTCTCCCCGGACTTGTCCTTCGCCTGGTCCTTGCCTGTATCCGCCAGCTCCTTTCCATCTCTGCCTCTCCAAATCCCATCCCTCTGATCGACCATTCCGTATTGCTTGGTGCTCTGGTTTCTGGACAGGGCGGCCATCCACTCGTCGACAATCTGCTTCGAGTCGACCATGACGTTGATCTCCTGCGAGTGGAACCAGGACTGGGTGTCCTGGTTGCCACTGCCAAGCACGGCGACGTGGCCGTCGAAAGCGGCGAACTTGACGTGGCAGTTGCGCTGCTTACGGACGGCGTTGAGCGGCCGCGTCATGTCCTTGCCCGTATACCAGTAGACCTCGAGGTACTTCTCGTCGCCTTTGCCCTCCCGTCGGAGTTGACGGTAGAACGCAGTGACGACTTGCTCGTTGGTGCCACCTTGGAAGGGCATCGATTCGGATTTGTCGTTGAAGCCGAGATCGAGCCAGAGCTCGACTTTGACGTGCCGACGTACCGCAGCAAGGACAGCCGCCTTGATGGGCGACGCATTGAGCGTCGGCGACTGGATGAAGACGTGCTTCTTGGCATAGCGGAAGCCGGCGAGCCACGCAGCGTCTTGCGGGTTGCGAATGTCCGAGTGGCCGGGCGTGCCGTGCGGACGTCGGTTGACGAGGGCCATGGGCACAGGCTCGTGTGGCTTGTGGAAGGTGTAAGGTTGGAAGTCGAGCACGTCGTTGTGAGCGGCGGCGAGCACCTCGCTGGCGAGCTGGTCGGCTTTGATCTCGCCTTGCACCTTGGAGTTGTTGGCGAAGTCGAGCGACTTGGTGATGGCGCTGAGGCGTTCGGCGGCGGACGACTTGGAGATCTGGGAGAGAGTGCGACGATGCACGCGTCGATATCCGACCGAGCCGGGCACTCCTTCATCATCCTTGGAGCTAGGCGACTTGGTCTCAGAGGCTGCTGCCTCGGTGGCACCATCTTGCTTGGTGGGGAAGATCTCGGTGTTGAACGCAGGAGGAGCGGTTGTTGACCTCTCCTCAGACGACGCGGCGGCCTTGAGAGTGGCGGTATCCTCGCCTGCACCGTTTGTATCCTTCTGCGTAGAGAGGGGGTCATGGCTTCCGACACTGCTGGGGGGAGCTTTGGGACTAGCGGAGCCCTCGTCGATCGCGGTGTGGCTTGGAGCGTCATCGAGGCTTTCTTCCTCGGCTTCAACCGACCTGCGCCAGTTGGACTGATCCTCCTCTGCGACTGCTGTGGGCACGTTGGCCCCCGCTGCGAGGGTTGCTCTGGGACGTGGATTGCGTCTCACTTCCTGCGCGACGTTCTTGGAACTACTCTGCCCCAGACCAAATACTTCGAGCGCGCCCTCGGCCCACGCAGGTGGCTTGTGGCCTTCCTTCTTCATGAGAGCCTCGACGAGGTCGGCAAAGTGCTTCCTTTGATGAGGAGGCTGAGCAGGCTGTGTTGGTCCCGTCTGAGGCAGCGGATCAGACTCTGACCTGTCGAGCTTGCTGGCATTGCTGCTGCTCTGGAACTGGCTGAAGCGCTCACCGAGCACCTTCTGCGCCCACGCCGCACCAGCACTGCGAGCTGCCTTGTCGCCATCCACATGATGCTCAGTGGCAGCCGCGCCCTTGGCGCCGAAACTGTCGCGACGCATCACCTGGTCAACGACGTCGCCAAAGTGAAAGGCGATGGGGCTCTGAGTGCTGCGTTCCTTCTCTAGCTCGGTGGCGGTATCTTCTTCGTGCAGACGCTGTCTGACGTTGCGGGCGAGCTGATGAAGCTTTTCTGTGGTGAGCGAGGGCAGAGTGCTGTCGTTGCCCGTCATGAAGGCCTCGGGCGATGGCGTCACGGGGGCAGGGGCGGTCAGGCAGGGAAGCGCAGGCTGGAGACGGTTGCCCCAGCTGATGAGCGCGTGATCGTAGATCGAGTTGACAATGTCACCCTCGAGACGGATGCACGCTTCGACGTTGGGTCGATCCTGAATGTTGTTGGAGTTGATGAGCGCGACCTGGCGATCGACGATGAGGAGCTTGGCATGGAAGGTGCCCATCAAAGGTCGATGGTAGTTAAGAATCTCCATGGTGAGGTTGGGAATCTCGTTCTCGGTGGGCAGGCCGTTGGCTTTCCACATGCCGGGAGGAACAGGCTTGCGCAGACGGAAGAGGTCGGCCAGGGTCTGAGGACCTCGATCCCACATGAGCTTGACGACGATGCGATCTTCAGCGGCGCAAGGGCCGAGCTCGATATCTTCTGCATCTGCATCGCCATTGGGCTTTTCTTGGTCCTTCTCTGCACGGGAGTGCGAGCCTGGCGCGCCCTGATGCTCGAGGAGGTCGGCTTGCTGTCGTGCTGCTTTCTCTTGGTGAGGGGTATCTGATGGGTTGGTTGTAGGGGCAGACTGACCTTTGCGTCGGGCTTGCAGGGCTCGAAGCTTGCGTCGCTTCTGAACGCGGTTGTTAAGTTCGCGCAGAGCCTCGGCGATGCGATCTACGTTCTTGCCACCCTGCCAGTAGTTGGTGAGGAGAATGACTTCTTTGCGTGCTGCGACGATGCAATCGTAGTAGTGGCCGATGATGTCTGGGCCTGTGGAGAAGATGGAGAGAGGCACGATACCGGTGGTCGCGAGGAGAGGCGGCGAGACGACGCCAGACATGGGATTGCGGGGTAATGGCAAGAGGCAGTCGGCGAGCACCATGAGGTAGAGTCGCGAGGGTCCGCCCTGGTCGGTGGGCTTGTAGCCGAAGCGATGACGGACGCGTTCGATCTCTTGATCATCTGGCTCGCGATTGCCGTCATGGACAGCGCCTTTGTTCCAATTCCAATGCTTGCCGCGACCTTCTTCGAGTTGCTCTTTGATCTTGAAGCGGATGACACCGCGCTTTGCTGCTGATGGCTTTGGGAAGAGGTGCTTTGCGGCTTGCGAAGGCGGTAGAGTTGGATCCGCAGCTACGGCGGACGTGATGGTGGGCTGCGAAGACTGGGGACGCGAGTCTTGGAAGGGCCCGACTTGAGAGCCAGCCGAGAGATGCGCCTTCTCTGCGGCCTCGTTGTGGATGTGCGAGGATCCGCAAATGGGCATATTGAAGCCTACGTCGATGGTGGATTGCGATTTGAGTGTCTATGTGAGCGTGTAGAGATGCGATGCGGATGCGTGTCTTGATGTGGAGTGCGAAGGAGATGAAGCGCAGCTGGTTTTGCAGACAGGCGCGTATAGTATATAGGAGATGGGATGATTTGGCGAGGATAGGGTGTCGAGAATTGGTGGTTAGTGGTTGGTGGGCAAGAAGGATGAGCTGAATGAAGTCGAGAGTGTGACTGAAGCCAAGTGTGACTCTGTGGAGAGAAAGGCGGTGCGAGCGGGCCGGACGAGGTCAGGGCTGTGGGAGTGTGGGAATTCAGTGTGGGTTGGCAGCTGCAGCTCTGCGCAGGCCAGTGGAGGTCCAAGAGTCTAAAAAGGGCTCTAAGCGAGGCAGAGTGACGGTGTCAAGGCCCCCTGACTGACTGAAATTGAGCTGCAGTCGGAGTGCAACCGAGCCACGCTTCTTTTCGGCAGAGTCGATGCCGAATCCACCCAAAGCCAGATGACGCTGATGATGCTGGCGATACCATTGTTGCTTTGGGATGAGGTTAGCGGCGCAGAGGTGTGGGCTTGAAGCGTGGGAGACCGACTCTCTCTTCCATTCAGCTTCATTCCCAGGTCGGTAATCCTTCAGCACAATCCGCATTCTATTGATGCAATGCCCAGAAAAGGCCAAGAAGGACCGTGGCCGTGAGCATTTGGGTCGCTGGCCTTGGCGTTGCATTACGCTCCCATGACGATGTACCTGGACGGCGATACGCACCCACGTTCTTATGATTCCAGTCCATCACTTCTCAGACATGTTACGACCTTTCAAACGCTCTGGAGATTGTTTTGTCACATCACCACCAGAGATCCATTTGATGCGAGGTCAAGCTGCGACCTTCTGTTTACCGACGGGATCTCAAGTATGCCTTCATCAACATCCTCCTCCTGCTCGTCGTGGTCGCTCTCCCGTCTCCTTACCCTAGGTGACCTTCCACAAGCTGTTCGAGCTGCATGAGCCTGGATCGAGGCCCGATATCTGAGATGATTTTTGTCGACCATTGTCAGATCGAACCAAGCATCTCGGAAATCGGATAACCCTCTCCGCGAAGTCAGCGCTGCTCGCATGACACTGCAAGCCGAATTTGAGTCAGGCCAGGTTCTTCTCAATCCTCTCGCCCAAACACCATTGTCAGTCTTTCGGCCTTCATCAGCCGTCGGTAGTGGTCACAATGGCTTCAACATCAGCTGCGGCGACAGCGTCGTCCGACCCGGCACACATCACCTCCAAGATCCAAGCAGCTTCCGCACGCGATGCGCCCTTCTGGTCCTTCGAGTTCTTCCCGCCAAAGACGACACAAGGTCTAGCCAACCTATACAATCGAATCGCTCGCATGAGCGCTAATCTCGACCCGAGCTGGATCCACGTCACATGGGGAGCAGGTGGTACTACGGGAGGCAAATCGCTCGAGCTTGCAGGGAGGATACAGAAGGGCAAGTTGGATCCGGATGTCCAGCTCGTCCAGACAGAGGTCAAGCAGATCGGCTCAGGGTCACAGCAGCACATCGAGAATGTCAAGGGCGGCGAAGCATGGGAGCAAGGGGGTGCAGATGCTTGCGACGTCTGCTTGCATCTCACCTGCACCAATGTTGAGAAGAGCAGCCTCGACGAGACCCTGGAAACGGCCAAACGATTGGGCATCAAGAACATCCTCGCACTACGTGGCGACCCACCAAGAGGCGAAGAATACTGGGTCGCAGCCGACGAACGCTTCCAGCACGCCACCGATCTCGTTCGCTACATCCGCGAAAACCATGGCGACTTCTTCTGCATCGGCGTAGCAGGCTATCCCGAAGGCCACGCGGACTACGTCGACAGGGACGTCAAGCGCGATCTCGCTTACCTCAAAAGCAAGCAAGACGCAGGCGCTCAGTTCATCGTCACCCAGCTTTTCTACGATGTGGAACAGTTCCTCGGCTGGTACAAAGACTGCCGCGACATCGGTATCACTATCCCGATTCTACCTGGCATCATGCCGATTCAGAACTACCAGAGCTTCCGCCGCATGACCAACCTGTGCAAGGTACAAGTCCCAAAGGCCATCCTCGACGCGATCGAGCCGATCAAGAGCGACGATGCTGCTGTCAAAGAGTACGGCGTCTCGCTCAGCATCCACATGATCGGGCGTATCTTCCTCGAGACCGATGTGCGCGGCTTCCATCTCTGCTCGCTCAATCTCGAAAAGAGCATCGAGCGGATTCTCGAGGGTCTCGACTGGAAGTCTGATGCAGGAGCACAGCCAGAAGCAGATGCGCGACTGAAAGGCATCCCATCGCACCTGCATCTGGAGCGAACAAAGAATCAGATGCTCTCGGACCGCACCGGCACCAACACGCCAAAAGACTTCAAAGTCACCACCCAAGAAGCGCTAGCACGCACGCTCGCCCGCACATCCAGCTCGTACCAGGTCCCCGAGACGGCCACATGGGATGAGTTCCCAAACGGACGCTACGGCGATTCGCGCAGTCCTGCGTTCGGCGAGATGGACGGCTACGGTGTCAGCCTCAAAGTGCCACCCCAAGACGCGTTGCGAATCTGGGGTCATCCAGTCACCTCCGTCGATATCTCCAAGATCTTTGCGTCGTATTTGGAAGAGAAGATCGAGTGCATTCCGTGGTGCGATGCGCCGCTGATGAACGAGACGCTGCAGATCCGCGATCATCTGTTGGCGCTCAACCGGCTCGGCGAGCAGGAGGGGTCGGGGAAAGGATGGTGGTCCGTCGGCTCTCAGCCCGCGGTAGATGGTGCCCCGTCGACAGATCCCACGGTTGGATTCGGCCCCCCTGGCGGGTTTGTGTTCCAAAAAGCGTTTGTGGAACTCTTCATGTCGACCGCGGACAAGGACAGGCTGGTGGAGCGGATCGATGGGTTGGGTGCCAATGCGCAGATCACCTACTTTGCCGGCAACGCAAAGGGCGAGTTCGAGTCGAATCTGGGAGAGGGAGAGGCAAACACGGTGACATGGGCCGTGTTCCCAGGCAAGGAAATCGTCCAGTCGACCATCATCGAGAGGGACAGCTTCGAGGCATGGAGGGATGAGGCATTTGAGATCTGGGGCGAATGGTCGTTGTTGTTCCCCAAAGGCTCGGCGAGTAGGAAGTTGGTAGAGGAGATCAAGGAGGGGAGGTGGCTGGTGACGGTCGTGCATCATGATTACAAGGAGAGGGAGGCATTGTGGCACTTTTTGGCAGAGTAGACGAGCATTCGGAAGGAATAGCGTTTATTGCAGCATTACGTTGGGTATCAAGGAGGGAGAGGCTGTGAGGGTGCGGAATCTGCTGTGACGGCGCCCTATCTGTGTCGGTGATGATGACAGGAATGATGTCTGGATACGGGCGGTAGGGTCGTCGTCGTCGAGGTCGAGGTGGTCTCCCAGTCGGACTCGCGTCGGCCGTGTCGATCGCAGCACGCATCGTACCGGCTGTTGGAGCAGCTCGCATGACGACAAGATGAGTAGGCAGGATACTTTGTGGTCGGATCTCGATGACGATGCCGGTGATGATGGTCGAGCGAGTGGTCCCGCTTTCTATGCTTGGAGTGATAGCATTTGGCGCCGTGATCGCATTCAGAATCTGCGGTCGTTTGATGCTTGCATGCAGTCCCGCCGGTGCAGCCTGCCCGATGAGCCGAACAACAGCTGTCCTCCTTTTGCTGTTCCTTCTTCTTATCGGTTGGAGAGGCAGAAGTTGAAGCGTTGGTGGTCACGCCAAGCGCCTTCAGCATCTCCATCAGCTCGATAGTGCCATGTAGCGAGAGCTTGGAAGCCTCCGTGGTCTTTGCCTCTTCCTTGGCTGCAGGAGGAGCCGCTGCAGGCTTTGGAGCAGCGTTGTCTTTCTTGGCTGCGGCTTGTGTGTCCGCTTTTTTGTCCTCTGCTTTGGCTGCGGGCGCCTCCTTCTTGTTGTTGTCTGCTTTGGCTTCCGCAGCTTTGCCTTTACCATCGTCTTTCTTGCCTTCATCCTTCTTTCCTTCGTCTTTCTTGCCGTCGTCCTTCTTAGCATTGTCCTTCGCTTTGTCCTTGCCATCCTCCTTCGCCTTGCCATCCCCACCTCCATCCTTGGCAGGCTGCTCGTTCTTCTTGCCCTCATCCTTCTTCACCTCGTCCTTTCCCTTCTGTTCGCCACCCTGCTTCTTGTCCTCCTTCTTCTCCCCTCCTCCTTGCTGTTGCTGCTGGGGTTGCTTCTGCTTCTCTCCTCCTCCTCCTCCACCTCCCTTCCCACCGTCGACCAACTCAACCTTTCCATCAGCATGAACCTTCAAAAACGGCGCATCGCTCGCCGGTGCGGGCTTGAGATCGATCTTTCCACTCTTCGGATCGAACACGACGTACTGGGGCTTGCTCGCGTCTGTGCCCGCTTTGGCCACATACTCAGCCCACAGTTTGGCACCTGACCACTCTTCCGCTTTGCCAGCTGCGGGGGCTTTTTCTTTCTTTTCGCCGTCTTTGTTGTCTTTGTTGTCCTTAGTAGCGTTCTGTGGGGGCTTGTCTGCTGCAGGCTTGGCGTCTTTGGAGGCAGCGGGCTTTTCGTCCTTCTTGACGGCGGTGGTGGCGGGCGGGGTGTTCGAGAGATTGTGCAAAGGCAGAGATTCTTCGGAGCGACGAGCACAGAATAAAACGGCAGACAAAAGTGCTGCTGTTCCGATTACGAGGCCTAGGACGAGGCCTGCTACCGCTGCTGCACCCATCGTTTGCGTCGCTGTAGCTCTGGCGATGCGGTTGGCGTGGTGGTGGAAAGAAGACACATCTCGAAACTCGACTCCAGATCCACAAACCCGTTCAACCACAGAGAGAACAGATGCAATAGCACGGTAGAAGTTTGACAAGTAAACGTGCGCACAGATAAGCTCGAGATGAAGCCATGGACGGGAAGGCGTCTTGTCGCCATCCGTCAAATGAAGCTGCGCAGATGGCGGATCGGGCGAGTGCTCCCGATCCAGTCACTGCGAGAGGTTGCGTGAAAAGGGGTTGCGTTAATTTCCCCTTTTGTGCTTGCATGCAACGTCGATTACCCCGGCATAAAGCCCACGAGTCGCCTGACTTTTTTTGACGCCCAGTCCTGCGTCGGGAATTCAAATTTGAGTCGAAAAAGAGTAAAAAGGCCAACGAGCGAGACTCTCGTTCGCCTCGCTTAGACCCCCCGCAGCAGGGCAGCTAGAGGGATTGCCCCGGATTAGGCCTTTGCTCTTGGTTTCCCCATTTAGCCTTCTGGCCAAGCTTTGAGTGGTCGCTGTTGCATCCACACCACCATCATCGAGGACATACCTACCTACAGCGTTCGAGAACACCTCTGTCCGCACCCGCACACTCCAAGCCCTTCCAACAGGATCCACCTAATCGCCTTGCTCCCGGATCGAATCGCGCAAGCAGTCCAACCTCACACGATGACACGCACAATCCTCGTTCTCCTCCTCGTGCTCCTCGCAGCGGCCCTCAACCCGACCCTGGCCCAACAAGGTGCACCGCCCTTCACAACGGACAACAGCCAATCTGCGTGTGTCGAGTTCGGCTCGTGCTCCACCGCCGGCGGCAACGGAATCGTCACTGAAACACAAAACGCGCCTGTTACGGCACCCGCCTTCACGCCTGCGCTGGCGACGGTGACGACGATCGACTCTGCGTACATCTCGAGTCTCGCTGCTGCGGGTGCGAGTGCGGCGTACACCGGTGGAAGCAGGCAGAGTGCCGGCGCTTTGACGAGCACCAGGACTGTCACGGGCTCCGGAAGCGGGTCCACCGGCAGCAGCGGCAGTGGTAGTGGAAGCAGCGGGAGTGGCTCGAGTGGTTCGAGCGGAAGCGGAAGCTCGAATGCCGGCAAGGGAGCCAATGCGGTTGCGGTGCAGATGGTTGTCGCTTGCGTAGGTGTTGTGATTGGCGCCGCTGTGCTGCTCTGATCGTCGGGACCAACACACACGATCGTCGGCTCGCTCGGATCACCTCTCGTATCGACCGCAACACGGACTCTAGCCCCACCATGGCTGTATACCTCTTATCGTTGACAGGAGAGACACGCTCTCGACGGATGCCCGTCACAGCCATGCCTGCATGTCGAGTCGACTCGACATAGTGTACTTCTGCCGTATCTCTACACGTCCTGTCATGGCTCTCCTCCCCTCTTCTCTGTCTACGCTTTCGCTTCGATCTGTTTAGGAACAGCACCATCTATAATCCAGGAAACCTACCCCGTCTGTACAGAGATCGTCTCGAGGCTGCGATTTGAGAGACTTTGGAGCAAAGAGAGCGGCGTGTGGGTAGCGAAGCATCAAATGTTGGCGTGAAAAGCAACAGATCACGGATGAAGGTTCCGACGAAGATGCCAACCTTACCAAGCGAACAGGTTTGAACAGAGACGTGCTGCGGGGGAACGAAGCATGCGCTTGCGAGGGCTGAACTCGTCAGCGGTGCCCGGATTCTTGGGTCACGCAAGAGGTTCGAAGCTTGTCGAGACAATGCCAATCGTGTAGGTAGGCGAGGGACCTAGGAGAGCGCTTGGTCCGTCTTGCAGCCGTCGACAGCAGCGAGGCACAACGGAGTGTTACGTTCCCACGGTGTCTTGTTGGCCATGACGAGCGATACGGCAAGCAGGGTCCGCGGCACACGATTCAAAGGAGTCGGCGGGCTATTGTGCGCACAGGATCGGCACGCGGGTCGGATGGAGCAAACCGGCGGCAGGGCAAAGGGGATTTCCGCGCATCACCCTGCACAAGGTGCGTCATCAGACACGGCAAACCCTTTTCTATTCCCTCACACAGCCTTTTTGCTCCTGTACCACCCTCACATGCATCATCACATGCTTGACTTCGTGTCATAACAATGAGTTGTATGTGAGTTGATCGTCGACGGATGACGCCGAGCGCCATCGCAGGACAGTGGAGGCTGTCAGAAGGAGTGCGGCGAAGAGATCTTGCGGCGACCAACGTGGATCGTGCCGAGCCAGAAATCCAACTCGGCACGGGCTGTGATGGAAGCTGGCCTGTGCTGCCGATGCTGGGTGTGAAGTGGACCCTTTTTCCTCGCGGTTGTGCGGTCATTGCGGCTGTTGTTCCACTTTGGCCGTGCTTGGAGCATGGCCCGTGGGTTCAGAAGGCCTTCTTGATCGAGAACGTGGAGAGTGCTTCAATTCACAGTCCCACTGGTGGCTTGCCGATGCTGACAATGCTCAAGCATCTTATTGTGTTCGTGTGAGTGACTTGCTGGCGAGACTCTCGGCTGATGCCGTCCGTGATGGATCAGCGCGGGTCATGGCTAGCCCACTCCTCATCGTATATAACATCCTGGTTGCCGGCGTACCAACTTTCTTCGCTTCCATCATCCAACCTTCTCTGCCTTCCCCGCGACATCGGAACGACACATCTCTCCGTCGCACTTGCATTCTTCGCAATCAACTCATCTAGCTCCTAAACCTCCTCCTCCTCATCGCCAAAATGTCCCTCAGCAAGCACGTCGACCCGGACGAGCTCATCGAGCAAGCCGTCGACCACCCCATCCTGGGTCTCCTCCAGCACCCGGGCGGCAAAAAGTCCCACGCCTACCACTCGCACGCCCACGCCGGTCGCTACGTCACCGAGCCCATCCCCAAGTACCAGATTCCCAAAAAGGGTACCGATGCGCAGGCCACCTACCAGCTCATCAACTCGGACCTTTCGCTCGATGGCAAGCCTACGCTCAACCTTGCGTCCTTTGTTCACACCTGGATGCCCGACGAGGCGACCAAGCTCATGACCGAGACCATGATGATCAACATGTGCGACCAGGACGAGTACCCGGCCACCATGGCTATCCACGCCCGCTGCGTTAGCATGCTCGCCGACCTCTGGAAGGCTCCTACGGAGAAGGACGAGAACGGCAAGCGCAAGCCCGCCATGGGTGTCGCTACCACCGGCTCGTCCGAAGCCATCATGCTCGCTTGTCTTTCCGCCAAAAAGCGATGGCAGCACAAGATGAAGGCCGCTGGCAAATCGTTCAAGGAGCCCGGGCCCAACATGGTCTTTGGCAGCAACGCCCAGGTGGCCATTGAAAAGTTTGCACGTTACTTTGACGTCGAGATGCGCCTGGTGCCGGTGAGCCACGAGTCGCGCTACTGCCTCGACATCAACAAGGCCATGGACTATGTCGATGAGAACACCATCTGCGTCGTCGTCATCCTCGGCTCGACCTACACGGGCCACTACGAGGACGTCGAAGGCATGTCCAAGCTGCTCGACGCTTACGAGGAGAAGACGGGCATCGATATTCCGATTCACGTCGACGGCGCATCGGGTGCCATGGTCGCTCCATTTGCCACTCCAGGGCTCAAATGGTCGTTCGACATTCCTAGGGTCAAGAGCATCAACACGTCGGGCCACAAGTTCGGCATGGTCTACCCGGGTCTCGGCTGGGTGTTGTTCAGGGACAACGAGCAGGTGCCCAAGGAACTCGTCTTTGAACTTCACTACCTGGGTTCGGTCGAGTACTCGTTCGGACTCAACTTCTCCCGCCCCGCCCACCCGATCATCGGTCAGCTGTTCAACTTTATCAACCTCGGGTTCGACGGCTATCGTCGCGTGATGCAGTCGGATCTGCAGAATGCACGATTGCTCTCCCGCGCGCTGGAGAACAGCGGATACTACGAGGTGCTGAGTGAGATCCACAAGCCGCTGCCCAACGCGGGTGCCGCTGCGGGTGGCGTGGCCGAGACGATCAAGGAAGCGGGTGCCGCCCTCGTCGGTGGAAAGGAACACAAGCGCCACCACCACGAGATCAACGAGCATTCCGCCGAATTCTACCGTCCCGGTCTCCCCGTCGTCTCCTTCCGATGGTCCCAGTCCTTCCGCGAACGCAACCCCAACCTCGAACAGCGATGGATGCAAACCCTCCTCCGAGCCAAAGGATGGATCGTACCCAACTACAACCTCTCGCCCGACCTCGAGGACATCGACATCCTCCGCGTCGTCGTGAGGGAGAATTTGAGCGAGAGCATGATCGAACAGCTCCTGGTGGACATTATTACGATCACGGAGAGTTTGGAGAAGGAAGGCACCGAGGGTGGATACCGCCACCTGGCCGAGGCGACCAGCAAGCACGAGGAGAAGCAGAAGGAACAGGGCGCCAGCACCGGTCATCACAATGTGGCGACCGACAAGCACAGGGGTGGTCTGCCCAAGGGCAGTGGAACCAAGGCTACGGGGTATGCCAAGCAGTGTTGAGCGGGCGGAGTTGCGTAGTCCTCAATGATGTTTTCTGATGAGCGTTGATGTATGAGTGTGCGAAGATGGTTCGTGATGAGTGTGCGTGATGGGGATATGTGTTGTACAGCGTCGTTGCGCGACTCCAGTGCCGGTTGAAGCTGTCCAAAAGCGCCCCTCGCTCTCGCGCCAACCTCTCCGCCTCACCTCCCCTCTCTCTTTCACATCAAGCCTCTCTCAGCCCACCTTTCCGCCTTACCCCAGCGCCAATGACCGTACTGACCCTCCTCAACCGCATCCGGACACTGCGCATGCTGGGGGCAAAAACGCTCCGTCCATCCACCTCTTTTTCCTCTGGAGTGGGTGGTCGCGGAGGGATGCACGTTTGTACCACCAACAACCAGCTTCCCTCCCCCACTTGGGCGGCGTATCGAGGTTGAAGCTGCACCAACGTCATCCTGGGTAGGCTGCTGCACGGGGATTGATCCTGTAGCGTATCCTGCCAGAGCAGCGCCAATGCCGGATCCAACTCCATCTTGCGCACCGATGTAATCGTATGCGTGATGTCGCCCTTCGAAGCTATCGGCGGGAAAACGGGAGCGGGAGCGATCGATTTCCTCGACAAACTCCGATGACTCCGTCGACTCGCCGGCAGCGTGGAGGAGAGAGGTTTGAGATCGAACGAAGACAGCGAAAGATCGGACGAAGCGGTGGAGAGGAAGCCTTCATCCGTAAAAGAGCGCCAGGAAGCGGTGGGGTTGAGGTTGCCGTTGAACACCTCGGCGTGCTTGGGCGCTGGGTGAAGCTCTTCCACCTCGCCACGGGGTGTTTCGGGGAGGGGCATGAGGGGTGGTGGACCTCGAGGTTGGAGGTTGGAGAGCGTCTGGGAGCGTCGCCTGCCAGATGTGTCGTGCGCTGTCGTCGCCGAGTCGTCTTTCGACGTCGTCGAGGTCCCCGCGGCATCGTCCGTCCCGCGCTCCACCTGGCGCAGTATGCGTAGGTGCTCATCGATTACCAACCCGTCCACTCCCCTCCCTTCCAGCTGCTTCACAATCCCCTCCCACACCTCGTGTCCGTCGCTCGTCGCACCCAGCGCGTCCGTCAGCGTCACCATCGGCCCCCTCCCCCTGACCCCCGCTCCCACCACTCCCTCCGACCGCACATCCACCCGTAGCACCTCCACCTCCCTCCCCCTCGCCATGGCGGGCAACCCGGGTCTGCCCTCGCACAGAACCGGATACCCACGGATCAGCTCCGTGAGCCGACCGGGCATGGCGAACGTCACGGCTGCCTGTGCGCGGATGTGCGCGAGGAGAAGATGTTCCGCGATCGACGTTGCCCGTGTGCTTGCGCTGAGCAGGTCGTCGAACGTTGCTGGTGGGTGAGGGGGTCGGGCAAAGAGCCACATTCCGAGGATGCGACATAGTGTCGATGGTGGCATGTGGTTGGATGTCGAGTGTGCGGTGATGGATGCCATGAGGTCCAGGATTTCGGAGAGGAGTTCGGCGGTGGGCTGCGGGAGCGACGGATGGAGGTGATCAGCGATCGAGCGTGGATGATACCCACACTCGCGCTCGCGCGTCACGAAGGCATCGTACCACCCGTCAGGGGTGGGAGAGTTGAAGTCGGTGGGGGAGAGACGGGCGTGTCGCAACCCCCATTTGAGCAGACTAACGATATCGTGCGGCGAGGCGTAGCGGAGCTCCTTGTCCAGTTCGTCGTGTGCGATCTGACGCTGAGAAGCGGAGGGCGAGGATGTGCTTGTGGTGCCGATGCGATCGAGTGCGTTCTCGGGAAGAATGGAGAACACGGATCCATATGTAGACGGGTCGATGGACAGCAAAAGGAGCTGCACCATGCGATGCACGTGGTCGAGCGACTCGGCAACGCGGAAGGGGCGAAAGAGACCCGGTGTGTCGAGCCCGCGTTCGCGCAATTGCAGCCCACACATGCGGACCAGATCGCGCGTCTGTGCCACGTCCAGCCGCGCAGCGGACATGGCCTCGAGCATGCGTCTTCGCTGCACGCCGTGAGGTTTCGGGATGCTCTCGGCAGCAGCAGCGGCAGCAATGATGGCTGCGGCGGCGGTGGTGGGTGTAGCCGCTTGGCGCTGGATTCGGTAGACCGTATCGTGACTACTAGCGTCCGCCCCGCGAGGGAGAGCCGTTCCAGCATCCAGATCGAGCACCAGCGCCGGTGGGAGCGAGGGCACAGGTGGAGGCTTCTGGCGGCTGAACTTGCGGAAGAAGCGCGAGGTGCGCGAGGCAGTGGAAGAGGTGCTCAGTGCAGAAGTGGACTTGTTCGTGTCGCGATTGGTGAAGATGGGGTCGGCGGAAGGTTTGATGGTGGCATAGCTGGAACCGGAGGCGACTCTGCTGTCGCTGCCGTTGTATTCGAGAGGCGCAACGGACAAGGGCGGTGCTGGCTTGCGCGACCGGCTAAAGAGCTTGCGAGATGACATTCGGCGGAGGGTGGATGAGTGGGACGCCGAGGGAGCGTGGATGGGGGCAGGCGGCGCGACGGTGGCCATGGCTCGCGGGAATGAGTCGAGATGTGAATGTGACCTTCGAGTGAGTGGTTGTGAGTAGCCGGATCGAGAAGATTGTCGATGTCGTCGTGGTTGATCTCAGCGCTCAGATCAGTGACCGAGGCAAGGGAGCGCGGCGTCGCTGGAGGGAGGGTATCTTGATCGAAGGGCACGAGGTATCGAAAGGGTATCTGATGGGTGCTTGTGTCCGAGATCTTGGAGGGAAGGGATGGTGGATGGAAAGGAAGGGAGCAAAGGCGATGGCCGCCAAGACTACTGCCCAAAGCGCGAGAGTGGCGCTTAACTCCTCGAGTCAAAGAGGCGCTCTGTACTCTCTCAGACACACATCGGAATGCCGCTCATCTGCGCGCGTTGCTTTGCACCAGACCCTGCGTCATGATCCATCCCACACTCGATGTTCGATACTCCCGCACAGCGCAAACAGCTCAAGCTCTGAACTGCAAGCATGCTGAAGCGAGTCGGCAAGATGTGCGTTGTGCAGATCGGTCAGCTGCGGATCAACCTTAAAAAGCCGGTTGCACGTCACGTCCTGGTTGAAATTGAAGCTGCACGTCGGTTATCAAAGCTGCGTGTGGTGTTTCAAAGCAGCACACAGAGGAGCAAAGCAAGCCGTTTCAGGTTCTGTTTGTCCACACAGCCTAACCAAGGCGCGACGTGCTTGGGCCGCGGGAACGCGGGGCAACGTGCAGATTTCTAGCTGGACCCTGACATCCCAGCCGGGGCAGTCCTAACAGCTGAGACCGGCTCACTTTCACGCAGTCGGATGTTGTCAATGATGGTTGTTTGTCTATAGCGATGCATGCTGATCCAGAAAAAAAGTATTACAGAGCGTCGCGAAGAGCATCCCGGAGGTTGCCTAGCACCTTCACCGAGCTGCCTGCGAGGTTCTTTTGTGTCGTCTGCATCATCTGAGCCACCTTGTCCTTGCCCAACGACGCCAGTCCTTGTTCTAGCACGTTCGAAGCGGTCACCACAACCGTCTGCACTGATCTCGACAGATGGTTCACCAGGGTGGCGATCTCGGCGACATGTGTCTTGACGGTCGCAGTTGCCTCGCTGTCGGTCAATGACGATCGCGTATGATAGATCGCTTCTAAGGTCAAGCCGGCCTCGTGGATGGCATCGATGGGCCGTATCGTTCGAGTGTTGTCGACTGTGTTGCTGGTTGCGAGATCGACGAGCGCACGAAGCGTGGCCTTGGTCGACTCAAGCATCGAGATCAAACCTGCCGAGTCCAACGTGCCCGATCGAGCACCTCGAACCAGCGTGACAAGCGCCTTCTCGGCAGCCGTCAAACTGTGCATGTCAACCTCCGAGATGCTGTCATTCACCTTGTCCGACATGGTCGATGCAATGCATCGCACCCATCCCGCATCCTGACGCGGTCCCACCTGCGTCAGCTCGGCCACATCCGGCGTGTCCAGCGGCTGATAGTTGACCAGCACCGAAAAGTCCCTCTGATCATGCACCCCTTTCTCCAGATCCGCCTTCACCGCCAACACCGCCTTCTCGATCCCAGCTTCGAACGACTGCTTCTGCTGCTCGCTCTTAAAGTTCTGCCTGTTGTGCAGATGAGAGCGCGACTCTTCCAACCGCAGCACTTGACGCTGCAACGAACGTTCCAGCGCCTCGCCGAACTCGACAAACTCTTCCACGCGCGAGTAGATGCCGTGCTCGAACGCCTTGGAGATCATGTCCGGCGTCGAGCTCCGATTCTCTTCATAGATGGCTTGTGATGTTGACAACGTGCGTACGGCCATCTTGTACAGCCCATCGTCGACGGTGTTGCTGCTCGAGCCGACCGCAGAGAAGGGCGCGCATCGCTCGCTGATCAGGTAAGACAGCGTATCGGCTTGGACACTCTTGAGCCCGATCAGGCCGTAATGGATCGACGCTCGGTCGAACGCACCTGCAAGAATGTAACTGCGGACAAGGAGCATACGCAGCTGGTACCCCTTCTTGCTCTTTGTCAATGCGAATTCGAGCAGAGCGATGACTTGGTGGAGGTAGACCAGCTTGCCGTGAGACAGCCTGTAGGCCGAGAGCAGCGCTTGCACACCGAGCAGGGCGAGATCGTCGGCGGGCTGCATCTCGGTCTCTGGCAACGATGCTCCCACCGTCAGTCCGTCAAGGTATTGCTTCAGCAACTCGGCTGCCAGTTCCGCCTCGCTTTCCTCCGTCAGCGTCGTAGCAGGCTGCACTGTGCGAGTGATCTTGGCGATCGAGATGTTTGTCCTGAGGTCAAGCTCATTCTTGATGGAAAGAGGGCGCGCCTTCTCCTTGAGCTTGTCTGACACACTTTCCCTCGCCTCTGTTGACAGCACGGTCAGGAACGGCAGCAGATCCTCGTGACAACACGCCTTGCTCGCAAACTGATCAAAGTACGAGATCACCTTGGGCGTCAGCTGAGCTGCAGCGTCCCGGTCTCCGTTGCTGGATCGCTTCTTGAGCACCTCGAGCTCGGCGAGTCGTATTGAGCGGTCCATGGTAGCACCTTTGACGCTGAGGAGCATGTTGGTCTTCTTCTTAGCTGCGACGAGATGGTCCTTGCCCAGCTTTTCTGCTGCATCGAGGAAGCCGGTGAAGTGAGCCCAGTTGCGACTACCAGCGTCGATGCGGGCCCAGCAGCTTGTCTCGACAAAGGCCCAGTTGTTCAGCTCCTTGGCGAGGTCCGTCCGTGTGAACTCGAGACTGAGGTTGCGATCGCACAGCGTGTGCCCCACCGAGCCTTCGGCAGCGATCAGATCGAAAGCCTCCTTCTTCTTGCCTTGTCGTATCAGCACTTGCAGCAGCAGACAGAGAGCTTCTTCGTCATTGACACCTAATGGCTTGGACTCGATCTGCTTCTCGATCATCCGTTGGCTGAGAGGGAGTGCAAGTGCGGCACCGGGTGCCGTTGGGTCTCTCGAGAGAAGCAAGTAGGAGAGGACTGACCACCAGAAGTACTCCTCGACAAATCGTCCTTTCGCTTTGTTGCGACCAGTGAAGGACTTGTGCATCTTTGTTGCAAGCTGCTGGGCCTTTTGGAAAGCTTGGTTCTTGACGAGCGCAAAGTAGGTCTGTCGAGCCAGACCCTCGTCGTTGGGGCTGTTCTTGACCGCCGCTTCCAACAGAGTGATCTCATCCGCATTTCGCCCAAGTCGTCCGAGTGTCCAGGTGAGTGGGTTCAAGGCATTGTCTTCGCCGTTCCGCAGCCCTCTGGTGACAAGCTTTGTGCATAATGTGTTAGCTTCCTCACGCTTTCCAGAGCGCACGAGGGCGAGCGCCTTGAGTGACAAAGCTAGAGCGAGGTCCGGCTGCGACTGCAGCACCTTGTCAGCATGTCGAATGGCCAGCGAGTTGTTTCCCGTGTCGATGGCGTTGTAGATGGGACCACAGGCTCGCTCTGCCAGCATGGCTATTGGGTTGAAGCCGGCGTTCATCTTGAGCAACCGCAGCGTCCACCCCGACGGCGGCCTTGTTCGGACAGCTGCGAATCGTTCAGCAGGCCGAAAATATCTGGCAGCCTGCGGTCGAGCGAGAGATCCAAGAGCAGCTCGAGCGAGTCGCAACAGCGTGTGAGATGCACTGAGCAGTCCAGTATGGTCCGGTTCGAGGAAGGTGTTGGTCAAAGTCCTTCAAAAGCACTTCTTCGAAAGCAACACTAAAAAAGATGCCCCCGAAATCCGCACTTTTGGATTGCGATCACGAATCGAACTTACTGCCTGTCTGCAACCGCGATTTTTAGAGACCGAAAGCTTCCGTTGAAAGGTGCAACGCTTCCGATTTCAAACGATCGCATCGTCTGGATCCTCCACCTCGTATCTTCTTGCCCGAAGCATTCGTTCAACCCGTCACATCGGCCCATCGTTCGGCGAAACACTAGCCGTACAGCTGACCGGCAGTCAATTCTAGGACGGACGTTCATCTCTCTGGCAGCTACATACGCCGCACCGGTCCACAAGCATGGCAGTCTCACGGTTCATCCTCGCACCACTGGGTGGTGTCTTTGTAGCAACATCCTTGCTCTACACCTTTCGCCATACCATTGCAGTTCGAACGCACGACACGGCGGTGACACTCAACCGAATCAAGCTGCAGCTCAACGACATTGACCCGGACAACTGGGATAAGGAGGGCAAGGAGCGCGTGACGCGCGAGCAGTTGAGGCCGGCCTATGTTGCCCCTGTGCGACCCTCGGTGACGGAAGAGATCAAGTCTCGCTGGAACGTAAGTGTCATGAGCCAGCAGCGAGGTGTTGCGGAAGGAATGACCTACTGACATCATCATCGACTTTTGTGCAATTGTACAGGAGCACCTCATCGGTGCAGTAGACACAGTGGCCAACGCCAACTACTACGACCTCTTCGCCAACGGCATTGTCAAGGCAAAGAGCGTCTTTTCTCAGGTCACATCTGGCGAGTCTTCGTCTGCGGTAGGCACACCACTTGCTGTGCAAACAGCTGCGACGGGCGGCATCAAGAGCGGCGTCATCAACACGCAAGGCGTCTCGCTGCGGGCGGAGAGCAACGCAAAGGCAGCAACAAGGGACGCTGTTCGTGGTCCAGGGAGCAGCATCGGCTCTCGTATCGCCAGGGCAGTCGGCTTGGATGCCGAGAAGGTCGAAAAGGTCGTGGAGGCAAAGACCGGACCGGGGCTCGGAAAGGTCGGGGAAGGATCGGTCGGACGCACTTTCTACCTCGGAGAAGGGACAAGTCTTCGTTGAAGGACTACAAACAGGCGTAGCTACACAGTGCTGGATCCTTTGACAATCTTTAGAGCAATCGACAATGTCATTGTACACGGTACCTTGACGCATCGCCTCCCTCCAGTGCTACGAGGATAATCCCAAGGTTAAGCACGTGCTGCTCAGATAGATCTTTGTGCAGAGTTGTCAGCATACATCGTAGAAAGATTTCTCCGTCTGGTAGCAATCATGATCCGGATGTGATGGCGAAGATGTCAACTTGCTCGACATGATTCGATGCGAGCACCATCATCTACACAGATTCCAGCTTGGCTCGAGCACCGCAAGAGGTAGAGGAAAAGAGCCTCAAAATTGAGGCTTCGGAAAGCACAGCCGAGCGTCTGTGCGAGCCAGGAACAGGGTCTCGTGGACTGGACAAACTCAATTTCTGTGCGTCATGACACCAAGTCCCACCGTCATTGCATCTTGCCATCCATCTTGCGTCCTCCATGGAACTCGGCCCGGCACCATCTGGATGAAGCTACGTCGTCGCCCTTGACGTCTTCTCTCACCACCCTCCGCGTCTGCCTCCTCCCGGATAGGACACGAGGATCCTCAAACAGCAAGCCGTTCCTCCCCCTGACAGCTGAGCACCACATACATCAGGCATACATCCTACCTCCCTCAAGCCATTATGTCGTCCAAAAGCAACGGCAACATCAAAGACGAGGTCTCTGCCAAGACGGGACTCGGCTCGCACACGGTCGCACCACCCTACTCGATCCCCATCGAATCTCGTCCGCCTAAACAGACCTACCTGCAAACGCTCCTCTTTGCGCTCGTCTTCAACGGTTGCATCATCAGCGCGCACCTCTTCCAACTTCTATCCTGGCCTCTATCCTTGATTCCCGCCACTCGACCGCTGTACCGTTCCAACATCGCGTACACCAAGCTCGCCTTTGCCCGCATCCTCCTCATCGTCTCCCAGTTCTTCGGCCCTACGCAGCTCGTCATCTCTGTCGGCGACGGCCGCGGTGGCCTGCTCGATGCAGAACAGTTTGTTCGGCGCAACAAGCAGACGGGTCGAATCGAAGGGGTAGATCTGCCCCGAAGAGCAGTGTGGATGTCCAACCACCAGGTGTACACCGACTGGCTCTATCTCTGGTGTCTCGCCTACTACGCCGATCTGGCCGACTCGATCCTGATCATTCTCAAGAAAAGTCTCAAATGGATCCCGTTCATCGGATGGGGGATGCAATTCTACCGCTTCATTTTCCTGGCGAGGAACTGGGCGAGTGATCAACGGCAGTTGGCGAAGCAGCTCGGCGACGTCTCTTCGCATCCCGCGGATGGCGACAAGGGCAAGACGGGGACGGCCAAGAAGCTCCTCCTGCTCATTTTCCCCGAAGGCACTCTGGTGTCGGCCCTGACACGACCGGTCTCAGCCAAGTTTGCCGACAAGATGGGCATTCCGGATCTCAAAAACTGCCTCCTGCCCAGATCCACCGGTCTCTTCTTCTGCCTGAGAACGCTGGCCAAGGAGATGGACGATCTGTGGCTGCTGGATTTCACCATTGGCTATCCTGGCGTACCCCAATCCGGCTACGGACAGGACTTTTACACGTTGCGCTCGATCTTCATGCAAGGCATCCCACCGCCGGCGATCCATCTGCATTTCACCATGACGCGCATCACGGAGGCTGTTCAGGGAGATACCAGCTCCAATGCACCCAGCGTCGCCGCCGTCTCCTCGGCAACAGTCGACACCCCGCCTCTCGGGGTCAACGAGAAGGCGGGCGAAAGCACCGAAGACGAGAGAAACGCTTTTGAGGCATGGCTTCGCAATCGATGGACGGAGAAGGATGGCCTCATGGACAGGTTTTACCAGCAGGGCGACTTTGTCGGTGGCGAATTTGCCAAGTTGGTCCAATCGGGCAAGGCGGTGGATGCCAAAGAGTCGTATGGCAAGTTCGCCGTGCTCAAGGCGGAGTTGCGGAATCTGCGCGAGATCGGCGATGCATTCGCTTGGGGTGTGGCACCCGTCGCGCTGTGGTACGCTTGGAAGACCTACCGCGCTTTCTTCTAGACACACAGATAATACATTGCTAGAGAAAGGGTATATTGCGAGAGAGAGACTAGAGGAGAGAGTGTGGAACATCGACAAAGCCCTCAATGATGCGTCGGGCAGTGCGAAAGTAGACGATTGATTCGGGGATGCTTATGAATCCTTGAGACAGCTCGGTCTGGGTGGCGGGGCGGACTTTGACGCTTGCTTCCGAGACACCGGCTGGTTGACCTACGCGGATGGACACGATGCCGTCTTGCTCACCTTTCGCGCGGTTTCCAGCCTGGACGGTCTGTTCGATGGTCGATTGTGGGAATGCCCGACCGGCAGCGAGCGCGGACAGACACGTGGCGGGAACCGTCCGATGCAGGTTGCCCACGCTCACCGCGCGTATTAACACATCCATCTCTTGCGCTGAAACGCTAGATCCGCCCGTGGTCGTGTAGCCCGAAACGGGCGTCGGGTGGACAATGCAGATCTTGGGCGCTGACGGACTGAGCGTTTTCTGGAGAAACGGCGTCAGCGCTGCAGACGCGGTACGAAGTTGATCGAGCAGCGTCATGAGTGGGATGTCTGCATCGAGGTCGGATGGTGAGAGTGATGCAAGCTGCGACGGATCTAGGACGGCGGAGAGGGAGGAAGAGGAGATAAAGATCGTTGGGAGACCAGCGTTGATGATCGTGACCGGGTAGGGGGTGTTGTTGACGGAGACGGTGTCGAGCTGGTTGCCCGTCGGAAGAAGGGAAGAAGTGTCGAGGGGCGTCTCGATGAGGATTCCAGGTGCTGTGCCCGGCACACCTGAGATTGACACATCGCCTTCGAGGTCCGGATACCACCCCATTTCGTGGAGAGTGACGGGCACGTTAGCCCTCACGATCTGACCCGAGCATGTCACGAGCAGTCGCGCTGGGAAGGCAAAGCTGTCCCCAACGTGTGCTGGTCGCCCTTTAGCCTGCTCGAAAACATCCGCTATCCTCTCCTGCCTCACATGCGGCTGGTGCAGCCCAAACAGCGCTACGGCAGAAACGAGGTTGCCACACGTACTCGTCCAGTCAATCTCGGTTCCCTTCTCCACAGGCACCTGGCCGAAGCGATAGACCAGATCCCATCCCTTCTCCTTGTCCGCTGCCAACGCTTCGTCGTCGGCGAAATCTACGCCGTCTGCAAAACCGATCTTGGCGTCGCGCAGTCGAGCAGCGAGTTGGGCGTCTGGAGGGCCGACAATGGCTGTTTTGGATAGAGAGCTGATGCCTCCTCCGAGACCGTCGATTTGCCGTTTGTCAGGGTCGGGTGAGCCCATGCCACGACAGATGATGCGGTCCCGCGTGGCATGGTTGAACGAAGCGAGGGTGGAGGTGGACCATAGAAGTCCTTTGGATGTGCCGCCGCGGTAGAAGGAGCAGGGGAGGCGGAGGCCGCCGGGTAATGTCGTTCGGAGGATCGCGGAGGGTCGCATCGTCGTCCTATCTTGGAGAGGCTGTTCGGGAAGAGATAGGCAGTCGAGATGGATGACTCTTGTCGGATGGCCTGCGTCGGTGGTGCCGACGAGTCGAGGAGGAGGATGAGCGGAGAAGCCCGGCAAGGCTGTCACAGAAGATTGCCGTGAACCCTGAATGGAGGATTTCTCGGACTTCGGTCTTGTGCTCCCGCCCGTGCGAGTGTAACACAGACTTGAGACTGAATCACCTGTCAAGTCACGCCGATTGCACCTGATCAATGGATGCCTTCAGGGTCCCATCCAGCTCGGCAACGTGTTGTTGGCCCCATCCAGAAGCGCTGATCGCCGTATCTTGAGCACGAGGAACGCCGGTGGGCCCTGTTGGTTTCTTGAATTTGGAGATCCGATGATCGTCGAAACGCGTCGAGTTTTTCTCTGTCTCGTGGCAGTGCGCCTCGACAGGAAGAATCAGTTCCCCACGGCGAGGCAGCAGCCAGTCAGCCAGTCAGCCAGTCAGTCAGCCGCCCGTCATGCACATCCAAGTCGACGGAAATCCACGTCCCGAGTTCTTCTTGCATCGACTGCTCCCGAGTGTCGGTCTGCATTGTCCATCCGTGTCGACATCGATCTTCTTTCTTGCTTCCCAACCATCACCCGCATTGCTTAACTCGACAACATGCCTTCTCAGAAGCCTAGGATCCTCATCCCCGGTGGTGCCGGCTACATTGGCTCGCACGTCGCCCTCGTCACCCTCCTCACCCGCAAATACCGTGTCACGGGTAAGTAGCTTCTGATTGCGACGACGCAGGTACACGACAGCAGCTGACACTGTTTGCTTTTGCAATGCTACCCTTCAGTCCTCGACAACTACCACAATGCCTTCCCCACTGCTGTGAAGCGTCTCGAGCAGATTGCCATTGACGAGCTCCCCGAGGGTGCCTCGCAGCAGGACAAGGACGACTGCAAGGTCGACGTCTTCAAGGGGGACCTGCGCATCAAGGACGACGTCAACAAGGTCTTTGAGAGCTACAAGGGCGAAGACAAGATCTGGGGTGTCATCCTCTGTGCCGCTCTCAAGGCGGTGGGCGAGTCCTCCGAGATCCCCATCGACTACTACGATGTCAACGTCGGCGGCCTGGTCAACCTGCTCAAGGCCATGCAGGACAACGGCTGCAACCGTCTGGTCTACTCTTCGTCTGCTACCGTCTACGGCACGCCTCCCAAGGTGCCCATCCCCGAGTCGACGCGCCTTGCGCCCGAGTCGGTCTACGGCCGAACCAAGTGGATGAGCGAGATCATCATCCGCGATGTCTGCGATGCCTACCCCGAGTTCCGCGCCATCGGTCTGCGATACTTCAACCCTGCTGGTGCGCACAAGTCGGGCAAGATCGGCGAGGACCCTCGCGGCAAGCCCGGCAACCTTTTGCCCTTGCTCGCCCAGATGGCCGTCGGCAAGTACCGCGAGGGGGGCCTCAAGGTGTTTGGCAACGACTACCCCACGCCGGACGGAACGTGCGTTCGCGACTACATCCACATTGAGGATCTCGCCGGTGGCCACGTCAACGCTGTGGATGCGCTCGACCGCGACGAGATCTTTGCCGAGGGCAAGACCGAGACCAAGGGCAAGTACCGCGCGTTCAACCTAGGCAAGGGCGTCGGCATGTCGGTGCTCAACATGGTCGAGGCGATGAAGAAGGTGTCGGGCTACGAGTTTCCTTACACCATCGAGGGTCGACGAACGGGCGACGTGCCGGATCTTACCGCCGACCCCACGCTGGCAGAGAAGGAGCTCGGCTTCAAGGCCACCCGCGACCTGGATGCTATGGCCGATGACTTGTGGCGATGGCAGAGCAACAACCCCAAGGGCTACGGCGAGCAGTAGGATCGGCCTAGACTGGCTGTAATGCGGACAGACGCTCGCAGGGATGGCAGTGCTCAAAAGCATGCCCAAGTGTACATAAGCTTGTATGATCGCAAACAGAAACAAGAAGCGCATAGAGACCAAAAGCAGCACACTCATGTTGTCGGCTCAATGGCTTGCATACTGGCTGCCATACAATGAGGCGAGGAAACAGCCCGCTGCACACTCCTGTGAGAGAGAAGCTGTCGAGATCAAAGCCGTACGTCTCAAGACGATTTGGCACCGATTGGGCAGCACGTGGCTTTGTGACGCGTTTGGTCATCCAGCGTGTGCCGGCAGCCTTGAGAATTTCTTGTTGTGGAGGCTGAGCCTCAAAAAAGGGGCTCAGCAGGGCGCAGTCTGCATTTCACCGCAAGGCCGCTAAAAAAGTGTTGGTCTCGACTAAGGAGAAAAGGGGCTCAATGAAAAGTGTCACTTTGTCAAGCGCCTCCTCCTCGCTCCATGCCTGGCTATGAATGCGCTTTGCCTCTTCTCCCTTCCTTGCGTTCCCCCACCATCCCGATCCGTGAAGCACTCTCCCACCGCTTTGTGTCAAAGGTGGGAGTTTCGAGGTCGAGCTTGTCCTTGTTTCATCAAGGTTGACAGCCCCACTCTGTTGAGCCATCATCTAGCTGTTCCTTCCTCCGTCTCTGCTGTCCACCCGCATCTGCCTCCTCAGAGGGTACATATAGGGCTCTCATACAATCTTGCACAGAAACTCGAGTCCCACACGACCACTCGCCGAATCGCATTGACCAGGTGATCCAATGTCGACCCCAGCCCTCGCCTCGCCAACCGTAAATGCCCCCTCTCCAAGCCGTCTAGGTTTCTGTCAGCGCTGCGGAGACCCCATCTCTGGCAAAGTCCGCTGCAGCAAGTGTAGCGGCACCAGCAAGGAGGCCTCTCTACGCTCTACCAAAGCGTTTCCAACCGCTAACAAGCCGGATCCCTGGGCCCATCGCTATGTTCACGGCGACTCGAGCTTGCAATCTGCCTCTGGCGCCGATCAAGAGGACGACGAGTACACCCACGATCGGCCACCTCCTCGCTCTCCAAAGCGGTCCAGCTACGGACCTGCTCTCGGCTTCGGCATGCCCTCCTGCATCTCGCGCGACCTTCGCACCAGCACATCCTCTAGATCTGGATTTGGTCTAGACCCAAACGCTTCCGTCAGCTCAGTCGACATCAGCTCGTCGAACCTAAACCTTCCGTTGACAGAGCCTCTATCTCGACGGCCCAGTCAGGACTACTCGGCTCCCATCGTCAAGGGCTCCGATGGCGTCCTCTCGAAAGTATGTGGCTCGCTGGTCGAGCCCTCCGAGAGTCGCAATCGATGGGCCTGCGCCGACTGCGCCGCCGTCTTCGCACGTGACTCCACCCTCTACGCAGCGCCTCCTTCCCATCAAAGTCAGGACTCATCCTACTACTGCCGTGATTGCTATGCTAAACGATACAGCCTTGGCGGCTGCCGTGCATGCGGCCGTGACGTGCTTGGCTCGACAAAGGAATACGGCAAATACGTCAAGGCTTCCAGTGGCATCTGGCATGGCAAATGCTGGAAGTGCACGTCTTGTTTTAAGGGTGGCGCGGACGGAGTGGATATCTTGGTTGGAATGGATGGCAATCCCACCTGCGAGGGCTGCTTCGACCGTCCTCGGCGTGCTCCCTCTGCAGAGCCTCCTGTCGCTCGTAACGATCCCGACGACAGCCGCCTCCCTGACATGCGCCGTGTCACGCGCATCGGTGCTACACGCAACGGACCCATGGGCGCGACCATCGCCGAGCTTACCAAGAAGCTGGGCCAGCAGTCGGTCTCGTCTGCTCCTCGCATTCCGTTCTCTAGCCGATCGAACTCCAACACATCCCTACCTCAGTCTACATCCTCGCTTAGCGCAGCCGATCCGCGCCGGTCGCCAGTCAAGAGCCAGTATATTGTCCCGACCCCCATGCCCGCTTCACCGGGCAAGGCTCCAAGCATGACCCGGTCGGGAAGTCTCACCGGAAGCCCCCCGAAGCCACGTCCTCTTACTGCGCAGTTCAGGGACGGTCTGAACCTGGCCGCGTTCAAGCCCTCCTTCGCCTCAAATACCGAGAGCACTGGCCTCACTCGCAGAGACTCACGCAGCCGCAGCGTCAGTCCGATCAAGAGGCCCGAATGGAGATCCAGCACCGCTGCATTCAAGCAGCAATCCATATTGGATCGAACCGCGAGCGTCGAAAGCGGATCATCGACCACACGAGTTGGATCAAAGGTTCCGGGCAGTCCGTCACTGCATCCCATCATCGCCTCAAGCAATCGGCTACGTGTGGCGACCACAGATGCGGGTCGTCCTCGCACTTCGGGCGGCTTCATCCGTCCCCACAATGATCCCTTCTCCGGCAAGAAGGTCGAGCGGCAAAACATCCTTCAAGGTGAGAAGGCTGGTCTGGCCGAATCTAGAGAGCCGTCAGATGGCAGCCTTCCGTCTCCCCTCGAGCCAGCTGAGGGGACGGTCCAATGTGCCGCCTGCCACCTTCTCCCCTTCGAGAAGCCTGGTTCCATCGAAGCACAGGAAGTCGTCATGGTGACGCTGGCGGACCAGGTCCACCTCCACGCCGACTGCTTCCGCTGCTCGATCTGCCACGACCTCATCGATGGCACCAAGACCTTTGTCAGGCTTCAGGACGACCTTGCGCATCCGGCACTGGCAGATGGGCTGCCTGCCTACGCACATCCGCGCTGCTCTCCGACCATCCAGCTCAAGACGGTCCCCGCGCAGGTTGACAACAAGGGTACGCCAAGCGGAGGGCAGAAGAGCTACCGAACGAGTCTCGATCCTGCCAATGCAATTGTTGTGAGTCGCGATGGCAGCTTGAGGAGCCACGCGACGCATCAGAGGGAGCTCAAGCCGAGTCCGGCGCCGTCGCCTGCAACGTCCATGCGGGAGCGAAATGAGGCTGATCGACCGTCAATCTTGCCTTCCGCGACTCTGTCCCGGCCCAGTGCCATGATCAAGACATCATCCAAAGACAGCGCGAGTCCAGCGCCATCGTCGCTCACCAAGCCCAGCGCTCCCACGACAACATCGACAGCTCGACGCTTCCAACCCACCGCAGGCGCCGCCCCACCCACCCAATCGACCATCCTCACCCCCTCGACTGGCCGCCCGGCCAACCCGGCAGCCGGCATCTTCTCCCGCATCTCGGCGCTCTCCTCTGCCAATCCGGCCCTCCTCGCCCCTGTTTCGGGAGGGAAGTTCGGCGGCATGCACACGTGCGCCTTCTGCGGCCTCACCGTCTCCTCCCTCGAAGCCGTCCTCGGCCCTCGAGGTACTCAGTGGCACAGGAGCTGTCTGATCTGTCGCGCCCCACCACAGAAGGCTGCGAAGGAAGGACTGTATGAGTGGAGGAAGCCAAAGCCAACGGTCTGCGGGAAGCGGTTGGATAGCGGGGCCAAGGTCAATGGTGACGGTGAGGTCAGGTGTCGGGAGTGCTACGATCGCGAGAGCGGGGCGTTCAAAGTCAAGGTGTAGTGAAGCTTCTCATGTCATGAACGTAACGATAGTAGTTCACATATGTTCACACTGGGGAGGCACCGTCTGAAGAGCGTGTCATTGCTAGGGGACTGAACGATCACAGCAACAAACGAGAAAAGTGTGGACAAAGATGACGGATCATCGGACGACCGTGCCAACGTCTAACAGTAGACGCGGTCTTTTTGGAGCGTCGACGCTTAGTCGAAGAGACCGAAGCCCATGTCGTCGTCGGACTCCTCCTTCTCCTCCTCCTCCTCCTTCTCGGCGGCGGGGGCGGCACCGGCGTCGGCGGCGGCAGCGACGGGGGCGGCGGCGGCGAAGGCCTCGGGGTTGGCGAGGTACTCCTTGGCCTTCTTGCTGCCCTCGAACTCGTAGTCGGTGGCGAGCGAGACGGCGATGAGGTTCTTGTAGGCGTTGACGAGCGAGTGCATGACGCTGGCGATGGTAGGGTAGTTGAGCGCAAGGGAGATGCAGGCGACCTGCTTGATACCCAGCACGAAGCGGTCGACCAGCTCGTCCTCGGAGACGTCGAGGACCGACGACTCGAAGCACTGACCCTGGTCGTAGATCTGCACCACCGTCATACCGTACGTGAAGGGCGAGATGTTGAGCATGTTCAACAGCGTTGCCTCGGAAGTACCCACACGGTTACCCGCATCAACAACCTTGACGTCGGAAACAATCTCGATGGTACCACGAGCAATCTTGGTAGGAACACCAAGAGCCTGGAAGAACGACGTCTTACCCGGCTCCATACCCGTGTTACCGGCCTTGACAAAGATGTCAGCCGGAGCATAGGCACCGGCACGAGCAGGCGCAGCCACTCGGTTGGTCAGGATCTGATCCCGCACATCCTTAAGATCGCCACTGGTGAAGACGAAACCGATGTTGCCCTTGAGGTGAGGCAGCAGACGCTCGTAATCGGGGTGGTCACCGATGAGCATTCGCAGAGCTCGACGAGCCATCGTGTTCTTGCCCATCAGAACAACTCCCTTACCGCGCAGAGACTGACGGATCTGGTGCATCTGCTGCGACGAGACGTTGTCAATGTTGACAATGAAGATCGAAGGGTACTTCTCGAGCAGCTCGGTGAGCTTCTCGAACCAAGCCTCCTTGGTAGCGCGAGGCATTCCACCCATTTTGGCGAATTGACTGAAGTTGGTGGGGAGAAAGGGTGTGGTGTGTGTGTGTGTGTGGTGAAGAAGAGTTCGGCCTACCTATCACCTCAGAGAGTGGATTGAAAGGAAGTTTAAAGGTCGAACGACGGTGGATGGTGAGGAGGGGAAGGGAGGATCGTGACGAGCGGATTTCGAGGTCGGGCCTGGCAGGCCAGACGACCGCAACCATGGCTTCTCGCCTGAGAATTTCTCGAATTTCTGATAAGAGCCGTCTGCTGCCCCGTTCTTCCAGCGAAAACCACCAAATTGCTGCGGCAAGTCCTGCCTGCAGAGAAGAGGTCTCTCGGATCCGAAAACAGCGATTCATATTTTTGAAGTGTTACATCGTCAGCTCGAGGGTCTGCCGAATCCCGAGATCTTTTGGCGACCCTCGAGAAAGTGTCAGACCATGCGAGCAGGTGTGTGTGCCTCCAGGCTGATCACAGCATACATATCCAGACATTCCTCGCTTTGCTTCGCACCTTTCATCACATTCAGCATCCCCACAGTCGGGTACGACCAGCACCGAACGACACACTATCAACAGATGTCGCGATAGTACGGAGCACAGCAACACATTCACCAGCACACGTGCGCTGCCCAAGGAGAAGCTGGCTCCGCCCTGCAACGGCAGCAGTCCGAGGCGCGTCTTGACTCTGTGCGGCGATCCTGCCGGCAGCAAGAGTGATGCCAGGGCATGTTCTTCAGCACCGCCTTTCAGTCGCTGCGCCACTCGGCAGCGCGGTCGCGGGCATACGGTCAAGCGTCGAGACTTGCTTCGAGCTCGAGACCAGGCCATAGCGAAAGCACACACGGCTCAGCATCGCGCCAGTGGCATGCTCCTCACGGAAGCCTTGTCTCTGGCGAAGCTGGGCCCTCGCGCTGCTTCTGCTCATCGCACCGACCCGCAAAGGCGTCAGAGCTGCCCCTGGAGGACCTCCGATACGAGAGCTCTCTCGACCCCTACCACCATGACCAGCCCCAGACCTCTGCCGACTTCTGGCATCCCAGCGACGCTTCAAGACCGCGACCGCAGTCGAGAAGACAAGCCAGCAAAGATCATACTCTACAACCATCACCGTCAATACGAGCATTGTACGAGCATCGCAACCGACCCCTGCTCATCGAAACCTCGCCCCCCGACTTCTTCACTTCATCCAAACCACAAAATGCACGCCTTGATCCCGCTCAAGCCGAATCACCACCAATTGTCAATCAGCATCCAGCTCGACCAGCTTTGCCTCCCACCTACATCAAATCGCTGCAACCGCATCAAAGGGAAGCTATCGAGAGTCGCATTCGTCTGCTCGTACAGTCTGGCGAGCGGTCTATGTCAGCTTTGTGCGCCGAGTTCGGCAAGGTCAACTCCTCAGAGAGGGAGCAGATCTGCTGCCACGTCTTGTCACAATGCGTCAAAGAGTCTCGAGATGCTCGACTCGTATGGGACATCTACCGCTCTTGGAAGCCGACAAAGCTCGTGGACAACTCCGACTCTGGACCATCACGATCCACGATCCGTCGCATGCAGGAAGGAACGCTTTACAAATGTGTCACACACCTTCAGACTGCGGGTCTGACACGGCAAGCAGCGACCGTAATCGGCGACGGTCGTCTGAGGCCTTCACAATCTCGGTATCTCTTGGAACGTCTAATCTTCGATATCAAGCTGCCCTCGACACCGACAACAGTACAGCCATTCTCCGACGCTATCGAAGGTTCATCGCCTTCATCGACCTCAGTCGACATCGTACAACCATCGTCGACTTCCTCTCCGGTGTCTGACGTCCGACTCACAGTCCGTGCGATGGGCGACGCCATGATCAGCCTGACCGCAGACGGTGTTTCGTTCAAGCGCAAGGTGGTCAATCGCATGTTCAAGCTGCTGTGCTTGACGAAAGCGGGCAATCGTATCGTCCGCCTCTTGCGGACGGCTCAAAGGCGCGCACAGATCGATCTGTCGAGCTCAGATGCGAGCAATGGACTACGGACGGCGGGAGGCTTCTCTCGCCTCCGCGCGCAAGAGATCAAGCCACCGCAAGTGGTCTCGACCAAAGTCATGGAGGATTCGCTGTCTCTGCTTTGTGCACAAGACTTGGCTGGCGCAAGAACTGCCTTCGAGCTGCTCAGTGTTCTGGATGCGTCGCAGCGCACGTCAGCGATGTACGACACTCTGATGGGCATGTTCGCCAACGCTCCCTCCCAACCGGCGCCGCTGTCAATCCTCGACTCGAATGAGCCCAGCCTCGGCTTCAGATCGACCGACGAGCAGCTCTGGCACGACATCTGCACGATCCCTCATCTCGGCGGACCGACGCTACGCACCATGTCGGCGCGCATCATCTGCCACGCCCGCAACCGCCGGCTCGACCTGATCCAGTCCGACCTCGACTTTGTACGCACCACACGACTCGGCACGATCCACGACCTCACCGAGACCGCCCGCCTCAGCATCGTCCGCTGCTGCATCGAACGAGGTTCGCTGCTCACGGGCTTCCGGTACACCTCGATCCTGCTTAGCGCGGTTATGGAGGATAAGCGAGCGCAGAGTAGGATCGTCACGACGCTTCTCAAGGCCGCGCAGAGCATTCGTATCCCACCCTCTGTTGCCCCCGTTGCCTCCGTTGCCTCTGGCATCGGAGCGAGCTCCATCCCCTCCCGCGCCCAGCTCCTCAAACGCTTCTGGCGCCATTTTTCCTCCCTCCACCGCAAGTTCCCGCACCTCCAGGTAGGGATGCAGGAGCTCAAACTGGTCATCCAGCTGCTGGATCGTCAGCAGGGGTGGATCGAAACACGAACGCTGTGGAGCATGCTCCGTGTGGTTGGGCGGCACTTTGACGAGCGGGATGCACGGTTGGTACGGGTGCTCGAAGCTTTTGTGCGGGTGTTTGAGGCTCGAGCCGAACAGGCGAGCGCAGACGAACTGAAAAAGCTCATCGCCACCCTTCAGACCATACAGACGAAGATGTAGAAACAGCAATGCAATTTTTTAGCCGCGGTTCATGGTGTTTCCCGCTCCCTTCTGGTTCTCCTCGGCAAAGCGGTCCCAATGGATATCCTTCTGTCGCTGTTCTTCCTCCGCCTCCTCGGCATCGAGTGTTCCGTCCTGTTCAGCACGCAATTGACGCGTCTCGGTGCTGGTTGGCGCATCGTAACTCGCTTGACCGCCTCCTTGGATGATGTTCCCGCGCCGTTGCTCCTCTTCGAGATACTCGTCGATCGACATGGTCGGCAGACGGTAGGAGGGCTGGAAGACCGATGCGGCCACCTCGGCGCGCGTGGAAGGCGTGATGGTGAACGGTCGGAGGACTTTGCCTGTCGGTGCGAGGAGGGGACCGCTGGTGGGGAGACCGGAGGTGGGTCGGTCGAGACGCCATTCCGATTCGGAGGTGGAAGAGGGGTTGGTGGGTTGCGGCGGTGGCATGGATCGAAGCAATTGGAGTTCTTGCGAGGACGAGGCGAGGAGGGAGGCGTTGCGCAGGACGTGTAGGTTGAGCAGCGCTAGGAGGTACTGTCGTACTGAAGCGATGCCTCCTGGTGCGGAGGTCTCGGACGTTTCGTTCTCCCCATCGTCATCATCTCCCTCGTCGTCGTCGTCCCGCTGAGAAGGGTACAGCAGCAGATCGTAAACCACATCATCCGGCGCTATGCCATTGAACTTCCGCTTCGCCCGATATGCCTCCCTGAAGGACTGCAAGTTGCTCTTCAGCGCACGCTCGAGCTTGAACGTGGCAATCTTGACCTCTCGTGTGTGCGGTGGTGCTTCGGTGCCTACCCAGCTGACATCCACGCCTGCATCGGTCAGTTCACCCTCGGGCACACTCGCCCGCGTCCACCCAACCAGCTGCTTCGTTGTTGGCGGCACCACACCTAGCGCAATCACGCGGTTGAGGAACTTTGCGGCGGCTTCTTGACTGGAGCGCAACCGCTGCTTCCGCGCTGCATGGTCGGTGCCCGTGCGTACGCTCGTGTGCAACTCCGCCGCGAGGGAGGGGAGGAAGAGCGTGCGCAGGGACGAGGTGGAGATGTCACGAAGCGCGTCGTTGGAGGAGATGACGCCGATCGAGTCGGATATCTGCTGTGCCCGGGTAAGGAGGGAGAGTGTTGCGACGGCTGGGTCGGTTGTGCTTGAGGAGGAGGATGAGGCGGTGGAGGAGGAGGCTGCGCGAGGGTCAAACTGCTGAGGCGGCGGTGCTGGGGGCGGATTGGACGCTTGCAGAAAGACGGTCGATATGAGATCGTTGAGTGTCTGGCCTGACATTGTTGCGAAGACCAGCTGTATGGTGAGGAGGATGGTGACGGCACAGAGAAGAAGGTTGATGGCTGAGTCGAAGGGTTGGAAGAAGTGTTGGTCTGAGAATTTCGGCAAGGAAAGGGTCTGCGAGGCTCAGGTGGAGTCGAAGTGCTTAGTCATGATTAGCTGTAGGAGCTGTCAACGGCGTTGTTTGCATAGCCGTGCCGTGCTTGCCTCGAGCTCAAACGCCGGTTCTCGTGCTACAGTAGCAAGGCAGCGGATGGGCAGAAAGTCGGCCTCTGCACCTTCCGGAAGCACACAGTCAGCAGCGGAGGCATATGCCCGTGCGAGCGCTAGACTAGCGGTTGCTTCATTCGCGTGACACCTCCCCAACCGTCGGCTTCGTATATTAACGCCCTCCATCAACCTTCCCAACTCACACTCTCCCCCTCCCGACCACCAACAACCCCGTCCTCCTAACTGTCGAACAACACATACCATACATACCCCGTTCAAGAATAGCTTCAACATGCCGATCCCAACTATCTGTCTCCCCTCCGGCGTAGAGCTGCCCCGCCTCGCCTTCGGCACCGGCACCGCTCTCTACAAGTCCGACGCCAGCAAGCAGGTCACCATGGCGCTCGAAGCTGGATTCAGGTTCATCGATAATGCTGAGGTGTACGAAAACGAGACTTATGCCGGCGAAGGCATCGCATCCTTCCTCAAAACGTCCGGTCTCAAGCGCTCCGATCTCTACATCCTGACCAAGGTTGGCAGCGATGGCATGAAGGACCTGCAGTCCGCGGTCAAGGTTGAGATGCAAAAGCTCAAGGTAGACTACCTCGACTCGTACCTGCTCCACTTCCCTCCTCGCGGCAAGGACGGTCTGCCATCCAATGTCGACGCATGGAAGGAGCTGGAGGCGATCAAGAAGGCGGGTCTCACCAAGAGCATCGGTGTCAGCAACTGGCTTGCCAGTGACATTCAGCAGCTCCTCGACGCAGGTCTGTCCGTGCCTGACATCAACCAGATCGAGTTCCACCCCTACTGCTATTCCCACCAGGAGTACACCAAGCTCCTCGCGCTCCAGAAGAAGCACGGCATTGTGACGATGACCTACTCAGCCCTGGCACCGTTCTACAAGTCCGCCCTGCCAGAAGACGGACCGCTCAACAAGGCGCTGACTTCGATCGCGGGCAAGAACGACAAGAGGACCCCTGCCAACGTCCTCCTCCGCTGGGCTCTGCAGAGGTCCGAGGGAATCATCACCACGACGACCAACAAGGAGTCGCGCGCAAAGGAGTACCTCGACCAGGTGGACTCGGGCAATGACCAAGAGCTCAAGCTCAGCGAGGACGAGCTGAAGCAGATCGACGAGGCAGGCAAGGAGCATGGTCCGGAGAAGTTCTACATGGCTCCGTTCCTCAACCCTTGATTCAACTTTGTCAGTGCCAGGACACGTATCAAAGCTCTTCTTCTTTCCAATGACGCTGTGAGCAAACGACGCTGTGATTCATGTGTGCCCGAGAAGGTGTCCTGGGCGGCCATACGAGAAGAGCATTGCGAGCACATTATGATTGTTATACGTTAAAGTAGCAGGGTATGGTTCTTCGCAACGGTCCGTGCATAGCAAGCCCATTTTTGATGTACTGTGTCTGAAGTCGACATAACATAACTCGAAAAATTCGTGATCGCATCTCAAACGGAGCCGAAGCGCGCTGCTAAGAATTCGAGGTTGCTTGTCGCTTTCCACATTTCGACACCTTCTCGACATCCTCATCATCATCATTGATCGCCGAGACCGACAAAACGCTCCCACCAACTCGAACGGCTCGATCCACCTCCAGGCTTACCCCAAGGCCTGAAGAAGACGCAGCAAGAAAAGCGCAATACCTCCATAGCATCTCACAATGGCTGTAAGTTCTCAGCAGATAAGCAAGATTGTTGGTTAGACGTCGATGCCGTAGCAAGAGAAGCTGATCGTGTACGTTTGCCTTGCTCTCTTCCTGATCTCTCCTCGGACGCTTTGACATCCATTATGACCTTCGCACGCTTCGCATGTGCTCTATCTGGATACCGATCTGCAACGCCGACTCACGGCCATCAACCTGGATCGTACGAATTGCCATGGATCTGCACCTTCTGCCCGCTCCGTTTCGGCACCATCATCTGCTCATCTATCCCACACGCATTGCATCGCCTACTCCAGTCCGGATTCAGCTTCAAAGGCGGTCGACCGCGCTGCTTCGCCTTTTGGCAGGAGTTCCAGAAATGCTACGCATCCGCCGATACACCCTCGGACTGCATCGCGGCCAAGGAGGATTACCTCGAGTGTCTGCACCACACCAAGGAGATTGCGCGCGCCAAGGAGATCAAGGATCACTGGCTCCAGCGTCAGGCGAAAGAGGCCCACGCCGCCCGGGAGAAGGGCGAGGTCAGAGCAACCAGCAGCATCATGGATCTGGGGCTCATCAACGATGCCGGTAAGGATAAGGGGGATGGGGGCAAAAGCAGCGGCGAAGAGTCGTCGTAGTCGCACTTTTTAGTGGAGAATACGACAAGTTTGCATACAGACGCGGACGGTGTGAAACGTCGTGCCCTCAAAAAGCAGGCGCTGAGAGACACACTTTGCGACGAAAGAAACAGCAGATGACATTGATCCCGAATCGTTTACAAGCGACTATCAACAACCCAGATACGACGAATCGTAGCGGTACCCACCCGTGGAAAGACTCGGTGGCAGGTCGTCCTCTTTCATCCCGAAGGTGCGACTTGGCTTGGGACCCAGCGTCAATTCCAACGTCGCTCCCTCGGCAAAGACGCTGTGACATAACCAAGTCTTGGTGTACGGCTTACCATCCAACCTCGCCTCGACAATGTACTTGTTCTTCTTCGCACCGTCGAAACCCCTGGTCGTGAGACGGAAGATCTTGCCCGTCATCTGGTTGGTGATGGCAAAGGCGCTCAACAATGGCGTGCTGAGCAGATACACGCCCGTCCCGGCAACCGGATAGAACCCGAAATGCGACCAGACGACAAAACTTCCCATGGCGCCAATGTCATCGTTGCCCGGCAAACCCGTCTTGGTCGTATCGAACTTGCTCCTGATGATGCTCACGACCTGGTCCACCGTGTGAGAATAGCCGCCGATCGCAAAGTTGGCCGAATAGAGCGCAAGGAACGCCGGCTCGTTGCCGATATCCGCGTATTCGTTCTTCCACATGTGATCGTATCGTTGCACGAAACGTTTGTGCCCGCCCATCAATTCCACTAGCTTCGCTGCGTCTTGAGGCGCGAAATACGAGTATTGCCAGGCCGACGCTTCGTAAAACTCACCGCCGCCGATGTTGAGGAAACAAGAGAGCGGTTCCAGTGCGGAAGAGCAGCGTTTGGGATCCTGGTAGACCCAGGTGCCGTTCTCGTCGCGCGGTTGGAGGAAGCCCGAAAAGCCGTCCGAGACAATGTCGGGATTCCACAGATTGAACGTGTCGTCGGTGAGTCGACGGTAGGTGTCGTAGAGCTCTCGGCGTCGCAGACCGGCCGCAACGAGGGCGATGCTAAAATCGTTGAAGGCGTACTCGACCGTTCGGGACGCGCTGCGACCTGGAACGGAGCCTAGAACCAGCGCACCCCCGGAAGGGCCGGTGGGAACGTATCCGAGTTTGGCACGCGCCGCAATGCCTCCTCTGCCCACTTGGCCCCACGAGACCGGCTCGTCCTGGGCATCCTTGAGCATGGCTTGGAGCGCATCCTCCCAGAAGGCGGTGTCGTTGGCGAGGATGCCTTTGACGTACGAGTCGCTGAGCATCATCTCGGCATTGCTACCCCCCTGGGTCCAGCCTTGGTCGGTGGACATCCTGCAGTCCGGCAACCACCCTTCGTGCTTCTGGATTTCGACGACGGCTTGGAGCACTTCGGCCTGCACCTTGGGCGCAAGCAGCACCCAAAGGGGATGCACGGTGCGTGCGCTATCCCAGATGCAGTAGAGCGAGTCGTAGGACGGCTTGGTGGTCTGGAAGCGAGGGTTGTCGCCTGTAACATTGTTCGGAGAGAGGAAGGAGCGGTAGAGGGACGAATAGAAGAGGGTGAGGTCGGCATGGGTGACGCCCTCTTGGGAAATCCAGAGTGTATCGCCGAGGAGATGGTTCCATTTCGAGCGGCTCTGTTGGACGACCGAGTCAAAGTTGCCTTTGACGTGGAAATTGGGAAGCTCCGACTCGGCGTACTTGCAGGCAGCAGCCGTGGAGGTCCAACTGATACCCATGCGGACAGGAAGAACGCCGTTGAGGGTGGCACCCTTGAGCGTATCTCGATCCACAGTGAGGACGATGCCGCCTGCGACTTGAATGCCTTCGATGCTGGTCATCTTGGGTTTCAGATCCCTGCGAAGGTAGATATCGAAGGAGCTAGCGTAGGGTACATCGAGACAGGAGTAGACGGTAAAGTTGCCGACGCCAAAGGAGGGCAAGAACAAGGCGCTGGTCTCGACGCGAGTGACTGGAACCGCAGATGCACTGCCCGCGGGTGGTGGGAGGGTGAAATTCGATGTGGTGAGGGTGTTGTTGACGTTTCGACCACCGCTATAGCGAAGATCGGAGATGTGGTCAAATAAGAGGATAGCGCGCTTCTCCTGGACTACTGATGGAGGGTCAGCTGCGACCTCGGGTCTGGATGGCGATCCTGGGTAGACTGGCACCGAGGGTTGGCGTAGGACTGGCGAATAGTCAAAGGTATACATGGCGGCGCGGTCAGTGGAAGAGAACTGGATCCCAATGCCGTTCTGCAGCTTGAAGCTGAAACGACCCGGGGAGCTCGATACGGATTCGAACGAGATGTTGGTGGCTCTACCATCTGTGGCCCATTTGCATTCGGATGCTGCCTCGTTGTTGGCGAGCTGGCAGTACTGAGGCAGAAGCGAGGACATGCCGAGCGAGGGATATCCTCCGGTTCCGTCGTCGTGCAAGGCGCTGACGCCACGGATGGGAGAGACGCCATCGGGCACAAAGCCAGCTTGGTTGTTGCCCACGATTGAGTCGAGTCCAGGCTTGACACTGCCAAAGGGTGTGGAGGGACCAGCGAAGACATTGCCGCCTTTGAGTGTGCCTATCAACGTGTCGACGTATTGCGACGGATCCACGTTTGGAACTGGAGCGCGCAGAATCTCGCTGGCTTGGTCTGAGCTCATGAGCCCATCGAGATGAGAGAAAGAGTTGTCGAAGCCAAGGTGGCTTTGTGATGCGCCCAGGATGCTGTCGAGATAAGGTGCGGCATCCTTGTACTGAGATGCCAGATAGAGGCATGTGCAGATGAAAGCCGTGGCGAGCAAGACGAATGTCCTACGCCCGAGTGCTAGCCTGAGACGGGGCATGTTGCAGAGCGCAGCGCCGATTCATCAAGGATGACGGTGTCGACGAGAGTCAAGTGCTATCGCTCCCCCCCTAAATGCAGGGTCTCTGTCCGACGAGTCTTGAATCCAAAAGCTTCCCGCACTTGGCGGAGCGGGAATAATGTCAAAGGACCCTGACGCCGATTTTCGCGCGACGTGATCATGTTAAGTCGGCCAAAAATGCGGACGTCATATGACGCCAAAGCAGACGCGTTTCTGGCAGAGACTCTCAGACATTCACATGCTCGGCACAGTCAAGCTCATCCGGGCTGAGTTCAAGGGTCTCAGACAGCTTCGACTGCATATACCCTCACGACCAGCACCATCCATCTCCTCCTCCTCCTCCTTGCTTTTCTCAGCAATCATGCCCGTCAACGTCTGAACATTCGCAATATACCCATCTCAGCACCATGTCATACCAGCAGCAATCAAGATCCAGCCGAGGATCCTCCGACCTCAATACGCGATACCAGCGCGTCTCCTCTCATCAGCAACAACAGCAACAACAGCAACAGCAACAACGTCAAAGACCACAGACGCAGAGAGTGTATTCAGCGACGACGCCAACATGGACTTCGCAACCGGTCCCTGAGCCACCGCTGCTTCCGCCCTTGGTCGACCTGGCCAACTGGATCGCAACGCTGCCACCCATCCAAGAATGGCCCACCCTGCTCATTGATCGCCTGCTGCTAGCGCCGGTCACACAGCTGCTACAAATCACGCGCGACATTCTTCTCTCACCCAAAACTCATCGTGTCGTGGTGCGTCTCGGTGTTCTTGCAACCATCTTTTGGATCGCACTTGCTGCCGCCGTGGTCAGCTACATCGGCTTCTACCGTGCTTGGGTGCCCGACGTCGGTCTTCGCAAAGAGATCTGGCTGCAGTATGGTCATGACCGACCACCTTTCGCCCATCTCGACTTTGGCACCGCTGCGTATCGACACCAGCTGGGCGAGCCGTCACCTTCTTCGTCTTCCTACAATCCATCCACCGATATCAGCGGCGAATACTTTGCTCAAGATCAAGCTTACGATGTCACGCTCGAGATCTCCGTGCCTCTCAACCAAGCCAATCTGGACCTTGGCAACTTTATGGTGGATCTCGACCTTAAGAGCAGATCCAACCGCTCCGTATTCCACGTCAGCAAGCCGACCCTGCTCACCTACTCGACTGCTCCGGTGCGAGCCGCCGACTCGATCTCGCAAATGATGTCGCGAAATCCGCCGGCGCAACAGGCTCCGGCTACCTCGCAGCTGCTCCGCATTCCGCTTCTGCGCAGAGCCGTGCTGCGACCCTCTTCCTTTGCTCCTCCGCTCTCTTCGACACCGCCTGATCCGCGAGCCGACAGGAAGGTGACGCACGGCCAAGTGAGCGTCGGCCGATCTGACCAGAACAAGTTTTGGATGTACGGCGGCAATCACAACACGCTCGCTGGCGTCCAGACTCTGCCTCACAACGGTCGCGTGGTGCCTCTGGCTGTCGGTTCGCACTCCAGTCGCGGAGAGCTGCAGACCTACGCCGCCAGTCTCCGCTTTGACGCACACCTCTCCGGGTTGAGGTTCTTTATGTACCACTTCCCACTTCTTTCTTTCATCATCTTCACCGGTCTCTTCTTGGCCCTGGAGATGGCGACGGCCCTAACATTGTGGTCGGTGGCCGCTATCTACACCAGCACCATGACGGTGGCACCCGTGTCGCTGGACACAGACGAGCACTTCCAGAATCAAAAGTCGTGGCGGCCTTCGCGTCGCAGTGATGAGGATTACGGCGTCAAGACCGAGACCGAGACAACGCCCTCGGCGGAAGACTCGGCTTGGCAGGAAAGACGGTACGAACAGAGGGACGACGAGGAAGACGAGACCGAGACCGAGACCGAGGCTCGAAGGAGGTACAAGCGCGAGCCACGCATCAAGACAGAGGGCTACGACGATGAGGATCAGGAAGGCTCTGGAGTGTCAGAAGAGGAAGAGATGCGCTTGCGATCTCTGCAGAGTCTTCAGGCGAAGGACGAAGCTGATCTGGCCGAGGCGATCCGACAGTCGAGGATGCGCGATTTGCTGGAAGCGAGACGAATGGGTGGTGCTGGGCCGAGTGGAAGCAGTGACAGAGGCATGATGCAAGGAGAATCGCTCATCGATATCGTCGACCCGACCTCGCCCATATCTCCTGAAGAGCTGTCCGAGATTCAGATGTCGAGGAGGGTGCTGGACCGACTTGACGAGGAGACAGAGGAAGATACAGATGTGGCATCGTCGCGACCTTCTCGACCATCGTCCCGCCTCGCTGCGAGAACCTCTGCGACGGCGCAAGGTGGTGGAAATGGATCGGGCGAGACAGAGTCTTGGGAGGATCTGGACGACGAGTCGGCATCTGGCGAGTCAGCAGACGCGGCCTTGAGGCAGAGGAGGAAGCCCGACGACGATGATGACGATGATGACGACGGTGGTGACGGTACAATTGGAGGATCCGAGACCTCGGGTCGCAGGACGGCGCGCTCGTTCGGTGCGACTACGACTGCCGGCGCCTCGTCCTCTACACGCACAGGCTGATGACGACGGCACTGTTCCGACAGACACAACACGATCAATGACATTTCACGATCTTACCATTCCGGACATCTATGGGTATTCTTTGTGCATGCCGAGGGCCACTACCAAGCTGAGCGCTCAACGATCAAGTTGGCGATCTTTTGCAGCCTCTTTTCGTCCTCCTCGTCGAATCCGTCGAGCGATTCGCAGTCAATGTCGAGGACACCAATGATGATGTCGTCTCCGTCGCCTCTGCCAGCCCACGACCTGTCCTTGCCGTCCGCCGCGCTCGCGGCCTGCTTCCCTGACGGCGACTGCTCCTCCAGTGCCTCCTGATGAATTCTCGCCAATCTCTCCCGCTTGATGACCAGAGGCACGACGATCTCGGACCTGCTCAACGAGTCGCAAGCGATGTGTCCCGGGTAGGCCTCCGTATCAGCCACCCGCACCACTCTTGGTGGCAACAACGCCGATGCATCAGCGCAAACACCCTTGCCAGGTACACTGTAGATGAGCTGACAGGCAGGCAGACCGTTGAAGGGGCCGAGCAGCAGCGTTGGGTGTTTCCTGTGCTTCCTCGACACAAGCTCGGATGGCAGGAGAGGCGAGAGGAGGTAGAAGCCGGCCCAATTGACGCGCTTTTCGGCCCACACGGGGTAGCGGTTCATCGAGTTGAAGATGAGCGAGGCCGCATTGGAGAGCGAGCTGATCCAGTCGGTGCCTGGGTCGACGAGGCCGGAGAGGGAGGACTCGAGGTGGTCGTAAAAGTCGGTCTTGGAGACGACGTATGACGGAAGCGCGGCTGCGTCTGCGTGGACCATCTTGAATCGATCTGCTCTGTGCTTGTGGTGATGGTGAGCAAGAAGAAGGAAGACGCAATCACAGGAGGGACATGAATGAGTCAACCCTTGCTCGGATAGAAAGCCGGAAGAAAGTGTGTGGAGAGCAACACAAAAATCCCACGTTGAGCTCCTGCGGCTGCAAGAAGAAAGATCAATCACGCCATCGTCCTTTGGGATTTCTTCTTGCTCAGGTGGGCGAGGATGAGTCCATAGCCGATTCCCGGATGTTGAACATCGTACACCGCTCGTCGTTGATCACCTTTCGACGGCAATCAACACCAGCTGACTTGACGTACGTGATGACAGGACGCGCACGAGCTGTATGAATGCTCTCGAGCTGGCCCGGAAGAAATCAATAGCAGACTGAGGGGAGAAGAGCACCATCGGGCATTCCTTGAGCATGCCCAGTCAGCACCTTCGGAAATAGCTCGTCGAAACTGCGCATGGACGCGAGACCCTGACTTGCTCCTCCTTCCGATCCTCTTCCATCACCTCGTCAATCGACCATCCTGGAAAACTATGTCGCGGTCATCACAACGCCTCTTGGCGTCAATACGATCGCTGGCATCCTCGTCATCTTCGCCCGTGCAGAGAAGCGCACCAGCTGTGTCCGCGGCAATCTATTCGAGGACGTCCTTTCACTCCTCGGCTGCGTCCTCGGCCTCCAACCTTGCCAAGCCCGAATTCTCTTGCGTAGACGCAAACGAGCGAAGAGGTCAGAAATTGCAGCGGCTAGCAGAGCAGGCGAAAGCAACATCGTGTTCGGCGGCCCGCAACGAGCCTCCAGTAGCGTTCCCATGCGTAGACGCCAACGAGGCAAGAGAGGACCGCTTGCGCGCACAGCTCTCGTCGCCGCAGCTCTCAGAAGACCCTTCGACATCGCAGAACGAAGTCGACGAATCAGGTCCAGAACCGTCGTATACCAAGGTGGTGAGCGGATACCAGCTCTACCACCACTCGCAACCATTCCGTCTGGACTATGGAGGCGGACTACCCGAATTCGATCTGGCGTACGAAACCTGGGGCGAGCTCAATGCCGACAAGAGCAATGCCATCTTGCTGCACACGGGTCTATCGGCATCATCACATGCAGCCAGCACACCTTCAAATCCAGCAAAAGGATGGTGGGAGGACTTCGTCGGGCCCAACAAGCCTCTCGACACAAATCGCTTCTTTGTCATTTGCACAAACGTCCTCGGTGGTTGCTACGGCTCGACAGGACCATCGTCACCGCACCCTCTCGACCCTACCAAAGCAGCCTACGCAACGAGGTTCCCGATTCTGAGCATCTTCGACATGGTCCGCGCTCAGTTCCTGCTTCTCGATCATCTCGGCATCGGCAAGCTGTATGCGAGCGTGGGAAGCTCCATGGGCGGAATGCAGTCCATCGCAGCTGCGCATCTCGAGCGTGATCGTGTTGGCAAAGTTGTCTCCATCAGCGGTTGCGCGCGTTCCGCTCCAGCCAGCATCGCTCTCCGCTACGCACAACGATCGGTCCTCATGAGCGATCCGAATTGGAACCGCGGCTTCTACTACGATCAAGGCTCCCTACCTCCGCACACGGGCATGAAGCTAGCCCGGCAGATCGCGACCTTCACCTACCGTTCCGGCCCGGAATGGGAGCAGCGGTTTGGGCGAGCTCGCCGAGTGGCACCTTCATCCGAGGGTAAGGAGGAGGAGGAACTCGACCCAGCTCTCTGCCCCGATTTCCTCATCGAAACGTACCTCGACCACCAGGGCGAAGCGTTCTGCCTCAAGTACGACGCCAACAGCCTCATCTACATCAGCAAGGCGATGGATCTGTTCGACATGTCGGATCATGCGCTTGCCGATCTGGAACGACGTCGAACGCGCGCCCATGGTCCTTCGTCCACCCCACTTTCCGTCAGCAACACGCACGTCCCGGCGCCGAGACCGAGAAAGAGGCAACACATCAGCACGCTCTCCTCGCCCGCAGCACACGCTTATGTGCCGGCACTCGCGAGAGGCATGGCCAGACTCTCGGATATTCCAACCTTGGTCATCGGCGTCCAGAGCGATATCCTGTTCCCCGTGGAACAGCAGAGGGAGATCGCAGAGTGTTTGCGGTTGAACGGGAACGATGCGGTGCGATACTACGAGCTGGATGCGCCGCATGGACACGATAGTTTCCTCATCGACGTGCCCAATGTGGGTGGTGCGATCCGGGGCTTCCTCGAGTGAACGGTGGAATTCGTATGCTGTTGGTCTATTGCGTGTTCGTGTCTGTGGAAAGGTCCGTGGTGGTGGTAACGAATTTCTGACGGTGGTATATTAGTGGGGTTTGACTGGTTGTATCGGGAAGGTGGACGTTGATGACTCTTGCAATGTAGAGCTTGCTCTTGCTGCCTTGCTTGTCCTGTTCGTGCTTGTTGCTGTAGCGATCCAACTCGATGGTGTCCACCACCTGACAGCCGAGCGCGCCGATCGACCCTTGTACGACCGGCAAGCCTTCCCCATCCATGCTCACCAGCCCTGCCTCCTCCAAAGGATGCAAATCTCCTTCCAACCGCCCTTCACCCTCTCCCTCCAGCGCATACTCGAACGGCGGCGTCCCCGGTCTCGCATACGCATCCGCCAACGCCGCCTGGCTCTCCGATAGCACGTTGATCACCATATCGGCCTCTCCCGTCTCTTCATCCTTCCCTCTCTCCGCAACATGGCTCGCCAACGCATCGGCGAGCTTGGACGGCGTCTTCATCGCAAAGCACACCAGGTCGGGCCGTTGCGAGATCGAGGAAAAGCTCGACAGCGTTGCGCCGTGAATGAGTCTGCTCGAAGGAAGAAACGTGGTGATGAGGGCGACGGGCTGGGCTGATTCTCGCATGAGGTGGCGGATCCGCGAGGAGACGTCCTGTTGGGCTTGCGACTGGAGAGGAGGTCGGAAGGAGAATCGTCGGCGCGAACAGGCGAGGGGTCGAAACGCCTCGAGCGTCACTTTGGACGAGGTGGCGCGCGCGCTCGCTGCTATTGCCGGTAGCAACGACATCCTTGGCGTCGGCAACTGGGTCGCGATGTTGTACCGATGTGGTCGTCGAGCGAAGAGGTCCGAAGTGGAAAGTCGATAGAAGACGTTTGGTCCTGTCGGAAGTCGGCGCTGCATACGATTTTCGGCAGTCTGTTAGACCCCACTCCACGTGGGGACGAGGACCCCGAACTCGCGCTTCTCCGCGTGGGTCTGTGCTCTCAACCAAGCTCTAATCTGGCCAACCTCCGGCTTATCTCTCGAACCTCAAACTTGCATCTCCCTCCGCACTCTCATCTTGTCCCACGCCACCCTTCATCAGAGCAAACTCAACCTCAAAGATGCATCTCCTTCCGCGGGAGCGCGACAAGCTCCTGCTCCACCACGCTGGCTCCTTGGCGCAAAAACGTCTCGCCCGCGGTCTGCGTCTCAACCAAACCGAGGCTACCGCGCTCATCGCCTCTGTGCTGCAGGAGCGTATTCGCGATGGCGAACATTCGGTCGCGGAGCTGATGCAGCATGGCAAGACGCTGCTTGGGCGGATCCACGTGCTGCCTGGGGTCGCAGAGCTGCTGCACGAGGTGATGGTCGAAGGGACGTTTCCGGACGGCACGTTCTTGGTGACGGTCCACCAGCCGGTGTGTACGGAGGACGGCGACGTGGTCGCTGCGCTGTACTCGAGTTTTTACCCGGCGCCAGACGCGAGTGTCTTCAGAGAGCAGGCGGAGAGGGACGCAGGGGCGAAGGTTGTGGGAAGGGCGAGGGCCGAGGACGTGCTCCCGGGGGCCATGGTGACGAAAGTCGGAGCGGGACCCATTGTTCTGTGCCCAAAGAGGGAGAGGGTGACGGTGCAAGTGACCAACACAGGAGACAGACCGATTCAGGTCGGGTCGCACTATCCGTTCTTGGAGACCAACGCCGCGCTGTCGTTCCCAAGGCTGCTGGCCCTGGGGAAGAGGTTGGACATTGCCGCGGGTACGGCGATCAGGTTCGAACCGGGAGACTCGAAGGCCGTAACGCTTGTCCAGGTCGGAGGGACCAAGATCCTCGCTGGTGGCAACAATCTTGCTGCTGGCCCACTGGACGAGTTCCTCGCTTCGAACGAGTCCAAGTCCGCACTCGTGAAGCGAATCGAAGCAGCAGGCTTTGCCAACGAGCCCGCCCCGCATATGGCCGACGACACCCCACCGGCACCGCTGCAGCTCTCCCGCGACGCCTACGCCGCGCTCTACGGTCCGACGGTGGGCGACAAGGTGCGGCTAGCAGACAGCCCGCTCTGGCTCGAAGTCGAGAAGGACTACACGGTGTATGGCGACGAGCTCAAGTTTGGCGGCGGCAAGGTGCTGCGCGATGGCATGGGCCAAGCGTCCGGTCGGGCTGACAGCGCCGTACTCGACGTGGTGATCATCAATGCGCTGATTGTGGACTGGTGGGGCATCGTCAAGGCGGACATTGGTATCAGGAACGGGCACATTGTGGGAATCGGCAAAGCAGGCAACCCGGCTATCATGGACGGCGTCGACCCCAACCTCGTCGTCGGCTCGTGTACCGAAGTCATCGCGGGCGAAAAGTACATCGTCACGGCCGGTGCGATCGACGCGCACGTGCACTACATCTGTCCCGATCTGCACGAGGAGGCGCTCGCTACGGGCATCACCACCCTCATCGGTGGTGGTACGGGTCCCACAGCCGGCACGAGCGCCACCACCTGCACACCCGGTCAGGACCAACTGCGAAACATGATGATCGCAACGGACAACGTGCCCCTCAACTTTGCCTTCACCGGTAAGGGCAACGATTCCGGCCTTCCCGGGCTAGAGGACCAGATCCGCGCCGGTTGTGCGGGACTCAAGATCCACGAGGACTGGGGAGCGACGCCGGCGGTGATCGACGCCTGCCTCACCGCGTGCGACAAGTACGACGTGCAGTGCAACATCCACACGGACACGCTCAACGAGTCGTGCTTTGTCGAGGGCACGCTCGCCGCTTTCAAAGGGCGCACCATCCACACGTATCACTCCGAGGGTGCCGGTGGTGGGCATGCTCCCGATATCATCAGGGTGTGTGGCGAGGAAAACGTGCTGCCATCTTCGACGAATCCGACGAGACCGTATGCGAGAAACACCCTCGACGAACACCTCGACATGCTCATGGTGTGCCACCACCTTTCGAAGGACATTGCAGAAGACGTCGCCTTTGCGGACTCCCGAATCCGTGCTGAGACGGTCGCTGCCGAAGACGTGCTCCAGGACAGCGGAGCGATCTCGATGATCAGCTCCGACTCCCAGGCCATGGGTCGGATTGGCGAAGTTGTCGCTCGCACCTGGCGAACCGCGTCGAAAATGGCTAGCCTTGTCGGACCGCTCCCCTCGACGGGCACCATCCCGCATCCCAGCCAGGCGGTGCCCGACAACCTCCGCATCAAACGCTACGTGGCCAAGTACACGATCAACCCCGCCCTCGTACACGGCATCTCGCACCTCGTCGGCTCGATCGAACCTGGCAAGCTGGCGGATCTTTCCTTCTATCTACCGAGCAAATTTGGTATCTGCCCCGAATTCGTGCTCAAAGGAGGCCAGGTGGCGTGGGCCCAAATGGGCGATGCTAACGCATCCATCCCCACCGTCCAACCCATCTACGGTCGCCCTATGCACGGCGCCAATCCCGGAGCCGCCCCACACAACTCCATCCTCTTCGTGAGTCAGGTCAGTGTCAAAGAAGGCATCGTCAAGGCGTACGGCGTGAAGAAGAGAATAGAGGGGGTGAAAGGATGTAGGACTGTGGGAAAGAAGGATATGAAGCTCAACACGCATACGCCAGATCTGCAAGTCGATCCCGAGACGTACGAGGTGACCGATGGAGGAAAACTGCTCACCGTCCCACCCGCGGACGAGCTACCCATGACACAGAGTCTGCATTTGTTTTGAAAGGTAGAAAATACAATGGATATCAAGAGAGTGTGCGATCGAGTGCGAGGAAGCGACTGTGTGCGGAGGAGCGTACTTTGGGTGGGAGGGCGGACCAGTATGCGTCTTCGGCGGGGGCGTCCATGCGCAGGAGCGCGGGAAAGTGCGTGGTTAGCTTGGTGGCGTAGGTGGGATGCGCGGTGCGGATGGCCACTGTGAGGTCGTCGGTGCTCGACGAGGAGTCGGGATTGTGGACGTGAATGTACGAGATCGACTCGGGCACGTGCTGCTCGAGCTGCGGCTTGAGGTGCCGATTGAGGAAGGCCGGTGTGAGGTCGGATGCTGATGAGAAAGGAGGAATGATCAGGGTGGAGTTGGATGGAGGAGGGAGGCGAAGTAGGAGGATGGTCCCGCGGTACCAGTGGTCCTCGTCTTTCGAGGCGTCGAGATCCGGGACGACGGCGGATGATGTGATGCCGTTGTGATCGTGCGTAGCTCCCACATCGCCTTGGGATAGACTTGCGTCGTCCTCTGCGGCAGTAGCAGCAGATGAATCCCTCTCGTTGTCCTGCTGCGCTCGCCGTTGCCAGTCCAAGTATGACTGCCTCATCTCGACCCAGCCCGTCCAGCTGAGGCATCTGATTGGCGATTCTTGTCCTTGCTCTGACCTTTTCGTGGAACGTCCTCTGAGAGCCAGATCCCACTCGTACTTCTTGCAGAGCGAGTTGACATGTGCCGGCGAGTTCAAGAGGAAGAACCCGCGCCCAGAGATCCATTTTCCTTCCAACGAAGCAGATGCAAGCGTATCCATGCCCGACATCAGTTGGCCGTCGACAAGGCTGGGCTCAAGCACATTCAAGACCATGCCATGTTCGGGCCCTTCGCAGCTCGATCGCAACAGCTCGGCGAGATACGATGATGCTTGAGCTCGGGTTCGAATGCGAGGTGGAATAGACTCGATGTAGATGAGCAGAGGCGCAATGGAGGTCGACAGTGTTGCCGCTGATTCAGCTGCTATCGAGAGCTCGCGCAGACGGCCGACGAAGGAGGGCGACCATTCGAGCTGAAATGTGTCGTGGTGGACGGTGAACCACCCGGCTGCCGGTCCCTTTTGAGCTTCATGCAGAGCTTCTGCGAGAAGGCTGATGGACTTGCATCTCGAGTTGAGTCCAGGCAGCGAGCTCAAGAGGCGAGCTAGATGAACATTAGATGCTTCGGCTGACACTGCGGGCTTCGAGCCGTCAGCTTCTGGATGCTTTGCGTCGCCGATAATGCCTCGAACCAGCTCAGCGAGCGACAAGCCTCTATTGGCCTGCCCTCTGGCGCTCAGGACAAGACTGAGCGGGGACAGTCGCAGGAAGAGAAAGTCAACGAGTCGATCGAGCTTGCCGGTTTCTGAAATGGATCTCGACGCAGGTTGGCTCGCTACATCCTGATGTCTCCCAGTCAGCTCGGGCGACGAAGCATCCTGCGTGCTGCCCGGCGTGCTGCCGAAGCGGACAGAACCTCGGTCCTCGCGAGCATCGCCGTCATCCCTGACAGACAGCTCGGTAGCTACGCTCGCTGATCGCTGTTTAATGGTGCGGCCATTTTGCGAACGTTTCTGCAGCTTGCGAGGCAGGAACATCGATGTCGTGAAGCAAAACTGCGCAGTTTGATGGTCAGAATTATGAGAATAATGAGGCTCAAAATGAAGGCGCCAAAAAGTGTTATTTTCGAAAGTCCAGCTTCTGCCTCGGCGCGTCGCGTAGATTGGCCAGTGCGGGGACATGTTCTGGACATGAGCTTTGTTTGTCTGCTCTCGCCCGCTTGTCACCATACGGAGGACAGATATGTGAAGTTAATTGAAACCATCATATCCGCCCGAACACGTGTGGCCGTCCACAACGGGCGAATATGCGAGCGCGCGTAAATGAGCGCGTTCAAGCTTCGTCTCACAAGCTGCCATCCGCATGAGTTTCCCTTCGCTCCCCTTCATCATCATCGCTGTGACCCTATTCGGCTTCTTCGCAATTGACGGCCAACGCACATCACGGAATGCCTCCTATCCGTACAGCAGGTCCGAGCAGGATCGAAAGATCGCCTTCTGCGACCGCCAGCCTTGTTGCTACGCCAGCTCGAGCTTCGAACACTACAAAAGCCTACTCTTCGAGGCAAAAGGAATGGAACGACTGGTGCCATCAGCAAGGGGCCGGCGACTGCCTCATCACTTCGGACAAGCTGATGCTGTTCCTTGAGACGTATGTGCTCAAAAAGCAACCGTCAAGGAAGCGAGGCAGAAGGGTCTCGTCCTGCCCTTCCGCCAACACAGCAGACGCAGGCCGCCCTCCGGTCTCTTCGCCCTCGGAGACAATCCTTGTCAACGCAGAGGCAGCACAATCGGTCGATCAGGACACTGCTGCGGCTGACAGCTCCAGCGAAAGCAACAGCGGCGATAGACTGAGTTATGCCTCAGTCGAGCTTTATGTCTCTGCCGTGGTCGATCTGTGGAAGGAACAGGTGCGACGAGACGAGAACCATTACCCAAGTCCTCGCACCGACGATGTGAAAGACCTGCTTCGGTCCCTGCGGAAACAGCAGCGACAAAGTCAGCCCGTCGAGGCTGAGCCCGAGGTTCTGCCGATAATCTCCTGGTTTGGACGGGTGTTCGATGACCTCCTAGACCGCGACGAAGTGGCCGAGCTCACCGACGACGGACTGGAACGCAACTCCTACGATGGCATTCGTGACCGACTCATGATAACGATGACTCGCCATGCCGACGTGCGAGGCGAGAATTTGCGCAACCTCAAGCTCGTCGATCTCCACAAGTCGAAGCTCGCTAGCCTCAAAGTGCCAGTCCACTTCATTGCGATCACGGGTCAACTAAAGGGCGTCGACGATGTCGGAGTGATGCGAAACGCCAAGCTCGAGGAGTGTGCAATCGGCGCTCTTGCTCTTCACCTTTTCTGCAAGTTTGAGATGGAGGCCGACCATGGTCTTAACCGAAGCGGCAACGGCAACTTCCCTGACTTTACATCTGTACGAGACTGGGAGCGTCTCAAACTCTTCTCAGCGCCGCGGTCGGCAATCACCGCCATCCCAAAGGCTGTACACGCCCAAAACTTTCGAGAGGCCTTCCTGCGCTGCGGGATCATCGAGGAATCGAAGCTCAAGCATGCCCTGAGCTCTATCAAATTGCGGCGTGAAGATCAATGGCAATCACATTGGATGTATCAAAGCCCGGGAGACAAGGTGAGGGTCGAGGCTGGATTTCTGTTCGGCGAGAAGAGTCCTTGTCTCCTTCGCGATGTTCCTGTGCCCTTGGACCTCCAATCCCGCGTCTTCCATGGTGCCACGACGCAGCTCAACGATCTCGAGGCCGGACGAAACACCTCAATGTCGGCAGAAGACCACAGGGCTGCCATCGACTTCCTCAAGCTGCTGGTAGATCTGCGATCGGTGCTCATCCAAGACGCAGTTCTGCTCAAGCGGAAGTATCCACACCACTTTGTCTTCCAACATCCGCTCTTCCAATCGGACGACTTCAAGAAGTTCGAAAAGATGATGCTCGGCCAAGTCCAGATCGTGGAAGCATTCGAGATTGTCGATGAAGGGTTGTCTAACGTGCTAAAACAGGTTGAACAGACTCTTGGAGAGGATGCCCCCTCAAGGTCTGCAATCCTGCGTCAGCTAGCGACAGGCTTACAGGCAGGAATCGCTGCTGCAAATAAGGAGGTCGAGATCAGCTCGAGTGCTCTACCTCTCGGCTGTCCAACAGGGGACGATGAAAAACTGCCATTCGTTCGTAAGGTTAACGACATTGTCTCGTTTTGGCTCGAGCGATCGTTAAGGTGGTCGCGTTGTAGTTGACAGCAGAGACTGCCGCTGGTGGTGACTCTGCCTGATGCACGAAGCGATGTGTAGGCATCTGTCGTGTCGGTCGGCGTATCTCAATGATGCCAGCAGACGCTCGCGGCACGCGGCTGCCGCTGGAATGATCTCCTGTACGCTCATTCGCGCTTTACTGTATATCGCGTGTCCCTTTCCCATCGCAAGTGACGTGACGATACGAGTGCACAGCCGACTAGCAGTCCTGTCATCACGGGCTTCATGGCGGTCACGCTGAGCCAAGGCTGACCAGAAATACCGTTGCGTCAACCGTGGTCAGGTTTGACCTGTATAGCGTGATGTCAAGGATCGATGTTTGAAGTTCAAAATCACGGCGGGGTGTAATCTACGCGAGTTTTTCCTGACAAAAGTGATAGGCGCACGTCCCTCCACCTTCCCCACCGTGACCGGCGCCGAAAGATTAAGTCAACTCTAAGATCACACTTGTACTCGTTTCCCCTTCTTCCCTGACCACACCCGTAAAACAGGAGCCTTTCGAACCTCAACACCATGGCGAACTCCAAGATCGCGCGAGGGGATTTTCGCAACCCTTGTCCAGATCTCAAGAACCCCGCCGCCAAGACGGCTGTCGATTCGCTCCTATCCACAGTCAAAGAAGCCCACGAGCGCTTTGGCGATCCAACCGCGGAGGACCACGAGATCGCAAGTTTGCCTCTCGAAGCAATCCAAGAAAGAATCGTCTTTGACCAAGATGGCCTCACTGTGACGAGAGTGCTGGAAGCAAGGATACGCCTTACCATCCAAGCAAGTCTGGCAACACACTGCCTCACGGCTTTTCCCTACGAGCGAGCCCTGGAAGAGGCTGCCGACCTGGACCGCGACTACGATTACGATGATCCTCAAGAGATCATCGACTGCTACCCGCTGTACGGTCTCATCTTTAGCGTCAAGGACTGCATCCACGTCGAAGGCTTGCCGACCACTCTTGGATGTTCATCGAGAGCTGGCCACAACGAATCGGCAACGGCTCAAATGGTTCAAGAGATGATTGATGCGGGCGCTGTGATGATCGCTAAAACGACAGCTCCTCAGCTCATGATGTCGAACACCACACAATCACCACTTTGGGGCACCACTCGATCGCCGCTCGAGCCAAGTGCCGATGCCGAGAACCAAGAGCAGGAATTTCAGGTAGGTGGCAGCTCGGGAGGTGAAGCAAGTCTCGTTAGCATGGGCGGCAGTCACATTGGCATTGGCACCGATATGGGCGGTTCCGTACGTCAGCCCGCCTGCTTAAACGAGCTGTATGGGTACAAGTTCCCATCGCAGCCTCGAAAGTTTCGCTGGAAGCTACCGACAGACTTCATGACCGGTCTCCCACATACGACCGTTCCTGCCACTGCGCCCGGCTTGCTTGCAAAGAATTTCTGGACTCTCAAGGCCGTTGCGGATCATCTCAATGGCGCCAAGTACGAGAACGTCGAGGAACTCACGTCAGAAGACTTCGAAGACATATTGGACGAGTGGGCTATACCGGTGCCAGAAGACCTGGGCAACAACCCGCGCATCGTGTACACGGCGCAGCAGAGCTCGCCCGAGCTGCAAGGCCTGATGGACTGGCTCGTTGGGTACCTGCGCAACATGTCGTACAGTAATCGCCTTGCACATCCGGACTCGATCGACAAACTCGGCGATGTCGACGTTGAGGCGTGGGGCGAGGTGTGGACGGAGCACGCGAAAGAACACGGCTTTGACCACGCGCGTGCTATGCTCGGCGACGACCCACTCATCAAGCGCACGCTGTTCGATGAATCGCGCCTCTCAACCACGAAAGGATGCAAAGCGGACGACTGGAGACCCGACAGCGCGAAGCTTGAAGAGCTCAAGAAGACCTTCCTGCGCCAGGCGGGACTAGACGGCCCCGTGAACTCCGACGAGGGTCCAGAGAACGTCATCCTCCTCACTCCCACGTACGTCCTCGGCGGTCCTGTACAGAACAAGGCCTTCGTTGAGCTTGACGACGCGGGGCTCAGCGAGATCTGGTGTCAGATCTTCAACCTGCTCGACTGGCCTGCCGTATCCATCTGCATCCCTGACGTCCCCCGTATCCGGAGATCCAAGTTCAGGCAGACGGCCGCCGACTCGCCTAAGTGGGCAAAACATCTCCCGGGGCATATCGACGACGGCGAGCCGGAAGGTCGTTTGCCACACCTCAGTGTCCAACTGGCCACCTATCCTGGGAACGAACTGGCCCTTTTAGACTATGCAGATCGTCTCTGCAACCTCAGCAAGTGGACTCCAGAGGACTATCAACTCGCCGATCAAGAATTGGCTCGATCGGATCCGAGGGGGCATGCTAGAGTACACAAGCTAGATAAGGATGGGGCGGACGAGGAGAAACGCAAGGCGGACGATGGGTCGGAAACAATTTCGACTGATCAAGAGCCACAGCAGAAGCGCAGCCGCAACGATACGGACACAAACTGAGCACAGAGTCAATTCAAACGTGATTGCAACACGAATCCAATTGAAGAGCCAGGTCTGTGATGAGATGTTGTACAATAGCAAAGCCGAAGCGACGTTGGGGAAGCGAGGAGGAACCATGTTGAATGCAGAATGCGGAATGCCTGAGAGAATCATGAAGGGGAAAGGAGCTTGAGGGGTATAGCGAGGGTTGAAGTCTCGTTGGCGCCAATCGGCGCACATTAGTTGGCCTTGACGCTAGCCTGCTGGGCGCCCAACACAGCCTTGCTCTTAACCCTCTCACCGTTGTAACCCGTCACCTTTTGACCGGCGATCTCCTCGACATCGTGACCGTCGTCGGCCTTCTTTGCGTGCTGTTGGCCGTACGCCTTGACCCTCAACCTCTCCCAGCCACCAGCCGTGGGGACGGGCTCGCCTTTGGACTTGGCAACATCCCAGAAGCCGCCCTCCTTGGCCTTGACCTGCTTGTACGCCTCGCGCACCACTTCGGACTCCTCCTCGAGCGGCTCGAGGCTCACCTCGTCGTTGAACAGCGCAAAGTAGAAGATGCCGAGACGGGTGTAGTGGCTCTGGTCTGCGGGGGGAGCAACAACACGGTGGATGGTCTGCTTGAGGTATCCGCCGCTGATAAAGTGCATGGCATCACCGAGGTTGATGACCAACGCATTGTCGCGGTGCTTGACGAGACGCCACTGGTTGTCCGGCATCAGCACCTCGAGACTCGTGATCGGCTGACTCCAGAGGATCGAGACGCTGTTGAAATCCGTGTGGCCCTGAAGTCGCACCCCGCCGAGCTTCTCGTCGTCCTCGTTGTCCGGTGTGTGGTACATGGCATATCGAAGCAAGTCCAGTCCGCGCTTCTCGGGCTCCTTGGACAGATTCCACAGGTAATCCGCAGGCAACTTCAACACCAAGCTCAGAACGCTCAGGATCTTGCGCAGAATCACGGCGTGGTTGAACCTCGCGAACTCCTCGATCTCCGGCAGCAACTCCTGCAGACTCGGTGGGAAGAGCTTCTTGCGCTCTTCAGGGGCGAAGGAGCGAGAACCAAAGTTGAGCTGCTCAATTCGGTCCTTGACCCCGTTGAGCTTCCAATGCCCCTGTTCTTTGTAGCCGACAAACGAACCGGTGCCGAGAATGTCCGCTTTGTACGCCGCCTTGTCCGCTTCAGAGACACCGTTGAAGGCGTATTGACCAATGGCGAATTGGCGGAGAACGTGGTCCCACGTGAGACCGTGGTTCTCGGCATAGATGAAACCGTCCCGCGAGAAAGCCTCGCCGACCGCAGAGACGACCGAGGAGGGGACAGAGGTGTAGTCATCGCCCGTGATGGTGGACAGGTCGAGCGTGGTCAGGGGCGCCCATTCGAGATCGGTCTCCTGCGTCGGCTTGGGAGGTACCCAGGGTGGAAGCGTTGCTGAGGTCGATGGCATCGTGAAGGTGGTTCTTAGGGGGTGTGAGAGATCCAGAGGGGTTGAACGTAATTCCAGAGGATCAGTTGTGATGGTAAGGGGCTCAAGAGGGATGACGATCCGCCGAGGAGGGTGTTATAAGTGACCTGTCCTCCGCTCGCACAGAGCAGAGTCATCCTTGGCACCAGCCAACACACGTTCTTCTTCACCCCTTAGCGAGCAGAGGGACGAGGGCGGCATCGGCATCGGTCGGTGTGCCATTGCACCGAGCTGCCATTGCTGCACGAATGACGAGCTCCACAAGGTGCCATTGTTCTGAGCACACAATTTGACTAGCGCGGGGCCAGCCAATGGCCCTGGACCAGGGGTGCAAGCGGCTATCCATCGGCAGAGAAGAATGACACAAGCAGGATTTCGTCGAAAAAGGTCATCTTCCTGACTCACGAGGAGAGAAGTATTCTCAGCGCGGGGAAAGCGCAATTTGACGTCTCGAGCACGCCATCGCTTGCATTGCTCAAGACGCCGCAAAACGCGCGGATCTGCGGCGAAAAAGCAAAATCGAAGCCACGAAAAAAAGTGGCTGCTGCAAGGAAGCAAAGCCGCAAAACGTGCTGGGTGGGCGGGCAGCTCGGCCACGTTCCAATTGGCCTGCAGGATCGCCCGATATTGCTGGCATCCACCAGATCGCGCGATCCAGACCGAAGGGTTTCTCGCATGCACGCCAGCCGAAGCATCTTGTATGCTCACTTTCCAGACACACAACTAAAAGACGCAAGTAGAGAGAAACATGGATTCATCCGGAGCAAATATAGAGAAAAGAGATACATGACTTGACGGAACCACAGGGTCGGACGGAAGCCAAAACTAGAACGGAATCCAGGACGATAAGCGGGGCGTATGTACTGTGTTTGAAGGTGGAGAGAGAGAGAGAGGGTATCGAGTTGAGGAGAAGAACCGGCGCATCATCGACGACGCGAGTAGTCGGTGGTTTGCGACCTGTTCGACTCGGAGCGAACCCGGCCACCGTTGCCGTTGGTGCTGCGCAGGTCCTCATCCGCGTACGTGTTCGACTTGATGCTGCCACGCGTCGATCGGCTCGACATGGACGTGCCACGCGAGGTCATGCTGCGGCTCGTCGACGAGGCGAGCGAGTTGGAGCGCGTCGATTTGCTGGCGATGCTCTGGCTGGCAAGCGAGCCCTCAGCGCCGTGGAAGAAAGAGGCGCGCGACCTCGACTTCTGGATGCGCATCGTCTCCATCGCGGCATGGGCACGGACTTGGCACATGTTGCTCAGCAGGTAGTTGGCCTTGCTGCCACCACCGATGAGACCCTTGCCCTTGGCCTCGAGCGGCTTGCCCGAGAGCACCTTGCGGAACTCGAGCTTGGCCGCCTCGTCCTGGCCCATGCAGCTGCGCAGACGACCCAGCTCGTAGTGGGCAAAGTAGACCAGGTAGCGGTCCACCTCGTCGAGCTTGGAGCCGTGCTCGAACACCTTGTTGAACGACTGGACGGCATCGGCCTGGATCTCCTCGATAGGACCGACAGTGTCCTCGGCAGGAAGACGCACCAACGTCTGCGGCTCGGGGTAGGCGACGAAGCGAAGCGCAACACCCCGCAGGAAGAAGGCGAGACAGTATGCCGACCAGTACTCGTTCTCACCCGTGCCGTACGACTTGGGGTTGTGGTACGACTCGAGCTCGTCGATGAACTCGTCGATGCGCGTCAACGTGTTCTCCACCAACAGGAAGACGGGCGTCTGACCGATGCAGTGCCACAGGTACGAGAACTCGAGACCAGGCAGCGGCAGTCGGTTCTGCTGCGCAATGTACTTCTTGGCCTTGAGCGCGACAAAGCGCTCGAAGGGGATCTGGCGACCGGCCACCTTCTTGGTGAGCTTGCCGACGGTGCGCATGATGGTGGCACTCTTGGCACGGTCGTCCATGCCCGTCTCGTAGAGCATGGTCGCCTTGGCGTACTGGTAGATGGCCTTGGACCAGTTGGACTCGCGCGACAGCACGTCGTAGCACTCGTAGGCACGCGCAAAGTCGCACGTGCACAGGTAGGTGAGCGAGAGATCCCAGAAGCACAGGTGGTGCAGCTGCTTGAACTCGCGCTGCGACTCGATGGCGTTGCGGTAGTACTCGATCGCCTTCTCGGGCAGAGCCTGCGCGGCGTAGAGACGCGCCGACCAGAAGAGGTAGAAGATACCGTTGGGGAAGCGCACCAAGTTCCAGGACAGGATCTTGTCGGCAAACTCAAAGTCGAGTTCCGTGACGGGGATGTAGCTCGAGACCCACAAGTGGTACATGAGCGTGACAATGTCGCACAGGGGTCGTCGCACTCCCTCCTCGTCGGCCGAGATGGTGGGGAGAGGCTTGGCCTTGCTCCAACCACCGGCTCGAGCGAACAGGTCGAGCGAGAATTTGCGGTCACCGACGAAACCGAATCCTTCCATGAGCTTGAGCGTCTTGGTGGGCAGCATCGAAAGCACGAGCGAGCAGACACCGTTGCCGAGGTAGACACCCGATCGGAAGTCCTGGTCGAGGTGGATGGCCTGCGAGCGCTTGCCCGAAACCTCGGCCTCCTCGGCCTCGGCGTCGACGGCCTCGACAAACTTGAACAGCTCGCGCACCTGGAAGTAGGCGTTTCGCAGACCCAGAGCTTGCTTGACGAAGCCGATGCTGTCACCCGAGTAGAAGATGCCGAGCACCGACTTGAGCAGCTGCGACTCGGCAAAGACGAGCTCAGCGTGGAGCTGAACGAGGCTCATAGACTTGTACTTGCCCATCTTGCCGCCGCCGCCCATGAGCTTGCCGATGGCGCCCTGCTTCTTGCGCAGGAAGCCGGCAATCTTCATCGAGTGCTGACAGCACATGATGGCCGTCTCGAAGTCGGCAGGCTCGAAAGTCATGATCGACTTGACCGAGTTGATGAGAGCCATGCCCTCGGCCTTGTAGAGGCGAGTGCCAGCGCCCTCCATGCAGAGGTCCTCCGCCTCGCGCATGCGCGAGTTGAGGAAGAGGGCCATGGCTTCGCGCACCGTGGCCAGATCCTCGCGGCAGTCGTTGTCGTCGATGCGACAGTCCGAGGCGCTGATCTTCTTGTTCATGTAGTCGGGTCGGACCGCCGTCTCGGGCGTGATAGACTCGTCCGAGTAGGCCGACATCTGATCGTCGTCGGGGCTCTCGTCCTCGTCCTCCTCGTCCTCGTCGGGGTAGCGGTCGACGGTACGAGGGGGCTGGCGCTGACGCTGACCGGGAAGGGCGACACCGTGGTCTTCATCGTCCTCCTCGTCCTCGTCTTCGTCATCCTCGTCCTCGACGGCACGCGACTGCTGCGACTGACCGTTGCCATTGGCGTCCTCGTTCTTGTTGGCACCTCGGAGGTAGTTGAAGCCGGCAGCGGCCGCTCCAGCGGCACCAGCAGCGGCACCGGCGACAGCGCCGTAAGCAGCACCGGTGTAGGTCTGAGGCTGTTCGCCATCGTCTTGCTCGGCTTCCGCCTCTGGCTGCGCAGCCTTCTTGCTCGAGGCAGAGCGCTTGGGCTTTGGTGCAGGCTCGGGCTCCGATTCGTCGTCCTCCTCCTCCTCGGATTCCTCGGAGCTCTCGGAGGACTCGGATTCAGGCTCGGGCTCTGGCTCGGGCTCCTTCTTCTTCTTCTTCTTGAGGCCGAGAGCGCCGGCAGCGGCACCAGCGGCACCGGCAGCAGCGCCGCCAGCAGCGGCGACGCCCTTCTTGGCCTTCTTTTGCGGCTTCTCCTCCTCCTGAGGAGCGGGAGCCTCGGATTTGGAGGCAGACTTGGCGTTGGACTTGGCACCCTTGCCCGCCTTGGACTTGCTGCTGGCCTTGGGAGGACCGCCCTTGACATCGTCGTACGACTCGAGAATGGTGCCGTCCTCGCAGATCTCGAAGAGCTTCTTGTGACCAAAGGAGTCCTCCAGGGTGTCCTCGTCGTGCTTCTTGAGCCACTTGATGAGCGAACCGTAGTTGTGACGGTCGTTGACCACCTGCTTGATGGTCTCGCCCTGTGTCTGCGGGTACTCCCAAGTGACGGTTCCGTCCATGGTCATGATGCCGGTTCGCTGGTAGACGTTCTTGGCGCGCACGAAGGGCTGAAGCTGGTAGTGCTTGAGACGGATCTGCTTGCCGAGCACCTCACGGCGGTAGTTGAGGTCCGGGTTCTCCTCGTCCGTGTCGGTGGTGTCGAACCACTCCTTGGTGACCTTCTCGAACTCGTCGGTGAGCTCCTTCATCTCGCCTTCGATCTTGGAACGCGACTTCTTGTCCTTGAGAATGTCGTTCTCGCCAGCCTGAGGCTCGACGTAGTCCCAATCCCAGTCCATGGTACCGCCCATGCCCTTTCGAATCTTGGAAGGTGGGATGAGCTCTTCGAGGTCCTTGGCCTTGCTGGAGAACTTGATCTTGTCACGCACGACAGGGTCCAGCATGGGCTGGAGCACCTGCCAGATACCCTTGAAGATCCAAGGGGCGCCGTGGACGTAGATGCGCTGGAGCGATTCGGGGTAGTAGGCTTCGAGACACTTGACGAGGAAAAGCACACACTGCCAGTCCATGTTCTTGAGACCGAAACCGGCCATGTCGAAGACGACGACGGCCTTCTCATAGGGAGCGGTGGTAATCTGACGGGCGTTCTCCATGGCAAGCAGCACGTAGTCCTGGAGGACCTCGTGCTTCTGTGCGCTGGTAAAGTGACGTGCGACGTGAATGAAGTAGATGGGGTTCTCCATCTTGTCCGTGTTACCCTTGATGTACGAGATACCACGTCGGAACTGGTTCATGAAGCCGGGCACATCCTTGAGACCGTCCTCACCCTTGTAGATGATGCCGGCGACGTCCTTTTCGAGACGGAACTTGCAGGCGGCGGCCAACATGGCAAGAGCGCGGTCGATGTCCCACTTTCGGGCACGGAGGAAACGAAGCACCGAGGTATCGGGGTGATCCATCTTGGTGAACTCCCACATGGTAGTTCGAAGGATGGGACCACCGTAGGTGTCGATGAACTCGTTCATCTCCTTCATCTCCTCGGCCTTCTTGGCCTCTTCTTTGGCCTTGTCGTCCTTGGGGATGTCCTTGCCGGCGTCCTTGCCGTCCTTGCCGCCGGTGTCGGCCGACTTGCTGCCTTTCTTGACTTTGGCGGGACCGCCTTCCTTCATGACGCGTTCCGAGACATCCTTCTTCTTTTCGAAGAGCTCGAAAAGACGACGCCAGATCTCTCGGAGGTCCTTTTGCTGGTCATCGCTGAGATTGCCTGTGGGGGATGGCGAAAGAGAGGAGCAGAGGTCAGCGAATGGATCTGAGAGTGGAAAGCAGAGACGCCTTTGGAGCTAGGTGCGATACCAGCGACTGCTGTGCAGTCGGGTCATGCACGCTGCACGGCTGACTTGGGAGAATAAGACCCCCAGAGCACGAGCAGAAGCGAGCGAGGCCAGGCTTGGTCCCGCGCGCATGCGAGAGCCCCACGGAGGTCAGACGATGCTAGAAGCATCGCTTGCTGTCGCAATGCATCCGCATTGCTTGCCTAGGCGGTGTAGCTCGCAGCGGCTCGGCTGTCCAAATGGCAGTTGTGCCAAGTGAGCCTGCCATTCGCGAGTGAGGCAGGTCGTGAAAGAAAACAGGAAAACTTACCCCTGTAGGCGGGCTGGATGTCCTCGCCCAAATCGTTGGTGATATTGGACATGGTTGTGTTTTTGCGTTTGGAATCGACGAGCGAAGCTACACCGATGCCGTTTGTGGTAGAAGAGGGGGAGAGTCTGAGGGAGCTGAACTGTTGAGACTGCTGATCGTGCTGTTGGTACAGCTGAAACGATTGCTGTCGAACGAGAAGAGCTGGTAGGCAAAAGAGACTACGAAAGCCAAATCGCTGCAGTTTCGCCTATCTAGAGCAGAGAGCGAGCTGGCTAGAAAGGCACAGATTCCGATAACAGAAACTGTCGGTCGTCCAGAGGCGTGAAAGCTGCGAAAAGCGAGCAACTAGCAAAGAAGAAGCGGAAGCAGAAAAAGCAGATGGGCGCTTCGAGCACGGGTATCAAGCAAAGGTGCTGAAGGCACAGTAGAGATGATAGTGATGGAGGATAGGAAGCCAAGCTCTGGGGAGGAGAGAAAGAGGCAACCAGCGGGTTTGATGGAGGGGAATCGAAGCGAAGCGATGGCAGGTACGGTCGGAGGGTTATATTGGGATGAGCGGGGCAAAGCGATGGCGAGGCCCAAAGGATGGACGAGGCTCGTTGGGCCGGGCTGCAGCTCGAATCAGGCCGGATAGGATGAGAGAGAGTTTCCACTTGAACTCGGCTGGATTCGAGTGTGCGTGGGTGCGTGCGTGGTCGAGACAAAAAGACAAAAGAAAAAGATGATGCGCTGTGATGCGATGAGAGCGGAGAAACAGAGCTCAAGATCAGCCAACGAGCAGTCACACGGCCCACTTGACGACGATGTGAGCGGATGTATATGTCGGCGGGGGCGGAGTTGAATCGACAGCTGAGGAGCCAGAGAGAAGCCTTGTGACGACAGGGAATTGGAATTTGGCAGCTGCACAAACGAAACATGGGGAAACCAAAGCGACCAATAAAGAGGAGACTGTGATTGGCAGCCATGCTCCCTCGTCGGCTCCACGCAGATGGATTGGGGGCAAGCGGCGTGGAGAGGCGGAGGGAGACAGCGAGAGAGAGAGAGCGCCTCGTTAAGTCAGGCCATAGCGTGAAAGTGGGAACTGAAATTTGGAGAATTGCGCCCTGTGCGTCGTCGAGGCGCCAGGGCAGTGTACGGCAATCATAGCGAGGCACGGCTCCACATTCTTATATTCTTGCATGCACGTTATTATAAGTGAGCTTCTTCGCAGGTGAGAGAGAGGCTCGGTTTGGGTTTAATTTTAAAAAAGCAGGTTACTTGCCTTCGCTACCAGGAAGACGGTTTCTCGTTGGCTGCAGGTATCTGAGACAAAGAGCGCCCTTCCGTCGAACGGAGCGACGTGCGACGAGGACGGAAGCGTCGTAAGCGACGTTCTTGTTTGCCAAGAGAGGCTGCGATGGCGGCTTATAGAGCTCGACCCGCCAATCAAATTAAGGTTTGATGATCAGGTGTTGGCAGTGGTGGCGGTCATGGTTGCCAAGAAGGAGGATCGACCGAGCATGCTGCTGACCAAGTTCGAGATGGTGCATGCTGTTGTGGTGTTGAGCCATTGCAACGTCGACGTCGGGCTCCATAGACATCCTGCTCGTGACAGAACAGCCCACAGACATCCAGTACACGAGATCCGCCGGTGGCACCGAAATAAGCGCAAGAGTGCCGACTCATCCCTACCACCGGGTCCAGCCGGTGCCTTTCACTTGCTTGCTAGTGACCCATACTTTGGCTCGATAGGTTGAGAGGCTGGTCATCGGCTCTGTTTCAAGCAGTGCAGTCCTCGTTCGTGGTCCTGGTTCAATCTTTCGGCGTCGGTCCAGAGACAGATGAGGCTGCCAACGCTCTCTTGCCCAGACTGCACAACAGGACATGTCGGCTTTCTGCTTGTCACCATGGACTCATCTCCCTTTGCTTGCAACCTCGTCGCCATTCTCGTTGCGGGGGCGCTATTGGATATGACCGCCTCGAGTGCGGGGGCCGACCAAGGATGCTGATGCATTGAGTGTGAAATGCAGGCTCAGGGCGACAGAAGCATCATCTGAGACACACGCCCCAGTCAAGGTCAGAAGTCGAGTCTGCCTGGCGGCGTAACGATTGACCTTAGACAACAAGGCCACGGCTTTACGGCTTCGCGCTCCCGGATGTCATCTCTTCAGTTAAGTTAGCGCTGGTACAATGTGGGGACACCCAATGTCAAGAGTGGTGACCGTGCAGCCCAGCGCCTCGCTTGGCTCTCCCGCATCATACAAACTGACGCCCACGGCTCGCCTATGCAGTGACGCGGATATTGGGTTTGGGCAGCAGCAAATCTTCAACGAGCTTTGTGTCAACCTCGCCGTCCCGGCTCTGGTCAGGACAAGACCCCTTTTGTGTTTCAGACCCAGCGCGCGACAATGGTGCATCTATCGGTCCAATGAAGTCTCGAGAGTCACCAGCTCAAAAGCATGCGAGGACAAAGGGCCAAGACATACCAAGGTCCAGTAATGAATGACGCTTTGGCTTGCCGCTGTCTTGTTTGCGACGCCAGAATCCTTCCAAGATTTCATCTCCGCTCTCCATACGCCGCAGGGCACGCACAAAACTGCAAACTGACGCACTTCGAACCTTTGTGCATCGGCGTAGGCCTGACAGGATGTGCCGCTCCGAAAGCTCAGGCGCTTTTGAGGTTGTCGAATGTGCACAGTGAGCACCTGATCTTCTCCGGACAAGGACAAGCGAGCTGGGAATGACGCTTTCGACCGGGACTAGATGCCGTACCGAGCGAGCTTGGCTTCGTCGTTCGTCCCGGTCAGACGGCGGGATGATGCTGAGGATCTACCCCGCGCGCACAGCCGAGCGGGAGACAGAACTCGCTCTTTTGAAGATCCCTCCATGACGCGCGCGCGCCTTATTTGCAATACGGCCAGAGCTTCCCCGCTTTTCGACCCCGTCGAGCGTGCGACAAAGGTGACGTTGCGCTCATCTCCGGACGTCATCTCCCGCTCTTCTACCTCGCTAGCCTAGTGGCCTGACGACTTGGAGCCTGCCGTGCCACCGTGCCGGACTGTGAGCGTCATCACCTCGACTCGCCCGGGGTCAGACACGGGAAAAGGACATGGAGTTGTCGGGGCAAGCAAGAAAAGATCAGGAGAAGCGTGGTTACCACCGCGCCTCGTGACTGCATCTGTTGGTCACCTGCTGGGCACTTTGTTGCTTCGCAGCATCGGTCGAATTTTCACGAGCAACAGCTGCCGACCCGCTGCCTGTATCATAAATCGGTATCACCGATTTGCGATTTTCACTGATCAGCTGCGACAGTCGGGGCACAACCTTCCCTGCTCCATGTCTCTGTTCGGTGCTTCCGATGACCCTGGGGTCGATGTCTCACCCATTCGGAGGGTCCCGCGCCATCTCCATGTGCAGTCAAGCCCACGTCTTGAAACATCACGTTCACTCGAGATTGCCAACGATGCGATGACAGACACTGTCACCTACGCCTTGTACCTCTGGATCGATGATATTCGACATTTTGATGTGTGGTTGACAATGATGATAATACATTCTCGAAGCTTCTTTTGGCCTCGAGGAAGACGGTCACATGAAGGAACAAGTTTATGAAGTTATAAAGGAGGCAGAGAATCGAAAGGCATGGTCCAGCGCGAATAAACAAGATGAGACGTGATGACAGGGACGACAGATGGCAGCTTGACATGCGAGAGCAGCAGACGTCCAAGATGGCGTGGTCACAAGACAAGAAGATGGGTGCGACGATCAGTTGACATCGTCCATCTCCATGTTGGCCATCACGTCTCCACCGGCGTCGGCACCGTAGCGCTCCTCGCCATCGTCGTGATGACCCTCATCGTCCACCTCTTCGTCGTCGTACATCTCGGCGGAGCCGGAGCGGTCAGCACGATCGCTGCCGCTACCGCTGCCACTGCCACTGGCGCTGTCGTCGAGACGGTAGCGGCCCATGTGGCGGTGTTTGCCATCACCCTCGGTCAGGCGCATGTTGCCCAGACCAGCCAGAGGGCTCATAGTGACACTGCGCATCGAAGGATCGTACGTGCTTGTGGTGCTGCCGTCGCTGCTGTCGTTGGGCACCAACGAAGGCGTCGGTCCACGCGCCGGACTGCCGCTCGCGTGGCTCGAGACCGTGTTGCGACGCTTCGAGGCCATCAAGGTCTCAAAGTTGATCGACTCGGATCCCAACAGCCCAGACGACGGAGGACTGACCGCAGCCGGCCACAGCGCCTTCTCCTCAGGTAGTGACTGAGCGTTGGCATCCATGCCCACCAGAATGGCCGCAGCCTCGAGCAGCTGCACCTGCTGATGCTTGCTCATGAGGAACTTGGACGCTTCCTTCCAGTAGACCGTGTGCTCCCATCGGTGCTTGATCAGACAGCTTGGGTGACGGTACACTTTGGCACAGCTCTCGCAACGGTGAAGCTGCTCGTGCTTGCCACCTTTGCTCTCGTCATCGTCGCCAACCGTGCCCGTCGAGCTGATCGAAGCGCGACGGTCGCGCTTGACGCCGTTATCCAACGCTCCGCTGACGCTCGAGTTGGTGGTGATCATGCCAGGGCTCGGCATGGGCATAGTGCTGTCCAGACTGGACGGACCAAAGCACTCGACGCCCAAATGCGAGTGGCCCTGCGAGCGACCCTCGTTCTTGATAGGTTGCGCATTGCTGCGGGCCTGGAAAGAGCCGGGTGCCACTGTCGAGTTGGATGTGATGGACGAAGAGAGCGAGAGCGCTTCGGCAGCGGCACCAAACGAGGTCGAGAGGCCACCCATCTCGACACCGCCCATGCGAGGCGAGCGTGCCATCATCGGAATGCCTCGGCCGGTGGGAGACCCGGGACCGCCGTTGGCAGCACGACTCATGGACAAGGCCGAAGCACCACCGGCGCCAGCGGCCGAGATGGTGTCGGTGCCCTTTCGACGCATCTGCCCTGTGATGGACTCTCTCCTGCGACCACGACTCGGCACTGCCGAAGAGATGACACCATTGGACGAAGCATCGGTTCTCGAATTGGGCATCGAGGACGGCGCGAAGAAGCCTTTGGAGGGCGGCGAAAGGCCGCTCAAGGGCATGGTCATGGTCATGGCTTGCGGTTGCTCGTTGTAGGCGCGACGGTAGGGATTGGCCACGGTGTAGGTCTGATGGACGTGTGGGAAAGCGGACGAGCTATGGGTGAGCCTTTGTCTTGCTGACAGGACATTGTCATTGTTGCTGTCGCTGACACTTACGGTTGTGGCGCTGCCGCTGCTTGGAGAGAATCGACTACTGGCGGATTGCGAGAAGCTCATGCGAAGATTCGTACCTTCGTTGCGGTCTGCGGGCGGCGAGTGGGCCAGAGCAATGTCGTGCAAGACCGCAATGGTCGGAGAGCAGAATGGACACGAAGGCCAAGGGAAGAACGCAAAAATGTGTTGGGGAGGAGGTGGTTAGGCTGCGAAGGCTCTTGGAAACGTCTGGCCAGATGAGCGGTGGGTGCGAATCAGTACACCTTCCGTCGACTTGAGCTAGGGGCGATCTGCACAGCTTGCGTGACAGCGCACAAGCACTCTTTGACAGGGTGAATGTGGGTACGATGAGCTGTGGGCAGACGTCTCGCTCAAGTTCGGACGGTGCGTGGTTCTGCTGCTAGCGTCGTCGACGTTACTATCGAGGCAAGCCGAAGAGGACCTATAGCCTGTATCGCTGAAAGCATGCGGTACGAGGCGGGCAAAGCGACAAAGTAGCGTCCGACAAGAAAAGGGAGAAAGGAAACTCACGTCGTGCAGCGAAGAAGGAGGGGATGAAGGGTTTCGTGGAATGCGTCCACGAAGTGAGGTGTCTTTGGAAGGCGAGACCGGCGGCGAGACTTGCAACAGCGGTGACGGTGCTTCAGAATGGAAGATGAATGGAACAGCGAGGAGGAGGTTCTTGAGGGGAAGGCCAACAGGCAAGGGAGCCGCTGGGTGGAGTTGAATGCTGCTGATGAGGGGGGTAATTTAGGCGGTCCTGTCTTCAACCAGACTGAGCCGATGAGTCGCGATACTTTCTCGAAGAAAGTATCTATGATGCGAGATGACAGCACTCTTCTACTGAGAGTAGGAAAAGCTTGTCAGTCGTACCAGAGGTGGGAGGGGATCGTCAAGAACCTTGTGACTGTACACAGTGACGTCCGAACGAGAAGTCGTGCCAAGGAAGACGCAGGCGTGCGAGCAATAAGACCGAAGTGCTGAAGCGAGCGAGACTGTGCGAGACGGTGACTTGAAGGCGACCCAGACCAAGCGGACCCGTGACAGAAACCGAGGCAGTAGAAAGCACGTCGAAGATCGGCAACGAGACGTTGGTGTTTTGTTCGAAGAGGAAAGCCGAGCGAAACAAAAGAGTCGATCAAGGTGTAAGAAGGTCGAAGCGAAAGGCGTCGTCGTCGATGGTGCTGATGATAATGATGCTGAAGATACGAAGGTGTGTGTGCTGGGTGAACAGCGAGACACAGACGAGCAACACACAACCACGATGACAGGCAACCAACCAAACAAAAAAAAGTTGGCCTTCGAGGAGCGGGCAAGGGTTGGTGCAGCCGCGACAGACCAAAAAAAAAGGGTGCGGCAGACGAGCACTCAAGCAACAAGCACGCGGGCAGTGTCGAGGAAGGCGGGGGAATTTTTGGAATTGGGAAGAGGAGGAGCAGATGGCGACAGCAACAGCTTCTTTTTCTGATTGGCCCTCGACAATGCAGGCTGCCATCCATTCTTCCTGCTCTGCCACTGCTGCCGAACGTCAAACAAAAGCAGGGAAAAAAATAAAGAACAGGGCCCAGACAAGGGTCAACCACCACCAAAAACGAAGCGTTGCAGACGGGTTCAGCAGGCCAGAGAGCTGTGATTGCCGGGGTCCACCACTTTTTTGGACTGCAGTCGAGTGCATTTGAGAAGCGCGCGCCATGCTGTTCTCCACCTTTGCCTTGCAGCTGGCGACGTGGAAGAGGCACGCGCTCAAACACATCCACACACACACACGCTTGCACATCTGCAAGTGTCACTTCAATGCTGTCTCGACGGCGCAGGTGAACAACTCTCGTACGCATGGTATTATAAGAGCAAGTCCATCGAATTGAGCTTCCGGATGAGGCTGGCAGTGTCTCCAACGTGGAATCTTGGCAGGCGAGGCTTGCTACTTTTGGTGTATCAGGACTTCTGGCAGCCAATCACAGCGCTCTATCCCCGCTTTCCTCGAGAGGAGTCAGAGGAGTCGCCAAATTGAAAATTTAATCCGAACGCGATTCCGACTGGAGTCCTGACAGCTTCCACTCTTCAAGGCCTCTCGAGTGCAGCGCCAGATTGATGGAAGCAATGGACTCAACGTGCGGTATGACAAGCATGCTGTGCTTCTTACTACTGAGGCTGGACCCGACAAGAGAGGTCAAGGCAAGGCCTCGCATTGGTCAATACCAGACTGAAGAGGGAAGAGGGTGCGGTCAAGTGACCACGGGGCATGCAGGGGCTGTCGCGTAGCCGCTTTGCAATTGCCGCAGTCAGATTCTAAGGAACACGAAATCCAAAATCCACGGGGCAGCCTGGTGCAGGCGGCTGGGATTGCTCTCTCGGTGGATGAGGGGTGTCGGACTGAGGCTGTTGCGTGCTGCTGGGCTGGAAAGGGTTGACTTTGGTCTCGCCCTTGCTTCCTCGCTTAAGCACAGCGACCGACCGTGCCTCGGCAATCCCGAGCAGACGGGGCTAATTTGGTGGGTGCTTTGCTGTTGCAGCGGCTGACGGCAATCCATTTCCTCTCTCTGAGTGCGGGCGGTCGTTTTGAATTTCGAAAAGGTAACGAGGAGCCGGAGAAGACCGATGCAAGGTCCTCGTCCATCTGATACCGCAGCTTCTCAGTCTGGTTAACGCTTCGGCAGAGAAAACGATTGCCGGGCGGGAGAGGCGAGAAAGGCCAAGACAACTCGCGAGCGGCTGCCCTGCCTCCTACCTGCAGCGGAGCATCCCTTCCGCGATGGCTCGGAACGGAAGGCTTTGAATCCTGCATGCGATCGCTTCGATCGGTCCCATCTATGGTTGCGTGCGATACACGTTCCCGATCCACACAAGTCGAGGTGTCAACGCCCGCCATCATCCATCTTCGACAGTAGGCCGTGGTCAACCCTGCGTCCACGTATGCGGGAATCTGTTGAGATACCGCCTCACCGGTCAAATGACAGCGATGACTGATTCGATAGACCGGATATTCGGAGCGCCCTTGTGATTCGAGTTGACCGGTAGCCGCGACCACGTACTGTATCTGTCGCCTTCCCTTCCGCCAGCAACAGCGGGTCAGTCGAGCGGCTCTTTCCATCTCTCGCGCTCGCATGGCACAAGGCACACAATCCACTGCCGGGCTGGAACGGAATTCACCGGTCCGTTGCGTCGTATCAAAAAGTCCACATGAGGCCCAGAATGAAATCCAAACGGACAGCCGCACTCTCTGCCTTTGCCGCCTCGATCAGTGTCGAATGTTCTGATTGGCCGCTCATGACGCCAGCGTAGCATCGTCCCCCAAAGCAGGTCACAGAGGAACAATGAGGTTTGCGCAAAAGGACCGGCAATTCGGCAGAGGACGGCAAGTCTCGGGCGATCATCGGGAGATCTCATATTTGCCCAATAAGCGAACGACCATCTGATCGACATAGCTTCCAGCATTCGCGGGAACACTGGGACACGCCATTGCTCATTGTCAGACGTGACAATGGTGCGAGATGCATCTATCGCTTAGTCCTTTTCTCCGCGGTCGAGACTGCGCCATTGTCTCAAGATGTGCATGTGGCTTGCCAAGACCAGCGCATGTCCACGCTGATCGTTGTCGTGCGCTTTGACGAGGTCGATGCGGTAGCCAAAAGCGAAGGGATGACCGAAACACGCCCATTCGGCTGCCACGCAGAGCTTGTTTACGCACGGAGACAAGCGGCTCGCTACAACGTAACCGTTTGCCGGACGGAAGCGCAACAATCTCTCAGAGCAAGAAACGCCGCGCTAGGCGCGCTTCTGAACTGGAAATACTTGATCATGGCACACGATCCTGTCCTTCCCAAGTGCGGCCTGCTTTGTCAAGTGTCGTGCGCCGCTATTGACATGACGCGGCAAAACAGTTTCTCGAGATTGAGCATGTGTGTGTGTGTGTGTGTGTTGTTGCGCTGAGATCGGATGCAGCGATCGAATCGGTCAGGCAAGACAAATGAGCGGCGGCACGCCCCCCGATGGACCACGTTCACAGCCCGAGATGGCCGAGGCGCCTGCAAAAAGCGTCTGCAAGGGAACCGACAGACAACTTAGGTTTGAGGCGTTCTTCAAGACGGCTCGGATCGTGATCAAGCTGTACACACCCACCGTAGCTGTCACATCTGCTCTGGTCTTGCGCTTCACAACTGCCTCCCTTGAGACTGCGCTCGGTAACGGTATCGCATCCGGCACAGCCGGTGTGGTGGCGACTGGATCGGCAGCTCAGCTCGGCTTGGAGGTCTGACGTCCTCCTCGAATACACACGCTTTCAGAAGAGCGCTTTGACTTTCACCCTGGGTTTCCCCAGATTTTTTGGGATCTTGCCACTTTCCAGATTTCTTCTGAAAGAAAAAAAGGGTCAGCAGTTCAAGCGAAGCGAAGCGAATCAGCAGCAAGCAAGCGAGAGAGAGACACACAGAGAGGGAGCGGGAGAAGCACAGATGCAAACCCGACCCGACCCCGCATTTCTCTCATTGGTCCGGCTAAACGAGATGGACACGGGTTTGCTGACTCTCCTTTGCTCTTTCATGGCCGTTCTTCTGACGCTTTCACTTCACTTTCACCGATGCCGCAGGACTGCAGTCGCAAGGATTCTGCGCCGCTGCCGACGCCACCAGCACCACCTTTGCAGCCGCTCGTCTTCCGTCTTGGGGCGCGTCAAGTACGTAATACGAAATGAATGCGGATGATGTGATGCAGCTCGTCCAACGCGATCGAGCTTGTCAATTTGAGCTTGTGCTTGCGCCCACCTTTTGCGAGCTAGGCGTGCTTCGCACTGTGTGCACATCTCATGTGATTTCACAAGGTGGATGCATGCGCTTCGCTTCCGAACCCAAAGATGTGATGTGATGGGAACAGAAAGAGGTGTGCATGTGAGACTGGTTCGGAAGGCGCCCGAATGGCTGACTTGGCACCGTGGTACACTGACTTTGTTTCTTCGAGCTTCATCTTCCCATCCGCCACCATCCTCTGATCGCCTTCCTGGCCCTTCGTCTTGCTCCGCTTGGGACAGCAGCTGTCTTGCTCTTGGATACGTTGCTGCGCAGCGCACAAATCTAGCTTTGGCAGCAGCCCCTTTCTTCCAGTCCCACCCTCCCCTCGAACAGTCAACGCCTTCAAAGCGTTGACTTGCCGCGAGCCTCTGCGCTCTCACTCTCTCTGATCGCTTCTAGGGCAGCCTCTACTGCCATTCGCATCTTCTCCGCCCCGAACACTTTAAAAGAACACCCTCGACCACCATCAAGCCCGTTAACAGACTCTGCGCTCTCTCGTTCTCTCCGCCTCTCCTTCAAAGAGCGGCTTGTAGCTCATCTTTGCGGAACAGCTGAGCACATCTGCTCGGAAGCGATCCGATCAAGAGGCGTTGCTCCTCTGTGTTCATTTGCACCACTTCGCAACATCCGATCCGAGGCCTCGAGCTCCGCACAGGTAATTGACAAGTCATCTAGGCAGCAGCATTTGAGGAGCATCCTCGCTTCTCAGGTGCTGTCACATCCCTTCCGGACTCGCTCAGCAAGCAATCAGACCTTGGATCTTCCGCGCCTATCGCAATGGTGGCCAAGATCTACTTTGATCCGCCTCTCTGGCTGCAGAGACAGTCGTGGGTGCTGGGCAAGCTCAGACAGGAGCGATCCGACTCGGTCGTCGACGTCGGCTGCTCCAATGGCGTGCTGCTCTCGGCTCTGATGCAGCCTGCTTTCCAGCTTGATCAGTTTCCCATCCAGCGCTTCCCAGCCCTCATCCGCCCCAGCAAGCCTTCGCGCAAAGAAGGTGCAGACGATGTGATCAGCGATGCCCTTCTCTCCTCACGCCACTGGATCTACAGTCCCAACGATATCGTCCTCTCTCGTTTGATCGGGATCGACGTCGAACGTAAGGTGCTTGAGAATGCCAAGGCCAGTCTCTCGGCTCACGGTCTCGCTCTGGCCAAGAACCGCCCTCGCTGGAAGTCGCTCGACGTGCGCCTCTTCCAAGGACCCGTCGAGACCGAAAACGAAACGCTCGACGACTACGACGCTTTTGTCGCAACCGAGATCATTGAGCATCTCGACGAGCCCGCCCTCCAGCAGTTCGCTCCCACCGTGTTTGGCAAATACCGCCCTCGCATCGTCCTTGTCACGACTCCCAACTATTGCTTCAACGACAACTTTGGCCAAGACCTCAAGACCCGCCCTGGCTTCCCCGATCCCACCGGACGCACCGACCGAGTCTTCCGACACGAGGACCACAAGTTCGAATTCACCCCTGCAGAATTCAAGCAGTGGTGCGATACCATCGCAGACGACTTTGGCTACGAGGTTCACATCGAAGGCGTAGGCTCCGGCATCTACAGGGTGCCCAAAGATCAGATGGATCCTCCCGTGCCTGCCGAGCAAGGCGCAAAGATCTGGCACGCCTCGCGACCTCGCACCAACTCTCATGCCGACGAAAAGCTTCGCTACGCAACGCAGAGCGCGTTCTTCGTCCGTCATTCCGCCAACGACATCGCGGCTGGGCGCCGTCAGCAAAATGACGACAGTGCCCACAATGGCTCTTCGCACCCCTTCTCGGACCGTTTCCTGCAGTCACGCTCCGTCCCCAAGCCACCCGTCGAGACTCGTGTGCACGACATCTTTGACGAAGCCATCAGCCGCGAGGGGGACGAGAACGAAGAGGACGGCGGCGAGCGTGGCAGATCCGGTCGACGTGCTCGCAGTCGACGCACCGAAAACCTGCCCTTCCTCAGCATTCCTTCTCCACAGACGCCCGTGCTGTCTTCTCTATCCACTGTCCCAAATCCGATCGTGGCTGACTTGCCTCAAAGCAGCGCTCCTCCTACCCCATTCACTGGCCACCAGCTGGTCTGGAGCCACCGCTACGATTGCTCCCTTCCTAGCGCGCAAGTGGCCGAAGCTTCCAAGCGCAAGATCCAGACGGCCGAGCCGCTGTCGGCGGACGAGATTTTGGTCACCACGGTGGAGAAGCAGCGTCAGTTGTACGTGCGTGGGCAGTGGCACGGCGACGACGGCGCCTCCTCCGAAGCTGGCATCGGCAAAGAAGCTGTAGCCAAGCTGTGGGATGTGTGGAGCGACGACGAAGTGCGAGCCGCCTGCGGTGGTCGTGTCGCCGTTCTGCTGGATGCCCTGCGACTCGTAGCTGCAGAGAGCGAAGCTGTGCAGGCCACAGCCGTCGCCAGTGGTCTCCCTACTAGTCCTCACTCGAGTGCAGCCGACCGACAGAGCACCGTCGTCGGCTCGGACGGCACGCACTGGGACCTGCGCGTCCAGACTGTCCGCCACAACAACGTCTCGAACACCGCCAGCTCGCCCGCACACGACTTTGTCGAGTCGGACCTCTTCCTCGTCTACACGCATCCGGACGTGGCACGCTGGCAGGCCTCGATCGACGAGGCGCGCAAGTGGGTCCCCCACGACATGGCGGCGTCATCGCGTTGGAGCAGCAATGGTCGCGGTTCCATCAGCGATGCTGCAGCCAGCCCGGTCCAACCCATGAAGAACGCATCCAGTCTCAATCCGTCCTGGGACTAGGCTGGGAAACACAAAAGCATACCGCTCGCAAGAGCTATCAAACCATCAAAAGCATACGCATACCAGCGCGGAGGTCAATGCAGACTCAAGGTTCACTTCTCGTGCCTCGCCTCTCCCCTATCATCTCTTCCTCGCATCCCTCATCCCTTTTCTCTCCTCCTCGATCTTCTCACGCATTATCCGTCACACCTCACATCTGTATTCGTAAGCACATCGCACACGCACACCCAACAAACGATCAAATGTGCCATCCGAAACTCCATTTCGCATGTCAAACATTACGAGCGCGGCGACCGGATCTGGTCGAACCTGCGGGCAGGGAGAGCGCGGCGGCGAGGACGCTCTTTTCGTCGCCCGGAGCGATGGCGTTGGTGAGGACGACGTCGAAGCCTGGTTTGCTCTTCTTCTTGGCCTCGTCTGGCTCGGTTGAAACTGTGTTGGAGGGGGTACTTGTTGCTTTTGAGGTCGGTGCTGCTTTTGATGGTGCTGGAGTCTTTGCTGGTGTAGCGACGGCTTTGGGAGCGGGTGCGGTTGAGCGGGCGGTATCCCAGACCTTCCCCGGTCCTTGTTCAGCCTCATCATCCAAATACACGCCCATTTCGATCGGCACAGCTCCCGCCTCCCTCCCCCTCCTCTCCTTCTTCTTTCCCTTCCCCTCGTCCTCGCCACGTCGCTCATAGTGTCCACCAGACCAAACAAACCCGCCCTCGAGCACCCGTGTAAGCACCTTGTACGCAAAACTGTTCGCAAAGGGAATACCCGTTCGTGGGTCCTTGTATACTGCTGGCAGCCCGGTGATAGGGCAAATTGACTGGCGGGGCTTCAACGGCCGATTGCGAGACGGAACAAAGGGGTAGGCAGACCAATCGACGTGCGAGCCGAGAAGCACGTTGAATTCGTCCAACCACGTAAAGTCGGGTGCGCGCTCGACGGTGAGGATCGTGCGCGACTGGAGTTCGTACCGCGACGAAGGGGCGGTGGTGGAAGAGGTGGACGGGGTAGTGGCGGTGTTCGTGGTGGTGCGTAGAAGGGCGGCTTGCTGACGCGCGGCGATGACGGGGTCCAGGGTCAGGGCGGCGTTTGTTGCAGATGCAAGTGCTGGCGTCGGAGCGAGTGAGGTCGGTTGCGTGGTGGAGGAAGAAGGTGGTGTAGTGGGCGGTGGTGGTGGTACAGACGGTGCTGCTGCGGCTGAGGGCATGGCTTCCGATGTCGTCGGATCGGCCTGCGTTGTGATCGTGCCGGCCCCCTCTGCTGGCTTGGACGCATCGGCCATGGTCGCATCGACATCGATGCTCCTCGATGCCTCCTTCGCTTCTGCATCCGCAGATGCTTCTGGTCGTTTCGGCAGTGTGACCGTCCCGTTAGGCTCCGTAATCCCTGACCTGTCGGCGTCGTCCTGTGTGGTGTGCGCCTCGATCGACGCCGACCGAACATATGACGCTGCTGCCGGATGCGCCGTGGTGTCTTCTGCTGTCGATGCCCTCGCACTCTCTCCTTCCGCACCTGCCTTCGTCTCGCTCCGCTGCTCCTTGTCCTCTGCCTTCGGAAGCTCCTCCACCACCTTGGTCTTCAACCCAACGCTGACCCACCTTACAAACGGCCCCGTGATCCTCTCCTTCCTCTGCCTCTGCTTTGCCCTCCGCTCCTCCTCCTGCTCCAAGAACCTTCTCAGACTCTCCCTGTTCTCCTCTTCCACCTCCAACGCCTCTGCGATGAGCGCATCCTGTGTCAACGTCGCCTTCTTCTTGACCACGGGTCTTGCCGGTAGTGCTGCTCTACGCTGACTCGCCTCTTCCAGCCGCGATTCGACTTCGAGCTTGCTCTGCACGGTTGCGGATCGTGCCGAGGTTCGTCTCCTTCCCCCACTCACCTGGGACGAGCTTGGCGATGGTTGGTCTGGCGCGAAGCTGATACGCCTCCTTTTGACCTCTTTGCTCCCCTCCCCTGCGGTCTCTGGTGCAGGTCTTCTCGCCGGGCGCTGCACTGGCGCAGCAGGCCGCCTCACGACACCCACCGCCCTCGCCGCCGCCCTCCGTTTCGACTTCTCCGCCTTCTCCTGCGCCTCGATCTCCCTCTCCCCTTCGCTCTCATCTGCGGCAGCACGCGCATCGTCATCGCTATCCCGATCAAAGTCGCTATCGACAATATCCACACCGTCTTCGTTCTCGTTCGCTTCAAAGTCGATATCGTTCTCGACCTCGGCAAAGATTTCGTCCTTGTCGAGTTCTTGGTCGAGCAAGGCTTTGAGTCGGTTGCCTGCCGTACTGCGCTTGGAGCGCGAGGTGACCATGAGGTTGGCAGACGAGGAGGACTCGAAGCGCTCGATGCGGTAGGTGGAGGGTGGGGTTGGGGTGGGGGAGCGGGAGGGCCCCGCGACGGGCGAGGATCGAGACATGGTTGCGACTGGATCAAGTGCGAAGGTGTCGTGTGATGGTGTGTGGCAGCTCGGCCCGCGTTGTTGAGCTGGTCAGCGACGCAGCATGTGATCGATGGATGCTGTGAGGCAGCGAGCTGACGGTTCTGGTCGGTGTTGAGGCCTGTGCGTTGAGAGTGAGATGAGGATGTGGTGGCCAGTAAGAGTGGAAAGTGGTGCTGAGCAAGGACCCTGAAGCCTGCGACGAGCTTCATGTCCGAAATCCGAACGCCTCGAATTTGGCATGCCTGACCGCTTCAACCTTCAACCTTCTTTCCAACCTTCTTACCATCTGCGTCTTCTCTCCAGTCCACAGCCACCATCCTGGCCATCCGCCGCCATGTCACTGGAAGCCTTCTCTGCAGCGCGCAAGCAGAAGCTCGACCTGCTGCGCCAAAGACGTGCAGCCGAGCAGGCCGGCACCACCCTCCCCGACGATGCATCCCTCCTCATCAAACGTCACTTCCGCAACTACGACCCCATCACGGGGCAGATGAAACGCTTCACATCCGCACGCGACCTTCCTGACACCGTCGAAAAGGACGTCGATGGCCTACAGCAGCAGACAATAGCCCAAGACGAGCTGAGAAGGCAAGAAGACCTCGACCTCGACAACATCGCCCCCAAACGACCCAATTGGGATCTCAAACGGGATCTCGAAAAGAGGTTGAAGAAGCTGGAGAGGAGAGATAAAGAGGCAGTGATCCTGCTGATCAGACAGAGGATACAAGCCCAGCAAAGGGCGGCGGGCTTGGATGCGAATGCTGATCGAAACGAGGAGAATGTCACGGGGCTGACCGCCGAGATTGCTGCTTCGGCAACGGCCGACTTGGGTCAAGGCAGCTCGGATCTTTCAGAAGAGGAAAGCGGAAGCGATGGAGAGTAGAGCACTTTCGACAACTGCTCGCACACGGCATCCACATGTATACCTCTGATCCACGCGGCGTCGCTCCGTGCCTCTGTACCAACATCGCACTTGTATTTGTATCGCTCCATCATACCAGCATGACCTCAAAGCTCTCGCCCCGCTTGCGCGCTCTGCAGTGGACACACACGCAGACACTTTGCCCCCAAGACGAAACCGTAACCGAATCAGATTCTGAGTAGAAGTGCAGTAAAGAGACATGCTTTTTGGATTATACTTATCAACAAAGCCGACGAGCCACGTTTCTTTTGATCAACGAGTCCAGCTGTTGAACAGCCCAATGTCGTCTGCGCCGTTCATGGGCCCGGAGCAGCCGACGTTCTGCTGCTTCTCTTCCTCCTCGACCTCCTCGTCGGTGAGGCGTCGTTTCCTGTTGCCGTTCGCGTGGCCGTTGAGCAGGGCGGCCGTGGCGTCCGACGGATGCTTATCGTCGTTCGCCACACTCGACGCCGAAGGGCTGGCACGGCTCGCATACAACTTCTTTTGGCTCTCTGCGATAACCGGGATCTTGCCTGCTGCCTTCTTGGCCTTGGCGTTCTCACTGCGGAGGTGCTCAAGATGCGCAATGTACTCGGCATCGACACCGCCAGTGACGTACTGGCCGTCGAATACGGAGCAGTCAAAGTGCTTGAGTTCCGGGTTGAACTGCTGCACCGAGTCGATGAGGTCCTCGAGCGTCTGGTAGATGACCAGATCGGCCTGGATGTATTCGGCGACCTGCTCGACACTGCGCCCGTAAGCGACGAGCTCCTGGCGCGAGGGCATGTCGATACCGTACACATTCGAGTAGCGGATGGGCGGCGCACACGAGGCCATGATGACCTTCTTGGCTCCCGCATCGCGCGCCATCTGAATGATCTCTTTTGAAGTGGTTCCTCGGACAATCGAGTCGTCGACGATGAGGACGTTCTTGTTGTTGAACTCGAGCGCCATGGCATTGAGCTTGCGGCGGACGTTCTTGCGACGCACGCTCTGGCCGGGCATGATGAAGGTGCGGCCGACGTAACGGTTCTTGATGAAACCTTCACGGTAGGGTACGCCGAGGTTCTGGGCCAGCTGAAGCGCGGCCACACGCGAGGTATCTGGGACGGGGATGACGACGTCCACGTTTACCCCGGTGGACTGGAGCTGACGACGGACCTCGTCGGCGAGCTTGTCACCCATGGCCATGCGCGAACGGTAGACCGAGACACCGTCCATGACACTGTCAGGACGAGCAAAGTAGACGTACTCAAAGATGTCGGGAGAGAAAGAGAATGCATCTGGCGAGTCGGCAGGAGGCGTGAGGATGCGGCGCGAGACAGCGTGCTTTGTGATGATGACCGCCTCACCGGCCTTGATGTCCTCGAAGTCCTCGAAACCAAGCGCATCGCAGACGACCGACTCGGAGGTAAAGCAGTAGTCTCGACCGTGGCCCTCGAGCTGCTCGCACTGAGCGGCGGACGAGGGACGCGAGCACATGCCGAGAGGTCGGATACCATTGGGGTCACGGAAGGCGATGATACCGAAACCGGCAAGCATGGCGCAGCAGGTGTAGCCACCCTTGCACTGCTTCATGAGATCCCGAATAGCAGTGAAGATGTCCTCCTCGTTGATACGAAACTTGCCCGTCTTTTGCAAGTTGTTGGCAAAGACGTTGAGAAGCACCTCGGAATCCGAGTCGGTGTTGATGTGTCGGTGAGCATCGGCATCGAGGAAGCGACGGAGCTCGTCGGTGTTGATGAGGTTACCGTTGTGAGCGAAAGTGATGCCGTAGGGCGAGTTGACGTAGAAAGGCTGGGCCTCGCTGTGAGCAGAGGAGCCAGCGGTGGGGTATCGAACGTGGCCTACGCCCATGCTGCCCTGGAGACGGGCGATGGCGTTGACGTCAAAGACGTCGCGGACCATGCCGTTAGCCTTGGTCTGGTGGAAACGACCCTTGTCACCGCAAGTGACGATACCAGCAGCATCTTGACCACGATGCTGGAGGAGGGAGAGCGCCTCGTTGATCTCGGGCGCAGCGGACTGATCGGCCGAAGCCAAGAGGAGAGCGGTGATTCCACACATGATTGAGGTCGTCGGTAGTGGTGTACGCGACGCACGCTGTGTGTTCTCGAGATGAGAAAGGTGGGAATGAAGAGCGAAGGAGGAAGCGACGCTGGTAAGTGGTGAGGTGGATACCTAAAGGAGAGGAAGCAAGAAGCAGCGATGAGGTCGTGACAATGTTGGCTGCCTGCCAGCTGCTGCGCCAAAGTTGACCGATGGCTGCTCGTCGCTCTCTGCGCAAGACTTTTAGCTTTGCTTCAGGGTCTCTCTGTCTGTCTGTCTGTCTGTCTGTCTGTGTGAGCGAGCGTGGTAAGGCATCGGTCACAGACTCCTCAGCTTTCGGCTTTGGGCCGATCGTCCCTCTGCTCTCTGCTCTCTCTACACGTTGTGACTGCGCCTCTCTCAAGGTCTGGTGGGCAAAGGTGGGCAAAAGAAAAATCACACGGCAAAAGGATCTTTCCGAAATTTACGAGTCGACGACCCTGACTCTGAGAAGAAACAAAAAATTTAGCTCGTCGCGTTTTCCCACCTTCACGGCCCGTTTCCGCTGCGTGGGAACAGACGCTGTTCTCAGAAGGCGAGCTCTGTGATCTTGGCTGAGTGAGCTGCTCACTGCTCACCAAGCTGAGCTCGCTCCATCCAAAGAACCTTGCGACAGGCGTGAGAATGAAATGTCATTTGCTTGCTGCGTGGTGACTGCAAAGCATCGAAGCGGGGCCAACCAGTCAGCTCTCACGGCGAAGTTGTGCCGAAAGGGTTGCAGGTCACCGAAAAAGTTCGTTTGCTGCATCGCCTTAAATCTGTCAGGGTCCAGACGTCCATCGGGTCGATGTAGGTCTAGCCGCCCGAGACAGCTTTGACCAAATTTTGAGCTTTGCCTAGACTGCAGAAAGTCATCATGGCTTGCTGCGCTTCGGTGCTCGAAAAAAGGGTCGCTTGACGGCCTCTTCTTTAAATTTTGCGCTGCGCAGCGAGGCACAGACACTACTCGGTTGAAGGTCAAGCTCAGTTTGATTGAATTGCAGATTTGCTTCCACACCTTCCACCCCCTGCAAGCCACCCGTCGGCATCATCCTCTCTCTACTTCATCCACACCACAGCACCGAGCGCAGACTTCCGTCCTCGGAGCGCGCAGATCAAGCGCTCCTCACACCACCTTCGTTCCTTTCGCGGACCCGACTCACCCCGGAGCAACACAGAACCCAAGGCATCTCGCACACTCTCTCCCGCAGGCAAGATGACCGCTGCCACCGCCGCTTCCAACGGCAGCGCCGCCTCTGTCGACAAGGTCGCCGACAAGCTCGCACAAACCAACCTCCCCGCCTCGAACGGTACCAACGGCACCAACGGCCACGCAAACGGTGACAACAACGACGACGAAGGCGACGATGATGATGACGACGAGGAGGAGGAGGACGGAGAGGCTGGTGCAGCCGGCGCCAACGGCGCAGCAAAGAAGAAGAAGAAGAACAAAAAGAAGAAGAAGAAGTCCAAGGCCAAGCTCACTCAGACCGTGCCTCCTCGTGTTGGTCTGACAAAGATCTTCACCAATGGCAAGTACCCCGTCGGCGAGATTCAGCAGTACGACACCTCCAAGTTCAGCGAGGAGAGGAAAAGAGTCACCGACGAGGAACTTCGCGAGCGAGAGAGGCTTGTTCAGCAGGAGGAAGGCTTCGACTACAACATCATTCGTCGAGCTGGTGAGGTGCACAGGCAAGTGCGTCAATACGCCCAGAGTGCCATCAAACCCGGCATGTCCATGATCGAGATCGCCGAGCTTGTCGAGGATAATACCCGTGCGCTCGTCGAGGCGGAAGGCTTCGAGTCCGGTATCGGCTTCCCCACGGGTGTTTCGCTCAACGACTGCGCTGCCCACTACACACCCAACGCGGGTGACAAGCGAGTGCTCCAGGCGACAGACGTCCTCAAGGTCGATTTCGGTGTTCACGTCAAGGGCCGCATCGTCGACTCTGCTTTCACGCTCACCTTCCAACCCACTTGGGACCCTTTGCTGGCTGCGGTCAAGGCGGCCACCAACGCAGGTGTCAAGGCGGCCGGTATCGACGCTCGTCTCGGCGAGATTGGTGGCTCGATCCAAGAAGTCATGGAGTCGCACGAATTCGAGGCCGAGGGCAAGACCCACCAGGTCAAGTGCGTTCAGAACCTCAACGGCCACAGCATCGAGCGCTACTCGATCCACGGCGGCAAGTCGGTCCCCATCGTCAACATGCCCGACCTCGACGTCAAGATGGAGGAAGGCGAGTACTACGCCATCGAGACGTTCGGCTCGACCGGTCGAGGATACGTCATTGACCAGGGCGAGTGCTCGCATTACGCACGCAAGAAGAACCTACCCAAGTCGATTCCGATTCGCGTCCACTCGGCACACAGCCTGCTTCACACCATCAACAAGCACTTTGACTCGCTCCCCTTCTGCAGGCGATACCTCGACCGCGTCGGCGAGAAGAACTACTTGCTCGGGCTCAAGCACCTCGTCTCGCTCGGCATCGTTCAGGACTACCCACCGCTGTGCGATGTTGCAGGGGCTATGACCGCACAGTACGAACACACGATCTTGTTGCGACCGACGTGCAAGGAGGTCGTTTCGCGAGGAACCGACTACTGATTCGTATGCAAAACACATCCCTGTATTATCGATATCGCAATATCTCAGCCATTCACAGGTCACTGTTTTCCGTTGCATGGTTTCTGCTTCTGCTCTCTTCTGGCACAATGGATGAGATCCCACCCCTTCGGTATTGCGCTTCAGCGTCACGCCTCAGCGTACTTCTCGAACACGTCCTGTGGCGGAAAGACTGTGGGAGCCAGCTCGGTGTACTTATCATAATCCTTCTGCGAAAAGCAACAGAGAATGATCCTCTCAACATTCTTGCTATTCCCATTCTCCAGCCAGCAACCGATCTCGTCCAGTGCGGCGGTGGCAGCTTTGTCGAACGGGTATCCGTAGACGCCCGTTGAGATGCTTGGGAAAGCGACGCTTCTCGCGCCAACCCGCTTTGCCTCTTCCAGACTGTTCCGATATGCGCTCCTTAGCAGCTTTTCGCTCTCCTCGTGCTTGCTGGATTTATACACGGGTCCAACGGTGTGGATCACATGTTTCGCTGGGAGGTTGTAGCCCTTCGTAGTTTTTGCAGAGCCGGTATCGCAGCCGTTGAGCGTACGGCATTCCTTGAGCAAATCGGGACCGGCAGCGCGATGGATGGCGCCATCGACACCTCCACCTCCGAGGAGCGAGTTGTTGGCCGCATTGACGATCGCATCGATGGAAAGGGAGGTGATGTCGCCGCAGTGCAGAGAGAGGAGGTGGGCAAAGGGGTAGATGGACGAGGCGAGCGTGGAGGGCGACGGTGCGGCGATGGTGGACGACGCGTAGAGCGAGGCCAGCGTCGGGATTGCTGAGAGCTTCGTGGCCATGACGGACGATATCGCTGAGTCTCAGATGGCTTGCTAAAGTCGGAGAATGTGATCGCTTCTGCGAAAGGCTACAACAGCAAAGCAAGGATGGTGTTGGTCGGGGTTGCAGGGTGGTCAAGGCACAGCTGCAGGTGGAGGTTTGACACTTTTTTGCACAGGCCTGGGGAAGGCGATCTGACACATTTTTTTTCTTTCGGTGGCCGGGGAAAGATCGGAGCCGTTTTTAGAGCTTTCGCCTGTCAAAGCCTTCTTCCTCCTGTCTAACCTCGTCAACGTCTGCAACACGACAGCAAACTCCATCGCACCACCTCACACACACCCCATATAAAAATAGCAGGATGCCTCCTCCGCCGCAGATGCAAGGGATGCCAGGCGGCGAGCCGACGGTCTTCCAGAAAAGTACGTGCTCGAATCTCTTCCCCCCCTCATCCTTGCTCCTCATCCACTGACCCCCTCTCTTTCCCTTTCTTTGGAATGCTGCAGTCAAAATGGGCGCCATGACAGGCACACTGGTCGGCCTGACGATCGGCTTCATCGGTGGCGGCATTCAGATCCTCCGTGCGGGACCTGGACCAAGAGGCGCACTCGGCACGCTCTCCCAGTTCATGCTCAGCTCCGCAGCGACGTTTGGGTTCTTCATGTCGATCGGAACCGTGTTGAGGACAGAAGGGATCGAGGCAAATCCGTACCTGACGCCTATGCAGAGAGCGGTGGCGTTGAGACAGCAGGAGGAGCTGATGAGCAGGGCGAGAGGGGGACGGGTCGAGGTGGAGGAGCGAAAGCGGGCATGATGGCGGGGGACTGTCAGTGAAGACTTAGGAGCGAAGGAGAACTCGCCTCACAGCACCCAACGTGTGAAAACTATCGACATCGGATACTGTCGACATCGTAGCAACAAGATTGATGGTCGACAGACGCTTGACCAACACAAGCATGCTGCACAAGCATGATGCCCAACAGCGCAGCTCATCAGATCAGACCGGAGCGCCAACTGTGAAATTTGCCAAAGCAGAGAGGTGACGTTGCGTTCGTTTCGGCGTCATGAATGGCCATCACACATTCACCACCACCGTCACTCATCGCCAAAGAAGCCGCCCCAGCCACCACCACCACCGTCACTATCACCTCCACCACCGCCCCAGCCTCCCCAGAAGCTCTCTTCCTGTTGTGGCTGCGTGTCTCCAGCACCGGCCCAGGGGTCGGATCTTCCTTCGCCCCACACCTCCCCTCCGCCCTGCTGTTGCTGTTCTGAGCTCCACCACGGGCTTTCGTTCTGCTGTTGCGGGGGAGGCATTGGATCCTGCCCGTAGTCGTTCGGATTTGAAGGTGGCTGACCAAGCCTGCCGTCCTCGCTCATGCCCGAGTCAGATGCGCCGTATGGATAGTCCATTCCGTTTCCAATCGCTCCTCCCGCGACACCTGTTCCAAAGCCGCCGTCTCCGGCAGCGGGGTTCTGCGGAACGTTCTCGTTATTCGGCCCGCCTTGTGGTGTTTCCGCCGGCTGTCCTCCTCCACCCATGCCGGGCATCATCATCCAAGGGAACATGCCTCCTCCTCCGTGCATGCCTTCAGAGTGGCGACTGAAATAGTCAAAGTCGATGCTGACTGCCGTGGCAAGTGCGACGGTCCGCTCGTCGAGTGTCAGCGCGCGTGTACCGTGGCTCTCGACCAGCTCCATGCCTTCCGCAATTCCGGTCTGCTTGTTCTGAGGCCCATCTGAGGCGGCTGAAGCGGCAAGTCGAGCGTCTGTCATCGCTGTCTCGCCGACCGAGTCGAAGCGCAACACGTACTGGCCTGTGTCGGTGAAGATCTCCCTCCCAAGGCCTCTGAAATTGCGATCGATGGCACCGACGAGCTTACCGTCTGCGTCTTGCATGAGGAAGGCCCAGCTGAGCAACGGTGCGTCGATGCCGGCAAACTGCACAAAGCTCTCTCCCTCCTCCCCACGTCTCTTGAGGAAAAGCTCGTACTTCCGTCTGTACAAATGCCACCGCTGCTGCACCTCCCCAATCAGCTCCAGATCCTTATCCTGCGGGGCGCCGTACCCAGCCGGATAATCCTCCCTCACCGCATAAATGTGCGCTGTGGAATTGATCCACGTGAACGGCCTGCGAATCATGAGCACTGGCTTGCCCTGTGTATCCATCACTGTGGCACGAAAGGGTCGGTGCGTCCGCAGGAGCTGTCGTTGCAACGCACCGCCAAGCAGACCCTGCTCCTCCTCGGCAAGGTAGCCCACCAGCTCGCCGGATGGGGCGTGGATGGAATACTTGTTGGCCTGCTCAAAGCCAAGGAAGATGTTCATCATCTCGATCTCGCGTGTGACGACCAGGGCCGATTGGGTAAGCAAGCGGGTTGCGCCAAAGAAGGAGGGAGAGGAGGACTGGAGCACGTCCTGAGGCGCATCGGGGACGATGGCGGGGACGTGCACGGCTGGATCGGTGGGTACTGGCGGCGATGCTGATGAAGGGTCGGTTGAAGACTCCGTGGTCTGAGCCACGGGCTCGGCAGCGGGCTTGGCATGCTGTGTCGGTGCTGGAGCGTGAGAAGTGGTCTGCCCCGAAGCATGGTGAGGCGTGTGAGACGCAGCAGACGCTCTGCTGGGGCCGCGATGATTCCTCGAGATCGTGTAGCGAGAGCCTCTGCCCATTCGCGACGATGCTGTAGCTGTAGTCGTGGATATTGTCCTTGATGATGAGGCTGCGTGTGGCAGCACCAGCGACCGTGGTGACGCCGATCCGGACGCAGTCGCACGTTGAGGGGCTGTGGTTCGCCGCGCGAGGTGGCGCTCGGCCACGCCTGCAAATGCTCTCGCGCCCGTCATCGTCAGCGTGTGCTTGACGTCGCAAGTAGTCAAGCGCCGTGTGTTCAGCGTCAGGTGTGGACGGTGCGGTCGGAACAAAGGGAAGCCTTATGTGTCACGACGCTCATCAGCTTGCTGAGCAGCTGTCAAAAGTGGAGGTTACCAGCCCGCTTTTTTTCGGAACGCGGCTAAGCCTTCTGCAAACCACCGCCGACAACAGACCATCTGTGGGAACGCACTCAGCTCTCGAGGGCTGGCGCATCGCTAGCACATTCGAAGGAGGCCAAGACAGGAGCGTGTATAGCTTAACAGCTGTACCTCTATCAAGTTGCGGCTCTTCAGGATCACTCAGATTCCGAAAAAAGTGGTAGTCGGAGCCAGCAGAGCCTGAGATAATCGTGTCGAAGGGAGGCTGGCCGTCCAACTCTCCGGCGAACGGGTGCGCCACCTTTGTCAAGTCAGCCCAGGAAATATTTCAGCTTGTCGTAGTGGTAGAAGAGTGGAGATGTGTGTATTCCTGCATGCGCTTCTGGTATCATACTTTGTGCTTGTGGTCCGACTCGGTGGTAACAGGTGCCGAGTCCGTTGCAGTGGGTGCCCTGATCTCGGCCAAATCTGAGAAGTCGTCTTGCTTCACCTGTGGTTGTAGTTGAAGTTGAAAGGAGAGCAGCAAATGTGGTGTCAGCGATTGCTTCGTGAGGGCGCACGTGACGGTGGGAGTACTTACCTTTGAGATCGAGTAGAAGTAGACGCTCGTGGCGAAGCCCATGATCAGCGAGCCAGTGAGGATGTTTCGTACGCGATAGGGCTTGCGTGCACGCTTGAGGCCTTCCGAGATGCCATAGCCGTCAGGGTGGTACGTCGCATGTGTTGAACGAGGAGGGACGGTTGAGCGGGTTGCCGAGCCGTAGGATGGGCCGCTGCCAGCTTGGGTCGAGTTGTACCTTGCCGCCATGATTGTGCGGGAGGCGGAGCCGGAGGCCGTCCTGAAAAACGGAAGGGACGGCATGCTTGTGTGTTGTGCTTGGTGCTGTTGAAGTGTTGGTGGTGAGTATGGTGTCAGTGGCGAGCAGAGGTAAGGGCAACTCTGAGCTCAGAAGCCTCTCAAAAAAGGCTCAGGCGGTGCTGACCGGGACCCGGCGCAAATTTCCAAGCTGTATGCAGCTCGACCCTAACACATGAGAAAATTGGGTCTGTAACTGCAACGCGAGAAAGAAGGGTCCTGCACGCGCTGAAACCAACGCACTCCGCCAAAATGCTCAGTCAACCAGCAGCATACCAGCATGGACCATCATCACTGACAGCAGCTACCTTCCTTACAACCCACCTCACCAGCAGCCCCTTCGACACTCTTTCGTCCACGCCAGCTACCGCGCTTATCTCACGGTAGCTATTGACGCTCATTCATTGCATACACACACACGCCGACCAGGCCGAACCACCATCAGTCACGACCTTGAGCGCCTCACCGGTCGCCAAACGCGACTAACTAGCGCAACCCCGTCCTTCCAGCAACGCAATGCATCGTCCCACAGCGATCGTCTCATAGTATTAGGCTAGGCGGGTCAGCGACTCGCTTTCCCTTTGACTGGCAGCCATGCCGGGCATTCCTTCCCAACCCAACAATATACCCTTGGCCTCCTCACTTCCTAAGGTCAGCTTTCGCAAAGTGCCACCAGATGAAGCGCTCATTTTTCACATACCACCAGGCATCATCGAGCCTCATGCTCTTCCTTTCGGCTACAATGACAGCTCAAATTACGATAAGCCAGACCACTACATTCGCTACCTTGAGCCCATCGAGGGCGATCTCAAAAAGCAGGTCGAATATGACATGGATGAGCAGGATCAAGAGTGGCTCGACGCTCTCAACCACGACAGGCGCAGTCAGGGACTCGATAGCATCTCGTACGAGGTCTTCGAGATCATCCTTGATCAGCTAGAGAAAGAATGGTTCGACCTGATGAACCGGGTCCCGCCCAAAGCGAGGCATGGAGCGGGCGCAGACGCGGCAGCTGACGGTGCTGATGCCGACGAGGAAGACTCGGAAGATGGCGAAGACAGCAAGTGCGCCATCTGCGATGATGGAGAATGCGAAAACTCGAATGCCATCGTCTTCTGCGACGGATGCAATCTCGCCGTCCACCAGGATTGCTACGGCATTCCCTACATCCCTGAAGGCCAGTGGCTCTGTCGCAAATGCACCGTCTCACCTGACCGTGCCGTATCGTGCATCCTTTGTCCGCACGAGGGCGGCGCTTTCAAGCAAACTACCACTGGCAAATGGGCTCATCTTCTCTGCGCCATGTGGATTCCAGAGACGGGCGTCAGCAATCCCGTCTACATGGAGCCCATCGACAGCGTGGAGCGAATCCCGAAAGCGAGGTGGAAGCTGCAGTGCTACCTGTGCAGATACAGAATGGGCGCCTGCATTCAGTGCGACAATCGCTCCTGCTTCACTGCCTTCCACGTCACTTGCGCTCGCAAAGCAGGGCTTCTCTTTCGCACGGAGCGCACCCGCGTCTCACATCATCTTTACGAGGATTCGGACGGCAGCGATGACGAGGGGCCCGAGGTGCTGCGAGCCTGCTGTCACAGGCACATGCCCCCCGAGATGCGCGACCAATTCAAAGTCGACTTTGGTCGACAAGGGGCCCTCGATGACGAGCGGTCCGAGACCTCCTATCGTGCATCGCCTCTTGTTTCTTCACGCGCACGCGAAATGTCCGTCGAGTCAGGCATCGGAGCGCCGTTAATCTCGGTCAGCCGCCGTAGCTCCATGGTCGGCAGCCATGACGGGGCATCGTCCGCTGCCGACCCGAAGAGCACCTCCAAGTCGGCCCGTGCCTACAAGAAGAGCTTCAAGGCGGGACCTCCGCTCGTTCCCGCTTACATTGCCAACCGCGTGCTCGAGTACATCACCAAATTACACCTGCGCAAGAAGGCAACCGCATTGCAGCTCATCGCCCGCTATTGGTCCTTGAAACGCGAGGCCCGCCGGGGTGCGCCGCTCCTCAAACGGCTCCACCTCGAGCCCTGGACTGCCTCCACGAACAACAAAGAGCAGACCGACGCTCAAAAGGCCAAGAAGCTCCACTTTCTCCGAAGCATTCGAGGAGACCTCGAGCGTGTGCGCATGCTCGTCGAACAGGTCCGCAAACGCGAGAAGGAGAAGCTGCGCCAAGCACAAGAGATCCGCAATTCGCTCGTGGAGCCCGTGCTCTTTCCCTTTCATACCGACCTTCGTGCCGCTATTGCAAAGTTCGAAGCTGCTGACAGATTCGGCTACTTTGCATTGCCCGTCTCCAAGATCGACGTGCCTGACTACTACGATATCATCAGAGAGCCTATGGACTGGGCGACCATCAAGGACAAGATCCACCTCAAAGTGTACGACACGGTCGGAGAGATGCGCGAGGACGTGCTCAAGATTGCTACCAACTCCATGACCTACAACAAGCCGGATACCCCTTACCACAAGGCCGCCACCAAGATCCTCAAGATGATACCCGAGGTCTTTGCCGAGTTGCAAGCAATCGAGACGTCGCATCTCCGTGTGCACGAGCACAGAATGGTCGAACAGCGGCAGACAGAGCCGCCGATGGAAGACGACGTGGCCGAAGGTGATGAAGCAGCCTCGCTGACGATGCAAAATTCACCTTCGGTTGACGCCGAGACTCGTCGTCAGCTGCTCGAGTTGGGCCTCGAGCCCCCATCAGACCTGATCTCTCTGCTCCGAGACTATCGTGCGATGGAAGATGAAGAGGAGCTGGATATCAGGCAGCAAGCGTACGGTACGCATCCGATGCCGTCGAGTGTGCCCATCAAGGCTGAAGAGGAGGGACAAGGCGAGAATGAAGTAGGCCAGCACTCGAAGCGGAGGGGCCTCACGCCGGTACTCAACCTGATGGACGACTTCGTTCGCGAAGTGTACGTTCCACCGCCTCCGCCTGCGCCGCCGGCTCGAGTGTCACCTGTGTCCTCGTCCAAGAATCAGAAGGCTGCTAAGGCCCCGGCAACCGCGGGAACCGCAGAGGACGCGGCGCCGAAGGTACCACGGAAGCGCAAAGCATCGAACACGGAGCCTCCGGCCCCGATTGAAAGGAGAAGCACGCGTCGGTCCATCGCTCTGGAGGCAGAATCCGAAAAGGCGCAGGACCCGGCCACAGAAGCCGTCCCTGCGACGCCAGCGCGCAACAAACGCCTCCGATCGCAGAGCTCAGCCAAGCCAGCATCCACCGAAAATGCAGGTACGCAGAGTGCCAAGAAGCCAGAAGCAGCTTCCATGACCAGATCGGCGTCGCAAATGTCAGCAGAAGCGCAAGAAGGCGTCCAGGTCAACGGAGACGTTGGCGCACACGATTCGTTCCTGCTCTTCAATTCCGGATGGGTGCTTCCAGAGGGCTCCAAGCGTCATCGCAATGCTGCAGCCAGACCGGAGATGATCGGCCAGCGTCCACGCAAGATCTCTGCGCCTGAATCGCCGGCACCCATGGACCTCAGCCAGATCTCTGAGCAGGTAGCCGCCGCCGCGATGACACCTCAGCAGCGTCCACGATCGCGCACCGTTCCGTCGTCAAGCCGGCAGGTTGACACCACGCCAGCAGTCGGGACTAGTAGACGCCGGAGCAGCGGTCGCAGAGCATCTGTGGCGAAGCCCGAACCGGAGGACGATCAGAAGGCGGAAACGGCAGCCAGCTCCCCGCTCACTTCGGAGGATGAAGGTGAGAAGCACGCCGGCACTTCCGCGCAAGGAAGGCAGACCAGATCAAAGCGCACTGTCAAGAGGGAGAACAGCCAAGTCTCCGAAGGTCCTTCAGAAGCTGCCGCCAGCGAGACACCCAGCTCTCTACGACGCAGCGCACGCACCCGCACCGTCTCTGCCGACCGCTCTGTATCGCCCGCAACCTCGAGTCGACAACGCTCCACATCAGCATTGCCGCTCGATTTTATTACCAACCCACCGGGGGAGGGCACGCGGGTGTGGGCCAAAATGGAGAGATTCCCGCACCATCCCGGCATCGTCATCACCGACCGCTCAAAACTACCTCGCGAATTGCTCAAATATCAGTCAAACGATGCACGGGTTGCCATCAAGTTCTTCGGCAAGCAAACCACCTGGGGATGGGTGGCGGCCGACAAACTCGCTCCTCTGCTCATCGACGACCGGGTGGACGAAAAGTATCTCAAGCTGGCCTCCAAAAAGTCCCACTCGAAGGGGCAGGCGAAACTGGTCCGGGAAGCGTACGACGAGGCACGATCCAAGATGTGATGTTAGGTCAAACGAATGAGTAAGAACATGATCATCCAGCTAACGACGACGACGAGGATGGCGGAGAGGGTGAACCAGCCCATGCCACGAGCTTTTTTCGAGTAGACGCCGAGTCGTCCCCGTGTGCGTGTCATGAGGTCGAGATTTTGGCCGAGATCGGTGCCGGCTTTCTCGAGGAGGAGACGATCGCGCTCGAGAGAGTCGGCGAAGGCGACCGAGTTGGATTTGAGAACGGAAGCCATGCGGAGGAGTTCGGAGGAGAGCGCCTCGTGGGTCGCGCGGTCCGATTGGAGGATTGTTTCGCTCGCTGAGGTCGTGGTTGGTGCGGTGCTGGTGCTGGGAGCGGGCTGTTTGGCTTGGTTGGCTTTAAGCGATCGGTTGTACTGTTCCATGTCGTCCTCGTCCTCGTGCGGAGGTTGCGGTTTGAGCCCGGCGAGAGGGGTGGTGTCTTTGGTGGATGCAACGTGGATGTCCGGATCGGTGAGGACCGATTCTGCGCCCGAGCCCTCATCATCGTGAGAAGAGTCGGTGTGGTTGTCACCGTCGTCCGCATCGATAGCGGCGAGCGTTCGCTGTTTCCAATACTCGTATCCTTTCCTTGTGCCTCTCGTAGGGCCGGCGTTCGACGGCGCAGCGACCGCGGGCTGAGACCCCACAGGAGCAGTGAATACATCCCTCGAGCCCTGTCCACCTGACACGGACAGCATTCTCAGGATCGAGTCGACGATCTCGACGTCCTGCTGCGTCCTCATCAGTGCTGCCTCGCACGCTTTCCTATCTCCTGCGCTTGACGATGCCTGCCGAAGCTGGTGAGACACCTCGCGAAGCTGCGTCAGAAGCGTCGTGGTGGACCAGAAGAGCTGTGGATCATCAGGGCGGCTGCTTATGTCGTCGGATGATACCTGTGCGTGGACTGCATCGACACGAGATGCAAGAGCGGCGCTGCGTTGGAGGAGCGCGTTGAGGTCGGGAGGTGGGGCGGCGCGCGAGGAGGAGGCGGTGGGTAGGCGAGTGAGGTATTGCTGAAATTGGTGTCGTGCGCTTGCTGACAGTTGCGCGTCCGCTAGCGGTGAGGCTGAGGAGTTTGTCGACATTATGAACAGCACCAGAGAACGGGGGCTTGGTGGTAGGGAAGAGAAGCTGAACGAGGGGGGTGTCGAGGTGTCGAGATGTCGAGGTGGAGCTGTTACTTTTGAGAGCACAGACCTCGGGACTCGGCGCTTTTGGAGAAGATGTTAGAGCGAAAAATCACGTGCAATTGACGCAGCGCACACTCAAAATGTCAAAAAGGGCTCTTTTGCGGTCTGACTCGGCTAGCTTTCTTCTATCTTTCTCGATGCTCCATACCCTCATCTTCTCATCATCGCAAGACTACACATAAAACCTCGATCGTCATCACCACCGTCCTTTGATGTCTCTCTTGCGGTCCTGCATCCGACCTTCGACTTACCCACTCGGCTCCCTCGCATCTGCGCTTGCGTCCCGAAAAGCACCCGCACTTCGCCCACAGCCTCGCTTCTTCTCCAACAAGCAAGTGTCCGACGAGCAACTCCTCAAATACCTGCGATCCGGCTCAGCACCTTCAGCAGAGATGTCCGACGCCGATCAGCAAAAGATCGCCTCGCTGCAGGCCGAGAGGGCCGAGCAGGACTCGAAAGTGCAGCAGCTCCGCGCTTCCAACACAGACCAGACGACGCTCAAGGCCGAGATCGGCAAGCTGAAGAAGCTCGAGGCGCAGCTCGCCGCGCTCGGTCTCGGCTCTTCCAAGGCGGGCTCCTCCAAACAAGAGGTCAAGTTCACGCTCAAGACGCCCAAGGGAACGCGCGACTGGGAGCCGCTCGCCATGTCGCTTCGCAAGCGCATCTTTTCGACCATCGAAGAGGTCTTTTCCGCCCACGGCGCTGTGACCATCGACACGCCCGTGTTTGAGCTCAAAGAGATCCTCTCCGGCAAGTATGGCGAGGACTCGAAGCTCATCTACGACCTGCAGGATCAGGGTGGTGAGCTGTGCTCGCTCCGCTACGATCTCACCGTCCCCTTTGCGAGGTTCGTCGCCATGAACCAGTCCGAATACGGCAACGTCAAACGATACCACATTGCCAAGGTCTACCGTCGCGATCAACCAGCGATGAGCAAAGGTCGCTTCCGCGAATTCTACCAGTGCGATATCGACATTGCGGGCGTGTACGATCCCATGGTGCCCGATTCCGAGGTGCTGTGCATCCTCGTCGAAGCACTCGACGCCCTGGGCATGGAGGGCTTCACCATCAAGATCAACCACAGGAAGATCCTCGATGGCATCTTTGACATCTGCGGCGTCCCCGCCGACAAGATCCGCACCATCAGCTCGGCCGTCGACAAGCTGGACAAGAGCCCCTGGTCCGAAGTGCGTCGGGAGATGACCGTCGACAAGGGCCTGGCCGAGGACGTGGCCGACAAGATCGGCGAGTATGTCAAACTCAAAGGTGGACGAGACCTGTTGGAGAAGTTGAAGACGGACGCGACGATGATGGGACACAAGACGGCGAGTGCGGGAGTGAAGGATATGGAGCTGTTGTTTGACTACCTGGATGTGTATGGTATTGCGGATCGGATGAGTTTCGACCTGAGCCTTGCGCGCGGGTTGGACTACTATACGGGACTCATCTACGAGGCTGTCACGTCGGCATCTGCGCCTCCTGGGTTCACGGGCGAGCCTACCGCCGGTGGCGCGGACAAGACCCTCAAAAAGAAGAAGAAGGGGGGCGACGACGACGAGGTGGACGAATCCACCGTTGGCGTCGGCTCCATCGCCGCCGGCGGTCGATACGATAACCTGGTCGGCATGTTTTCCGGTTCCAAAAAGCCCGATGCAGTCCCCTGCGTCGGCGTCTCGATCGGCGTCGAGCGCGTCTTTGCCATCATGATGCAACGTCTTCGCGAAAAGGAAGCCGCCAACCAACGCACCATCCGTGCTAAGGACACCGACGTCTACGTCATGTCCATCGGCGGCGAGGGGTTGCTCAAGGAACGCATGCAGGTGAGCAAGATGCTCTGGGACGCAGGCATCAAGGCCGAGTTCATGCACAAGGCCAAACCCAAGCTGCCGGCGCAGTTCGGCGTGGTGGACAAGGAGGGCATTCCGTTTGCGGTGATTCTGGCGCCCAACGAGTGGAATGGCGAGACCAGGGAGGTTAGAGTCAAGCAGCAGAAGGGCAAGGAGTCGGATGAGGGACAGGGCCAGGGTGAGGTGGTCAGGTTGGACGGGTTGGTCGAGTATTTGAAGGGCCTCGGTGCGGGTAAGGGCGCTGTGGCGCTGAAGGAGAGGGAGAGCATCATCTAGGCTCGCACGTCGAGCTTTCAGAGGAAACATGTTGAAAGATGACGAGGAAAACATGTTGAAAGATGACGAGTCGAGCGAGATGTGTGTGCTGATGGAGGTGTGCGAAGCGATTGTAGGTCGACTGATCTGAGTGAAGTGCCTGCTAATCCCTCGCTGGGAGCTGCAACTCATTTCGTCTGTGGCTCACCCCTGTCGGACACATCGACGTGCTTATTGAGCAAGACGAAGTGCTTCGAGTAGAAAAGACGCTAGTTGTATGGGCTGAAGCTATGGGTACAAGGCGGTCAATGCAGGATGAGGGGGAGCTCCATTCCGCGGCGTCTAGAGGGAACCTCCACGGAGTGCGAGCACCAGCTGTACGACAAATACGATTCTCAAGTGTGTCAGCATACCGTCCCCGCCTTTCCGCAGCACATTTCGTCCCAGGGCTTGAACGGGGGTTTGAAGGGTCACCACTCACATGCAAAACACTGCCGCCTTCGACGCCGAAGTCCTTGGCCGTCTTTTCGTCGTGCCTGTTTTTGCGCGGCATCCAAATCCGCAGAATGTCAGCTATGCCTATACCATCGAATCAAGTGAAAGGGGAAATGGGACGCACATCTGCTTGCCGCCAAAGATGAGGCGCTGCTGGGCTGGTGGGATGCCCTCCTTCTCCTCGACGCGCTCCTTGATGCGCTGGATCTTGTCCGTCTGCTCGATGTCCAGCTCGATCTCTGTTGCGGCGCCGGGAAGTGATGAGGCCACGTTACGAGTCAGACGATGCGGGAAGATATGGACAGTCAGGAAGGGCAGGTGAGAAGGCCGATCAACGAAGCGAGGAACTTACCCTTGCCCGTGAGCGTCTTTACTTTGATCAACATGGCGGCGGGCGATACGTGTGCTGCTAGATCTTGACGCTTCTGCCTGTACTTGACTCCTTGTGTTGGGTTGGGAAAGAGTCGCTTAACGTGGTCAGCCCGGCAGCGGCGTTGAATCGTATCGTCGAAGAGGTGATGAAAGCGAGAAGAAAGGGTCCTCCGACTCAGCGCGCACGAACCCAAAATGTGGAGCTCTCCGCCATTAACTTAATTCGCCCAAACTCAATCTCGCTCTAACAAATGCCCGAGAAAAAAAGGCTTCGGCGAAATCGGCCATTGTGGGTTCGGGGTTAAGCCTCTTTCTCCGCGTGACATCGAGCGAACGTGGCTTTGGGGGGCTTAGGGTTCGAAGCTGGGTGCGCAACAGCTCGCGTGCCTGTGTGTCGCCCGAACGCGAACAGCAGCGTCGCCATGCGAAGCCATTCCTCCCCTTTTCCCCCCCGGCCATTACGTTGCGTCGCCACGCGAAACCCTCATGTTCAAATCCCCTTTTGCGACGACTGAGCCGTTTCCCCTTTCCCTTCACACTTTCAGTTGCGGCGTCGCATTTGAAACTTGTTTTTGGTGCTGCATGTATGTGCGTAGTATTGGCCCAAGCTGTGCGTGTTTTTGTTCGCAAGGGGAGCTTTGTCTGCATTGTTCTCTCCTTGCTTGTGACGGGGAGAGGTGGAGTGGGGTTTAGGGCATCTGGAGGCGGCGATGCGGGTCGAACGAGTCTGGCAGACCATCGCTGCCCGTGTTGACAGCCAGACCGCTGGCGGCGTTGGGGTCGGACCTCGACTCGCCGAAGCTGGATGGGTTGAATCGGGAGGGAAGCGGCGGCGGTGGGGGATGGTTGGTCAGCGGATTGGGGCGGAAGCTGCCCCCTGCGTTCGCGAGCTCGTTGAGGTTGAGGCCGCTCGAGTCGAGGTGGTCGATGGAATGGTGGAGGTGTTGGGAGGGAACGGAGGGGCGTTGAGGCGAGGGAACCGCCAACAGCGACGCGCCGCCCATGGGGTTCGAGCCCAACAGCGAGGTCGAGCCGAGCCTAGCAGGGCCGAGACCAGCATAGCCCGCTCCACTGCGCGCATTGTCCCCGTACGCACTGCCGGAGGACCCGCTGAGCGCATCCGAGTCCGGCCAGTGACTGCCCGCGTACGCGTGCGACGCCGACGAAGCTTCGCCAAACACCTCGGTCGTGCGCGAACCCGGCCGCTCGCCGTACGGATGCATGCGCGAGCTCGTGTACGAAAACAGGTGGTCGTTCGAAGCCATGTTGCCGAGCGCAGACCGTCCGTAGTTGTTGGTCGCCACCTCCCTTCGATCGCCGCCGAAGTTGGGCTTGCGATCGCGTCCCGCCGGGTCGTGGAAGCTAGGCATTCCCTGACTGGCCACCATGCGTTGCGGCTCGCCTCCCTTTCGATCGAACGAAGACGACGAGCTGCCCTCGGCACCATCGTGCTCCTGCTGGCCCCCACAGAATCCGCCGTAGACGCGCTTCTTGAGCTCGTGGCTCTCCGACGACTGCTGTCTCGCACTGCTACTCTGCGCCGCCGAAGTGCTCGACTTGGACTTGCCCTTCTTCTTGGGTCGATATCGGTAGGAGGGATACATGCGTTGGTGCGCCAGCTTCTTTTCGTCCGCCAACGCCTCAAATTCCTGCTTGACCGTCACCGATTCGTTCTGCCACATGTGCGAGATGATGCGCGAGATCTCGGCCTGGGATTTGGGCTTCTCGGCCGCACCGGAGCGCGATTGCGAGTCGCGCGTTTGTTGAATCTCGCGGAACTTCTGCGACCGGTATAGGATCCAGGCGTTGGGAGGTCGTGGCGTGTGTGGTTCTTCGGTCTCGGCTCGAGTCTGCGATTTGCGCTGCGCATCGAGCGAGACCGGCGCGTGACCCGTCGGATGGTGATGCAGCCCGTAAGCTGATGGGCCCATGTGCATGCCCAGAGGCTGCGTATTGGTCAGATCGCCCGGTATCGGCATGCCCAGCTGATGGTGCTGAGCGCCCTGTTGCTGTTGCTGCGGCGGCGGCGGCGGCTGATGCTGCTGATGTTGGTGCTGCTGATGGTGATGGTGGTGAGGGTACGTCTGCGAAGAGTGACCGAGGTGCGGCGAGTGACCGAGATGCGGTGAGGCGTGCGAATACGGCGCGTAGTGCGTCTGATGGTGAGGGAGCGTGGTGTTGCCGCCCGCAAATCCATAGGAGCCGTTATTCGGATGCTGATTGGGTATGTTGAGCGGAGACGACGTGTTTCCACCTACCGCTGTCTGATCGTACGATGCCGTCGAGAAAAGTGGCGACCCATCGGCATATGTTTGAGACCGTCCGAAAGCTTCGGGCTGCGGTGCTGCGACCGCGACACCATCGTAGTCAGAACGGCTCTGGCCTGTCCCTCTGTCATCGTACTGGCCGGCACGAGAGGGACCGGAGCCAAGGCCGTAGCCCTGTTGTGCCATCGTGCGGGGGAGTGAAGCCGCGCCTCGTGAGATCTGACGAGTCGACAATGTTACAGAGAGGAGACGCCAAGGTGCAAATACGGTTCCGTGGATCCACCATGAATAGTTGTGACAAAGGAACGAAGCGATTGTCAGCGTGCTGCTCATTTTGAGATCCTGAAACAAACGATGCTGCGCAGAAAGGGCCTCTGCAGGAGATGGTACGGCGTCTTAAAGTGGAACATCACCGGCGAATCAGGATTGGCGGGAGTCGGCACATAGAGCACAGTCGAGGTCGAGAGCATTCGGAGAAAGAATGCATGCTCGGCGCGCAGATTCATCTCTCCGCCGCTTTCAGAACAATGACAGAAGCCCATTGTGCTCGAAAGAAGCGGAGAACAGCTTCGGGCAGGGAAGGAAAGGAACGGAAGGCCAACTTACGGAGTCCAGAGTGCTTCTAGCGGAGCGGGATACTTTGTGAGGCCTGCTGGTGTTTCGGGGTGTTCGGGACGATATAAAGGGACAGCACGAAAATAGGAAGGCGGAGGGAGGATGGAGAGGGGTTTCGTTCAGCACATTGCGCTTTCGCTGAAGCATTTGGGGATGCGAAGGCTGACAAAAGGGTCAGACTCGTCAGAGACAACGAGCTGCAAGCGAGGAGATCAGCGCGGGGGTCGAATTCTCCAGCGCCACTGTCCGAGCCTCCATGACCAGAACATGAAGTCTGAGCCGATGGGCGACGAAGAGCATTGTAGATGGACCGCAGCTCGATCTCGGGCACACCATTGAGAAACGAACAATCCGGCTACGCCCACCGACCGGATTGCTGGGTTCCTTTCGGCCTGATCTCCTCAGGAGAGAAAGGGGCTGATGAGATCCTCCTCATGTCTAGCCTGCCCACAATGAAATAGAAATACAACCAAGTATGAGGGACCGAATGGCGAGTTCACTTACGCTATGGTGTGGGAGATCGCTTTCATATCAGCGGCAGCCCCTGGTCTTGTCGGTGGTGGTGACGAGACGCAGAAGCGTGCCCACTGCTTGGTTGGCACAGCTGATTGCTGCAGCTAGCGACGTAACGACAGGCCGCGTAAAAGAAGCTGACAGAAACAGCAGAGCGTTGGAACCGCGCAAATGAAGTGCGCAGTCGCCAATGTGACCAGAGTCGCGTCGATGGTGGGGCAGATGCGAGATGGTGGGGCTGTCCGGAAAATGGTCACGCGGCTGTGATAGGTGAATGAAGCCACCTCCGGGCGATGACAGCCAGTCCGAGCCGACAATGTCGTGCCGGGAGCGAAAAGAATAGCCTTGATTGTTGAGAGGGCGGACGAGAAAGGGACCAAGAGATGCGAGCCCTTTTACGAGAGGCGAAAGGCCATGTGGTTGTTATGAAGAAAGAGAGGTGGGATTCTGTCCTACTGAAAGAATGGACCCACGGACAGAACAAAGAGCGAGCGTAGCGCCCTCGTCCGTGCCCTTATGAGGGGGAAGCAAGGCCGCTGCGCTCCGTCAACGTATGAGCGTGTGGCCAAGAGCGCGTGAGTGACTCTGCGGCAATGTCTTGCCGCTATGCAGCCCTTTTTAGTGCGAGTGTGATATGAGGGCGTGACACCAACGATCTGTCATCGAGGTTCGTACAGCGCGGAGTCGGAGGGACCCGAGCGTGCAGGAAGGCGATCGGCTGCTGTGGGACCGGACAATGCACGGATGAGTGCGGTCAGAACGGGCGGTCGCAAGTGCAAGAACGTGCAGCAGGATGCGCAAAGAAAGTTTCAGTGCAGATGCGGCTCGTCGAGTATTGATGTAGGTGAGTCTGCCTTGCCGAGCCGTACAATCTGGAGGGAATGCAGCGAGCAGGTGAAAGGGGCAAGGAGAAGGGCTAGCTGTCGACGCGGATGTTTGCGGCGAGTAGCGAGGAGAGGAGGGAGAGAGCGAGTAGATGGAGAGCACAAAGGAAGCGTGAGTAGACCTTGGACACGAGGTCCGAGACTAAACAATGGTGGAGCGGACAGAAGAAGCATTGGGCGAACTATGGACCATGTGAGATGTCGAACAGCGGGAGGATGGACGATTTTGGAAACAATAGCAATTGTCTAGCGCCGAGCATTGTCTGTGTCGCTTTAGGGCAAACTTTGGGTGCGCAAGCGACCCGTTCGTTTCTTGAAGAGACCGAAGTCTTTCGTGGTGAACGAACAAGACAGGTGAGAGGATCGCGCCAAAGGGGACTCTCTGACGCGCGAAAGCTACATGGACGACGGCGAGCGCGTTCGAGCAGAATCATCAATGATTTGACATCGACGGAATCAGAACGAACAGCCGAACAAGGGTCGAGCAAAACCTGGAAGGGTCACCCAGTGTCACTGAACGGTGTCCGGCAACACGTGCAAAGAAAGGCGATACTGCATGCACCGGATCAGCGCGCCACGATACCATGATACCGACATTAGAGCATCATGGTGCAGCGGAAAGGGGCAGGGGGAAGGCAAGTGTTGCAGCTCAGATAGGGGGAGTTCGAAGCGGGAAGCTGTGCCCAGTTCGGAAACGGGATGCGCGCTACTGTAGGGCTTCCAGCTGATCAACCGCCGGCATGAACCCAGATGATGGTCCACACCCGGGTACCACCTCGATTCGGAAGTCGGCTAGGTCTAAAAGAGTTGAAAGGGCAAGCAGGCTGGGCGAACTCGAACGCGAACGGACGCGGACGTGGACGCGGAAGAGACTAGCACATGCCAACGAAGATGCGCTCTGGCACCCTCTCTTCCATGCTCCTGCACAAATATGGGTGTGATTCGCCCGGAGAGAGGAAACGCGTTCGGGTACGACGCCACGGCAAAAATGCCGCATCTGAGACCAGGCCCGATGTCTAGAGGAGCAAGGCACCAACGACATCCATGAGCTGCTCAGCGGACTCTCAAAGTGCACACTGGTCGTGTGACGAGGGCACAGCAAGGTAGTACGGCAGCGTGGGAGATTGCGACATTGTCATGTCATGAACTCTGACAGAACCATGCACCTTGTCTTGTCGGTCGGCGCCTTTCTGTCGGCGCCTTTTGGCGATGTGCCTTGGAAGGGGGAGAGTGGCAGGCCGAGAGACCCGAATGCGTGTCGGAGATCTCTTGGCTTCCATGTTTTCTTGGTGATTAAAGTGTATTTAGTCATCCATTCGCCGACAGCCGAGCGCGGTGCTAAAATTGACCGCGTAGCGACTCTGTATGTGTTTGTGCTACTTACATGTAGATCGATGTTGCAACTAGCCCGCTTCCCGGCTCGGCTGGCAATATCAATTGGGACCTCATTCGGCATCTCGAGTAGGGAAAGGAAAGCAGACGCCGTCTGTGTTGGTACTGAAACATTGTGCTCAACACAGCTCGCTTCGCATGGCCCCTGTTGATCGATGATGGATGCCAAGACGCAGTCCCATGTCGAGCTGGTCGGAAACGCGTGAGACAGCTCAGCTGGGCTCGTTTGGTGGATCTGGCAAGCGGGGGCACTGCTGATGAACAATGGGCTAAAACAATGCTGGACTCGTGGTGCAAATGGGCTCGGAATCTGCAGAGCGATCCATTGTTGAAGCGTGCCCTCTGCCCTCTCTCCTGGTGTATGTCTTCGAGTCGGCAGAATGCGTCCTGTTCATGGGATCCAGGCGTGATCACCTCGACCGTGGACAGTTGTGGCTAACCTGAAAGGTCGGCTCAAACGTTGTTCATGCCATGCGACGCTTATTGCAACATTGGCATGTCGGGATTGGCAACGGAACAAGCCATATGGCCGTTTCGTGTTTATGCAGGCGAGATGTGCGGGTGTGAGAGACCCGAAAGGAAGGCATCCGAAGACTCACCGGATCCCTGTTCGCCTGCTCCTCTCTGCCAAGACAAAGAAAAAGGCAACCAGATTTTGTATCTCTCGTTCCGCGGAAAGTGATGCGATCGGCGGACAGAGCAACCCGGAGTCCGACCACGATCTTCGGCAACGGCGCTTTGCTGGGAGCCGTGAGTCAGCTTGTGTTCCGCTCTTTCTCTTGTCGTTTCGAGCATCGTGCTGACTAGACTATGACCGCTTGAAACTTGTCGACGTAAGTATTGGTGTTTCTCTGTTACAAGTCTTTGCAAAGTTGCTGGCTAGCAGCACTAGCACAGACAGAAACAAACAGTCCGGTCGAATGCCGGTCGATCTTTTCGTCCTCCCGACCTGGGTGCATGGAACGACTGAGACCGCGGCAAAGTAGCTTCCAGACTGCCGGGATTTCGGCTGCGGGTTCCCGTGTGCACGCTCTCTTTTTGAGAGAAACAAAAAATAAAAGGGAATTCTATCGAAGAGGGCGCAGTAGAAAGACACCGGGATGACGGGCAGAGCGCTTGTGATGTTGCTGATTGCCCCTTTGTGGAATTTCTTGGCTCGCGTCGGAGGGGAGCGATGCGCGGCTACGGCGGCTACACAATGAGAGGGATGCAACCAGTGTGCACAAGGTCCATTCTTGTGCATCGTCAGCTGCACTTGCATCAAAGTGGGGTGATTGGGATTGCTTGCAGCTGACCCGAAGACATAGGAGTGTCAGGATGGGATTGCTTTGACCTGGTGAGGCTTGTCGTCCACGCTGAACGTGTCAATCAATCAATCATCATCGTGGTTCCATTGTTGGCAATGTTTGCATTGTTGGTATTGCTGGCATTGCTGGCATTGTTGACCCGACCGATCCTGCCAGAACGAGCCGGGAACCCTGCTCCTCGGTCGAACTTTGAAGCCGACGAACGATGAGGCCAACGTCGAGCATCCCTACAAGAGTGTTGGTGAGTCGAGTGTGAATCCTCTCGTATCGGACCGTCCGAGAACGGTGACATCTGAATCGTCCCTGCGAACGACTTGGATCATGCCTACAGCGCAGGAGATCCGGAGCCTTGATCGACAAGGTACACATTGAAACCGCGATGCAGTGAGATCAGAGGAGAATCTGCATGTAGGCGATTCTCCGCATTCCCCAAGCAAAGGTTTCGGGAATTCGCTTGCATAAATTCAATGTTTTCGGATTGTCCACGCTCGCGTGGAAGCGTGGAAAAAAAAAGAAGCTTGGCGTCGCAGCGGACGGGTTCCGAGAATCTGGTCTGCGCCACGCTTACGGGCAAACTTCGGCAACCTCTTCGAACCATAGCCGGCGATGCTTTCTTGGCTGGAAAGAGTGTGTGTGTGTCGTCAAAGCCGATCGAGATCCACAGCCATCTCTCCCGGTGTGCATCTAGGAGCCACAGGAGGAGACCAGCTCATGCAAAACCATGGGATGGGCCTGCAATCAGTTGGGCTGCATGCCACGACGGCGTCGCGCCTAAAAAATTCGCACCCAGATCTCGGTCCGGGCCTTGGAGGCTTCTCTTTGTTCGTGTTCTTTTTCCTGCCAAGGCGTCGCATTTCCGCAACCGAACTGGCAAATTGGATCTTGTGCAAGCAAGGTGCAGCTCGGATGGCATCCGCGGTCCTCCGTTGCCTCTCCTGCTCTTGCATGTCGGATGTGGATCTCGCAAAACTTGCATTGCATCCGCTTTCACGCGCACGGACAATGGTCGGGCACGCACAGACAATGAGAGAGCAGGAGAACCAAGACCTAGGCCGGGGGTCTAAGCGAGCTGAGTCGGAAAAGGAGTGCATGTATATGCATGGTGAGAGCGACTTGGGCGTTCCCGGGCCCCTGTGATGGTCGAAGCGCCACCAGGGACCATGTCACATGCTTTGCCGGCCCAGTTCATCGGCTGGCTTGTCGGCCGATTCTCTGCCCGAAATAGGGACAAGCCTCACCGCACAACAAGAGCAGCGAAGATCTCTTACATCGGACAAATGAGACGCCGACGTCGTGGTTGGGCGTGACAAGATTGGTCTCTTGAATCATGCGCATGGCAGACAAGCAAGAGCGAGGCGGTAAGGCGGCTCGTTGCAACGAATGCACCTGTCATCAGTCACCGATGGGCGTCGTCCGAGTGGCACCCATGCGACGGTGCTTGTGCAGCGTTGGGAGGGGGTTCGCGCAGCGTGACCATGGGATGTGGTCACCTGGTCCCGAGCTGTGTACCCACGCGCGACCGGGTGTTGCTATTGTTTCTGCCTTCTGGGTCGACGAGTGGCATTGCTATCGAACAGGCATGACAAACTGGACGGAGGAGCGCCGAACAATTGCTGATCGTTCACGACACAGAGTAGGGGCAGCTGTATACAATGGAGGTCTCGAGAGCAGACAAAAGCGAATCAATTTAGGCCAGACAGCTCGATAGGCGACCCCAAGTCGGAACAACCGACGGAGCACGATGGACCGCGCTGAGCCTGCCCATGGGATCCTACAGTACCCTTCTGTCGGACTCAATCCGTAGGTGGTTCCGGGGCAATGCGTGCATTGTGGTGCACTCGGGATCCATGCTGCAAGCGCATGTAACCGCTGATGACACAGAACTGTCACCCAAGCGAGGGTCGTTGCCCATTGTCCATCGGCGTTCCAGGGCAGAGGGCAGAAGGAGAGGCCGACACACAACAATGCGCTTGACAAACAACAATAGACGACCGACTAGCCGAGTGGCACATTGTCTTGATTGGGGGATTGGCAGCCAAGCCACACGTTAATGGCGATGCCACACCACCACCTCGTCCTTGCCAAACTGAGCTCGACTTGGCGCTGGCCATGATGCATCAGAGTCGCCTGGCAGCTTGGCAGTAGGACCGAAGCCGTTGGGCCCTACCGTGATGGGTGCAATCGTCACAAGCAAGGTATCGATCAGCTGTGGTTGCTGCAAGAGGCTGTCGATCACAGCAGCGCCGCCTTCTACCATGAGTCGAGTGATGCCTGCCTTGCGTATGGCTGCGAGCGTCTCGGTCCAGTCGAGCTGACCCATTGATGCGGCGCTCCCCTGCACCTGCATCACCTCGGCTCCCGAGCTTTCAAGATGACTGCGTTTGTCCGGGTCGGCTTGGCTCGACACAATGATGAGAGGTTTGCGCCCTACACCAGCCGCGTAATTGGCCATCAGCTTCGCGTCGAGGGGCATGCGCAACAGCGAATCGAGCACTACGGGTCTCGGCAGTTGCGACACGGCAGGCGGGCTACAGAGCAGACGTGCATTCAACTGAGGATTGTCGTTGAGGACCGTGCCAATGCCTACCATGATACCGTCGTGCAGCGTGCGCAGCGTGTGGGTCATGAGCATGCTCTCGGAACCGCTGAGCGCCAGCTGCGCCTTGCCCGCTCCTGCAATCTTGCCATCCTGCGATTGAGCAAAGGTCAATGTGACGTGCGGGCGTGCTGGGTTGGGGCGGTGGCTGTGGCTGCTGAACTGGAGCGACTCTTGCAAGAACGCAGCCGCTCGCTCCTCGTCCGCTGATGCTGAGGTTGATGCTGAGCTAGACATGGAGCCTTGACTTTCCTCGCCTCGAGACGTGTTTCAATCCGTGAGAGTGTTCACTGAATGTGGACGGCACGGCCCGAAGCCGATTCGAGCTTGGCTGATGCGATGCTTTCCGATCCGATCCGACGGCTGTTCGGACAGCAACCCTTGGTCGCGCGTATTCCCTCGAGCCTGAGTTGAGATGAGAGGCTGTGCCGTGTGCCGTGACGCCAATTTGGTGTGATCGGAAACAAGCCGGCAATGTGATGGTCTTGGAAGGTGGATCGTATGACCGTTGAATGAGAAGAGCCAAAGTCACTCACAGTTGGATGATCCGATGATGGCGCGTGCGAGAGGAGGACCCTGAACCAATTCTTCTTGTTCTTTGTTCGGCAATCATCTGAATTTGGAGCGTATCGCGTGAGGAGCGAGTCGATTCGCATTACTCACCACCTTGCTGGGCCGGGTCATCCGCACGCGTACTCAGTGTGACGGACCGCACCGACTCGATACTGGGCAAGGAGTGCGTCGGTGTCGTGTGATTGCGTGCAATGTGATGTGTCTGCGGCATGACCTCCTTGCTACCGTTGCTTATAGTTGAGAGGCCGGAGCAGCTGATCCGGTGAGCAGAGGCTCGTAGTTTTCTGAGCCTGCGGTCTCTTTCCGACGGCGACTTGGCCAATGCGCGCGCCAGGGTCAATAATTTTGAGGCAGCAGAGCAGCTCTAATTTCCTTGTTGGCTCTTGAAAGATGACCGCATCATCAACGATTACCCCGCCGCCGCTGTGACTTGACTCAGACAACTCATACACACACACGCTCCTCCTTTCCCCTTGATCATCTCTCATATCTCCTACCATTCATTGTGTCGTTGTTGATCGATCTCGTTCCTGGCCTCTTCCTATCAACGCCCCACCTCGAGCCCGCTCGCCTTCATAAGCTTCTCTCGGATCTCGCATATGTCCCCTGGCTCGACACACCTGGACATTCGTTAGCAGCCGAACGGCCCAGCTCGGATCACGACCGCATCCATCTTACTGCCCTCAAAGGATTTGCAAGTCCACACACTTCGGCGCTCTCTCGCTGCTCGTCAACTGCTCGATCACGGACCTGGATCTCGGACTCACAGCGGACTATGCCTTTCCACAACCCGCTCGCAAAACAGCCAGAATCGTACGTCAAGAAGAAGGAGTACACGTTCAACAAGACGCTAGGCGAAGGCACCTTCGGTATTGTCAGGTCGGCGACATGGAAAGCAGCAGATCCGCCCATCAACGTGGCGGTCAAGGTGATCAGCAAGCGTATCCTGCGCGGGCACGACGAGATTGTCAAGGATGAGATGAACGTGCTCAAGGGTCTGGACCAGCCGCACGTGGTCAAGTTTCTGGATTGGTTCGAGAGCAAGGACAAGTACTACCTGGTCTTCGAAGAGGCGACCGGCGGCGAGCTGTTTGAGCGCATCCTGTCTCGCGGGCGGTTCACCGAGCTGGATGCGTGTCGTACCATTCGTTCGGTGCTCTCGGCGATCCAATACCTACATCACCACAAGATTGTGCATCGCGACATCAAGCCCGAGAACATCCTGTATCGAACCAAGGAGGAGGACGCCAACGTGGTGCTGGTCGACTTTGGCATTGCGGCGCACATGAAGGACGACGACGAGGTGCTCACCTCGGTGTGCGGCAGTTTCGGCTACGCAGCGCCCGAGATCCTCGCCAAGAAGGGTCACGGCAAGGCGGTGGACATGTGGAGTCTGGGCGTCATCACGTATACGATGCTGTGCGGCTATACGCCGTTCCGCTCCGACGACGCCGCAGCGCTCGCCGCCGAGACGCAGCGCGGCAAGATTGAGTTCCACGACCGCTATTGGAAAAACGTCAGCCAGGAAGCCAAGGACTTCGTCAAGGCGTGTCTCACCGTGGATCCCAAGAAGCGCATCACGGCGGATGAGGGCATGGCGCATCCCTGGCTCACCGAGCACAGCGCAGAGACGCAGGGCACGCACGACATCTCGGCTGGACTGCGCGAGAATTACCGCAAGCGTTGGAAGTCGGCCATCGCAGCGGTGCGCGCTTCGACCAAGTTCCGCACCTTTGCCCAGCTCGCCTCGGAAAGTCGATCGGCTAGCCAGTCGTCCCTCCAAACGGGCGGGTCGGATTCGACGGACAGCTCGAACGCATTCGCGGGTGAAGCAGGCAAGATCTCACCTCCGACGAAGAGAGAGCTGTATAGCGAGGACGAGGACGAGGAGGACGGGGAAAACAACGAGTTCTTCGACTCGGAGGATGGCACTGCGGTGAAAGGAAATTTGGATGGGTCGTCGGAGAAGCTACCGAAGAAGGAGCCAGGGCTGGTGGAGAAGCTTGAGGGCAAGTTGGAGGATATGCATCTTCGCTCGCCGAGCAAGTAGCGAGGTGTCTTTGTTGCTGTCGTCGCCCCGGTGGGCTCTTGTGTTGTCTCTACGTGCTGTCTTTTGTCCTTCTTGCTCTCGCTCGCATCTGTCTTTCTGTACTGTACTGCTGCTCCATGGAATGCTCTTGTTCATTTGCACCCTCTTCCTCATCGAAGCTGGCCAGCATGGAGAGAGCATACGTTTAGGATTACGCTGCGACCCTCGCCAAAAGTCCAACTTCAAAATGTGAGTCCAAAAATCAAGGAAGAAAAAGAGGTGAGACCGACACGCTTTTTGGCTGCAGAAGAAGAGGCGTCAAGGCGGTGTGCGCGTCATCTGTCCGGCCAACGCGCCAAGAAAGTCGGCAGCAAGAAGGCAAGAACGTGTCTGCCGTCCCTTCTGTGAGTCGATTTCGCGGCGTCTTCTTTGGATAAGCTTGAGTCGGTGCATACACTTCCGAGTTCGCAGCGAGCTCATTCGGCTCTCGTTTCAGTAAGAAGAAAGGGTCGTGCCTGCCAAAGTCAAGTTGTAAGCTTCAGTTGTCTCGCTCGGACCGCCGCCCACTTTTTGGCCAACGCGGCGTGACAGGCTACCTCATCAGTTATTCCAGCAGCAGCAACGGCGCATGCTTGTCCCACATCAAACCCTTTCTTCCCACCTTTGCTGTTCATCACCATTGTCCCCTGTCCACCCCCTCTGCATAGCCATTTCCTGGATCCTTCATTCTCCCTTTCGCATCGCATCGCATCCGTCCAAGCCACCTTCTCCGAGGCACCGTCGTGTCTAACAAACGCAAGGCGAGCCGAACGACGTGCCTTGCCCTACCTCGATTGAACGACCGCCCCCCATCTCGACTTTGTAGCTCAAGGTGATCGCGCACAAGCTCGTACCCATGCCATTGTCGGCCAGCACCACCAACCTCCCTCTCAACCGATCAACTTCACCCCGCAATCATCCCTCAGCAACTGCCGACGCCGGTGTGCTATCCGAATCACGTCTCGCCAACGTCGCCAACGGCGGGCCTGCCCCGAGCTCAAACGGCGCACAACCTACAGTCAAGACAGTCAACAAAGGAAGCGCACCCAAGCTATCGCCCCAGCTTTCGGTCAGGTCGATCAAGCAGGACTACGAGGATCGCGAGAACTCGACCTATCTGCGTCCACCTTCGTCCGCTTCCTCCCGGTCCTCATCTCCCACAGCATCAACTTCGCATCAGAAAGGGGACGCACCGCACAGCTACGACGGTTTTGCTGCTACGAAGAGCAACTCCTACTTGCTTCCCGTGGATCCAGAGGCTACTACGACACCTCCGCGCCCAAGAACCCTCAGCAACGGCTCCAACACTAGCTTCTCCAGGTCACCTTCGATCCGGCTCGCGAGTGGTTCCTATCCTTCCACGCTCAGGCCACCGGCGAAGAAGTCTTCGAACTCTTCGATCCGATCGCTCCCAGAGCCGCCTCCTCCTCCACCGACCCAGCAGGTCGAAAAGCCATCGGTCGCTGCCAGCCGTGGGAACGACTCGATCGAGACAGTAGTTGTCATGGTTCCTTCCGTCGAAGACGCTTCCACGTCGACATCGGCATCGAGCCAGCCACCGTCAGATTACGCACAGCAGCCGGCACACAACCACCAACACGGCGCTGACGCAGACGACGAGGATGCAGCTCTGTACGAAGACATGGACAGTGTCGGCGACCCCAGCGGCCCGACTGCCAATGGCGCTTCGCTCTCCGCCACCTCCAACGTCGACGTTTCCAAGATGTCGCTTGCCGAACGACGCGAGCATTCGCGCAGACACTCTCGCGTGCACAGTCGCAATCTGAGCGTCTTCTTCCCTCGACCGGGGACCGACGCCGAAGCCGAGGCGGATCAGGCCAAGGTGCGCGACCACTTTGACCAAGGTGCCTCGACCTCGTACGCCAGCAGCGAAGAGCAACCGGGCGCACACCGCCGGAACAACAGCGGGAACCGGCCGCAGATCACGGTCAGCACCGACACGGCTACGCTCTCGCCTCGATCAGCCAGCTTTGCCGCTCTTACCGGAAACAACCAGGGGCAGCTCGGTGCCTCGCATCCGCACGATCTCGCTCCAAGTCCGACCAAGAGTCGACGCGGCCACCACCACCGTCACAGTGTGGCGATGCTCGATGCGGGACTCAGCCCGGTGACGATGAAGCACAGTGGGCACGGAATGGAGCGATCGACTTCATCGACGTCGTACACATCGGATCACTCGTATGCGTCGCCGTCTGAGGTGCGGGATCGGCACGATTCGCACGATCACGCACACACCCATTCGCATCGACGATCGCTGCACGCGCGAACGGTCTCTGCGCTCGGCCACATCCCTCAGACCTCGCGTCCGCTGCTTCTGTTTGGCATCTCGCATTTCGGGCTGGGCGCAGCGCTGTGGATGGCGGGTCAAGAAGTCGATTCTTTATCCGCCACGGGTTTGGGGTACCTGGTGGTCTTTGATGCCATGGGTATCTTGGGCAATGCCGTGGCGGACTGGTTGGTGGAATGGGAGCAGCACGCGTCCGATCTCCGTCGACGCACACCCAAGTCCGACGGTACGGCGCTCAAGAGGCCGTATGGAATGCACCGCGTCTCGACGCTGTTGCATTTCGTCCAGACGATCTATCTGCTCTTTGCGAGCGTGTACGTGTTGAAGGAGTCGGTGGAACATGCGTTGTTGGAGGGCGAGGGATCGGGGGCGAGTGGACACGACCATTCGCATGCGCATGCAGAGAAGGTGGGCATCGAGATGCCGAATTTGCTCCTGGCGCTGTCGTTGGCGGCGTGCGTGTTGAGCAACATGGTTATGGGTAACCATGCCAAGTTGGTTGCTGCGTGCGGGATCAGCACTTCCACCACCGGTCCACCTGGGGGTAGACACGGGAGGAGCGGATCGGTGTTGATGCGTCCCAGCCAGCTGGCATCCCCGTTCCTGGCATTGTTGGCCAACCCGTTCAGCTTGACCGTGCTATTCTTCGCATCATCGTTGCTGTTCGCCGGATTGACGATGCACGGCATCCAGATCGCTGCACTGGACAAGGTGCTGGCGGGATTGGAGAGCGTGGCGATGTTCTACGTTGCGTATCCCGCCTCTGTCGCTCTTGGTAAGGTGTTGTTGCAGACGGCACCGAGGGATTCGCCACATGTTCAGGCGCTTCATCGCGCGCTCAAGGGCGTAGAGGCGAACCCGTTGGTGGCGTATGTTCATCCGCCAAACGTGTGGCAGCTCACCCCACCGACGACGGCGCATAGCCAGCAGGATGGCGTGCTGACAAGCAGCGCGAGGAGCCACGGGAGTAAGAACGCCGCGCTGGTGGTGGGCGTCACGGTGGTGCTGAGGGAAGGGGCGAAGGATGAGGATGTGTTGGAGATGACGAGGTGGACGTGGGAGAGGTTGGCGGTGAGTGTGGGGGCGGGGAGGGGGTTGAGTGCGGGAGAGGGGTTGAGAGGGAGTGCGAGGGCGGGTGAGTTGACGGTGAAGGTGGTTAGGGAGGGGCATGAGGAAGATGGGGTCGAGGCGTGTGGGCATCATGGACATGATCACCATGGACACGGGCATGATCACGGGCACAACCACGGCCATGGGCACGGGCATGGACACGATCACAGCCACGGACACGATCACAGCCACGGCCACAGTCACGCCCATCACCATCACTGAACGCCGCATCAGCCTCGCTCCTTCCGACCAAGCCGCTTCGTCCAGCAAACCTCGCAGAGTACGGAACACAGCCGTGGCCTGTCCACCACTCAACGCACATGCATTTCGCTAGCATCGCTGCTTGCGAGTCGCCAGCTCGGTCCTCGTGCAAGGAAACGCAGATTCCTGGACACGTCAGCATTCAATGCATACAATCGTTTCGCATCACTTTCTTTCTGTCAAGCTGCGGCTCCTGGTGATCGTGCGTGTTGAGAGCTACAAAGCAGAGCCATCCATCACCCTTCATTGAACGCGTGCATGTTTCGCATCGCAGCTTCTGAGCGCTTCACTCTGCGTCCGCTGCACGGCTTAGATGGAAAGCCAGCATCAACATGTCGAGAGCCGGTCCGGCTAAGCATTTCTTCTCATGTCGGAGTTGGCCGAGAGCGTTGGGTTGATTTTTTCACCGGCACGTGCACGCAGTGACTCGAAGCGTGGGCGCCGATCTGCGCCCTTTTTGCTCGATGATAAGGGCCAAATTTCTTGCGTGCTTGGCCCGATTTCGCCGACTGGCTGGAAGAAATTGGGCATGCAGATCTTCTTGAGCACTCTCAACCAACACCTTTCGTTGTCTCCCTCTCCAACACCATCGCTCTTCCATCAACCACTCGCAATCTCACATCGACGACCTCGACGCACATCACAGACCAACGTGCTCGACAGCACTCCGCACCTACTCCATCGAACACATCTCGCAGGGCTTCATCATGTCCAACCTGCTCAGCGCAGAAAACCTCAACGGCCGATTGCTGTTTGCCATCCCGAAAAAGGGTCGGTTGTACGAAAAGTGTCTTGAGATCCTCGCCGGTGCCGACATCCAATTCAAGCGTGCGCACCGACTCGATGTAGCCCTCGTGCAAAACCTACCCATTGCACTCGTCTTCCTCCCCGCTGCAGACATCCCGCGCTTTGTCGGGGAGGGCAATGTGGATCTCGGCATTACGGGACAGGATATGGTTGCGGAAGCTGGTGCTCGAGTATCGAGTTTGATCAGCGAGGAGTTGCAATTGGGTTTTGGAAAGTGTTCGTTGTCGGTGCAGATCCCCGATCCGGCGTTGCCAGCGAACAAAGCCAAGGGGTTGACCAACGTCGAGGATCTAGTGGGCAAAAAGGTTGCTACGAGCTTCGACTACTTGGCAGGCAAATACTTTGATGAGCTCGATGCAAAGGTCAATGCCACCCGTGGTGAAGGGGAGGAGAAGGTCAAGACGCAGATCGAATACGTCGGTGGGAGTGTCGAAGCAGCCTGCGCGTTGGGGTTGGCCGATGGCATCGTGGATCTGGTCGAGAGCGGAGAGACGATGCGCGCGTGCGGCCTCACCGCCTTGACCGACCTGCTGGTTAGCCAAGCCGTGTTGATCAAGAGTTCGACCCCACACCCGAGATCGGATACGCAGTTGATCGGTCTGATCACGGCCAGGATTCGAGGTGTCATCGCAGCAAGCAAGTACGTACTCTGCCAGTACAATGTTCAGAAGAAGGACCTGCCACAGGCACTCGAGATCACCCCAGGGAGACGCGCGGCGACCGTCAGCCCCCTCGAGGAAAAAGACTGGAACGCCGTCAGTAGCATGGTCAAGAAGGCCGAAGTGGCCACCATCATGGATCGTCTCGAGGCCATCGGCGCTAGCGATATCCTCATTGTCGGCATCAACAACTGCCGTGTTTAGACGGGCCCCGCACACACACACGGCAATGTTCACAACATTCAAAGCACACATCGTGTGATCAGCAAGTGCGAGTGTGGATTGAGGAGTGCGTGTCCATTCCATTTTTCCCGAAGAGTGCGTCGTCACTCGAGTCGATCGCGACCGAGAATGTTGCCAATCTCGCGTCTGGGTTGCAACCAACCGAGGAAGCTTGGGAACCTCCTCCCCTCGACCAGCATCGAGCTCGACAAACTGCTCGACATGGACTCGCTCCTTCCCCTGTTTCCCTTTGTCTCCTCTTCGACCGCCATCGCCGACCCGCCCAATCCGCTGAACAACGGCACGAACCCATCCGCCTCGCTCTTCTCCAACAGATAGTTGGCGAACGTGATCAGATATCCATACCGCTGGAGGTAGTTCGTAAAAACAGTCGTGAGATGCGTATGCTTCTTCGTACCAGGCTCGGCATTGTCCGCGCGGAGCTTCGAGTCGTAGATCGCCTTGCGCAGGTTTTGGACTGCTTCCATGCGATCGATTGCCCTATCCGTGAGTTTCTTTGCGAGCTTACCGTGAGACAAAACGCCGACGAGTTGCAGGATGGTCCGCCATTCGCCTTGGAGCCAGAGATCCCCTTCGCGATTATCGAGGTTGTCCTTAGGTTGACCGAACGATTCGTCGCCATCGCCAGCGTCCGATGTGGACGAAGGTAGGATGAGTGAGCCGGACATCTCGTAGCTTGCGACCAATTGATCGCCGTAGTGCCATACTGTCGATACGAGGCTTGCAATGACCATACCCGTGGTTGTGCGCCCTCGCCCCATCTGACAGTTGAACACGCACGCGCTGCCCGTCTGCAACGCTGTGATGACCCGTTCTTCCAACTGCGCAAACACCGCCGGTACGGGCGCCTGTTCGTCCGTAATCGCCAAGCGCGCATAGTCCACCTTGAACCCCTCACGCTGTACCAGCTCGTACACTTCGCGCGGCGTCAGCACGTCTCCTTCGCGAACGGTCTCCCAGACGGGGATGATATCGAATTCGCCTTGGCGGATCTCGGTTTCGTCGTGCAGCAGCACGCGGCCTCCGCGCTGGGCGGCTTCCTGAAGCATGTCGTTCTTGAGTGCCAGCTCCATTCCCTCTACGACGTCGGTGGTAACGCCTGTAGCTTCGATGTTGGTGATAGGCTGGTCGGCGAGGCGAAGGACGTGGGGGCGACCGTTGACGTACAGCACGGGTTCCTCCCTCAGCGACGTCCAGACGACCTTTGCTGGTCCACCCGGAGCGGCGCCCATTCTCGTCAAACCACGACGTAGACCATCCACGGTCGGCATTCCCGAACCCCACGTCTCCCGACCGTGCATCATGAGCGGCGTCTTAGGCGTCATCGGCGTCCCCACCTGCTGATTCGCCGTCGGAGGCGTCAACAACAACGGCACCCCCCGCAAGTTCGGCATCCCCTCAATCCTCTCCGGCAAACCCAGCTTCAAAATTCCACTGAAGAAATCCGACTTCAACATGGTATACGCCGACAGGATGCTGCCGGATCGATGACTCACCACCTCCTGCACCTCGTCCGACAGCGCCATCCCATCGCTCGCATCCACCTTCTGCAACGGCATGATGGTCGAGATGTCGATCTTGTCGAACTCCTTGGCGATGGTCTCGAACACCGGTTGGCGCGTCACGAACGATCGGAAGCTAGGTGAGGCCTCCAGCAGATCCGGACGCGTCTGGGTGAGGTACGACTGAAAGACGATGAGGAGGAAGTAGCGGCGCAGGTTGTGGATGGCCGATTGGAGGTGTTTCTTGCGGAGAGAGTCGTCTTCCGTGTCTTCGGCGGCGAGACGGCTGATCTCGATGGATTCGCGAAGGTTGGTGACGGTGGCGCATTGGTCGATGGCCTCATCGACCATTTTCTTGACCTCGAGACCACGCGGGATGACGCGGAGGAGACTGTTAATCACGTGGTAGCTGAGGGGCGGACGCTTGGAAGGAAGATTCTCGTCGCTGGATGCGGTGATAGGGTTGTCGTCGAGCAGATCGGCATGAACAGTGTCGCGAGCAGAGGGAGTGGCAGAACCGCTGTCGTGCGCCGAAACAGACGGTCGCAGTCCGTCCGAGTCGTCGCCGTTGGTGTGGTGTGGGGCATCGCCCGACTCGCCGTGAATCTCTTGCAACTTGCTCTGCCCCTGCTGGAGCCATTTGGCGATCATCAGGATCAGCGCTGCGGTCATCGTGCTTCGCCCCCTGCCCAGCTGGCAGTTGAGCACGATCGGCTGTCGCTCCACGTTCGCCTGCAGCACCGTCGAGAGGAGCTCGCTGATGTCGGAAAAGTCGGGCGGCTTCTCGGCCGTCATAGGGATCCTGCGGAAGCGCAGCTGGACGTCCTGCTTGAGCTCGGTGCCCAAGTTGGTCATGATCTCTTGCAGCGTGTCGACATCCGCTGGCGTGGCCTCTTCCCAGATGGGAATCACGGTTCCGTCCGACGTCTCGGTGTGCAGCAGCAGTCTGCCCTCGCCGGTCGCCAGCTCATTGACAACGTCGTTCTTGAGACGGTCCTCGAGTAGCAACAGTCGATCCCAGTTGATGCCGCTGTACGCTTTGATGTTGCGCAAAGACATGCCCTTCTGGCGCAGACAGTACGGCTTCCCATTGACGTAGACGATGGGCTCCTCGCGCAGGTTGATCCAGGTGACGTTGCGGGTCGGGTAGCTGGATGCGTCCGTCTTGCTGGCATAATGCTCCTGAAGCGCGGCCAGCACGTTGCGGATACCGTCGACGGTAGGTTGACCCGTAGCAAAGATGTTGCTGCCGGGGATGCGGCGGAAGTTGACGGTGCCGCGGATCGGCAGTCCTGCATTGCGCTCGATAAACTTGCGCCAGATATCGCACTTGAGCAGCGTAAAGGGACGCAAGACGATACCGGCGCGATTGCGGATGACATAGTCGGCAAACTCGTCGCCAGGCACCTGCGCACCTTGCCCCGAGACCTCACCGAAGCGGCTCTGCAGCTTGTCCGAGGTGGCTACCAGCTCGCCGGCCTTGCCTCCGCTGAGAATGCGCAGATCGCCGACGGGGTCGAAGAAGTAGAGACGGCGACCCTTGGAACGAATGAGCTGAATGCCACGCCAGATCTCGGCGCGGTTCTTGAGCCAATTGGCGAAGCGGTGTTGGAAGGTGGCTGCTTTGGTGGCGCCGACATAGCTGGCAAAGGCGACGAGGAAGAAGTACTTTTCGAGCGACTTGGCTGCTTTTTCGAGGTGCAAGGTGGCCTGTGCCTCGTCGAGCGCATCAGTCGAGTAGCGGATTCGGGACGAAAGGATGGTCTCTCGCAAGTTGGTGACATGAGCACAGCAGTCGATGGCGACGTCGACAACGGCCTTATTCTCGAGACCTTCATCGAGGAGACCAGCGAGCTGTCGGATGACGCCGTAGTCGCCTGAGTTTGCTTTGCGTAGCGACTCGAGTAGCGCTGGGTTGGAAAGCAGAATCTCGATGGTGGACTGCGAGTCGCGGGTCGAGAGACTGACATTGAGGACACGAATGAGCCTCAGCAGCGAAAGGTTCTGCGCCTGTTGCTCGTTGGCTTGACGAAGGGATCGAGCGACTCCTGAGTGAGGTGTGCCGTTGTTGGGCGTTTGTAGCGGAGACTTTTGCTGTTCCGAGATGTGTGCGAACGGATCCTCATGGCCGAGCAAGAGCATCTGCTTTCTTCGCAGGATGACAGCAGCGACCATGGCGAAAGTGGTTCGCGTGAATCCGATACCGCAGTTGGCGACGAGGCTTGTCTCTCTAGGGTCGAGGTCTTTGATGACCTGTGTGTAGGCGTCTAGATAGTTGTTCTCGATGGCTTGATCCTCGGCGATGGGAATGCGGTGGTAGTCCACCCTCCAACCTTCGGCCTTGACACGCTCCCACACTTCGCGGACGGTGTGAACGGAAGCGTCGTCGACGGCGATCCATGTGGGTGCGATGCTACCGGTGGCGGTCTCTTCGTGAACCATGAGCAGGCCTCCGTGCTTGGATGACTCGCGTAGAATATCCTGCTTGAGGCGAGACTCGATGGCCTCAAGGTTGTCGGCGCGCATGCTGAGCGAGAATGTGCTGACGGGCCGCTCGGCCTCTCGCAGCACAAACGGCCTGCCACCGACGTAGATGACGGGCTCTTCTCTTGTGCAGACCCAGACGCACCTGCGTGGCTTTTCTAGTCGTGCTGAGGGTTTGCGATTGTTTGCGCCAGCAGACGCACCTGACGTTTGAGCTGCGGGAGACGAGATGTCAGGCGACGCGAAGGGTGGGGATGAGCTCGAGGCTGTTGCGGAGCGACTCGGAAGACGCAGCTCGAAGCTTTGCGAGCCGTTGTTCTCCTTGACGGGACGAGCATTGAGCACGGAGAGGATGGTCTTGAGACCGGTGATGGTGGGCTGCGCGACACCATAGACTTCGAGAGAGCAGTCTGCTTTGCGGAAGTTAGGAGCGCCTTGTAGGTGAAGGTTGAGATGGGATTGACGTGCACCGCCAGCGAAGTGGTCCGTCTTGAGGATGAGACCGCGGGTGAGTACGCTACCCTGACGATTGCGTACTACGCTCTCCTCGCGCTGGGCCCAAAGAGCTGCGCCGAGTGAACCGAAGCCATCTGCGCCAAGAAGGTTGGACTTTACAGCACGACTGGAAGATGACGACGAGGATGGCTGTGAGCCGAGTCCGATGGAGGGACGACCTATGCCGAGGCTTGGTTGATCCACCTTATCTTGTGGTTCTGGGAGCGGCGAGGCGAGCGCAGGGACATCTGCGTTGTCGCCGAGGCCAGTGGCGAAAGCATCTTGTACAGCATGCTGCGGTGATTGTGTTGAGGCCATTGTGCTTGTTTGCACACCAGTCGATGATCCACGTCGATACAAACGAGATAGTGTGTGCGTCTGCGCAAAGGTGGTGGTCAGGGTCGAACAAACAAAGGATGGTTTGCGCAGAGTTGACAACGTGCCGAATCCCAATCAATCCTCACGGACCCTTTCTTTCGGCTGTATTTCACGCGTCTCTCTTTTTCAGCACAGTCAGCTCGGAGATGGCCGAAGCAGAGAATTGGCCGACGATCCGGTCAACTATCGGAAGAGCCTCTTGCTCGGTCAGCTGCAAGGCTCACCATGTATATACCCGCACTTTGACTGGTTCCTCGCAGCTTCCAGTCACGTCACATGGCTGTGCCAGTGCAACTGATGCTTGAGCTATCGCTGTCTGTGACGGTCACAAAGTTTAGCCGCCCTGCGCCTCCACTTCTCTACTTTGGATCTAACACCTTCAAAATTTTGGGCTTAGAAATCCGAGCTCCGGCAAAGCAAAGGACTGAGCCAGCAGCGGTGCAGCGAGGCAGCCGCCAGGCGAGCGTGTGAGATTTCATCAGCATGCGTTGCTCGTCATCCATCAGTAAACGCCGAGCTGAGTCGTTCAAGATGGGATGCTGATCCCGCAATCACCTCTCTTGATCCCGCACCATCATCCCCTGAACTCGGCATCGATCCCGAGGTATCGCGCAAAACATCCAAACCGATCTGCATCGCCGCACACCACCACGTTGCGCTCACCATCAAAGTCGACCAGACCCCCAAACTCCACGGCAGGCATCCTCTTCGATGAGCTTCCAACATTAAGCAAAGTCAGCGCTCAGTAACGGCTCACTGACCTGCAGCGGGGCGCATACCTGCCAGACTCGTCATCATGGGACATTCACAGTCCCGTCAGCAGCCGAGTGGGTCAGATGAGGCTGCCGACGAGCATGCTGGCCCGTCTCGAAGCTACGCACATGATGACCACCCCCCCTCACAGACCAACGATGCGGCCAATGGAGCAGGCAGTCGGCGCAAGAGGCGGCGTCGAGATTCTGCGTCCTGGACCCAGTCTTCAGCCGAGCACGCTTCACAGCGACGAAGGACGTCACCTCGTCTTGCCTCTGCCCCTCCGGCCGCCAACGACACTCCTGCTACCAACCCAGAGTCGCATCAACCCTCGACTCAAACCACAGGCGATGCGATGGACATCGATGCAAGCGAAGCACAATCCAGCATCGCAGCACCACCGGTCAGCAGTGATACTCCCGTTCGCCAAGTGCAACCGCCACCCTCGGACCTGCAGCAGAGGTTCGCTGTTGTTCAGTCGCAAGGTGATACCTCACCGCGTGTGGGAGACGGATCAACACCTCCTCCGCACCTAGATCCCCTTCGTGATGAGCGGGAACGCGCCCGAAGACGCATTCTCGAGACGCTTGGCGCCGCTCCTCCAAGTGCCGCGTCGGCTCCGTCATCAAGCGGTAACAGCACGGCTGCGCCCGCCTCAAGCTCAGCAGCCCCACTCGCAACCAATGCATCTGCCTCTCCCAGTCCAGCCTCGGCTTCCGCCACTATCGCCGCTCTGCTAGGAGCTGTGGCAACCAGCACCTCTCCTTCCCAAGCCAACAACCGTGCCGCAGCTCCTGCACCACCAGACGCCGCTCTTCCAACGGCAACTACCACGCCTCAGACCAGCCCTCCACAGCAGCAGCGTCCCCAAACCGCTCGACCTCATGCGTTCCGTGTCCCATTGCAGCCGGAAATGATCAGCGGGACCTCGATGGTGGTGCAAGGCGCTTTGGTGGCCCGCACGGTGGCCAATCGAGCCAACTCGCCTAATCCTGCCATGCCAGCAAGACCAAGTCAGCCCAATACCGCTCAAGGTGTTAGCAGCTCTGCGTCCAGCCCGACGCCTTTGCAGCCAGAGACTGTCGATCGTACTTCGACCGGTGGCCAGAATCATTTTGGCGTACCTGGCGCCACTCTTGAAGGTGACAACCTGCGTGGCGCCGTGACACTCGAAGAACAGGCGGTCATGCTCAGCCGCATCCTCGGCATCGCAGCCGCAGCCACGGCAGCTTCTCTGCTCAACACTGCCGATGCTCAGCAGGTGGATCCTTCTTTGCTTCAAACCAGCCTTCGACGTCCCTTTGAACGCATGAACCAACAAACAGGCGACGGTAACGATCGCTGGCTTGCCGACTGGCAACGCGGTGGCAGCAACCAGCCATCATCTTCTGGCAGCTCATCAGGAGCGCAGCTCGGTACTTCAACCACGTCGGATTCTGGCAACGGTCTGCGAGGTCGGCTCGCTGCGCTGTCTCGTCGCGTGCAGAGCGCATCGAGCAGCTCTGGCCTACCCAGCGCTCGACAAGAGGACGGGTCTGCTTCCAGTGACTCGAGCAGTGCGACCGCTGGGTCATCCGCAACACCGACTGCTGGCTCGGCAAGCACTGCCCGTCCACCCGGCGGCACTTCCGAAGGCAGCCAAGCATCCAGGCAGCAAGAAATCATCGCGCATCTCCTCAGTGCCGCAGAGCGGGAGGCGACATCCCAACGTCTGACGCGTCTGCGATCGGCAGATCAGCCGACGACTTCTACAGCGGCTGTATCCAGTGACACGACTCGCTCTACCAGTTTCAGCGCGTCTCGACCTCTTGCCAACCGTCCACAGCAGGACCCGCCGCGCAGCACTCTTTCTCGACTCGTTCGATCCACCATCGGATCCCTCATGCGTCCCAGCCGTCTGCTTTCCGGTCGAAGTGCACAGACAGACGACACCCAGTCGTCCGGCGCACAGCGAGAAGGGTGGAGCAGAGGATCAGCTGGATCTGGTGGCTCAGGCAGACGGACGATCCCGACGTCGGACTTCTCCCTAGGTCCCAACGACGTCGCCGGTTCTTTGCGGCAAGTGCGCAATGGAATCCTGCCTGACGGCGTTCCAGGTAGCTTTGGCAGCTTCTTGAACCACTTGGTCAACGATCTCATGGCGGCGGTTCAGCTTATGCAGCCCTCGAGCGGGGAGGCGCCCGAGCAACCTGGATCGCAGCCGTCCCAGACGACCAATTACTTTGAGCATGCCACGCAGAGCGAATCGACTTCGGGAGCTGAGGTGCTCGATGGCGAGGCTTCTGCTGCTCCTTCCTCGACTGCACAGCCAGCGCAGGCCGCAGCCACGGCATCGATTCATGACGCTCGCAGCGACGCTCAGTCTGGTACAGGCGAAGGAAGCATCGAGGCCCAGGCAGCCCGCCAACGAGACTTCCAGAATGGCAACCTGTCCTTCTTCCGGCTCTTCCGCTTTGATCCTATCGCGCCCTCGCAGCTGGTGCCATGCATTGTCGTTGGCGTGCGCAGCCTCAACGTGACCGAGCGCTTCGGCGAAGAGATGACTGGCGCTCAGGCACCTGGCCCTGGGCGTGACTTCAACGGGTCGCGCCAACAAACCTCGCGACCCACGACACTTGGACGCTCAGGGCCCACAGCTCCACCGCTACGTCAGCGAGCTTCGTCAGAGGGTGCTCCCGCGTCGGCGCCTCCCGCTGGAGAAACGACGGGAACAAACGAAGAAGAGCTCCCAGCATCGCGCTTCATGCTGTTCGTCTCCGGCGGCCGCTATCCCCCAAATCACCCGTTGCTCACCTCGAACCCGACGACGGCGGGTCGAGATCTGATGATCCTGATGGATCTGCTGAGCACGATGCAGGCCATGCAGCACAAGCCTGCTACCGTGACGCAACAGGAGATCGACGCCAGCGAGCTCAAGAAGATCAAGGGCTCCGAGGTAGCTGCCATGGTGCGCGACGGCAAGATCACAGAGAACATGCTCGAGCGCTGCCTGGTCTGTCTCGAGGAGTGGGGCGACGATGATACGTGCCGTCTGCTTGCTTGCCGACACGCCTTCCACACGGGATGCGTGGATCGATGGATGACCTCGTCGTCCAACACGTGCCCCATGTGCCGACGCCAGGGTGTCAGCAAGGACGGCCGACAGGCAGGTGCTGAGACGGCTGACTCTCAGCGAGCGGCACAGGCCTGAGCCGCGCCCGTCTTCGGCTCTGTTCCCGTCGACTGTCGCCTTCTCTTCATAGCTCCTGTTATCCTAGCTTGACTCGACATCACGCATTCAACCCTTGATCTCGTCCCAATGTACTTTTACCGCATCACGTAGCATGACATGCCATAATCACAATCGTCTCTGCATCGTTTCACGCCCGACATTGACGCGACTAATTTGGTAAGGTCACGTATGATACATTGCGATGGTTACTGCCATGAAGGCTACGGTCGCTTTGACGAGCCGGCTTGATTCCACTCGTCGGCAATTGCGGTTCTTAGCGCACGGAGATCGGACCCGCGCTCGCCCTGATTCTGGCTCGCCTGCTGCTTGGCATCTCTGATGATGTCTGTTGTCGATCTGGAAGCGCCTGATGTCCCTGCTTCTGCTGATGCGGTGGTGTCTTTGCGGGATGCAGATGGGATGTGGAAGATGGATCGTTGGGTAGGATCGGTGCCTGCGTAGATGCTCTCGGGTGGTGTCTGACTGTTCAGTCTGCGTCGTACCAGCTCGGGCAGAGAGCGCTGCGAAGGGCGCTCATGCGAGTTGCGGGGATCGTTCTCCCAGAGAAAGTAGGCCATGACACCCGTGGCGAGGCCGAGGATGGGGTCAAAGACCCTATACGATCAAAAGAGGAGGATGAAGATGCTGCGGTCAGTATCCTGGCCTGGTCTAGGCTCAACACGCCACGTTCCATGACTCACCTTCCAACCAGATAAGTCGGCATGGTGATCGAGATGCCGCCAATCGATGCTGGGTTGTGATGCTTCCTGTGAGGCGAGCAGCAAGCTGGTGACAGTGTCCAGAACTTGAAGGACCCTGACAGCTGCTCAAAGGTGCGGGGAGCAAATCGGGACTCGAGGTCAAACCCGATTCGACTTTGGTGTTCAATTAGAAGATCACAGCCAGAATTGGTATTGCCTTTGCATGCACGGCTACGTCGTGAATACTCTTCGCTGGAAGGAAGACTGATTTTGAATTAGAAGCCGCCCTCGATTCGAGCTGTGCAGCCAAAAGAGCTGAGCTGCGTTTGTTCAGATCGAGCTCTTGCAAGCACAGACCAGCCAGCCGAGCAAGCAGGCTGTGCCCGCGTGTCTTGCCTCGATGATCTGTTCGGCGACCCTGGGATGACCTCGCTTCCATCCCCTTTCTCTCACGATTCTTCTGCTCGATCCATCCTTCACCTCCCCACATCCAATCTACCTCACGGGCCCTCTCGCCGGATAGTGAGCAAAACCTCTTGCATTCCTCATCCAGGGTCATCCATCCGCGTCGCTTCCTCTTTCTCGTCAAGACGGCTTCCCTTTCTCATCAAAGGCGTATCTGGCACACTCCACTACCTCAACAAACCCCCCTGGTGACGTAGCGGTAGGCGACAGACGCTGCGTCAAATCCCTCGCCTGTCATGTACAACAACATGCAGGGCCAAGGCTGGGGCCGCCCAATGCAGCCGCAGATGACGGGCTATCCAGGACAGCAGCAGCAACAGCAACCGCAGATGCAGATGCAGCAAGGTAGCGGCTTCCTCCAGCCCCAGCAGACCGGCTATCCTGGCATGTCGCAGTTCCAGCGCCCAATGCAGACCGGCATGCCCTACCAGCAGCAGCAACAGCAGCCGCAGCAAGGCCTCATGCCTCAGCAGACCGGCATGATGGGCGGCATGGGCATGCAGCAGCAGATCCGTCCTCAAGCTACCTCCAACTATCTCTCTCCGGGTCCTACAGGCATGGGTATGAACATGGGCATGGGATTGAGCGGCGGCGGTCTCCAGCCCCAGCAGACGGGCTTCATGGGCGGTCTTCAGCCTCAACAGACTGGGTTCATGGGAGGCGGTGGCCTGCAGATGCAGCAGACCGGCCTCATGCCACAGATGACCGGCATGCCCATCCGCGATCCACGTATGCAGCTCATGAGCGCGCAGTTCTTGCCCGCATCCCAACCCTTCTCTGGCGCTCCTGTGGCCGGCAACATGAACTTCAACCAGGCCAGCATGCAACCTTCCAACTTCCAGTCGCAGATTCAAAACCTCAGCCAGCAACAGCAAGGCTCCAAGGAGCCTCGCATTCCGTGGGCTCTCACCAAGGAAGAGCGAAAGAGTTACGACTCCATCTTCCGCGCTTGGGACGCCAAAGGTACTGGCTTCATCAATGGCGAGGTGGCTCGCGAGGTCTTTGGCCAGAGTGGTCTCGAGACCGATAAGCTCATGCAGATCTGGCATCTCTCAGACACTGGCAACCGCGGCAAGCTCAACGTCAACGAGTTCCACGTTGCCATGGGTCTCATCTATCGTGCGCTCAACGGCAACGACATTCCAGAGACGCTGCCCTCCGAACTCATTCCTCCCTCGGCTAAGGATCTGAACGACTCGGTCGATTTCTTGAAAGATCTTCTCAAGAAGGACACCACCGTGCGACACAGCACCGGTCTCAACATTCCTGAAGCTGGTTCGAACAGCGGCGCCTCCTACGCAAAGTCTCGATCCTTCCACGAGAACCCCGTCGCGCCCAAGAAGGATGCCACCGCGTACAAGCACGACGACGCCGATGTCACCGGCTACAAGAGCAGCAGTCGACACCTCGATCGCAAGACCGTCCGCTACGAAGGTCAAAGTGCTACCGACGACCTCAGCGAGATGAAGCGTCAGCTCGCCAACACGCAGAAGATGCTCGACAAGCAGGGGGTCGAAGACGATGAAGATCGCGAGCTCGAGCGCGAGATGGACGACCTCCGCTACCGCATCCGACGTGTGCAGGACGACATTGAGTACTACAACCGACGTGGCGGTCGTGAATCTGGCGATCTGCGTCGCAAGGCGGAGCGCGAACTCATGCACCTCATGCACGAGCGTCTGCCTCAGCTCGAGAAGCGCATCGAAGCCAAGGACAGCCGTCAGCGCGATCGCAAGCTCGGCGAGAGCCGCGAGAGGGACCGTCGCAACGATCCCTACAACCGCTACGCTTCCGAGGACCGAGACCGCCCACGTGACGATGATCGCAGCTACAGTCGTTCGAGCTCCACCCTTGGCGATGGCGAGTATCTTCGCGGCACCTTTGACCGCGATGGCGACAGGCGCAGGGACGACGGCGACAGATACCGAAGCAGAGACGAAGACGGCTACCGCCGCGATGACCGTGATCGCGACAATGGCCGATCGACTCCTTCGTCCGCATCGCAGGCACCGCCGCCGCCTCCGCCAGTCGAGCCTGCCAAGCCGGCTGCACCTTCGCCAGCCCCTTCGACTCCAGCTGCTGCCTCAGGCCCTCCGAAGAACATGTCTGCTGAGGAGCGCGCTGCCTGGATCCGTTCCGAGGCCCAGCGACGTGTGCAGGAGCGCATGCGTATGCTTGGTGCCGTCGCTCCTTCGGGTCCCACGCCCGTCGACAACAGCGTCGAGGAACGACTCAAAGCCGAGCAGGCCGAGGCTGCTGCCAAGAGTGCCCAGGCTGACCAGGAAGCTGCTGCTCGTGAAGACGCCAGGAAGGCTCGCTTGGAAGAGCACCGCCTCCAGAACGAAAAGGCCGGTCTCGCCACTGTCAAGCAAGAGATCAAGCAAGCCGAGAAAAGCGACAACCCTCCTCCTGCTCCCATCGTGCAAGCCGCCAAGGAGGAGATCAACGACCAAGAGGACATGCTCCGACGTCGTGAAGAGGTTCTTGCGAAGGAGAAGGCGGAACGCGAGGCCCGTCTCAAGAGGCTTGAAGAGCAGGAGGAAGAGGCTCGCAAGCAGGAGGAGGCTTTCAAGGAGCGTCAGTCGATGTTCAACAGCGGCACCAAGTCGGCTCCGTCGGCTCTGCCTGCTCCCTCTCGCAAGTCGGGCAAGTCGGCTGCTCCGCCACCGCCTCCTCCGTCGCGATCGCGTGCCGCTCCTGCGCCCGCACCACCTGCTACTCTCGCTCCACCAGAGGCGCCACCAGCACCTGCGATGCCTAGCCCGACCCCCAGCACCGGCTCCAGCACCAACCCTTTCCATCGCATGCAGCAAGGTGCCGGCGGTGCTGCCGTCGCAAGCCCCTCGTCAGCCGCTCCTGCACCTCCAGCCCCTTCGACGCCAGGTGGAGGCACCAACCCCTTCTTCCGTCAGCAGGCCCAAGCAGACACAGGTCTTCCAGCAGCAACTCGTGCTACTCCTCCCGTCTCTGCTCAGCCTACTGGCGCAACTCCCTCGTCGGCTTCACGCGCCATCTACACGGCGCCCAAGCACGATGACGACGACTGGGAGGAGTCGGACAAGGAAGAGGACGACGATGAGGCCGACGGACCCGGCTCCAGCACTCGTGCCACTCGTCAAAACCTTGCGCAGGCGCTTTTCAGCAACTTGATTCCGAGCAGCGGTCGATCAACACCTCCTGCTTCGGCACCCAGTGCGCCCGCTGCTCCCCCTGCGCCGCCTGCCGCTCCTGCAGCTCCAGCTGCGCCTCCTGCTCCCGCAGCTCCTGCGGCACCTGCCGCGCCTGCCGCTCCGACCGCTCCCGTGGTTGCGCCCGCTGCTGGACCAATGGACCGCGGTGCGCTGCTCGGCCAGATCCAGGGCGGCCTCAGATTGAAGAAGGCGCAGACCAACGATCGCTCCAAGGCGCTCGTCACTGGCAGCGTGATTGGAGACCCGTCGCCGCCGGTGCAGACGTATGTGCCGCCTCCCAGCCCGCCTGTCGCCCCTGTTCAGTCGTCCGCCGTTGCCGAGCGATCGGTCAATGGCGATGCTGATGGGTTCGCACCTCCACCTCCCGCGCCGCCTGCTCCTCCCATGCCTGGCGCGTTCGACGCCGGTGCCAGCGACTTTGCCGCCAACGCGAATCGCCAGAGCGTCGACTGGACCAACAGCCTCGCCAACGACCAGGCCAACACCAAGCCTGCGTTTGTCCCGGACGAGCCGTCGGTGCGCGAAGAAGCCGAGGACAGCCCAGACGAGGATGAGGGACCCGAAGACCTCGATGCCGCCCCCAAGGCCGCCGGTGGTCTCTTCGGTGCCACCAGCGATGAGGTGGAAGGATTCGACCTGACGCAGACCCTGCGCGTCCGGGCGCTGTACTCGTACGCCGGCCAGCGCGATGAGGATCTGAGCTTTGACGAGAATGATATCCTCGAAGCCCACCCGGCCAAGGATGTGGACAGCGCGTGGTGGTATGGCGCACGCACAAGCGGTGGTGGCAAGGGCTTCTTCCCCCGATCCTACGTCGACCCTATCGACAAACGTAAGTACTCACGCATCGATGGACCAGGACTGCACAGCAACAACCCACTGACAATCATCCTTTTCTCAACTCTTCAATAGCTGCGACCGCCAAAGCGCTGTACGACTACACGGGCACCTCGCCCGAAGAAGCCACCTTCGCGGAAGGTGACATCCTCCGCGTCGTCGACCAGGAAGACGCCAACTGGTGGCGCGTCGACACGGGCGCCAACCGCATCCTCGTCGCGCCCGCAACCTACCTCGAGCTTACTGGTTAGTGTCCCTTAGCCGGGCCCAGGGTCACAAAAGACGAAATAGAATTCCTTCGCTCCTGTCCTGTTTTTCCCAAGGGCGGCGCGGGGAGAGGGGAGGGGCAAGGATTCGGTGTGATCCTGGGTCCCCTACCCCACCCCGCCTCGCCACGTGTCTAGCGTGTGTGTTGGTGAGGAAGTTTTGAGAATGGTATTGTGAGGACGACGTGCTGAGACGAGTTTTGACTTTTTGTGTACAGCTGCGGGACAGGATGATGCAGGAAAGAGCGCTGACTGGGTGATGGTCGATGAAGCCCCGCGCAGCCTTGCTCCGCCGCCGATCTCGAATGCTACCGAGCCCACCTCTGGCACCGTCGGTCCGAACTCAATCACCGACACGGACGCAGACGAAGAAGCAGCGCTAGCAGCCGCGCTCGCCGCGTCCAGCGCTGATCAGCGGGAGCGAGAGGTCGACCGTATCCGCGAGGACCGCAACATGGCCAAAGCCATTGAAGCGTCCAAGCTCTCCGCAGTCGAGTACGCTCTCGGCACCATCGAACCGGACGACTCGGACGAAACCGATTCGACCACCGGCTGGACGTCCTCCGACGAAGATGAGGACGAGACAGATGCCACTGCAGCCGAAGACGACGCTATGCCGCACACGGACGAAGAGGTTCGACAGCACACCATCGAGCGATTGCGCGTGCTCGAGGCAGCAGGCGTGCTGGTGACCTCGCAGGACGAGGTGAAGCAGGAAGCGACGAAGAGAAGACCGCCGCCCCCACCGGGTCAGAAGCACAAGAACATCGATGAGCTGGTCAAGCTTTCGCGCTCGCGCTCGACCAAGAAGCCGGAGCAGCCGAGGAGACGACCGCCGAACCGACCGAGGAGGAAGCCAAGCCGGGATCTGCCACCCCTGCCGCCGCCGGCGGAGGAGGGGGAGGACAAGATGGAGGATGCCTACGATCGATACCTCGCATTGACGAAGGAGGTATCGTTGCAGCCGATTCCCGTTGCTACTGCGGTGGGGAGGGGTGTAGCAGTTCCACCTGCCTCGCCGACACTCCTCCCGCCTGGATCGCCCGCGAGAAGCACTTCGGCGGCAGGAGAGGCCACGCGAACATCCGGTTTCTTGTCCACCATCAAAAACATGTCCCAACGCAGCGCATGGACTGGCGCGCCGACGGGCGAAAAGCGCATCGTCAGCGGTCCCATCTCCGTCTCCTCGCCCTCCTTCCCTTCCACTCCGGACGCCAGCGAAGCGTCCCGGGAAACCACCTCGTGGACGTCGCTCATCGACCCACCCCTGCTCGCCACGTTGACCGACACAGAGCGCAAACGGCAGGAATCCATTTTTGAGCTGATCACCACCGAATCCGCCCACGTGCGGGACCTGCAGATTGTCGTCGAGGTGTTTTTCAACTCCATGCAGTCGATTCTGCAGCCCAAAGCGGCCACGGTCATCTTTGCCAACATCGAAGACGTGCTCCTCACCTCGGTTGGGTTCTTGAGCGATCTCGAGGCTCGGCAGAAGGAAGATCGACTGTTCGTTACGCGGGTGGGGGATGTGTTGGACCGGCACATTGTCGGGATGGGCATCTACATGCCTTACTGCGTCAACCAGCGTAGTGCCGCCGAGATCCTCGAAGGTGAACGCAAGCGGGATACGAGAGTGGAGATCCACCTGCTGAACCTACGCAAGCATCCTGCAGCGAGAGGGTTGGATTTGAGCCACTTCCTGTTGGTCCCCATGCAACGGTTGACCCGATACCCCCTGCTGCTGGGCCAGATCCTCCGCTACACCCCACACGACCATGTGGACTACGCACAGCTCAAAACGGCAAAGGAAACCGCAGAGGGGATACTCGCCAAAACGAACGAGGCAATTCGTGACAATCAGGATTCCACAGCTCTGCAAAAGCTAAGCGAAAACCTCTGGCTCGGCGAAGAGGCGAGGTTGGACCTCACCAAACCGTACACCGACCCCAACGGCGCGAAGCACCACAGACGCATCGTGCGCGACGAGTTGGTCACCAAGGCCAAGTCGGGCAGGAAATTGAGATTGGTGTTGACGAGCGATTTGTTGTTGGTGCTGCACGCACAGGATGCGAGTTTGTATAGGATGCCCATACCGGTTAACGAAGTGAGGGCGGAAGAAGGGAAGGGCAAGAGGCACGCGGATGAGTTCAAGCTGATACACGAGATGAAGGGGGGTGAGGGGGATGTTATTAAGGTCAAAGCGGCAGGACAGAGGAACGCGACGGCTTGGGTGCGGGTCATTAATGCGAGTCGGGGGGAGACGATGGGTTGATGGAGGGAAGGGGAGAGGATGCGATGCTGGAATGAAATGTTGATACATTTTGACGAAGCGGTCGATGAGCGAGATTGCGGTCTTGAGGCGTGACCTCGAGGATTGGTGTTGAGGATTGGTGTTGAGGAACGGTCTTGTGCAACGGCTTTGAAACATCATTCGCTTCCTGGCAGCCTTGCCAGCAGCTTCGTTTTGCTGCCCATCAACTTTCGCCCATATTCTTCGTGAGTCAGGATCTTGACACGTCTGTCGGGCTCTTCGAAGTCTCTGTACGTCGTCTGGTAAAAGTTGTATGCCGGATGCTTCGTAACCCAAGCCAAGAGCTCGTCGCGCTCGTGCTCGAGAATCTTGAAGCCCACGACCATTTCGCAAGGTCTCTGATACGTGACGATTACTTCGTCATAACGGTAGTATTCGTCCCCGATTTTGACCATCTTGCTGTCCGGGTGGTTTGCCTTGTGCTCCTCGAGGTCGGATCGGTCTATCACAGGGTTCTGTCTGCCCTGATCGCCGGACCACACGACATCATACTTTTCGTGCCAGCTGTAGGCCGGATGGCGTGTCACGTACGCTAAGAGCTCGTATTCCTCGTCGTCTATGACCCCGAAGTTGACGCACAGGTTGGTGGGTTCTTCGTCCGTGACAATGATTTCGTCAGTCGGTTCGGCGATGGGCGAGACTGGCTTCCTCTGCAAGGAAACGTTGTTGCCCATTTTGGCGGTCCTGCGTGCGGGGTTGTGGGGCGAGGAGATAAAGTTGTCGCTGTGAAATGCGAGATGAAGTCAAGGCGACGTCGGGAAAGCACTGAATCACGTCAGTCAATGCCGCTACGCCAAGCCACGTCGTCTGACCCGAAAGCGAGTACAAACTGCAGTGAGGAAGTCACGAAAGGATCTGTCGTGACGGTCGAAGCGACGGAGGTGGGGGTCGTGCTGGAAGGCGGTTGAAGGGTCGGACAAAGGTAAAGGGAAGATGACGGGCGGAAGGGAGAAGGAGGGGAGAGACCAAGCCAGACTTTATACGCAGAGCATGCCTATCGAGGCTGCGCATTGTCGACTCAGCCCCGCAATGTCGCGCATGCGGAAGCGGAATGAAGTGCCGATTAAGGTTGGCGGGACAATGTGACTGTACAGAGAGATTGCGTCGCAAGACGCGCTTGTGATGCTGAGTTGAGGCGTGACGACGTTGAGTTTTTGTTGACGCGTCGCCTTCTTTTGTCGGTGCAGAAGCTGCGGAAGCATCAGTCCTCGACAGATGAGAGTATGGAGACGCTCTCTTTGTCACGTTGGATGATTAGGACGAGGCTTGAGCGGCATTGTCCTTGAGACCTTCAGCTTGGCTTTTATTGGGATCACGGGTGAACGTCCAGACCGGCTCTTTCTCGTTGCGGCTCTGCTCGACAGCATAGGGCAGACCTCCTACGACGAATCCTGGATGACGGGCTGCCTTTGTGAGGATGTCAGCTTGCTCGCTCTGAGTGACGGAGTAATGGAGCGTCACATGGGCGAAGTCCTCGTCGACGTCAAACAGTTCAAAACGCATCAGCCTAGGATGGCAAAGCTCCGACCAGAAGACATTGACTCCAAAGGGGTCTGCGACATGGTAGCTTATGGCCAAGGGTAGACGCATTTCGGTGCGAGAATACAGAGGACCCCGCGGGCCGGGGCGCATGATTGTCTATGGGTTGTTTCGAGCGTACCAGCCTGACTGTCTCGTACGTCGAGGGCTGTGATAAAGCTGTAAGGGCCGGTGAGGACTGTACAAGTCCACAAAACCGGCAGACGGAGGTCAAAGAGGCAAAGGACAAGTCAAGAGGCCGTCAGCAAGACTGCCGTGCTACTGATTTGGCCCTACCGTGAGTCAAGACAAGTACGAAGATGTCTGGTGGTGCTCTGACGAAGTCTTCCTGAAAGACGATAGCGGCGTATGACGGAAGGCTGGTCTTGCGGAGGAGGAGGCTGAAGACGAGTTGGGTGGATGCTGGCTGTTGAGAAGGAGGGGGAGGGCGAAGGAGGGCAAGTATTTATGCTTTCGAGGCCTCCTCCGGACTACGCAACTCAGCCAAGCACGGAGGGTCAGCGTGCTGAGCAAACAGCCAAGTGCGGAAGGGCCTTCGATTGTGCGGAACAAACAAGTGCGGGAGGACCGTTGTTTGTGCGGGACAGGCAAGTGCGGAACGCTAGACAGGTTCTTCGATGCGTGTTCGAAGGTGTGACTTTAGAGAACCAAGCGATGATCACGGCGACGATCGTTTGGAGCGATCAATGCGATTGAGCTTGAGCTAGACTCAGTCGACTTCATGTGACTCTATGACCTGCGCATGTGATTCTCGACAAAGCAGACAGTCACACATCTCGCCAAGCCGTCGTCACACATCCAGCTTTCGAACCTTAAGTTTCCTTGCAAAGCATCATCACGGTGTTGCGAGAGCGGGAGAGCTTAAGTGGCGTCACATACGCAGCGAAGATGTGGAAGCATCATAAACGGAGCGATGAGATGATGCTGATTTGCGAATGTCACGTAGACGATCTGGGGAATCGGCTTATACGGAAGGATCCAAGCTCAGGCTCAGCGATGCATCCGTGATGTGCAGCGCAACAGCGACTGCGCTGTCGACCTTGCCCAGCCTCGTCGAAAGCTTCTTTGAGCTCAAAGTGTCCATCGTAGAGGATCTCCGAGGTCCTGTCGGTCCAGCTAGCGGCGGTGGGCTTCATTGCTGCCCAGAATCCGCGGAAAGCGGTGCTATCGCTGCAGAGATGTCGCTCCTCGCACACAGCGAGCAACCAAAGACCAGAGGGGCATCAGCATTCGACTGCTTCAACATTGCTGGCAGACGACCAATTTCGAGGATGCTCTCCTCGATGTCTACAGCCTTTATCTGCAGAAAGCAGACTATCCTGCGCCCTGATTTGAGCTTATCGTGCAGCATCGAGCTTCGAGAGGGTGATTGAGGCCCGGCAGGAACCTGCACCACTGTTAAACAGCCTGCTTTCGGAGAGGATCTTGCTTGAAGCAACACTGGTGCTTCTGCCAGACGCCCTGACTCTCACTGGTCAGTAGTGGATCCAGCAACGACAAGCTGGATCGAACGAACCATCGCAATCCTCAGCGATCATCTATCATCCAAAACATGCTAGCATCACACTCGAACAAGTCGAAAGCGCCATCACCATTGCCGAGGCGCTGGGCATCGACACGATGGGCTCCTCTCGGAGATCCTCGTGCAGGTCGAGGCTCGAGTGGAGATCTCCCCACGTAGCTCACGACTTGACACACTGCACAACTTTCAAGCTGGGCGTCTCAACTTGATCCTCAGCCGTTGTCTCGACGGGACAGTCGGACTGACCGTCACTGACCAGGTCCGGACGGAAACTTCGATCTCGGACGACTCCCTCGAGGGCTGAGCGTCACCAAAGCTTGATCTTCGCGGCTTCTTCGTCCGCATCTGTCGTCGAACAGACCCGGTGCTCTTCAAAGAAGTTCCCGGATTGGTTGCAGCGATGATAACCTGTCAGCCGCGGGTGAACGCTAAATTTCTCTCGAACCTTCACACCATCTCACGATCAGCCAAGGTGGCAGGTGTGATCCAGTCCAGTGCATGTGATAGAGCTGCTGTACTTGATGCAGCTCGAGATGAAGCGACGCCTCGGACGCGTGTGATGGCGGTCGCATTCCATTGCCATGCGCCCTTCCAGACCTCAGGCTTGAGCTTCAGTCTCTCCTTCGCCCAGTCACACGGTCTCACCATCCAAACTGACGATCAGGAATGTGACAAATGTGATATTAGCCGAAGGAAACAAAGTGGATGTGATAGAAAGCGAAAGGTGACAGAACTCTATTTGGCGGTGCGTCTGGTGGTGCGGCCGGAGCGGGTGGTGGTGCCGGTCGTTGCGGACGAAGTCGTGTCCTCGGACTCTGCTGCGCTCGCCTTGCTCTTACTCTTGGTCGTACTGGCCTTTGTGCGGGTAGTGCGGGCTGGGGCTTTCGCTTTGACCGCTTCAGGCTCGTCCGCCGAGTGCTCCTCAGCTTCGCTCGCCTCCACTGCAGCAGCAGCCTTTGCGGTCTTAGTGGTCTTAGCTCGAGACGCAGTTGCTCGCTTCGTCTTGACCGGTGCGGCAGGGACATCCTCCTCGCTCGCCTCGTCGTCGCCGTACCCTGCGCTGGAGGAGGGAAGGGCGGGTTCGGTAGCCTTGACCGCACGCGCGCGTGTGGTACGAGCGGGCTTTGCAGCAGGCTTCGCGCGAGTGGCACGTGCTCGAGTAGCCCGCTTCGGCGCTTCTTCCGCCACCTCGATGGCCTCTTCGTGCTCGCTCCGCTCCTCCTCATCGTGCGTCTGCTCAGCCTCGGCCTTCTTGGCAGCCCTGCCTCGCTTTGTCGGCGCAGGCTTTTCAGGAGACGAAGGCGCCGGCGTCGATGTCACAAGTGCCTCGGTCGCTGCTTGCTTGGCCTTTCGGCCACCGGTTTTGCGCGCGGGCTTAGCTGGAGAGGACACTTCGAGCTCGGCTGCCGCTTCGGGCTCAGCTGCAGCTTCTTCGGGCTGAGCCTCTAGAACAGGTGCTTCAGGTTCCTGCACAGCCTCTTGCACCGTCTCTTCCGCAAAGACTTCGGAAGCAGCGCCGCGCTTGACTGGCGACGACCGGAGGGCGCGCTTGGTCGGAGATGCTGATCGAGCTGTGCGCTTGACGGGCGAGGCAGAGGCGGCACGACGAGAGGCTCGCGTCTTGGAAGGCGATGGTTCGACAGTCGCTGGCTGCTCGACGGGCGAGACTTCTTCCGCCCGCTCTTCGACGGCGACAGGTGCCCGGGCAGCTGGAACGGCAGGCTCGGCTACGGCCTCCTCGATCGGGTCATCGACGGGTGATGCGTCGACCTGGGCGGTCTCTTCGTCGGCAAGCTCTTCCTCTCCAGCGGGCTCCTCGAGAATGACGTCTTCGATGATCGAAGTCGCGGCAAAGTCCTCCAGGACCTCTTCAGCATCAACAGCATGTTCCTCGGTTGCGGCAAACGCTTGTGCGATGGCCTCGTTCTGTGCATCCATAGCCGACGCATCGAGCATGGTCACGTGCAGCTCGGCTTCGAACGCAGGCTGCTCTGTCGCTGTCTCCGAAGTTTGGTCTGGCACCGCTGCAGGAGCATCAGCTCGGACGGCCGGCACTGCGACCTCGGCCGCTTGACTTCGACGAACGCCACGTCGAGCCTTTTCCGGGCTCGAGCCAAGGATCGCCTTCTTCCTGGGTGACGACTTGGATGGAGAGAGCAGCTCGCTGCCCTCCGGGCTGGATCGCATCCTGTCGCCCAGGGAGCCGTACCTGGGAGTCTTACTCGGGCTGGCGTCGAGCATCGAGCCAAGGCCGTGCATATCTGGTGTGGCAGGAGCGGCGACTGCGGCGGCGGAGAAGAGGTGGCGCACCGAGTTGAGTGCGGCCGGCGTCTGAGGAGCCTGCGAAGGCGCAGCGACGGAGGTCGTCTTTCGTGCAGGACTTTCTTGGATCTTGGAGCTGATCTGGACGATCTCTTCCTGCTCTTCGTACTCTTCCTCGTCCTCGTCATCGGTCAGCTCCTCTTGCTCGGCCGTGAACAGGTCATTGAGCGCCCCTGCGATGTTGTTCGAATCGTGCTCGGCAGCACCGTCTTGGACGAGATCGAAGCCCATCGACAGCTCGGTAGCTGGAAGACCGACGTCTGAAACCCGCACTACCTTCCTCGCCTTGGAAGGAGACGTTCGGTCTGCCCGGGCGACCTCAGCAGAGGCCGCTTCCTCCATGCGAGGCGCCTGGTGAACGATTCGCTCGCCTGCGCCACTGATCTGAAGACGGATCAGAGTTGAGCGGATCGAAGGCTTGACGTCCGCGGCACCTGCAGGAGGCATCGAGATGCGGCGAGAGTGGGTCCTGGAAGCAGGCTGGGGAGTTGCGAACTTGGGCAGGGTCGAAGCCTTGACAGGGCTGAAGAGGTGAGCAGGTAGCGGAGAAGGCGAGATGGCTGACAGGCTCTGGTCAACTTCGTCCTCGTCATCTTCAGAGTCCTTCCATGCTTCCTCTTCCGCCTCCTTGCCCATGGCTGGGTCGCGCTCGGCGTCAAAGTCGTTGGCGTCGAGCTGCTCAGAGGCAGGTTCCAGCTCATCGGAAGAGAAATCCGAGAGATCGGACGGCATCGACATTGATTTCGATAGTGATGAGGGGCCATTTGGCGTCGAGGGCGGAGGGGGCAGGAACAGTCGATCGGCATAAGCTTCGCTCGATCGGAGCAAAGTCTGTGTGCGAAGCGAAACCTTGCGGCGAGAAGCGAGGCTGAGACGTGGGCGGCGAGCAAGCGGTGTGAGACCCGCAAAATGCTGGTGCTTGACCGGAGAAGGCGTCTTGCTCATGCCGATAGCCCTGGACACGACGCGGCGAGCGACAGGACTGGAAGCTGCTTGAGGCGCGGGCGTCTCGTCTTCCATTTGCGCTTGCTCGACATCTGAAGCGTCCGAGAACTCTTCATTGGGCTCTTCGACCTGCTCGACTTCCTTGGCGGGCTCTTTGCTTTCAGTGCGCTCTTCAGCGTAGAAGCCGAGGTTGATGCCTGCAAAGGGACCGGCACGACCGAAGAAGCTGCTGCGTCGTTTCGCGCGCTTTGGACTGCCGCTCTTGCTTGGCGAGGCATCGGATGCCGAGGAGCTGCTTGGTGTTGCAGGTTGAACGTTCTTCGTGTTGACGACCTCGTTCGCCGCGGATTCCACCTCCTCTGCTGGTTGAGGCTCGCTCTGCACAATTTCGGCCTCCAAGGGCTCTTGCTCTTGTTCGAGCTCTTCAACGATGACGAGATCTTCGGAGGATTCGTCCTGCTGGGAGTCTGAGCTGTCAGCTTGCTCTTCCATTGCGTCATCTTTCCTGAAAGATTCGTTGTTCTCGCTGTGGAAGCTGCCGTCCTGCTCCTCGTTCATGGTGTCAAGAGGCGGCATCATCCTCATCTGCTTGACAGGACTGAGTCGGCCAGTGAATGAATTAGCGTAAAGGCTGAAGCTGACCTGCTTGGGTGGTGCCGTGTTGGGGATGACGAGGGAGGTGCGGGTCTTGGCAGGAGTGCCGAACATGTCGGTGGCGGAGGTAGATGAGGTGAGGCTCTGGCGAGACTTATTCTTGCGCGACTTGCCCGGACTGACATTGGCGGACTGCATAAAGCGTTGCAGCCCATTGGCCCTTCGAGTGTCCCGCTCAGAAGTGGCGGTCTTTGATGGAGAGTCCGACTTCTTCGAGGGCCGCGCAGGAGTGTTGATCTGAGCCGCATTGACCAGACTCATCCTTACTCTTCTCCTGTTCGAGGGTGTCTGCGGTACAGCAGGCTGTACGCTGCCTTTGACCGGCGAAGAGAAGATGGTGGAAGTCGAGGATTGTGAGTCGTGCGAAGGCAGCTCGAAGATGAAGCAGCGCTTGGCGATTTTGATAGAGTCGCCGCTTTGCAGCTGGTATCGACCCACTCCGCGTGGTGCGGGAAGTACCTGGGTGTCATTGAGAAGCACTCCGTTGGCGCCCAAGACCTGCAAGAATGCGTCCGTGCCGTCGGAGAGCCGATCTTGCTTGATCTCGATCTCAATTGTGCAGTGGTGTCGGCTGACATCGTTGACGAGGAAGCGAACGTCATTGTCGAGGGACCGACCCATGGTCGTCCTTGCATTCTGAATTGGGAAGCGTTCCTTCTGCCTTCCTTTCTTGTCGAGTAGCACAAGGTAAGCGAGAATGACATCTGTATCGACTTGCACGCTCGCCGCCGAAGAGGATGCTTTAGCAGGAGATGCGACGGCATTGAGGCTACTTTGATCGAAGCTCTCCTTGACAGGCGATGATGGGCGAGAAGAGGAGAAAAAGTTGGTGAAGCTGTTGGATCGACGGAGTGGTACGAAGGTGTTTGGCTTGTTGGATGGAGAGAGTACACCGTCGCTGTTTGTGTGACTGATGTAGTCCTGAAGGTCGGATGAGCTTGGGCTCATGCCAAAAGATCGGCGGAGAGATTTGAGCATCTTGTGTATATGTGGCACTCTGCCGGGGTGGTGAGTGCGGTAGTATGGCTCGAGCTACACAGATGATGAGTTGATCCGCTTGATGACTATGATCGCATAGGAGGTTGGCGAGCTACAGCAGATGTCGACCGGCTTTGACTTGAGGAGATGTCACGGCCTTGACGTCGTCTCGAACTCGATCAGATGTTGAGGTGTAGGGTGTCGCTGAGGTGATGGTAGGTAGGGTTCGGTTGTTGCGCCGAACTCAGCTTTCGACTGTGTCAGCCAATGACCCTGATTGGGATGGTCTCGAGGTCCATCCGACTTTCGCTTAGCATGTCCATTCATTGAAACGTCACCCTCTGCGCTTGATTGTCGCCAAAATGGACTCCTTCGTGGAAAACAACTCGAGGCTGTCCACCTCTGCCAAAATTCAGAGCGTTTCGCGCGTGATTCGCCCAAGCGCGCCAGGGTGTCACGTGATGTAGCGGGAGAAAGCGGTCTAACAATATTGAGAAAATCGATGTCGTGTGTCCTCCACCACAAACGCTCTGGCCGCATGGACCATGCTTGCTGAGCTGGAAGCCGGGGAAAGGTTAAAGCCGCCCTTATGCGTGATGGCCCTTGCTTCGCAAACATACACCATCACCAACACCAGCACACCGCTCACACGGTTGCTGCTTTCATCCAGTCATCGCCCACCATTTTCGCCTTCGCCCCCACCCGAGCTCTGTTCAAGATGGCCGCCAAGACCGACGCCAACTGCATCTTTTGCAAGATCATCGCGGGCCAGATCCCGTCGCTCAAGCTGTACGACTCGGAGAAGACATACGCTTTCCTTGGTAAGCATCGGCTTGTTCAACGCTTCTGCTCCCTGAATTGAGTGTCAGGCTGATCATGTCTTGCCTTTGCGCTTTGCTGCTCGCCTGCAGATATTGGACCCATCTCGGAAGGCCACGCCCTCGTCATTCCCAAGCACCACGGCGCCAAGCTGCACGACATCCCAGATGAGCACCTCACCGAGCTGCTTCCCGTCGCCAAGAAGATTGCCATCGCTACCGGCGCAGAGCAGTACAACATCCTGCAGAACAACGGCCGCATGGCTCACCAGATGGTCGACCACGTTCACTGTAAGTCTCATCAGTGCTTTCTTGTGCCTAAGAACGGCCACACTGACGCTTCGATGCTCCCACGTCTTCTTCCTTCGCAGTCCACGTCATTCCCAAGCCAGACGAGAAGCAGGGTCTTGGCGTCGGCTGGCCCGGCACACAGCCCGCCAAGGAGGAGTTGGCCAAGATTCACGAGCGCATCAAGGGCCGTCTCGAAAAGCTTTGAGATGTCCACTCGCATCTCTCAATAGAATCACCAAATTGAAGTCCCACGCAGCATTCAACGGCAGAGGCGGCGCGGAAGTCGACGCCAGTCTGGAAGAAGTCAAAGCAGTGAGATTGCGGGATCAACACAATCAGGCGGTTCGGTAGATGAGATGAACACCGCTGTCAGTGTCGACGATGCTGCTGAGCTCGCCCACCTTGAGACCGAAGGCGGCGTCTTCGAATGGCTTCTGCATCTGGCCACGCTGGAAGAAGCCGAGATCGCCGCCTGCCCTTGCCGAGGAGCAGTCGCTGTACGATGCAGAAGGAGGAGACAGAGATTCGTTGTCGGATCAGTACAAGATCGTTTCAAACAAAGCGTTGAAAGGGAGTCTGAGGGACTAACGAGTTGACACTGGCGAGCTGAGCAAACTTGTCCTTGCTCGAGTCGGCCTGCAGCTCCTGTTCGAACTTCTTGAGCTGTTCGATGGCGTCCTCTTTGGATCGCGTAATGTTGGCCTGTCCGCGGTCAAGATAAGATGAAATGAATCAGCCTGAGCGTTCATGGTGACACCACTGGTAGCGATCGCTTACTCACCTCCTTCCAAGAGCTGGGCCTTCGACTGCCAGCATGCTTGATGAGAAGATGGCTAGCTCGAACCTTGTCTGGCTTGTCGGCAGCTCCACCGGGAGCGTTGGAAGGGTCGAGGTACTTTGCACCGGGCAGCGATCGGATCGACTCCTCGGTGTGACCTTCCGGGATCTCCCATGTCGACTGCTGAGTGACAGAGTCGTAGAAGTACGGCAGACGGCGCGAGTTGCTGAAACGGATCTCCCACTGAGACTGCGAGACGAACGAATACGGGTCAGATCAGCGCGCTTGTTCATGCGGCCTCGCTTTTCTATGAACTTCTGTTGGTACTCACAGACATGATAGCGAACGATATGGGTGAAAGCAGTCTCGCAAGCCTGTTCGATGGTGTTGGTGTTGGTCTTGAGCTGTGGTTCAATACAGGGTCTAAGAAGTCTTCGTTGCTCACCAAACTGGACCGAGCGCGGTGATCATTTTTTTTTTCGACGTCGACGTGATCACTTTTAAAGTCTGACATCTTTTGCCCCAAAAATCCGGTCAATTTTGATGCCACATTTTGTGATCCTCTTTTTGCATTCGAAAAGCAGGAACGCCGGCTACAGATGTCGGTCCGCTACCTAAGCGAGCTGTCTGGAGGCTTTGCCACGCTTGCCGACAGCGACAGCGACAGCTGCTGATGGTCGAGCCGTGAATGATAAGCTCATCAGCGGCGATTCCGTCCCCATCGACTGGATCTCAATGATAAGAAGTGGGACTCTGGATCTGATTCTGCGAAGACAAAGCCATGCAACGGTTGTCAGCAAGCGGGTGGCTTGGCTGAGCGATCCAGGCTTTCGGGGTGCACCCGACAAAGGTGCTCACTGAGTCAGAGCACGGATGAGCCGACGCTGCAACGGGCAAGTCGCTCAGAAGGAACAGAGCAGAGGCAGGAGCGGCTTGTCTCTGCATGAGTTGCAGCAGGATCGACGGGATCTTCCCACGCCGTGGCCGCAAATCCCGAAGAGCAACACACCAACACTCGAGAAAAAGGGGGCACAGCGACAGAGGTAAAAGGCATCGGAGCTGCAATTCAACACCGAGCCAAATTTTGCACACACGCACGTCGCTTCTGTCTCAGCTTCAAGACCCTTTAAGCTTTCTGAGCGTGCATACATCGCCGTGATACATAGTTCGGCTTGGCCGAGAGAGAGAGCGGACTGCTGGGCTCTGCCTCATGGGAACTGGCTGAGTTGCCTCCGTGACGAGAGAGGGACTTTCATCTCCGACAAGCTCTCCTCTTGACCAGCATCACCACTGCAGACCCCTGGCTGAGTCGCCGGATCGACAGCAGCCAGGATCGACCAAATAGCGCTTCCCGACTGTCGATCGCAAAGCCTTGTCGTTCCGCGAGCACCGCATACATTCATCCCCCTTGGTGCGGGACCTTGGCCCTTCTCTTCATCTCGACTAGATCCACACGCGCTTGCTTCTTAACCAACGCTATCCACATCTTCTTCATCGAGCCGGCCACGACGGCCTCTCCGCCTCGTCACACCGCAACCACAGCTTAGCATCAGCAACACCGCGCTTCCGCCCATCTCAGCTCGGTTCCAAGATCGCTCGTTGAAAGCAGCAACAACTCGCCACTGACCCATTCCAGGCTCTCACGGACTTTCACCTGCGCATAGACCTGTTGCTGCACGAGCAAAGACACCGGCGTTCCGCTGACTGCGCAGCACGGTTCGCTCGGTACGCTAGGATCAATTCAGGGCGTCAAGGAGCGGGCACATCTATGCATCTATACCGACTTGGTGGAGAACTCAGAAGAGCGGTCTGTACCTCGCTCTGGCACGAGAAGATCCTTGCTCGCTCTGCAGGTTGCTATCCGGCTCGGTTCTCTCACCTTGCGGCAACATGTCTGTCCTCGATCGGCGCCATCCATCATACCGAGCACATCCCTCAGCAGAGACGGATCCGAACCCCGTTGTTCATTCAGCGAGCCGTTTCACCGACATTCGCCCACGCGCATATCTCGCTAACGAAGGCAATTCTACCTCGGCCGTCCGCAAACCATTGTCACCTGTCAACACCTTTGCGCTCAACGATTCGCTTCAGAAGCTGTCTCTGTCACAGCATCCGCATCCTTCAAAAAGCTCGGTCGATCGTCTCAAACCGCTGCCTTCCGTTCCCACAGACGTCAATGCGGACGACAGCTTCGACGACGCCGGTGTAGAGCTTGTCTATCCTCTTCATTCTGGCCATCACTGCGACAACGACAATCACATCGAGTCCGACATCTCCAGCGCCTCCGCCAGCAGCACCGCGTCTTCGTCGTCGATGGAGCCCGATTGGCATGAGACCTCCCTTCGTCGACAGGTCGCCAAACTTCAAGTCCAATACTCCGATCTTGATCTCGCCCAAACCGAGGCGCCGAGCGTATTCGGCCTCCGTCGCAGAATCATTGCGGCGGCACTCGATCATGCTGCTCAGCGACAACAGGGCGATGATGCGTCCAGCAGCTCGGCCCAATTCGAAGACAAGGGCTTGGCAGAGTGGCTTGCCATTCAACATACCAGCAGCCAATGGAAGGGCAAGAGCATCCGCAAGAAGCTCTCCTTTGGCAAGAAGCAGGCCCGAGCCGCAATGGCCAGCCAGTCTACAGTCCATGATCCGATGCCGAACGATGCGGCATCGACCAGCACCTCGAGCAGTCGCACCAGGTGTATCTCAACGACCGCATCGACCTCTTCGCACGACAAGACCCTCCGGCGCGACAAGGAGCTCGCTGAGTGCGAGGCCAACTTTGACCTTGTCGTGCTCAGCCGTTTCGAATCCGCCAGTCTCAAGATGACCATCTACACCGAGCAGCGACAAGGCAGCTGGGTGATCAAAGGACCTGCACCGCCGAGATCGCATGTTCTCGACGAACCACCGCTCGTCTACAGCCCGTGGGACTGTCAGATCGACAGCGCGGCCATTGTGGAGCGCAAAAAGCTTCGCTCCTACGTCGAGCTCTCGGATACCACCTGCTTCGTCCGCTGCTCGACATGCAACAGTCCGCAGCACCAACAACTGGGCAAGCGACCGGACGGATTTCGCATCACGCCAGGCGCCACCGTCGGATGCAAGCAGTGCCAAGGCAGTGGTGCTGTGCAGACCAACTATGTCGTCTGCGTCACACTGCGCCAGTCGAACTTCCTACCCCTTGCCATGCCGGTGCGACACCTGGCGGGGAAGGCGCAGAATGCTTTTCGAGCCTATTTGCCACAGACGACGAAAGCGATGTCGCACGTAGACCTGTTGCGGATGCGATCGATCGAAGCTGTCCGGTCGTGCGCGCTTCGCGTCGGTCGAGCGCATCATAAGGAGCACGACGCCCGACTGCTGCTGGCTCAGGCGGTGCTCGAACGGCGCACGTGCAACAGCGTGGCGGTGATCAATCGCTTCAATGGGCTCTTTCGGGTGTTTGACATCACGGATGGCGGATGTATTCGCGGTGGAGCGGGGTTGATTGAGGAGGAGAGTCGGATCGTTGAATCACCCGAACTGGGTGACGCGCTGGCTAGGTTGCCCATCACCATCGCCATACCCCCGCACGGGTCGTTCCGATTCATAGATTTGGAACTGGTGGATATGGCAACGTCGAAGGAGCTGACCATGATGGCACCGAGTCGCTCGCCAAGCGTCTACACGGACAGTTCGGATGGGTCCTACTCCCCTTCGGCGTTTAGCTTTTTCCAGCGATCAAAGGATCCGGGGCGATACGGCGGGGATGCGTCGCGCGATGAGAATCTCACGCGCGGTCTTACACCACCGCCGGAACGAGCGTCTACACACAGCAGCCTGGCTTTGCCCAACAGACCCTGGGCGACGGGGAGGAACACTCCGTCGACCAGGTCCACCGTCTCGGGAAGGACAATGCAAACGTGGGAGACGGCGCCAGAGCGAAACAGCGGCAGTGCCAGATCGGGTTCCACCCGAAGCTCCGGCACTATCCCCGCCAACATATGATCACACACAGTTTCAGCAAATGCAATGGGTTTTCTTCAACGACATGATACGCATACACACACGATGAGCAAAGGGAGAAGGGAGGTATAGTATTACACTGGAGCATTTTGAGAAAGCACAAGGGACGGGCGCGGGGGATCGTCAGTTCTGGCTGTCCATTTCCGCAAATTTAGCCGACGCGAGCAACAGGGGGAGAAATTGGGGAATATTTGAGAGTTGCCCCGTTCGCGGTGTGCTCCAACGCGAGAATCTGAGACGCATTGGCATCATCCCTTTCGAGGGATGGTGAGAGACGCGAGGATGCGAGCCTGCGGACAAGACAGGTCGAGGAGGAGGAGGATGCAACGCGAGCAATAAGCTCATGCAACGCGTTGGAAGGAGGAGGAATGGTATGGGAGGGGCGGTAGGACACTTACAAGTTCGACGAGATCGAAGATGGTCAAAGGCGAGAGCGAACACGATGCGATGGTGACCAGACAGTCCGACGCCTCCAATCAGAAGCCCAGAGAGTGGGAAAGTCATCGCCGGACACGTCGCGCGACAGCAATCCGCGACTCGACGAGCGTACGAGCGGATGGATGGACCCAAGACCGAGACGGCGCGCGTCTCTAGGCCTTGTTCTTGGGGTTCTCCTTGGACGAGGCCCAGTTGGTGGCCGCCAGCTTGAAGCGCTCCTTGTGGGCCAGCTGGGGCTTCTCGGTCTTGAGCTTGGCGAGCTCCTTCTTCATGTACGCGTTGTAGGCCGACGTCTTGCCCTTCTTGGCTCCACCAGCAGCAGCGGTCTTCTTGGGAGGCATCTTGATTGAGAGTTGTGAGGGGGGGTTTGGAGGATGGATGGGAAAAATGGAAAAGGACGATGGTGGATGAAGAGAGGGAAAGGGGGTTGAGTCGAAGAGGAAGGTGTATTTGAGGGGATTAGGGAGATGAGCCTTCTGACACGTCCAAGGAGGGGGGCGCAGGGACACAAACGGACAGACAGACACGCTCTCTCTCTTGCACACACAAAGAGAGGAAATGCAAAAGGGCGAAATGGGTAAAGGGCGCTCTACAGTGGTCGACTCAGCGCAGTCCAAGAACGCGGGAAGAGAGGGGAAGATGGACTCTGACAGACCCCACACGGCGACCTACCCAAAGGAAAGACACTGATCAAGAGCCACGACCGGAAACCGAAGCACGACTATGCAGGTCTTTCTTCAGCCACACATTAAGGCCAAGCACCTGCATGAAGGGTCGAACGCGGCGAGGCACGAACAACCCTGATCCTGATCCGCTCGATTGCAGCCTAGGCTACGAGCAACAGCCGCATCGAAGCGCGTCGTAGGCGGATCCACGAACGGGATGGATGGATGGATGGATGGATGTTGGAATTGAATCGGCGAACGCGCTTAAACGGGGAAGCATGGTCTTAGGGGTGTCGAGAATAGCTCCAATGCTCGTGCGCAGCCTCGCAAGCGCAGGCTTCTGACGAAGCGACAGAGCCTTTTGACGCACTTGCCGAATCCAAGAAACGCGCTTGGAACTGGCAACATGTCAAGGGTAATTTGCGCAAACCCCCTCACTTACAAGGCGGCCCATGCTCGACCTCTTCTGTATTGACCGCCTCCTCTTGAATTGCAAGGAAGCCAACCCGTCGTTCATCGAGTCGATTCATAATCGAGGTTCAGCAGGAGATTGTCGACGGTGAGCGTGTGAAATAGAGCCAGTCGATTGGACAAATCAGGCCGTAAGAACCCACTCACAGGCGACGATTGGACGAGCCTCAATGTGCTTCCCCAAGACAAAGCGCGTGGTCTAGCTGATCTCCTTATCTGTGGGTGTGTCACCGTGTGAAGCTTCAGGATGGACGAAGTCGTTTGCGGGTGGGTGGGACGATGTTGCATTTCATCGTGACGCTGCATGGAAACTGGGTTGTGAAGATGCCTTTGCCTTTTCTCTCAAACCCGCGTCCGTCTTGTTGACCTTCTGCGACAAGCTGTCCTTATCACTCTCTGGAATTGCTGACCAGCATACAGCCAGTGAGCATTCGAATGAACCGTCGGCGCAGCCGTCATCAGCCTCAGCCGATCCCTCGAAAGACTGCAAGCCAGGTGAGAGGGGGCAGAGAGAGAAGAAGAAGAGCTTGACGAGCAGGAGAAGCGCACCGACACTGGCCAAGTGCCTCTGGCAATTGGCGTGCATCTCTCGAGGCTCAAATAGCGCATTCCTCGAGTGTCAAAATCGGAAGCGCGGCGCGTCCGAAAAACGAGACACACGCACACACACACGCCCTCGGCTCGCCCCGCTTGGTGGGGACGCGGCTGGACTTCCGCTGCGATTTTGAGTTTGTTTGTTCAAGACCCTGTCCTTTGTCCTTTGTGCACGTTCAAGATGTATGATTGGCGGACGAGCAAGGTGGATATTGATTGACGCTTGTGTCATCAATGTGCAAAGGAGCTCGTACACTAGATGAAACATGCTCAAGGTCGGTATGAAACAAGGGGAGACAAGAGCGGAAGGTGTACTTTTTCCCTTCATCGACGATCGCGCGATCGCCCACGTCCCACCTGCTCCCTCTCCGCTTCGGCGTCCAAAAGCGACGGTGTGCTTCTACTGCTGATCGCGTCCCTTGCTCTCGATCGACTCCTTGAGCGATCCCTCCCCAGAATCTGCGCTAGTGCATCCGGTGCACGGGATCGGCTTCTTGCCGTTGCGGTCCGCTGGGCTTGCGTCTGGTCCGCCAAAATAGGCGCCACATGAGGTTGAGGCTCGGTGCTGCGGCCGTACAGTATGCCTGCTGGCCCCGCCGTGTCGTGCGAGATCGAGTGGGTCGATCTGCTTCGCGAGACGGAGCGCTGGCGGATGCGCTCGGGCGAACTCGAATCGCCGCTGTGTCGACTTGTACTGCGTGACTGGCTGCGACCGCGGATGGCAATAGGTCCGGTGCGGTGGAAAGACTCGAATCCGACCCGACTGGTCTCCTCGCCGTTCCAGGTGGTGTTTTCGTCCAAGTCGGCCATTCGAGAGCGCGGCATGCGACCTCGTCGCTCAGAGTCGGCTGGACTGTCGCAGCGCTCCTTGCCAGCAGAATGGATCCATGGATGGGTGTGCGTGCTGAGCGAGCTGGCGAGGTGATGTGACGCCCAAGCCGGGTCGCGTTCTCGGTTCGGCGTGGAGCTGCCACTAACGTCGGTGCTGCGATTTCGGCTCGAGTCGCGGTAACGGAGCGAGATGCGCGAAGTCGAGCGTGATCGTCGCTTGGCGCTGTCCTCTTCGTCCATCGAGATGGCAGGTGATTGTGCGGAGGATGCCGGGCTTGCTGGACTGTCGTGAGCCAGATGCGTGGGACGCGTCCGAGCGAGACTGGAAGACCGCCTACCACTGGAGCTGGGCGGATGCTGCTCCTCGTCGATGTCTGGGGTCCGAGACGCCTCTGATGCCGATGTGAAAGAGGCAGCTGCCCGCAGGTCTGTAGTGGGTAGTGGAGAGAAGCCTGTCGTGCCGATCACGCCAATCGCTGATGACGCCGAGAGTGCCTGGTGGTTGCTTGCCGGGGAGGTCGGTGGAATCGACGCAGCAGCCATCTGAGGGGTCAGTCCATCCTGTCGGATCCATGCGCAAGAACATAGCTTGTCAATCGTCCATCTTCGTCTTGGGTCCGGCTCCAAAAGACCACGCAGCACCTGTCGCGCAGCCGCACGATCCCAGCTGAGACCATCCCAGGCCGGGTCCACACCTTCGTCCTCGTCCGACTCGGGGTCCTCTTCTACGTCGGCCCTTGCTTTTGCAGCCTGATTGATCTCGAAACTCTCCAGATGATCGGCGCGCCCAGGAGCTGAGCCGATCACGTGATCGGCATGCACTGCGATGGTGCCCGCTGTTGGTGCAGCGATCGGAGGCTCGGTGAGTTGCCTCTCTCTAGGCGCCAAAGCCGGCAAAGAGGCACTCATGTCCATGATGCCAAAGCTGCTAGGGCCGCTGGGCAAGCCAGAGCTGGGTCGACGTTGGCTGAAGGCGAAGCGGTCAGATGCATCAATGGGCCCGACGGAGCCAGCACGGTCTGTCGAGCTGTTGCGAACCGACTGACTCACTTGCGACGTGAGTGTGCTGGTTGATTGATTGGCGAGCCGCTCAGCGCGGCGACGCAGTCGGGAGGGCAGCTCCCACTGGGCTTTGGCGATTTTCATCTGCAGTCGAGGCTCGAAGCTATCCGTGAAAGGAAGCTTGCCGCTGAGCATCGCGTAGAGAATGCAGCCCAACGCCCACATGTCGGCGGCAAAGGGCGACTCTGGCGGCAACTCCACCTCTTCGCCCACAGTTGCGGCAGCAGTCGGGCTCGACCATCCTGGCGTTCCTCGAGCTTGCAGATATTCGGGGGCGGTGTAGGCCATTGAGCCTCCGCGACTGGACTTCTGGCTCTTCTTGTGGCCAGGAGTCTTCGCCGTTCCAAGGATGCTTGCCGCCTCTTTGAGTGCTCGAATGAGAGCTGGCGCGCTCGGCGTGCTAGCTTCAGGTTGAGCGGGGTCCAAGATTTGTGCCAGTCCAAAATCTGCGATGCGCCAACATGGCATGACTGCGTCGCTCGTATCGAGCGTCTGCCTGGATGACACGGACACGGATGCCAATGAGTCGATGGAGTCCGTCAATGCGCCGCTGTTCTGTCGCGATCGCCTTTCGCCGTCCGAGTTCGAGGTCGACATGCGCTGACGCTTCTTCCAAGACGCTTGATCCTGCCCAAGTACGTTCTCGAGCTTGAGATCTCCGTGCAGAACATGGCACTTGCTGTGCAGCGTGGATAAAGCTGACGAGAGTTGTCGCATCGTCTCGCGCGCTGCATCGAGTGGGATGCCTTGGCTGCGAACGGTGCGGCTGTCTGTCCTGCGCATCGGCCTGGACCCACTTGACACGCTGCCGGCTGCAGAGACAGGCGACGAGGAAGTCGAGCCTACTTCTTGTCCGGCAGGGATGGTCCGAAGCTGAGAAGCAGTAGACACGGAGGCTACACGGCTATGTGCCTGTGTGCCAGCATTGCGAGCGAACAAGAAGCCAGATCCTGTGCGTGGCCCTGAGTGCCGCCAGGAGGGATCATTCCTCGAGGTTCTGAGCGACGAAGTACGAGAGATGGGCGTCGACGCGTCGGATGAGGTTGAAACGGCCCAAGAGCCTGATGCAGTTCTTCTCTGGTCAGCGGACGAGAAGAGCTGGGAGACCGTAGGAGGAAAGACAGCGTCGCGAGCGCCACCTTCAGCGCGGACAAAGTCGAGCAAACTGCCCTGGTCGCAGTATGGCATGATCAAAAGCAATGCACTCGTACCGCTGCCTTGGCTGTGTTCAGCGTGCGAACCATCCAGCGACACATTCTCGTGGTGCAGCAGCGGAAGCAGATGAGGATGCGATGGTAAACCCTTCCATATTCGGAGCTCTTGGGAGTGATCGGTCTGATATTGTCGCTTGTCGGCTTCGTTCGCGTTCTGCTGAGTTTGCTTTTGATCGTGGTAGACAATCTTGACGGCAATTCGACGGCCTTTGCGTTGACCCTCGATGACCGGAGCGGTCGGGTCGGCTGGCCCCTGTGCTTCCAGATCCCAACCTTCGCGCACTGTGGAAAAGCCGCCGACACCGATGGTCTTGCCTAGGAGGTAGCGACCCGAGGGACCGACGCGAGCGCCTTCGTCATCGCTGCGAGGTGGTGGGTTGGGCGCTGTGGTGGGTTTGGCGTCGTAGAGCTGGGCGGCGGCGCTAGAAAGACCGCGCCATGAAGCAAAGCCAGGCGCTGCTGCGGCGCCGTTGCGAGTGTCATCACGCATGAAGGACGCGCCAAGACTGCGGTTGCCAGAGCGAGGTGGACTGTAGGAGAGCGATCGGTTGTCGTAGGATGTCGAAGGCTGAGGCTGGACGACGCTGTTGAGACTGGAAAAGGCACTGAGAAAGTCGGCAGCTGGCGAACGGTATGAGGAAGGAGAGGAGTCCTGCGCCATGGAAGATGGGGATGCGATGGTTGGGCCAGGTGCGGCCGAGGAGGATGCAAATGGTTTCAAGTCGGTATCGAGTGACAGCTGGGTCGTCGGTGGAGGGTCGCGCTCGACGATCGAAGAGTCTGTTGTGTCGACTTCAGGTGTAACGGCCGCACTTCGCTCCCACCACATGCGAACTTTGGATCCGACCGACGTGTCTTTCTGCGGTAGTGCGGCAGCATACACAGCGGGCGAGCCTTGCTGACTATCATCCTGTGCGGCGGAGCTTCGTCGACGTCTCCCGCGCTCTACTGCATCGAGTCCGGAGGCTAGCCCTCGATTGTCGAAGAGTGCGTCATTGGAGGATGTGCTCGAGGTGGTCTGCGGTAGCTGCAAGTGGGATCCGTTTTCTGCGGAAGCATCGTTGCGAGAGTCGGAACGTGTGGGGTTGCTTGTCGACTCGGCTGCAGAGAGGAAACCGGAGCCGTTCTGAGAAGTGCTAGAGCCGATGCCGAGACGAGCTGCGGCTACGCTGTTGAGGTCGAAGGAGTTGTGCCAGTCGTCGGCGGAAAGAGAAGCGCTAAGACCACTGGGGTCGAAGAGGGGCACATCATCCTCGTGAGGAATCTGGAGCGGAGCGGCCTTTGGCGGCTCCATCCGACCGCCTTGACGGCACGCTGTGCTATAGACGATGAGCGCTGAGGGGCGGCTGACGTGATCAAGTCTGGCTGTCGTCGCTACGCTTTGGTTCGGGATGATGTCGCAAGAGGAGGGTCCTGGATGTCGGTGCCGGGCTAGGCGAGGTGAATGGCGAAATCAGGGTCTAGTCGATCGGACTGGCATCGAGAATCTCTTGTAGTGCCTTTCGCGCAGATGCAGCGAGTTCGTTCGCTGTTGTGCTGCCGACTGCGACACTTGGAAGGCGATGAAGGTTGTACTCTATGATGACGTTGATAAAGTGAAAGGATGACCGTTGACTGAGCAGCGCAAGGTGGGCAGAAGCTCGGATTACGGTTCCGCGTCGGTTGGCGGTGCGGAGAGGCTCGGCCAATTAATTTTGCGGGTGAAATCGAGATGAGGAGAAAAGAAAGCTCAGTCCGCCTTTGCAGGCGCGTGACCACACAGCGACACAGGAAAGACCCTTTTGCGAAAAGCTAAAATTCACAGGCAGCAGCTCAAGACAAAAGAGCTAGACGACCTGCAAAAATCGGACCGCACGAGGGCGCGTTGTTTGACGTTGTGCTCACGTCGCACCGCCGAATTGAGTCAAGTCCACGAACACAAGCAGCCATCTTGGGATCAAAGCCTCGATGAGGCAGACATTGACATTTTGATCATGAGAAGCCCGTGAAAAGTACAGATCGTGAACAGAAGCATGGTATATAGCGCGGTGGCTTAAGAGATGAAGGCCCAGACCTTGCCGCCGATGGTGGTGGGCTTCTCCTCGGGCACCTCGGCCTCAATGATTTCGCGGAGACCGGTGGTGAGGTCGACCTCCTGGGCGGGGATGTGGGCGCCGTTGTTGCGGTTGTAAACCCAGTTACCCACGTACATGATGATGAAGAAGGGGATGGGGATGTAGTTGGTGATGAAATCGGAGGTGGACCAGTTGCCATTGAGGAAGATGCTCCAGCCGGAGAAGAGCATGACGATGAAAGTGGTGCAGACGGTCCAGTAGCCGCAGAAGGGCTGCAGCCATGCACGGTAAGGCAGGACATCCCGCGACATGCCCTGCACCTTCATCGCCGTGTGGAAGCGGATGTACATGATGCCAATGCAGAACCAGGTTACCATACCAGCGATCGAGGTCATGTTGGCAAAGTAACCGAACACCGTCGAGGCTCCATCGCGAACAGACATGTACGAGAGGAACGAGAAGGCAATCGAGACCGCAACGGCGATGTAAGGGAGGCCGTGCTTAGTGGTTCGGGCGAAGATTCGGGGCGCAGAACCGGCGATTGCGAGCGAGTAGAGCGCTCGCGACGACGTGAAGAGGTCCGACGAAGCCGCCGACACAGCTGATGTGACCAGGGCTGCGTTGATAATGGAAGGCAAGGCCCGAATACCTGCTGCGTTGATAGCTACGACGAAGGGAGAGCGAGCAGCAGTCTTGTGACCCATGGTCAGCTCGGGAGCGTTGCTGCTGCAGACGAGTCCGATCATGAAAGTTCCAAGGAAGTAGAACAGGCAGATACGGATCCACACCTTGCGGATGGCGCTGGGAACGGACTTGCGAGGGTTTTTGGCCTCAGCAGAAGCGATGGCGACGATCTCCGTACCTGTTGCGATGTGAAGCGAAGTGGCCGATATGAGACGAGGGTGAAATGAAATGACCGAGATGAAGGATCAATGGCGAAATGAAATGCAGAAACGAATAATGGAGTCAGTCAATTTGTCCCTTGATCAGAACACCGAAGACCATCTCTCGTCTCTGTAGATGCTTCTACAGGTCCGAATGATCGCGTACAAGGTCTCTCGACCTCGTAGCATGGTCAAGAAGCCATAGAGGGAGAGATACGAACCGATGAAGGAAAAAGCTGCGTTGATGAGCACAGAAAAGAAACCGAGGAACTGTCCAAGCGATCCCTGGATGCCGTGGTACTGCTTGAAGGGGCCGGGGTTCTTCCAGTAGCGGAAGCCGAGGCGGCCCTGCTTGCCGACACCGAGGTCGATGCAGATCGAGAGAATAATGAGGCCGACAATGGTGATGATCTTGATCGAGGCGAACCAGAATTCGGCTTCACCGTAAGCGCGCGTGCCGAGCAAGTTGATGGCGACGACGATGACGAGGAAGACCGAGATCCAGATGGCGGGGTTGGCGTCGGACCAGTAGGACATGAGGACGGCGGCGGCGGACAGCTCGGCGGGGAGAACGATGACCCAGTTGTACCAGTAGTTCCAGCCCATGGCGAACGACAGGGGCTTACCAACGAAACGTTCGGAGAGCTTGATGTGACCACCGGGGACGGGAAGGTACGAGATCATCTCACCGAGACACATCATCATGGCGTAACAAACGGAGCCCATGACGAGGTAGCCGAGCCAGAGACCAAGAGGACCAGCGTTGTGCAGCGAACCAGCGGTACCGAGGAAAAGACCTGTACCGATAACACCACCGATACTGATCATGGCCATGTGACGGGGCAGAAGAGCGTGCTTGAGCTCCTCGCCCTTGCGCTGGTCGAAGGCGTTGGTGGCGTTGGCACCGACACCATCTTCGAGGGTGGCGACGACATCGGCACCCTTGAAGGAGCCGGAGCCGGCTTTCTCCTTCTCTTGGTAGTCGTATTGTTGAGCGGACATGGTGAGGTAGGGAAAGGGACGAGACGGGGGAGGGACGTTGGATAGAAGGATTGCGACGACGAAAGGCTCGAGATACGACGTACTTATAGACTTTCATCACGCGAGCGGATTAGGTCGTGCGGAGGGGTCTCGCCCACCCAACGAGCATCGCTCAGGGGGCGTGACTACGGGACAGACACTTCATGGCGAGGCACGAGAGCAGAGCAGTCTGCGAACGGGGAATGGGGGACCGATGAGAAGCGTGTGCATTCGCGAGAACGAGATAGCCATGCGACATTGTGGTGCATCAGCTGAGAAGTGTGGGGATGACAAGACGCACGCCGCGCCCACAGCTTATCGAAAAGGTTGAGCCGAGTTGCCTATCTTCGACCTGGAATTGCACTGGACCGGACGGGACCGCGAAGCAGAGCAGGGTGGGTCTGGACAAACTCGAGACAACAGGAACGGCTCGAACGAGCTGCAGCTTTCTGCATGTCGACTGACAAGGGGGCGCGGAAGGCCGAAATGGGAACTCTCAAGACACGATTGGAGGGAAAAGGGGACGGTCGAGAAGCGAAGACGGTGGGTTGTTGCAGTTGCAGACAGAGTGGCGGGCTAGGTCAGATGGCCTCGAGGACAGAGACCAAGCGGCGGCATGCACGAGCAAAGCCGCGTAGAGATACCGCTGTTTCGAGGTTGCTTTGCTGCTTCGGTTGGACGGGCGGCTCAACTTTTGCAGCTCGCGTTTGCTGACAGCCGCAGGTTCGAGGCGAGCCCGCTTGCACCAACACTGACGAGGCGCTTCAAATGGTTCCCAGAAAATCCCAACAGCTTCAGAGCAGTGCGCAGAGATACGGAAAATAAAAATTTATATTAAAATTCTGTACGAGGAAGAATATCCTTGCGTCGAATCGGAGCCTGGAACCACCGCGAGCGTCGAGCCAGCTCACGGCGAATCCTCCGCCAATCACAGCCCTGCTCGCCTGCGGGGCCATTGTGTTCGTGCGTGGGTTTCCGGTCTACTACCCAGCCTCATCGTTCGCTTTGTTTGAATTGCCCATTGTTCGCCAGTGAGCATCGTCGACGACTGCGATTGGTTGGCTGCAGGGACAGTCGAGGACCAAACCCCACAGAAGAAGGCCAGGCTCTTCATCCGACCAATAGGAAAGAGATGAGCTCGTCGTTACTGCAGCAATGTATCTGATCGATCAGGTCACGCGCATGGAGCGAGACAGCGACCTCGGGAAGAGAGCCAATCATGTCGAGTCCAAGACAATGTCACTTGCATCGCCACGCGACGTTGGACCAATCACGAGTCGGATCTTCCGACGCGATCGCTCTATAGATGACAAGCTGATATGTCACACTACAATCTTCTTGAAGATTGATTCGCCAATGTTCCTTGACGCACTGACTCTGCAATGGAACGCAAGTGACTGATGATAGTCGCAGCGGAGTCGGTCATGCAGAGCCGGGTCCCTCAGTGCGTCTCAGCCGAACTCAGCGCCAATCCCAGCTCGCGCTTATCGTGAGGCAGGGCCGTCGAGAGCTGAGAGCCCATCTCATCCAAGTGCCAGACTGTCCTCGAGCAAACAGCATACAGTAGGTGGCCTTTCCCCTAAGTTCGATCTTCAAACGAAAAGGGTTAGGCGACGGCTGGTCTTGTCTGTAGGGTGGCTTGCGAAAAGTGACAGCGGCCATCCTGGCTGAACCTGCGGAATGGGAATCCAGTGCTGAGAGGCCAGAAGCCTTTTTGCCGTTCCGGCGGTGTTCCAATAAAATTCGAATTCTTCGCGCGGGCCACGAGACCTCGCGCTTCTCTGTCTCTCCTCTCTCGCGTTGACACCTGACAGCCCCGTCCCTTAAGCGAGAGTTGAGCCACGGGAAGAATTTCAAGCAGCGATAACATTGTCGGGCTTTCGTCTTGATGCCAATCACCCCCAAATGCTTGTTTGCTGATCGCGGACCAACCGCATCGTTTCATTGGAGAGACTCTTGTCTGAGCGGAAAGTCTCCTCCAACCGAGACCAAGGGAGGGGTGATCTCGGCTCCATTAGAGAGCAAGACAATGCTAGCTTCGACCGAAGTTCACCCCTGTGTGCATCTTATCGCCATTGTTTGCCATTCTGGCCGTGGTTCATCTTTGTTATCTGCTGCTATCTTGCACTCCTCTCAAGAGCACCTTGCTGGTGTCGTGATTGCATGTCGCCGCCGTATCTTTGGAAGATAAGCAAGACCCACATAAGGTTGTGGGCGAATGTTGAGGCCCGTGCTGTGTCGCTGCGGCTGTGCGTGGGCGGGCCGGCGAGGAGGTGGGTTGATCTACGTGGCAAAGAGCATCGCGGGCTTGCGGCCCCGTCGACCGTGGCAAGCAGCCGGACGTGACAGACGGAAACATCCGCTGCTGAAACGGCGACGTTCTTCGTCTAACCCAGGCGGTCCATCGCTGTGTGCAACGCTGTTAAAATTGTGACTTGCTTCGACGCCGTCCTTCCCCGCATTTCTTCGCTTCCGGAATCCTCGCAATGATTGGTCGGTCGACCGCTAAACCCATCACATCCAGCTCATGCTTCATGTTTCCGCCTTGACCCATCCCGGATCCCTCGGAAGGTCAGATGATCTTGATCGTAATTATCTTCGACAACATTGTGGCTGAACCTCATTCGTTCACCCCACGCCCAGGTCTTGCATACGCCACGCACGTACGCACGTGCTGCAGCTCAAACACGATAAGTTGCGATGGCGTGTCAGGATTGGCTGGTGAGGATGCGGACCGCGATATGGACGGTCGCCGGTAGCAGAGAGACTCGGAGATCGAGGCAAGCAGGGCTTCATTGTTCACCCACGAAGCGACCCGGCCATTGGTGTTGAGCGACCTCAACACGACAGGCATCCTTGCGATGTGAAAGCCCCCGCAGCTGCTTTCTTCCGATCGATCTTCGCTGCCCCTCAGCGCCAACAGTGTTTGCTCGAGATTCATCATCTGTTCAGAACAAGTCATCTTGGTCACACTGTTTCTACATATGATTGTGAAGTCTCGCCCTTAGGCACAGATGAGCTGAGGAAGGCCAAGAACAGCGCAGGCGACTAAATCTGAACAAGGAAGATGCTCAAAGGGACACCGTCAGGCTGGCTTGAATGCTGGGCATCACTTCCAAGCCACGCTTACACACGGCGTAACATCTATTCGAAATTACCTAAGTTTAACAATCGGGCAAATAAATATGTTGTCGCATCACCTGACTGTGTCCAAAAGCTCGGCCGAACTTTGAATATTGTCAAAATGTTAGTTTCGTCCGCTCCTCTTCTTCGCCCACCAATTTCTATCAGGCAGTCAGAGCGAGAAGCTTCAACCAGATCGTATCGCTGCCAACCTTCTTCCTCTTCCCCTACGACATCATCATCACCCCATCTCAACCACATCAAGATGCCCGCCGCCGCCAAGCCCGCTGCCATCAAGGCCACTGCCGCCAAGAAGGCTGCCCTCAAGGGCACCTCGGGCACCAAGACCCGCAAGGTCCGTACCGACACGACCTTCCGTCGTCCCAAGACGCTCGACCTGGCCAAGAAGCCCGTCTACCCTCGCAAGGCCGTCCCCCACGCCCCTCGCATGGACGCTTTCCGCACCATCCTCTACCCTCTCAACACCGAGAGCGCCATGAAGAAGATCGAGGAGAACAACACGCTCATCTTCATCGTCGACCGTGCCGCCAACAAGCGCCAGATCGAGGGCGCCCTCAAGAAGCTCTACGACATCAGCGCTGCCAAGATCAACACGCTCATCCGCCCCGATGGCAAGAAGAAGGCTTTCGTCCGTCTTACGCCTGACCAGGACGCTCTTGACGTGTCCAACCGCATCGGCTTCATCTAATGGTTGGAGCTCCCATCTCAAAAGGTTGATGGACTACGTTGGACTTTCAGTTCGGCGTTCCGACTAGCGACCCCGACTCCCTGCCTTCGATCGAGTCTCGCAAGAGACATTCAACGGCGCGCGATCGATACGAAGAAGCCGCCCCCTTCGCTCGTCATCAAAATCGTCCATCATCCACCACCTCCCCTGTTCCATTTGCCCCCATCAACCGGTGTAATGTTACCTCCTTTCCAGCGCCCATATATCCCACCCTCGCACACCATTTGGTGTGCGCGGGGTACTTGACCCAAACGTCCACCAGAGCGTACTGCATGCCTCGAATCAGGCTTTGGGTCACCCCCCTCTCCCCCCCCTTCCTTCTCCTGCTGTTTTGTCGGTCTTTCTCTTGTCTTGCTCTGTTCCGCCCCCTCGTCCGGTCGCCACGGTCGATTGATCGGTCTGTCGAGGCTGTTGCCGTGACGAGTCAAAGGCGAAGGAACAGGATTGGGCAAGAGCGTTGGACGGTCGACAGCAACAGCATGCGAAGGATGCGCCGAGAGGGGTCGTGATCTGTGCCTTGCGTGCTTGCCCAGAGTGTGCCTTGAGTCGGTGTTGAGTAGATGCAAGGGAAAGCTCGAGGAAGATCGCCCTGCTGAGTTGAGTGAGAGATCATCGTTTCATTTTGCCTTTTATTCACCTTATCAGAGCAATGACAATGTCTTCACTTCTATCCCTGGTGTCTGTTCTCGGTGAACTGATTTGTGAGCGAAGAATGATTGCGACGAGCGACGATGAGATACATGATGAGGGAATGCTGGTATGCGATATGAGTACAGATGTTGTTGATCTTACAGACCCATTGTCGGGAGGCAGAAGACCTATGCTGGAAACGTAGAAAGGGGAATCATGGGAATCGAAACTGATACAGCCACTCGCCAACGCCCACATACAGGTCCATCCAGCGCTGTTCGGATGGACCGTAGCATTCGCTCTGCGCCTCGCGCATCGCCTGCACCTCGTACAGGTCGCAGCCTTCGTACCGATAACGCGGGTGCCAGTGCAGGACACTGACGTCTTCGGGAAAGACGATGCTGCTCAGCGTCGAGCCACGGGTGATAGCTGGCCGGCCGTCGGTGGCTGCGTGGCGACGGGTGAAGGTCTCGTCGAGCGACTCGTCATACAAGGTATCAGGGCTTTGGCCGGGCCGATGGATCTCGGGTGGATGGTAAATGGGGGCCAAACCGTTGGCGGAGGTGCCGAGTGGTAGGGGCGAGTCGAGGGACCAGATGCGCACGCGGCGGTCCAGCCCTGCTAGAGCAAGGAGGCGAAGATCTTTGTCGACGGCAAAGCCCAGTGAATACGAGTAGGAGTTGATGTGGCCCTCGTAGCGTCGCTTGACTTGGCCGGTCGTGAGATCGATCAGTTGAACGCCTCCGTGGATGCGAACGACGAGCATCTCGGTCGAAGATACGATGGACAAATTGGTGATGGAGCCTTCGCCGTCGATCGGCCAGCCGACAAAGCATTTTTCGTTTCGTAGAAAGTGTGTCGTAAAGTGGCGCCAAAAGAGGACGTGACCCGAGCGAGTACCGCAGTAGAGCACCTCCCCGCTAGGATCGAACGCACACGCCATAACGTCGCTGTCGAAGGGGATCGTGATTGTGCATGAGTCGTCGTAGTCTTCACCCGGCCAGTCAGATACAAGTCTGCGGATGACGATTCCTTTGGGTTGCGCTATGGCGATAAAGACCGAGCTGCGGCGTCTTTCTTGGTTCGCGCCATCATCAACATCATCATCGATCCGTATGTCGCCTTCAAGAGAGTCCTCGATCTCGAAGAAAGTCCATGAGTGTGAGCCGTGGGAGCTGATTGGGTTCTCATAAAGCGACACTTGAACGATGCTGTCTCTTGGCTGCGAGTCGTCGGAGTTCTGATCTTCTTCCTCGCGTACCCGGGCCTCGGGCATGGGTAGGCAGGCAATACCTCTCTGCACGTCGTCGTTCCGTGGTCCGTCTGTCTCTGAATCTTCCGTCTCTGAATCTTGCACCAGAGACAGGCCGAACCAGAGCATCCGCGAGCTCCTCCACATCGATGACGGTGTGAGGCCGTGGTAACAGTGGAACACCACGGGCGTGTATTCGCTCGTTGGAAGGATCCTGACTATCCATTTGAGATCAAGCACGAACAAAGCGTGTCCCCCTACGTCCGTCTGTAATCCCACAATCTCGGGCCGATCGGAGCAATTGCGCAAGGGCCGTTTCGCAGTACAAAGAGCGAGATGCGAGTAAGCACCCTCGATTCGAGACCTAGCGCCAGCCTGACTGGCCGTCAGAGACGTCCTGCCTTGCTGCCTGAGCGAGACTGGGTCCGAGACAGCTTTGCATGGATCATTGGCTGATTTTAGCGCTATGTTGGCCGGTTGGATCGCGGGCAGGAGCGGCGTCGATGCAAAGTGCCGCACTCTCTTTGCTGTCTCCTCGTCTTCCTTCTTCTTGCTTTTCGAGGCTCTGGCTTTGTCGCTGGCGCTGCTCGACCCTGGAGCTGCATCGCTCTGACCGGAAAGGATCTTGAAGAAGCGCTTCTTATCGCTGTCCCAGTAGTGCCCGGGGAGGTCGAAAGGAGCGTCGGCCATGTTGACTGTCGTTGTCTCGTATGGCCACGAGCAAGCTAAGTCCGATATCGGATGAAGGTAAGAAGAGAAGAGGCGCAGCTGCGAGTCGCGAACGCGCTTTGCATTCTCTCATCTGACCCGATGGCTGAGTTTTCGACACATTGTGATTGTAGAGAGGGAGTCCTGTGACTTGTCGAGGGCTGAACCTTAACGTGTGATGTTCGTCGGAAGAATGCAGCCCATACTTTTTTTTGGCATGGTGGAGGCGCAGCGAAATCTTGGCCGTGATCCGCACTCCGCTATCCGAATTCGCTTCGTGTTGGTTCCGGCTAACCGGCTACCACACGCTATCCGGGGTGCCCAGACCCCACATTCTTCGCGTCATTGTTCTCGACCCACTCGTCCCTCATAGACACCCCACCCCCTAGGCCATATAACGCTGTGCCCAATTTCTCAGCCGGCATCGGACTCTCGCATTGACATCCCAACCAGAGGAAGCGTCACGATGCAACCGCGCCGCATCCTCATCGCCAACCGCGGCGAGATCGCCTGTCGTCTCGTCCGCACCTATCAGCTCTTCCCGCTCTCCCCTTCGACACCTTCCATCGAGACCGTTGCCATCTACACACCCTCGGAAGCCAACGCAGTGCACGTCTCGTTGGCGACCCTTTCGCATCAACTCGCTAGCGAGGGGCCTCGTGCCTACCTCGACAAGCAGGCTATTGTCGACGCGGCTCTTCAGTCGGGCTGCTGGGGTGTTGCACCGGGGTACGGCTTTCTATCGGAAGATGCCGAGTTTGCGGGTCTATGCGAGAGTAAGGGGCTAGTATTCCTGGGACCGACCGAGCAGCAGCTCGCGAGGCTGGGCGATAAGGTCGTTGCGCGCGAGCTGGCGAATAGCGTCGACGTACCTGTGCTCGAGGGCACCAAGGGCAGCACGTCTTCCGCCACAGCGCTAAATGACATCTTGACGTTCGCGAAGGGCGTTTCCGCTGGATCGAGGATCATCCTCAAAGCGGCCAACGGCGGCGGTGGTCGTGGCATCCGGGTGGTCACCATCCCAACCAACCCAACAGAAACGCACAAAGTGGTCCAGGAAGCATACGAATCGTGCTCCCGCGAAGCCGCGGCTTCTTTCGGGGATGGAACTGTCTACGCAGAGCGCTTCTTGGTCAATGCCAAGCACGTCGAGGTGCAAGTGCTGGGAGACGGTCGCGGAGGGGTCTGTCACTTTTGGGACCGCGAATGCTCGCTCCAACGACGTAATCAGAAGCTCATCGAGATCGCACCTGCTCCTCACCTCCCCGGCGCTCTTCGAAAGCGCATGCTCGATGCAGCACTTCGTCTGGCCAAAGCGGTCAACCTGCGAAGTCTCGCAACGATCGAGTTCCTCGTCGAGCCGGAGGCAGAGAGGTTCTACTTCATGGAGGCAAATCCGAGGATCCAAGTCGAGCACACCATCACGGAGAATGTCACGGGTCACGACCTCGTCGCCCTTCAACTGCTCGTGGGTCTCGGACACACCCTGCCGCAACTGGGTATGCAAGGCGATGCAGCAGCACCCTTCTCAACAAAGACGGCGATCCAGTTGCGCGTCAACGCCGAGTCGTTTAGAGGCGAGACGGACGAAACGCATCCAGAGGCGGGGGCCATCTCGTCGTTGATCTGGCCCGTAGGCGGATATGTGCGCATCGAGACGGCCGCACATGCACCGCATCCAACTTTGGGGCAGTACAAGGTCAATCCGCTCTTCGACAGCTTGCTGGCCAAGGTCATCGTCACTGCACCGACGTACGGCTCGGCGGTCGACGCAGCAAGGAGAGCCTTGCACGACACGACGATCGGTGGAGTTCGAACGAATCTGCCCTTCCTGTTGGCCTTGCTGAGCGATGAAGGCGTCCAGCGGGGCAGGCAGCACATCCACACAGTGCAGTCTGGTTTCAAACGCTTCTTGCAAGACTCGAGTCGATTCCAGGCCGAGATCGATGCAAGGCAGAAAGGCGGCACGGGAGCAGCGTCGAGCGATGCAACAGGTCAGAAGGAAGATTGGAAGGAGGAGCAGGGCAAGCACGCCATCCGCTCGCACCTCAGCGGCCTCGTCGTCAAGCTGTCGGTCCAGGAGGGTGACAAGATCGCACTGGGTCAAGAGCTGGCGGTGCTGGAGGCGATGAAGATGGAGCACGTCGTGCGAGCAGATGCTGCATGCGCCGGCGGCGTCGTACACAAGATCCTTGTCCAGCAAGGAGGCGTAGTCAACTCGTCGGATGTTCTGATCGTTTTCGATACCTCCGACGCCCAGGACAGCTCGGCCGACAGCGCGAGCTCATCAGTAGCAGCAGCAGTTGAACCAGCGGAAGATCCCGAAGTCGCCCGTCCCGAGCTTAAGGAGCTTCAACAGCGTCGTCTGGCCATCTCCGATGCAGGTCGTATAGCCGCCGTCACCAAGCGTCACGCTCGTGGCTTCCGCACCGTCCGCGAGAATCTCAGCATGCTGCTCGATCCTGACTCGTTCCTCGAATACGGCGGTCTGGTTACCGCAGCGCAGAGGAAGCGGTACTCACCCGAAGATCTCATCGCCCGTACCAGCGGCGACGGCATCGTCACTGGTTTCGGTCGCATCGACGCGCACACGGTCGGACTCATCATGGGCGACTACCTGGTCTTGGCTGGTACGCAAGGGTACTTCCACCATTTGAAGCTGGATCGGATCCTGACAGCCGTATTGTCGCATCCGGCGCCACTGGTGCTGTATGCTGAAGGCGGAGGTGGTCGACCGGGCGATACGGACTTCCCAACAGCATCCGGGCTGATGACCCCGAGCTTCGCGTTGATGGGCCAGGTCCGGGCGCAAGGCATCCCCGTGGTCGGCGTGGCGAACGGATACGTGTTCGCAGGCAATGCGGCACTGTTGGGTACATGTGATGTGGTCATCGCTACGCGTGGTGGCAATGCTTCTCTGGCAGGTGGAGCGAACAAGGCAGGCAAGACGTCCATCGGTATGGGTGGCAAGGCGATGATCGAAGCAGGCGGACTGGGTATCTTCGAATCGGACGAGATCGGACCCACATCGATCCACGCCGACACCGGAGGCGTCGACATCGTTGTGGCAGATGAAGACGCCGCTGCAGCGATCGCCCGAAAGGTTGTCGGCCACTTCACGCAACCTCGACTGGCCGAACGTCAGTGGGTCTACTCACAGGACGTCAAACTTCTCCGAACGTGTCTACCCTCGGTGGAAGAGCGACGAAGAGCATTCGACATGCGACGGGTCATCTCGCTTCTCGTGGACGACTCGTCCTTTGTCGAGCTGGCACCCGACTGGGGCAAGGGCATGATCACCGGCTTCGCGCGCATCAAAGGTCAATCCGTTGCCATCCTCGCCAACGATCCAACCTCGCCGCTCGGTGGAGCCATCGACATCAACGCAGCCCTCAAAGCCGTCCGTCTGCTCAAGCTGCTGGCCCGCACTCGGGCGACGCACCTGATCAGCCTCTGCGACACGCCTGGCTTCATGGTCGGTCCCGAGTTCGAACGCACCTCTACTGCAGGTGGATCATTCCGTACGTTTGGCGACTGGTTCACCGCCGCTGCCGAGTTCACGCAGTCCGGCGGCCGCGTCGTCGGCCTCGTCCTCCGCCGAGCCTTCGGTTTGGGCGCTCAAGCCATGCTCGGCGGCAGCACGCTCAGCAACTCGATCTGCGCCTCGTGGCCGGCCGGAAGTCTCGGACCCATGTCGCTCGAGGGCGCTGTACAGCTGAGCATGAAGAAGCAGCTGGCGCAGATCGAGGATGAGGCGCAGCGCAAGAAGGTCGCAGACAAAGCGGTAGAAGGGCTGTACAGGAATGGACGCGCGATCAACGTGGCCAGTATGGCAGAGATCGATACCGTTCTCGACCCCGCAGAGACGAGAGACTGGCTGGCGAAGGTCGTCATAGATGTGCTCGGAGATAGGACGGCGACGTACAAGCTGAGGAAGGTTATGGTCAGCAATCCTCACCTGTAGTCGATGAGGATATTGAATTATGTTCACAGTAGACCAAATGCTTTTAAACCGCCGTGTGTGTTTCAGAGAGTTGTGGAGGCGCAGCAGCCTGAAAAATTAAGACTTCCACGTCACCTTGACCCTGCATAACCAGCGTTCAAGCTTAGCCTCTCTCTCTCTCTTGTCCCTTCTGACACACCATCAGGGATGCCATCGTAGCTGACAAGCTCACATAGCGATGGCAGCGATGAAGAAGAAAGCTCCATTCCTCGGCGTGCTGGCCAGCGCCTTGCTCGCCGCGCTCCTCTTGCTTAGCCCCACCTCGGCCTACCAGCCCAATGCGCCCTACTACGGTGCCGGCCGCCGCATTCGCATGGACTCTCTCAAGACTCTCACGTTCTACTCGGACAAGCGCACCGCCTATCGGCGCACATCTCCACTCCCGCAACTCACATGCGTGGGGTCTCCCTGCCAGCGCTACCAGCCGGACGTGGTGCAGTGCCAGTCGATGGGCAACGAGCAGTGGAAGTGCCACGCCGACCTGCCACGCACCATGCGCATGGGTCGCGTCGAGGTCTCCTGCGAAGGGTACGACTACAGCGACGACCCGTGGGTGCTCAAGGACAGCTGTGCGTTGGAGTACACCCTCCTGCCGAGTGGTGTGGGCGCAGACGACCCATGGCGCAGCTACACACCCAACGGGAGATCGAGGTGGGGAGAGGCGCTAGTTGAAGGGCTGTTCTGGATCGTGTTCCTGGGCATACTCGCCTTCATCGTCATCGGACTTGTCAGAGCCATCAGGGGAGATAGCGGGGCAAACACCGGTGGAGGAAGAGGAGGTGGCGGCGGAGGCGGAGGCTGGTGGCCAGGAACAGGCCCATACAACCCACCACCACCATACACACCCAAACCCGACCCCGACTCGAGCTCGTCAGGATGGAGACCAGGCTTCTGGACAGGCCTCGGCGTGGGCGGTCTCGCCGGCCACGCTGCCGCCAACTCGCGCCACAGACACTACGAGCCACCACAAGCGAGCTTCAATCTTGGATATGGCGGCGGCGCAAGAAGAAGAGGCTGGGACGACGATGACAGGGGAGTTGGCTCAAGCTCATCTTTCGGCGGTATGAGGGAAACCACGGGCTTTGGAGGCACTCGAAATCGATGAAATGTATCTATATAGTTTTGCTATACCACCCCTCGGCTTCGTGAAACTATGCCTGTGGTGTAACACGCGGCCTTTCCTGGTGTGCGATGCTGGACCGCCTCAAGCGGTGAATCTCCTTCCTCGCCTTGCGGTAGTGGATGAACTGACCGAGCACAATGAAGTCCAAGAAGACGGTGCCGAGACTGCCGACGAGCCAGGAGAAGGATTCGACGAGGTAGTCGTGCTTTGTGCTCTTGAGGAGGATGCTCGCGACGTAGGTGAGGTTGCCGGCCACCGCGAAGACGAAGAGTGCGAGCGAGAGACCTTCGCATTTGGTGGTGCGATTCTTGATGATCTGTGGTACGCGAGAGGAGAGGTAGAGAAGGGCCGAGAGCCAGCCTGCCACCTGCGCATCCCACCTCCAGCCGACGGGCTCTGGTGTCGGTGCAGGGTGGGAGATGTCGTCGTCGCTGCCGTAGTGGTGCTCGGCGACCCACCATGCTGCCACGCCCGTCGCTACGACCAGAAGAGCGGCGAGGGTGTGCATGATGATCTGGCTGCGGATGGACGACTCGTCCTCGTCATCGTCCTTGGAGGAGAGATCGTCGTCGATGACCGCGCCATCGGCGATGAGAGGCGTGCGCTCGTTGGCTTCGAGGGAAGCGGAGATGGTCGAGATCTTGACACCGCGGTGGTAGTACTTGCGGTAATACCAGTATTGGAAGATGAGGACGCAATCGCATGCGCAGTAGTAGAGCGCAAGGATGATCATCGTCCAGAGAAGACCCTGGAACCACGCTCCGGCAGCGTTGAGGGCGTCACCGGCCAGCCAGATGACGACAAAAGTGATCGAGAGACCTTCTGCGGACTTGGAGATGTAGTTTTGATGCATTTGACTGAAAGAGGGCAAGACCTGGAGACGATGTAAGGAAGATGTTCGGCAAACGAAAGAAGAGAGGACGAGGTTTAGAAAGAGGGGTTTGGAGAAGACACGTACGGCGAATAGACAATTACCCAGCAAGCGATCCTGTGATGGTTCAAGGATACGATGGTAGAGAGAAGAGGATGAAATAAAGGTGATTGTGACTTAGCTGGTTGTTGGCGAAGGCAGAAGACGAGATCCGACGTAGCTGTATCGTGAGAGTGTTACTTACGATACCCTATTCAGCAGCAGGATGAGAACAGGGCGGCAAGCACGTTGGACAGAAGGAGAAGGGCATTGTCAGTCATGACACAGTAAGACAAGGATCTTGAGACGGCTTGGAAGGACTCACCAGCCCATGATGCTGCTCCATTCCTCGAGACGGTGCTTTTCGGCGTCCTCATGCTTGTGATGCTTATGGTGTTTCTTGCTTGATAGCGAAGCACTCGAGTCGGGTATCAATGAAGAGTCTTGTGCCGTAGCGAGTGTGGCGAGAAGGAGGAACGAGGCTGCGACCATAAGCAGGCCGAGCGCTTTCGATGTGCGATACGAAGGCATTGTGTGTCGATGATGGTGACCAAGTGACAAGATATCGAGCGTGAACAGGGATCCTTTGTCGATCTTTCCAACAGCGAATGCGAGTCAGAGCGTGGAATTGCAGCGGATAAAGACTCTTCTCGCCCAATCACAGCGCCAAAATTTCACTCTAAAAATCACTTTTTTCGGGTCAAGTTCGAATTCACTTTGGCAGCTCTGACTCGGCGACTTTCGTTCTCCATACTCGTATCACCTACGGAAGACATTTGCGCCCAAATAGTCGGCGGGAACAGGTGGACTGCATACGTCCGCTCCGCGTGATAGAGATGATCTGAGAGTCTGGAGTGTGGGACCGACGGCAACGCCGGATCGATGCCGTTTCAGCCCCACCGGTGGTTGGATGGTGGGCGGACGACATGCAGCGCGTCGTCGTCCTGCATATCTTCGATTTATTGAAAACAATGTTAGATCTCACTTAGTTCCTCCACGGCCACTTTTGCTGGCTGGTTCGGCTACTCAACGGCTCAGAGCTTCCGGCTATCAAAAGCGAGCCTGCTAACCGTCGGACTGACAGCCGGCCCAACCAAACGAGGCATCTGTGCGTGGTGACAAGTGCGTGACCCTTCGCAACTTCTTTTTGATCCTTCCCACCCCTCTTGCGTTCGTACCACCAACCACCCAACCAACACGATAACAATCTCAAACATGTCTGCTCCTACCGGAAAGTTCATGCTGTGGGTCACGTAAGTATCTTGCCTCCTCTCGAGCCAACAAAAGCCGCAATCGACATTGTCACTGACCAACCCGATATCTTTCTGCCCTTGGCCGCGACATCGACACATTCTGCGAAACTTCCTCGAACCATCTATTCCCTTCAGCATCGAGGCCAAGGGTGCTTCCGAGGCTGACAAGATCGTCGAGCTGCTCAAGAAGGTGGCTGCTCGCGCCAACTCGGACGAGGAGCCCGACTGCCACGGCTACGTTCCTGGCCGCAGCCGCGATGACCCCAACACCATCATTGTCTTTGGTAAGTGTGACGACTGCACCCAGCTGCTTCGCCAAAGAGGCATCTCCTCCTGCTCGCCAGACGTGCTTGCTGACCTCCCCTGCTTCATCTCTACGCATCATTTTTGCTTTCCTGCACCAACAGAGCAATACGATAACAAGGGGAGCGACGTCGCTACTAGCAAGCACCGTGCCGGTGAGGACTTCCAGGCTCTCATGGGTCAGGCCAAGGACCTCACCAACAAGGTCGACATGAAGTTCTTCGACTACGTGTAAACGGCGGCATACTCAATGCAAGCAACCTCTTTCTGTCTTGGCACGCAACGCATGATGCAACACGAGCCGTTTTGAACCGTCACGATGCCTGTGCTCCTGCCTTGTATGAAGGCCTCCTTGCCATCACACCCGGCTGTGTCGATGAAGGTGAGGAACGAGGCTGCTGAATTTTTCGTATTTTGTTAGACCCCTTGTATCCTCAAGTTTGCAAAAATGCGTAGCGGCAACATCAGCGGTCAAGTGACCCTCTTGAGCTGGGCTGCTGCCAAGTTTGTAGATGTTTTGGAACACCAACACCTTGACGGCCGAGTCAATTTGCTGAGCAACAGCTCGGCAGGATTCGTGATTGCCTCAGTTTGGATTTGGGTGAGGTTTGCCTCCAAGATCGCGCTCAGCTGGCTCACTTCGTCATTTCAACTCATCTTTGCCTTTCACACCACCTCTTAACCTCCTCCTTCATAATCAACATACCTTCCTTTACCGGTCCCTCTTACATGGCTCTGTCATGTGCACCATCCACATCTGATTCATAGCATCCACTCGGCATCAGCCAGGAACCAGGCAGCACCTCCTCAAAAGCTGACACTCCACACAACCTACCGTCTTCGGCCGGAAATTCGCACTCTAGTTCACCATGACGGACAACAACACATCACAGCAGTACGCCACCCCTGTCAAAAAGGTCCTGCGATCACAGACCTGGAACGACTCGGCCTCGCATAACCTCACCGTCGCGTCGCCTTCCACACCCGCCTCCAATTCGACCGCAACCGACGGCGGTCAACTCTTCCAGTCCAAACCGCGCCACATCGACCAAGCTCGTGCTCAGCAGGATGCACAGCAGGCCTTCGCCCAACACACATCCGAGTTTGAAGAATCTCGTGACAAGCTACTGGGCACCATTGACACCACCAGCACGCTCCTTGCCGACCTGCGCGACTTCAACAAGAACAAGCGCTTGATCCACTACGCTGCTGCCGATGACGCCCACAAAGCCAGCTCATCAAGTCAGTCCCACAAGCGCTCGCACTCCAACTCCCAGCACAGCCTCGAAGAAGCCGACGCCAACCTGCACACTTCTTCGGTCGACAGCGCTCACCGTCCCATGCCACCCGCTTTCATGCGCTTGAACACCACGGGTGGTCACGCTAGCTTGCCCAGCACACCAGCTCGTAACGCCCTCACCAATCAACAGAGTCAGAACGATGATGAATCCGACGAGTCGACAGACATGTCGGTACTCAAACTTGACCTTCGTGTTGGATCCGTCGCGGTCAACCCTCAGGCTCTTATGCGTTCGCTAGAGCGATCCTCCGTAGCGCAGCTGCTTGACGGCAGGATGGAGAAGTCCGAGCGCCATCTTGAGAACCTAAAGCAGCGTCTGTCCGACACGCAGTCCAAGGTGCTCGTCACGGGTGATCTCAATGCAGGCAAGTCCACCTTTGTCAATGCATTGCTCCGCCGACCCCTCATGCCCACCGACCAGCAACCCTGCACCACCGTCTTTTGCGAGGTGCTCGACGCTTCCGAACTCAACGGCAACGTCGAAGAAGTTCACATGCTCAAGCAGGGCGTCAAGTACTCTTCGCAGGACGACTCGACATTCACACGTCACACACTCGAGGAAGTCGAGCAGATCGTTGCTGAGGCCGAAGAGGTCTCGCCAGAGGATGCACCCATCCTCAAGTGCTACGCTCACGACACTCGCGCCACCCAAGACTCTCTGCTCAAGAACGGCATCGTCGACATTGCCCTCATCGACGCTCCCGGTCTCAACCGCGACAGCCTCAAGACCACCGCTCTATTCGCTCGTCAGGAGGAGATCGACGTTGTCGTCTTTGTTGTCAGCGCCGAGAACCATTTTACCCTTTCCGCCAAGGAGTTCCTGTGGAACGCCTCACACGACAAGGCATTTGTCTTCATTGTTGTCAACAAGTTTGAGTCGATCAAGAACAAGGACAAGTGCCGCAAGCTTGTCCTCGACCAGATTCGCCAGCTCAGCCCACGCACTTACGAGGATGCCGCCAGCTTGGTGCACTTTGTCGACTCGCAGGCCGTGTTCGGCGCCGAAAGCGACTCTTCTGCGGCACCCGACACGCCATCAGAGGAGCTGGGCCGCAAGGTGGAAGGTGGTTCGACGATCGAGAGTCGCAGCTCGGAAAGCCTGCAGTCCTTTGCTCGTCTTGAAGCGGCGCTGCGGGACTTTGTGCTGCTCAAGCGAGCCAAGTCGAAGCTGTTGCCATCGAAGACATACATGCTACGATTGCTCTCGGATATCATCTTCCTCGCCAAGATCAACACGCAGGTAGCACAGATCGAGCTCGCCGAAGCCACCAAGGCTCTCGAGGTGGCACGACCGGAGCTCGCCAAGTGTCAGGCATCACAGCAGAAGCTCGAGACGGTCGTTGAGGGCGAAGAGGACGAGGCGGTGACTGCAGTGATGCAGGAAGCCCAGCGGAAGCTGTCGTCGGCCATTGACCTTATTGGCAACGGCAAGCCCGCTATCGAAGCAGTGCAGCTGCCAGTGTACCCTGGTCTCTTCAACGTGGGGCAGTATGCACAGGAGGTGCGACACGCGCTCACGTCTTCGCTAGAGCTTGCGCTGCGCTCGGTGGAAGACACTGCTCGCGGCACAGCTTCGCAAGCGGTGGATCGAGTGCAGAAGCTCGGGCTGGTGCATCTTCCGGATAACGACGCCGAGAAGCGACAGAGGATCTTCAACCCGGATGTTATGTTTGCCAAACGACGTGCGATGCCTGGTCTCGTGGGTCTTGGACTCGGATCTCAGGTAGTTCAGGTGCAGCCGTCCGACTTCTTTGACGCCTACCACCACTTCACCATCGTCACTGGCGGCAGTCTGTCACAGGATCAGAGCGACAAGAAGGACAAGAGCAGCCATGACGAATTGAGCTTGGTGTCGTCATTGTCGCTCGGTCTCGGTGCACTGACATTGGTGGGCGGCAAGACGCTGGGAGTCAAGTCGGCTGTGGATACGCTTGTGCGCATCTCGGATCTGGTCGGCAATCCTACGGCTCGCCGATGGGCCGGACCAGTGTTCGCCGTGGTGTCGACGGGGTTGGTGGTCTACTTCATTTACGACCTGCCCAACAGCGTACCTCGCAACATTGGGCGCAGCATCAAGTCCGGTCTGCAATCAGGCACATTGCTTCGATCCAACGACAGCGCTGCCCTCACTACGTTGGCGCCTTCTGCTTCTTCGTCATCAGCTCAAGGCGAAGAGGCATCGTTCACCGCGGTTCACTCGGCCCGGGTGGGACGCGAGACACGAAAGGTGCTCCGTCTTGCCTCGTGGGATCTGCAAGAACGCTTCCGCGTGGCCATTGCGCAACGCCGTGCTGAGGTGGAGAAGCAGGAAGCCAAGCAGGCGTCGGCTAACCTTGCGATTGATTGGTTTGACAAGACAACGTCGCGCGTGATTCAGATCCGAGGCCAGGTGGACGAGGTCAAGGGTCTCGAAGCTTGAGCATTGACTCGCTATCACCACTCTCAGGATTTGGTTTCAGTCTCTACAGTTGCATTGTTGTGTTTCTCGTGTGCAAGTAGTCGGTCGCTGTATTCATTCTCCCGCTGTTCAGTATAATGTCAGTTGTTTGCATATGATCATCTCAGTGGCGGTGGCGTCAAGTGAAATGAGAAACGGGAAACGGAACGCGGCACCCACTTCATCCCGCGGAACTGCCAGATGCCGACGCTTTTCGAGACTTGATTAGCCTGCCGTTGACGCAACCGGATCTTCTTTGCGAGCGGCAGCATGCCATTCATTGACAGCAAAGCCGCTTCGAAGACTCGTCAACTTGATTTGGCGTTGATGAGTTGACACGGTGGCGAACAGAGTTGTGTGTGTTTGTGCGGGTGGGGCCAGGGTTCAGGGTGCAGACAGCGTGGACTGCATATGAATAAACCGTGAATGGCAATACAGCGGCAAACAAACCCACTCCTGACGTCGCTGTTCGATGCTGTTCTCACTCGGGTCTAGCAGGCTGCGCTCCAGCTTGACCTCGATCAATGAGGGTCTCGTACTGACCCTGCAAGATCGTGACTACAAACAGGGGACGAGTGTGATAGCTTGAGGGAGCCTTATTTCTGGAGCGAATGCGCGCGTGTTTGGCGCCAAGAACTCAGTGTCTAGAGCCAAAGCAGGGTCCGCTCAGGAATACGGACAAGCCACTGCCGAGTTAGCAAGGCTCAGTCGACACTCATCCCTCGTCCACCACCATCCTCCCCTTTGGTCATCCGCATGACTGGCTCCCTCACCGCCAGGTGCTGACATACCGAGGCACCCTGTCGCCCCTAGATCCAGCCATCCATGGGAGATCGCCGGTCACCACCATCATCACCATGAGCCGCGCATCTGCTGCCACCGCCAATGCGGTTCCTCAAGGTGTTCCTGGCGCAGTCGATCAAGTCACCGCGCCGCCTGCTTCTTCACGGCTCCTGCCGCAGGACCATCATTATTCCAATCTGCAACCGCATCTAGACTCAGGCGCCAAGGATGTTCAGCACGCCATCCTCAGCGACCCGCAGCCTGTTCATGCCCTAGATGATGACGATGACGAGGACGACCGAGACGAGGTTCATGATCACGACACACACGACTCTGCAGCAGCAGTACCAGCACACTCATCAGTACCGCAGCAGTCGCCATCCGACCACGTACAGATCACCGTGAACCAAGCCAAGCGTCCCCCAACCTCAGCTGCTACCTCTGATAAACACGACACTGGCAGCACTTCCTCCACCCAATCCAGTGAACAAGGCAGAGAGAGCGATGAAAAGACGGACGACTCCGCTGCCAAAACAAAACGCAGCAAGAAGAAGAAGTCCAAGAAGGTCGCGGACGATGGAACTGTCGACCGGGTCGGTTTCAAGGACCTCTACCGCTACGCCACCATCTGGGATCACATCTTCAACTTCATCGGTCTCGTTGCCGCCGCTGCTGCCGGTGCCGTACAGCCACTCATGACCATCGTGTTCGGTAGTCTCACCACCGCCTTCCTCGAATATACCAACGCTCTTCTCTTTGATGGCGACATCCCTGCCGCACGCGATCACCTGGACAGGGAGATCGTCCATGGCGTGCTCTTCCTCGTCTACATCGGCGTGGCCATGCTCGTCGCAACCTACATCTACATGGCTGCATGGGTCTACACCGGCCAGGTCATCACTCGTCGCATTCGAGAGAAGTACCTTCAGGCCATTCTGCGCCAGGACATTGCCTACTTTGATGTCGTCGGTGCTGGAGAGATCACCACCCGCATTCAAAGCGACATTCAGCTCATCCAAGAAGGCATCAGCGACAAGATCCCCATGTCGGTCATGTTCATCAGTGCTTTCGTCACCGGTTTCATCGTCGCTTACGTCAAGTCGTGGGAGCTCGCACTGGCCTTGAGCTCCATGATCCCATGCATCATCATCGCCGGTGCCCTCATGAACGCCGTCACCGCTAAGCTGCAGCAGGCCGAACTTGACCGGGTCTCCAGGGCAGCTTCCATCGCCGAGGAGTCGCTCGCCACCCTCCGCACCGCCAAGGCCTTCGGTATCGAGGACAACCTCGTCGAGCTTTACGATGAGAGCAACCGCGAAGCAACGCGCTTTGGCATCAAGCGATCGCTCTTCCAGGGCATTGGCATGGGTGTCTTCTTCTTTGTCATCTACAGTGGATACGCGCTGGCCTTCTACTTTGGCGCCAAGCTGCTGGCCAGTGGTCGTATCGCCTCGGGCACCGTGATGAACGTCATTCTCTCCATTCTTATCGGCGCCTTCTCTATGGCCATGATGGCACCTAACATGCAGGCGCTTTCCTACGCCTTTGCTGCCGGTTCCAAGGTGTTCGAGACCATCGATCGCGTTCCACCCATCGACAGCTCGGATCCCAGCGGTCTGCGTCCCGACCACTGCGAGGGCAAGCTCGAGTTCAAGGACATCGACTTCAGCTATCCTGCTCGACCGGACGTGCCTGTGCTCGACGCCTTCTCGCTCGAAGTGCCCGCAGGCAAAGTCACAGCTCTGGTCGGTGCATCAGGCTCTGGCAAGAGCACCATTGTGTCACTGGTGGAGCGATTCTACGACCCCGACGGAGGAGCAGCTTACCTCGACGGCGTCGAACTGCGCGATCTCAACCTCAAATGGCTCCGCACTCAGATCGGCCTCGTCAGCCAAGAACCCACCCTGTTCTCCACCAGCATCCGCGCCAACATTGCTCACGGTCTCATCAACACGCCCTACCAGCAGCTTTCGGACGAGGAGAAGGAGACGCTCATCACCGATGCGGCCAAGATGGCGAATGCACACGGCTTCATCTCGCAGCTGCCCAACGGCTACGATACGATGGTCGGCGAGAGAGGTTTCTTGCTCTCGGGTGGTCAGAAGCAACGCATTGCCATCGCTCGAGCCATTGTCAAGAACCCGAGGATTCTGCTGTTGGACGAAGCTACCTCGGCGCTCGACACGCAGTCCGAAGCCGTGGTACAGGACGCACTGGAACAGGCGAGTCAGAATCGAACCACCATCACCATCGCACATCGTCTATCGACCATCAAGAACGCCGACAAGATCGTCGTCATGGGCAAGGGAGTCATCATCGAGTCTGGCAAGCATGACGAGTTGCTCGAGCTCAACGGCGCCTATGCTCAACTGGTCGATGCGCAAAAGATCCGTGCCAAGGTGTCCACCAATCTCAACGAGGAGACCACCGATGACGAGCCTCTCACCAGGTTCATTCCTTCCAACGCCAAGGTGCCGCTTGCCACCAGCGACACCGAAAAGGCAGCCCTCCGCGAAGAGGCCAAAGCCGAGATGCCTGCGGGCCTCGAAAAGTCGGCCACACGCGGCAGCGTCGCCTCTGCCATCCTCGCCCAACGCCAACGCGATCAAGACGCCAAGGACAAGGAGAACGAAAAGATCCCCTCGATCTTCTACCTCCTCTACCGTCTGGCCAAGATCAACCGCGACCACGTCCTCTCGCTCTACCTTCCTGGAGTCATCGCGTCCATCTGCAGCGGTGCGGCCTACCCCTGTTTCTCGATCCTATTCGGTCATGCGCTGCAGAATTTCTCGCTGTGCAGTTCGATCAACGGCGGACCATGTCCCGAACCAGCCAGGAGCATCATGCTGCGCGATGCGAACCACTGGGCGCTGTACTTTTTCGTCATCGCCATCCTCTGCACGCTCGCCATCAGCATCCAGACGTACACGCTGATGAAGGCGTCGAGCGTGTTGATGGAGCGCATCCGGCGCATGTCGCTCTTCGCCTATCTGCGCGCCGATGTGAGCTACCACGACGAAGACGCGCATTCATCAGGCTCGCTCAGCAACTCGCTCGCCGATAATTCGCAGAAGATCAACGGCCTGGTGGGTGTCACGCTCGGAACCATTATTCAGAGCATATCGACCCTGGTGACGGGTGCGATCATCGCACTTGCCAACGGGTGGAAGCTCTCGCTGGTCGTAATTGCGTGCATCCCCCTGACGCTGAGTGCCGGATTCGTACGGTTGCAGCTGGTCGTGTTGAAGGATGCGAGGATCAAGAAGGCCTACGAGGGAAGCGCCGCGAGGGCGTGCGAGGCCGCGGGCTCCATGCGTGTCGTTGCGTCGCTCACTCGCGAGGAAGACTGTTTGGAGATCTACAGGCGCGAGCTCGATGCGCCCTCCCAGATCTCCCGCAACACGGCGTTCTACGGCAACTTCCTGTATGCGATCAGCCAAGCGCTGCAGTTCTGGATCATCGGACTTGGGTTTTGGTACGGATCGCATCTGTTGATCGCAGGCGAGTACACGTCGGGGCAGTACTTTACGATTCTCACCGCCGTCGTGTTTGGTTCGATCCAGGCGTCGAATGCGTTCAGCTTCGTGCCCGATATCTCGAACGCTAAGACCGCCGCTTGGGACAGCATCAAACTGCTCGATATGGTTCCGGAGATCGATGTGACGTCGGACGAGGGCACGGTGCTGGAGCACGTCGAGGGCCATCTGCGGTTGGAAAATGTGCATTTCCGATACCCCACCCGACCGACGGTCCGCGTGCTTCGCGGGCTGGATGTCGATGTCAAACCGGGTACGTACGTCGCGCTGGTAGGTGCGAGTGGATGCGGAAAGAGCACCACGATCCAGCTCATCCAGCGGTTCTACGACACGCTCTCTGGTCGAGTCACCATCGACGGCCACGACATATCCACGCTCAATCTGCGCGAGGTGCGCAAACACATGGCGCTGGTCAGCCAGGAACCGACGCTGTACGACGGGAGTATCGAGTTCAACATCCGTCTTGGGGCGTATGAGGATGCGGACAGTGTGAGCATGGACGATCTTCGCGCCGCCGCTGCGAGTGCTAACATCTTGGCCTTCATCGAGGGGCTTCCCGACAAGTGGGATACCCAAGTGGGCGGCAAGGGAACGCAACTGAGTGGAGGGCAGAAGCAGAGGATTGCCATTGCGCGAGCGCTCATTCGCAACCCGCGCATCCTGCTGCTCGACGAGGCCACCAGCGCGCTGGATAGTGATAGCGAAAAGATCGTCCAAGAGGCCCTCGACAAGGCCGCCGCGGGCAGAACGACCATTGCCATCGCACACCGACTCAGCACCATCAGTCGCGCCGACATGATCTACTGCCTCAAAGACGGCAAGGTGGTGGAAAAGGGCGAGCACGCGGAATTGCTCAGGCTCAACGGAATCTATGCCGACCTGGTACGCATGCAGGAGCTGCAGAAGGACGAATGATCTGGAAATGGATGCAATTGCTTGTTCTTTACGAAGACACTTCTCGACTGACTTTTGTGATGAACGGAGCGGTCATGTGAGGGTCTTGGTGAGGTTTTCTGTCTTGACTTTTGAGGAGTGATGAGGGCGAAGTTCGACAGGACCGTCTTGCTGGTGTGAGGCTTACTTGGCGCTCTCCAGCAGCTCAAGGGGGGCCTGGGTCGGGTCGGGAGCCTCTACGCCCTAGAAGTGGTCTTCGTCATCGTCGCGTTTGGGCACACGGCCCTGTCCCTGGTCGCGGACGTGTCCCTTGTCGTGAACGTGTACCTGAGCGAGGTCGTCAGCGAGGTCGTCAGCGTGCACGTGTCCCTGGGCCTTGTCCTGGGTGTGGACGGGGTGGATGGCCTGCTGGACTGCCTCGTGCTTGCTCTCTTGAGCGTGCTGGGTAGCCTGGTCCTGACCGAAGCGTTCGACTCGGCGCTCCTCTTGCTTGGGGTCGACGGCGGGGTGCTCGACGTGACCGACGTAGCACTGCAGGCGGCTCATAATGGCGACAAGCTCGTCCCCTTTCTCTTTGGTGACCTCGAATACGATCGTCAATTCTCTCGTGGGCTTGTCCGTCACGATTGGAGTGTCGCCCGTAAGGGGCAGAAGTTCGTCGGGTGTGGGGTACTTGTCCGTCATCTTGAGGGCAGGTCAGGTGAGACCGGTCGAGTATGGGATGGTGTTGGCAGGAAAGGGGAAACGGGGGGCAGGAAGTGGCCAGTATTTATGCCTTCGTCTCGAGGCTGAGTTCTGTCAAACGTCTCAAAGGCAAGTGCGGAAAGACGGTCAAGTGCGGGTCAAGTGCGGGTCAAGTGCGGAAAGCTGAGAAGCCCGCCGAAGCCAAATCTCAATGCTATGATATAGCCTTCACGCTATGATCACGCCGAAAAGAAGGTTTAGCGGTCTTCGTCTGCGGTCTTCGTGTGCCGGCTCCGTCGGCCGACGGAGCCTTGTAGCGGACAGGTCTGTGATCGCGACGAGGCCAAAAGCTAAAAGTGTGATTCACTCTATGATCACGGGCAGAAACAAAGTTTGGAAGGTTCTGTCGATCGACATAGCAATGCTGAGCAGATCTAGAACACTTGACGGCGGTCTCGCCGATCAAGAAGTGAATGTGATACAGTTGGTGCAGACACGACGTGTAGCGAGACTGGCTCTCTTCGGCTCGTCACACGTCAAGAGTAGACTCGGAACTGTGATTGAGCTTAGTCTCGTCACGAATGCATTCCTTCTCAGAACAGAGCTTCATGTGCGGATCGCGAGCACCATCCAGACATGGTGAGGTCTCTTCCGCACCGTCACCTATTGTGATAGCTAAGAATTTGACGGGGTGCGATGCCGTCTGTACCATCACACCTCAAGGTTAGGCTCGGATCACATTTGGAGGCTTGTGTCTCGCTCTCAGACCATCAGAAGTGTTCACGATCAGCTTTGTGACAGATGTGATATGATCAGCTTCGTGGCAGATGTGACACAGTATGAAGTGGTTGCAGACGGAGACGAAGAACAAGGACGATGCATTCTTTTGATTTGTCAAACTGAAGAAGCTGAAATTTTTGAAAATGTGAGATTGTATCAAGCAGAGCCTACCACTCGGTACCAGCGACCTTGTTAACCAGCCCCTTGGCCTTGCTAACGACACCCTCGATCTTGCCGCCAACCTTGTCGTATCCGAACCCGTCGAGCCACGGCGTCTGCTGGCTTCTGAGCTGCTCGAACTGCGCGATCTGCGCATCCTTCTGCAGCGTCAGCGCGATATCGTCGAGCCCATTGAGCAGGCAGTGGCGCGTAAACTCGGGCGTCTCGAAGGCGAACTTCTCGCTTCCATCGGCGGTAACCACCACCTGGTTCTCCAGATCCACCGTGATCTCCTTACCCGCCTTGGCGTCCTGTGTGAGTCGTTCGATCTGCGCGTGAGGGAGCATGACCGGCAGCTGCCCGTTCTTCGTCAGGTTGTTGCGGAAGATGTCGCCAAAGCTCTCGGCGATCACGGCGCGAATGCCGAAGTCCAGCAGCGACCAGGCGGCATGTTCACGCGAAGAACCACAACCGAAGTTGGGTCCGGTCACCACCAGGATCTTGCTCTGATCGTAAGGGGATTGGTTGAGAACGAACGACGGATCGGGCTCACCCGTCTTGGCATCGTAGCGGATGGGCCAGAAGAGGGCCGAGCCCAGACCGGTGCGCTTGATCGTCTTGAGGAACTGTTTGGGGATGATGAGGTCCGTGTCGACGTTGGAACGCTCCAGAGGGGCAGCGACGCCGGTGAGGACGGTGAACTTCTCCATGCCGGCGCCGGCGGTGGTGATGTTCGAGGCAGGGATGTCGCGGATGGCGTCTTCGTCGGTTTGCGCCGGTGCGGGAGTCTGACTGGTAGGTGCAGGGGCGGGGGTTGCGTCGATGAGGTAGGATTTGGCGTCCGAAACCTGGATCTCAAACTCGGGCTTACCAGCCTCGCTGCCCACCTTGGCGGTAGACTGACCCACGACCTTGCGCACATCCGTCAAATAACCAGTGACGGCACATGCGGCAGCCATGGCAGGCGACATCAGGTGCGTTCGTCCACCGGCACCCTGACGACCCTCAAAGTTGCGGTTCGAGGTGGAAGCGCATCGCTCACCGGGTGCCAGCTGGTCCGGGTTCATACCGAGACACATGGAGCAGCCGGCCTCACGCCAGTCGAATCCGGCAGCTTGGAAGATCTTGTCAAGACCTTCTGCCTCGGCCTGCTTCTTGACCAGACCGGAACCGGGGACGAGCATGCAGTAGAGACCGTCGGCGACCTTGCGTCCGTGCAGCACGCGGGCGGCCGCACGCAGATCCTCGATACGCGCGTTGGTGCAGGATCCGATGAAGACCTTGTCGATCTTGATCTTCTCCATGGGCGTGTTGGCCTCGAGGCCCATGTACTCGAGAGCGCGCGACCAGGCCTTGGCCTCGGCGTCGTTCTTGGCGTTCTTGGGATCGGGGACGGAACCGGTGATGGCGACGACGTCTTGTGGGGAAGTACCCCAGGTGATGGTGGGCGGGATGTCTTTAGCGTCAATCTTGATGACCGAGTCGTACTTGGCGTCGGCGTCCGAAGGGAGAGACTTCCAGTAGGCGAGAGCCTGGTCCCATTCGGCGCCCTGTTTGGGGGCGAGGGGACGACCCTGGATGTACTCGTAGGTGATCTCATCGGGCGCAATGAGACCGGCTCGGGCACCGGCTTCAATGGACATGTTGCAGATGGACATGCGGGCCTCCATGGAGAGGGCACGGATGGCGGAGCCAGCGTACTCGATGACGTGGCCAGTGCCGCCGGCGGTGCCGATGAGACCGATGATGTGGAGGATGATGTCTTTGGAGGTGACTCCCTCGGAGAGCTCTCCGTCGACCTGGATGAGCATGTTCTTGGCACGCTTCTGGAGAAGCGTCTGGGTGGCGAGCACGTGCTCTACCTCTGAAGTGCCGATACCGAAGGCGAGAGCGCCAAAGGCACCGTGGGTAGACGTGTGCGAGTCACCGCACACGATGGTGGTACCGGGAAGAGTGAAGCCCTGCTCGGGGCCGATGATGTGCACGATACCCTGACGGTTGTCCGAGAGACCGAAGAAGGTAAGGCCGAACGCCTTGACATTTTCCTCGAGGGTGAGGCACTGGGTTCTCGAGTCGGCCTGCTCGACGAACGACTTTGTGTCCTTGTAGGCCTTGCGCGAGGCAGTGGGAATGTTGTGGTCGACAGTAGCGAGGGTGCAGTCAGTCCTGCGCACTTTGCGGTTGGCATTGCGGAGACCCTCGAAGGCTTGTGGCGAAGTGACCTCGTGGACGAGATGACGGTCGATGTAGATGAGGCAGGTGCCGTCGGCCTCCTCGTGAACGAGGTGCGAGTCGAAAATCTTTTCATAAAGAGTTTTGGGCGCCATCTTTGCGGATGTTCGAAGCGTAGGATGACGATGATGAATGGAGGTCGAAAGGATGTGGAAGGTGAATGGTTCTTGAATGTCTCTCGACGCACGGTCTGCGCCACTGCGTGTGCAAAGGAAAAGGGCGGTGACTCTGACAGGCTGTGAGGCTGCCTGCGCCTCTTGGTCCAATTTCTTCTGGAATTAGGACTCAACCGGAAATGCGGGCTCAACGAAAATACGCACTCGCTCGCAGCCCAGCCCAGCCCAGCGCAGCAGACACACACCCTCTTGGGTCAATGCGACGCTCGAGACCACACAGCCAGCACATCGAAGCACACTGCATGACAACCAAGCGGTGTAAGCTGCAAGCACGAGCCGCATATGTATGTGTGTCTTTCCAAAGGGCGGGTGGGGTGCTCGGCATCATCGAGCCCCAAGCACCGCCGGACTGGGGAAGGAAGCAGAGGTCTAACATTTCGATAGAAAATGCGGCCGTGTGCAGCCTCTGCCTTCGAGTCACGGCCAAAAATGAAGCTCGGCTGAGAAATCCATTTCACGCGACCTCACCACAGCAGCTGCGCGGCCAGCCAATCAAAAGAGCGCCAGATGTCATCTCGGAGCCTCGCCTGCCTCGCCTGACTCGCTGTCAGCTCGGATCTCTTCGGTCGAACTCGTCTTGCTCTACTCACCGACCGCAATGCACTACATGACCTGCTCGGTGCAGGGTTGACCGTCCGCTCATTTAGCAAGGGCGTACCGTTGGCTCGGAGCTGTCAAACTCTGCCAAGGTTGCACACTTCCGTCCAGATTCTGTATGCACGCGTGTCTTCTTGATCGCTCCTTGAATGATGGTCATGTTGCGCCAGAAATGACGGTGCCTCTCACGATGAGCCTCTCTTGTTATGCTCGTCAAAGCAGTGGCGAGTCCTTGATTGTGCATACGCCAGAGATCTTATTAACCAGATTACTATACTTGTTTGCTGCCTGACCAAAGCTCGACTCGGCGATGGTCCTTTCCGCTTTTTGTTCATGAAGCCATGATGGGTCGCACCCTCTACTTGCACTGCCATAGACATGCTAGATGCCCTTCTGTCCGCTTCCCTACTGACCCCCGTACGGGCCCTGCTGATCGTACGGGTTCTGTTGGTACGACTGCCCATACTGCGAATGACCGCCCGAGCTAGATCGATACTGCTGCAGTGTCGATGTTGAGCTCGGCGAGGGCAGACCGTACACTTGCTGTCCTTCCGCCGGATGCCCCGCGCCGTGCGAGCCCATGCTGCTTGGATATCCAAACGACGGAGCCTGCATCGACTGCGAGTGGTATATCCCCGTCCCTGGCTCCATCCGAGAACCACCTTCCACCATCGTCTGTCCATAGCCGCGTCCGTCGTACGACGTCGACATGCGTAGCTGTGCATCTTCCATCGATGGCGTCTGCTGTCCTCCCACACCTGACGCCGTCTGCCTGTCCATCCCTTGCACATTCATCCGGTGCTGCTGTGCACCTCCTCCAGCGTACATGGCGTTGTACCCGTAGCTCCCAGCAAGCACGCTGGGAGGGGACATCATGGCCCCCGCACCCGGGCTGCGCGCTGGAAGATGAGCGCTCGTCTGCTCCGCCGCAGGATACCCAGGCGACACAGCAGGGTTGAGCACCGAGGGCGCCGCATCGCTGGCGTCCGAATACCGTGATGACGCATATCGTCTTCGATCCGTGCTACCGAAGTAATCTCCTCCTTCCTCTCCAGCCGGCCGCGGGATGCCAGACGGCGACACCGCTCCATACTCGGACGAGCCGGGCGAGATCATCAGCGATCCAGGATGCACCAGGCTTGGACTGAATCCGCTCTGCCGTGCGAACTGCTGGATACTCGTTGCGCGCGATGCCGTGCTGCCGCTCGTCAAGAAGGGACCTGTCGCGCTGGAGCCGCCGCGATGGTCGTACGAGCTCGAGCCAAGCAGAGGAGTCGATTCTGTGGAGAGAGAAAACGTCCCCGTCCGCTCCTCCATCTGTATCCGGTCGATGAGCATCTTGATCACCTCATTGGACCCGGCCTGACGGAGGAGCCGCTCCTCATCCTCGCTCAACGACAGCTTGGCCACCTCCCCCATCAGCCTCTGTTCTGCCGAAGTAAGCGCGGTCCAGTTCGCCCGATTGCGCGCAAACACGCGTACAATGGCATGTGCCATATGTCTATCCGCATCCCCCACCTTGTCCTGCATCCCCTTGCCGTAGAGACTCGTCACAGCATGGCTCGCAAAGAGGCGCAGTTCGTGCACCTGTTCGATCTCGCGTTTGCGCAGCCTCGCCTTGGATTCTTGCTTCTGCTTGTTGCGCATGGTGACGGACCAGCTCTGCTCCGAAGTGCCGCTGCCGCGCGCTCTTGTCGTGGATGTGTCCTCGGAGTGGGCGCTACTGCGTCGTGTCGGTGGTAGAGGGACGGAGCCGACGTGGGCAGTCATATCGGCGAGAACGCTGGCGAGCGCCTCGCGCTGTTGCATCACGCGTTTGTGGTACGCCTTCATCTTTTCGCGGTTCTGCTCGGCGCGCGAGCGCTTGCGCGAGTCCGAATCGGACGTAGACGTCAACGGACCCAGTGTGGTGGAAGAGCGATGTGGACGACGGTCCAGGTACGGATGCGCCGCATCTTGCGTCGACAGCGCCGATATCCCCTCCGTCGGCGTCGAGGGCAGAGAGCTAAAGTACGACGTTGGGTTGCCCTCCGAGCGTGAGGGGTAGGCGGACGCCGAATCGGGCGTGATCATATACTCTTCGGATGCAGAGCGCCCCACTGTTTCGCCAGACCAGGATGTGTGCGATTGCAGAGGCGGACGAAGGACGAGGCTGGTCGATTCGATGCCATCCTGCGAGAGCTCGCTCGCCTCGCGCCGCTTGCGTTTCGACGAACCGGCGTCGGAGGACGGGTGAGATGCGATAGAGGAGAAGCTGCTGCCCGTTGTGCGAGTGCTTAGGATCGGCACTGATGCTTTCATCGATGCGGGAGTGGAGGTGGACGAGGCCGAGGTAGAGGCGGACATCCTCACCCGAGAGTCGATGATGGTTGCCACCCGTTCGACGGGAACATCGCAGCGGATGGAGGGGTCGATGGTAGCTGCATAGAGGTCGCTGCGGTGCTCTAGCTCTGGCGGGATGATCACGACCGAGAGCGGTCGGCTGGGATCCGGCTCGTACTGCTGTGCCACGTCCGTTAATCCACTCGACGTGGACGCCAACTGTCGGGTATCGAGCGAACGTGAGGTCGCGTCGTTCTGGCCGGAAGGATATGCACTCGCCGATGTCGATGCCGTTGGCCATTGCTGCTGCGGCTGAGCTGCAGCGCAGCGCGTGATGTGCTCCCCAAAGTTGGGAAACAGATTTTGGAAGATCTGCATCTGATAGTGCATCGCCTGGAGCAGATCAGGGTACGACATTGACGACGCTTGACCGAACAGCAGCGGCGTGACGCACTGATGGGGCGCCAGTCGGTCGCATATCCTCCTTTCGTTGATGAAGTGTCGAACCGAGTCCTGCAAGAAGTCGGTGAAGGTGTGGTACCAGTGCTGTTGAGCTGCTGCCACCTCTGCCGCTGGCTGGTTGCGGACGAAGCGATGAACGACAAAGTCGGCGTGGACCACGGCAGCGGTGGTCACCATCGAGACAAGATAGTCGTCCAGTGGTCGGTCGGCGTTGGCCGACTTGCCCTGCTCCATCAGCAGCACCTGGCCAAAGATCTTTCGATCATAGTACTCTGCCACATGGACGAAGTCTTGCGGCGAGTTGGGCAGGCCTCGGTGACCGATGAGACGTGGCCAATGCGTCGTGTCGAGTCGCGGTTTGCCCAAAACCACCCATTCGTCATGCAGACGCCGGAAGCTCAGGCCATACATGCGCGCGTCGATGTACGTCTTGAGGTCGACGTTACCCATGCAAGGGTAGTAGAGGCTGCGGGCCATTGTCGTATCGACAGCGTCGTCCGTGGGAGGTATTGACGCGGTGCTTGAGATGCTTGCGTCTCCATGCGTGTCGGTGTGTCTTGAGCTCCCCGCGAAAGAAGCGAGATGGTCGCGACCATCGTGAGACATGATGACGACGCTAGATCGGGTCGTGCTAGCCAAAGGGCAAGGATGGGGCGCGAGGAGGGAAGCAGATACGGGCCGCTCCCTCCCGGTGTGCCTGTCGAAGCGGTGAGGGACAGCTGCTTGCTCGTCACTTGCCTGGTCGGACGGCGAGTGAACAGTCGTAAAGATTCGTGAACTCGTCTGTGAATGGCATTTGCCTTTGGTATGACGACGTGGGATCAAGCGGACCTCTGAGAGGCCATACGATTGACCTACACCAGCAGAGGCGCTACTTGTGAGCGAGCTTATGTCCCGTCCAGATCCGAAGAGTTCCCGCGATCTACTTAGAACTTGCACAAGGTCGCACTGAGTCGTCAGAGACCTAAGCAAGGACGCTTGGCGTTCGACAGTGATGCTAGTTGTCAAAGCTGCCAGGGACGATGCTGTGGTCGCACCTTTGGAAGACCCTGCCGGAATCGGGCCTGCGGCGATCGTGCTGATGGTGGTCTGATCGTCCGGCAGCGATTCCGCTGGCGGTGTGTGTTAATAGCTTCAGCGAGGAGATACGAAGGTGGAGAAGCAAGGACGGACAGAGGGAGAGGCCGATTGCAATGTCGAAGACTAGGAGCAGCTGGAGAACGAATGCTGGGGCCTTTAAAGGGCGAAAGGAAGGTGATGCTAGAAGGCATACAAAAGGGCGAAGACAAGACTTCGATGTAGACGGACAAAGTCGACGGAGGTCAGCAAACAAACGCCTTAAGAGGGACGATGCGAGAGCGCCGGGCGCAACGGGAAGGACGCAAACAAAACAGAGAAAGTCCGAAGCAAAGGGATAGAAACGATGGGCGGTGCGGTGCAGTGCAGTAGGGAGGGAGGAAAGGAGCAAGAGCGCAAAAGATCCGAGTATTGGGGAGGGAAGAAGCGATGTTCCATGGTAAGGGGAATGAGCATGCAGCGTTCTACATGCGAAGTGCGGACTACAGATGCGTGACAAGACAGGGCTGGCTGAGACAGCTGACAGCTCAAATCGAAGCAGGCCGGAAAAATGCAACGCATGACTTTAGCTTGTTGCGACAGGACAATGCCAAGCGCAGATGGAGGCGGAGATGACGGCGAAGGACAATGTCGGAACCGAAGGCACGACGTCGAGCAACCGGATTATCACAGACGGAGAGGAAAGGGGGCAAAGGTATGCCACCTCGGCGCGCGGTGATGGAGGTCTGCGTTCCTGAATTGGAAGAGCGACGTCGCATCGATGACGGCAAAGTCGCCGAAATGGAACAAGGGGATTGGGGAATGGGTAGTCGCTTAGGATAAAACTGCAACGGAACGCTTGACGGTGGCGGAGGTCCAAATGGGTAACGACGTGGCCGGATGGGCCTGATCGCTGAAAAGAAGCGGAGATGATGATGCCCGTCGATCTGGACGCTGGCTGAAAGGCAAGCAAAGATGACCGTGTGTACATTCGAATTGTCGTCGGTCTTGATCATCAGACAGCTCGGCATCTTGGCGTGTAGAAGCACGTCAGCTCAGCTAGCCAAGCAAAACACGGAAGCAGCTGCGTGATCAGAGGCTGAAAGAGGGCCATCAAAGGTCCTTACAGTGGCATCGAAGTTGCTGCGTGACAGCGACCTGGAAAGTGACACACGCGGAAGTAGACAGAGTGAGTTTGCGCTGCATGGACGGACTGAGTCCTTTGTGGGCTAACTTGATCAGGGACAATAGAGCAAAGTTGGGCAAATCGCATCATCGTTCCGACGCATGAACGAGGTCTCTGTCGGAGCAGAAGAGCTGCAAAGGTCTTCAGAATGCGTGTCGAGCAGGTCAGGATAAAGTCGCTTTCAGGAACATTGCTTATTTGCTGCTGGTCCGGTGCTGCAGGCGGCGCATGCACAAGCACGAGCCAAAGTGAGCAGCTGAGGGATGCCTGACTGGCGACTGAGCCAATGACGAGCGGAGCTGGAAAGGCGCGAGTGGAATGCGGTGGCCACATTCGAGACTGGATAGAACCACCCAAACAAGCGGCACACATTGTTCTGTGATTGCAGTGCCGTGCACCTGTGAGTCCCTGGACCGTGTTCGCTTCCATTTGTCTACTGGGGTAGTGAAAGAATGTCCTCTTATCGCGACAGACGGGAAGCGCCAGGCTGTCTCGTTGCGCGGACTGGCTCTCTTGTTCTTCTACTACTCCGCAATGGGACCTGCGATCCGACGGAATTCGTGTCAGAAGATGTCGAGCTCCTTTCACACTGCCGTCGTGGGAACCTGACCCAATGAGAGATCGAGACAGTGGTGGAAAGCGCAGGGGAGGACGATGGAAGACGTTGTCTTAGCGAGAGGAAGCTCGATTCTTTATCCGAGGAATCGGCTCGGGGCTGCAAACACGCGCAGGATTGGCGATGCGTGTTGAAGCTCATCGTTTGACAGCAAGCGAGATGCTGGTCAGAGAGGATGACACACAGCCTGAGTGAGACCAGCGCAACACCAGTCTGCAAAGCATGGGGGCATGAACGCACTAGCAGCTGAATGATGATGTCTTGAAGCTCAGCAGCGGAGTGCCAATCGATGTACTGCAGATGGCAGAAATAGAAGCATATTTCCCCTTTGGTCTCGTGCTGCTCCCTCGTTTCCAAAATCCTCACGCATGTCAAACGCTCTTTCTGCCATTGTTGCTTCAGTCATTCCCTGGCGTTTGTCTTAAGGCTCAGAGATGGAAACGGCGGTCGTCGAGTGAGGCCGCTTCCACTCAGCCAAGAACAAGAGACACAGTAGCGCTCGAGAGGAGTCGGTGTTCTAAACCCTTTGTGGGCAGCGTCTATGAGGGGATATTGAATGGCTTCATGCATCGTGAATTGAGCCCCATGACGTCCACTGCCGAGAGAGCGCGCTGTTGCGAGATGCTCGGAGGAGCACGCCACCTGGAGTTGATCCTGATAGTGGAAGCGAGCGCCACTGCGAGAGACGGCGGGTCCACCAGCCGTGCGCGCGATGAGCAGCGGAGAGTGACGTCTGAGATCGCATAAAGCCGCTCAGAGACCACGAGGCCAAGCGAGGTCCGCTCAGAGCGGCTATCAGACTGGCACAAGCAAAATCGCCCAAGCTGGTCCGCTCTGGCGGATAAAGCCTGCAACTTATCGAAAAAAATGTTTTCTTTTTCTTTTTGTTTTCACTTCTTTTTCATGACCTTCAACCTAGCGGACAGCAGACAAGTACTCTCTCGTGCTGTGAGCCGTCCGGCGGATGGCGACGATTCTGGCCCCTTTTGAGCGATGCTTGCGGTCACCTGCCAATGCTTCTGTACACCTGCCTGCTCCATCAATCATTATGCAACGGCGACTCTTAAGCGAATCGCACTGGTGGCTTGTTAGACCTGACCCGAACAGAGTGCTCCAGAGCAGCCATCAACAGCCCAGAAGGGCGGATCGATTCGGCTTTGGTGCATGAGCTCAGAGACAGTCGCAACCTGCATTCACCAAAATGAATGATTGGAAGCATGATTCGATTGGCTGGTCCGCTTGTTGCGATGCTTCCAAGCTCCGCTCGAGCAAAGCACGGTAGGCGTGCGCGTTCAGAGTCCAAAGCGCACCAAGGCAACATGCTGTCTGTGAGATTGAATCTCAGACCGAGGCGCCGTTCCGGGATGTGCTTGGCACGAGGATGGACCGCGGCTCATTTATCCGATGGCATCTGTGCTGAGACAGCCGGTCGACCAGGTCCAAGCTTTTGCTGCAAGTCTGCGCGTGTTGGAGCACATCGACAAGATCCGACATCTGTCTCTCTCTCCTTTCGCTTACGGGATCAAGATCGCCTTTTGAGCGCCAAACCCCGCCGGAATCGCCACCTCGCTGTACGATGGTCTTGCTTCGACGTTGAAGCTGTCCCGCAAATGAAGCACAGTCCGCCTCGTCTTCGGACCGTCTCGCATGTCCCTTCGACTGAATTACGGATGACCAGCTTGCCAGTCGATGCCGCCCACCTTCGGCCCTTTGATTACCGAGCTGCCCGACACACCGCAAGAGCAAGACACGTAGCCTGAGCCAAATCTAGCGCCGGCGATCCTGTGACGCTGGTGCCACCTTCATCGAACGGAGCCCTGACGACATCATGTCGTGATCAAGTGACTCTTTAGTACGGTGAGAGCATCCTGGCGTAGCACCTCATCTCGCTTATTTGTGCGCGCGATCCACGAGCTCGGTTAGAGACACATGGAATTCGGGTCGCACTGTAGCTGCTACTGTACTTTTTACTTGACCCCATTTTTTCGAGGCAATATTGACGGTTGTATGACAGCATGTTCCATCGTCATTTGGTTTCACGAGCGTACCTGCAAAGTGGTCAGCGTAGAAGATTCTGTCTTGGCAGCTCAGCGCTGTCGAATGCGAGCAGAACGCGTTCTGGAAGCAGTCCTTCCTCCGACCTCAGACCCGAGGGTCGCGGTCGATCTCAAGCGCCACTGTAGCTTGCATTCTCGTCGACGTCGACGTCAGCGCTATTCTGTGTGTCCCTAGTCCAACAATGTTTCTACTGTGGACCTTCTTTCGGCCCGAACTTGCATGCACTTGCCACTCACAAGTACGACCGTCGTCGCCTTTGCGCCCTACTTTGCTAGCAGCTTTTGATCACATCGATAAGGAAGGGATGCGATTAGCTTCCTTGTCAGTCCTGCTCGCTGTCATCCAGAGCATATGTGACACGACAATGACGACGGAAGCAGAAGCATCGCAGCCAGTGTCATGCTCATTGGATTTATCCTATTTCGCAACTCCCCCTTGTGTGAGCCTGGCGGCCGTTCGGAGTTGATCTCTGGTTCAATGTAGGGTATCGCGGTCGCCGCTCGTACTGATCAATGCTTTGAATGCCAGACGGCGGTCAACCAGTACTTTACACCATCTGGTAGGTTGCGACAGTCAGCGGTTCATGCGTGCGCATTCCATGGTATCGCATGACCGCTTCAGGAACAGGCTTTGCCTAATCGCTCTCTCCATCCCCTTCGGCAGTCGCCCTGCTCGCGCTGGATCCCCTGCAAGCTTTGCCGTCTGGCTCAATTGGCAAAAGCCGCATACAAGCGCTCCTTCTCGGCACGGCGACGGCTCGCAATCGGAGTCCGTCCAATCGCCGTCAGCAGCGTTGATCGCGTCGACGCTCGTTCGCACTGCCTCTCGGCGTTCTCGATCCTGGTCTGCAATGGTGCGGCACTGACGTTGCGTCGTGGAGAGACCTTGTCAGGCATGCCTCGGGCTGAAAGCGGAGGAGGAATCAGACATCTGCTTTTGAAGGTGAGCAACTGGAAGGGTCATCGTGGATAAAAGCGAGCCCAGATCGGTACTGCGGATATTCAGCGGCCGTCGCGTCTCAGATCGCCTCGACGAGTTTTTCCGTGACGGCTTTTTTCCGGAGCGAGGCTTTCGAAAAAACGCTTCGTTTCATGTCTTGATTCGATCTCACATCCCTGAAGACTGCAACTCTATCATGTGTCAAGATCTTTCGACCTCACAAAGCAAAAAAAGCCCATCGGTCTCGCGCTTGCACCGAGCTGGACACGAGCTCGGTGCACGCGCGCGTCAGCCGTCGCCGCACTGACAGCATGTGCTTCTTCTGACGTATCGTATCTAATGGCTTGGGCCCCTCGGTCATGCTTCAGTGAGCTCTGATAGGTGTTCCCGACGAGCATGACATCACTTTCAATCCTGGTCCCCGGTCAAGTGCTGCAAAGCTCACAAGACTTCTTCGCCCTGCACTGAAGACTGCGGAAGAAAGTGTGCACTGCATCGAAAGTAACACTCTGAAGCGCGACTCAGCCGACGTGACAGCTCAGCAACGCTTTTCCCTTTGTCTCAAATTCAACTTGAACCGCACACGCCCTCTGTGCAGCTGTGCACATGCCCCGAGCTCAGCTCTGGTCAACCCACGACTACCTTCATCCCACCTATCCACCAACCCCTGCATTGCATCAACTTCTCACTCGCATCCTCACCTCGCATCTGCATCGTCTCACCCACTTCGCCACGCCACCCAATTCTAGCTCGACAGGCTCGACTGCCAGACACACTACTCGGAACGGTGCAAGCTGGTCTTGTCCTCCTCTCATTCTACACTCTTCATCTCTGCATCCTCTTGCCTATCTTAGTCGATCATGGCATCTCAGGCTCCTGCATCCACCATCGTGGTGACCGGCATCGCCAAGTTGACTGCCAAGAAGCAGATCGACGACTTCTTCAGCTTCTGCGGCTCCATCACAAAGCTCGATCTGACCGACGATGGCGCTAACCACCAGCAGGCCGTCATCGAGTTCGCCAAGCCCAGTGCTGCTAGCACTGCCGTCATGCTCCACGGTAGCACGCTTGATGGCGCCAACCTCTCGGTCTCGCTGCCTGGGAGCGCCTCTGCTGCTGCCAGCAGCGGTGTCACCACCTTCATCAGCTCCCAGGACAATGACTCTCAGCCCGTGGGACAGGAGGACAAGCCAAAGACGGCCATCGTCGCCGAATACCTCGCTCACGGATACACCATCTCGGACGAGATCACGAAGCGAGCCATCGACCTGGACAACAAGCACGGCCTCTCGTCCAAGTTCAAGGGCTACCTCTCCCAGCTCGACCGATCTCTGGGTCAGCAGCTCGAAAAGGCTGCTCCTTCGTCTACCACCAGCAGGACCGAGCACACGCCCAGCGGTCCTGCCGCTCTCGCATCAGCCACCGAAAAGGAGGCTGCTGCTATGCCTGTTCCCGGCGAGGATGCTTCCGTCGACGGACCCAAGACCACCACCACGGTGCCCGGGCCCACTTCGGCCGCCGACCCCTCCTTCACTCGCAACATTCAACAACGCGCCCAAGCTGTGCTCGACAAGCCCGAGGTCAAGTCCAAGACGGACCTCGTCTGGACCAAGCTGAGCGACTACTACAACGCGTTTGCCAACCACCCCAAGATCCAGGACTACTACAGCAAGACGTCCAAGACGGTCACGGACGTGCACGAGGAAGCCAAGCGCATCGCCGAGACCAAGAAGCAGGGTGGCGCCACCGGCGCTGCTGGCACCTCGGCTCCTGTACCTTCCACTGCCGCTAAGCAGATGAGCGTCTCCTGGCTCGTGCTCGGTCTTGTGCTCTTCTCGTCCCTTTCGCTAACCGGCGTCGCTGCCCACCAGCACGACGCTGTCTCCAACGAGCCTGCTGAGGTGGCCGGCTTCCAAACGACCGACATCGAACACGAGAGCTACATCCAGCGTCACATGCGCACGGAGCACCACATCAACGCCTTCAACCTCGGCAGCGCCTTCGCGCTCCACGATCTAGACCGCAACGGCGTGCTCGACCCTTCCGAGATCGAGGCCATCTACGGCGTTCACCATTCGGAATCCAAGAAGCACTCGACGACCGCCGAGGTGCACGACGAAAAAGCTGACAAGATCGTTTCTGCCGTGCTGCGCGCCATGGACAAGAATGGCGACGGCGTCATCACCAAGAAGGAGTTCATCGATGCCGGGCCCAACGGCCTGCCCGTCTTCTCCGAGTACAAGACTGGCAGTCTGGGCCACCACTACGACGAGGAGTCCGAGTTCTTCGTCCATCACGAGGAGCTCTACCACAACACGCCCGAGACTCAGACCGACGACGCGTACAGCCACAAGGAGGACCTCGAGCACTTTGCGCACCACGAAAAGATCGAGAAGGAGGAGGAGAAGCGCGAGCGCAAGGCCGAGGGCCTGCCTTCCATGGAGGAGGAGGCGAAGCTGAGGAAGGAAGCTGCAGCTCGCGGTGAAAAGTACGTCTCGCCGTACGACGAGCAGCTGTCGGAGAAGGAGCAGAAGAAGGCGCAGCTGGAGCACGATACTGCGCAGCTCGGCAACGCCGTCAACGAAGCAGAAGCTTCGCAGCACGTCTTCCGCACCCCGACGGGCAACCACGTCGTCAAGGAGGAGCAGATGATCTACCAGGATGTTGAGGTGGACAACGCCGGTAAGCCCGCGCATCCACCTGCTGCTGCGGATGGAAAGAGCGACTCCAAGGCGGCCCAGCCTTCGCCATCGGAGCGTCTGCCGCACGGCGTCGCCGACCGTGTTCCCGGCGAGACCGATGAGGGCCGACGACAGCGTCTCGCAGCTGCTAAGATCGAGGCTTCGCGAAGACCTTCCTACGGTCAAGGCGCGAAAGGCTTTGCTTACCCCAAGGACGACAGCGACCGCATGCGCAAGGGTGCCCCTTACAAGGTGAGTATTAGATCACGCGATTGACCTCGAGAGTCCGGCCATCCCAATGACCATCCGAACCCTTCTGACCATCGGCACAGTACCCTCCTCTGCAACAGTTCCGCGTCAAGAAGCAGTCGTACTTTGTAGGTTTCTTCTCTCGATCTTGCGGGATTTTGATGTGGATAGCTATGCTGACCAACTTGTCTATTTTGATGGGTCACAGGGCGAGTTCTGATGCTTCATCTCAATCAATTGACCACTTTCCTTTGTCCTATTCTCCCGCGCCTGGAAGCGCTCGCAATGCATTTGCTCTGTTCTGTTCGCAAACCGCTTGCACACCGAGCATGGTCGTGGTCATGCCAAGCCGTGGACCATGTCTACACCCGAAGCGGTGGCCGCTCAAATTGAAACACACGGGCAGAGGAAGAGAAGCACTGCATTGAGGGTACGAACGACACCGATGCGCCCATCAACGGGAGCAAGGGAAACGAGGGGCGCTGCACTACTGCGACATAACAGGTGGAAACGCTCGATCACGATACACAGAACGACGAGCTCGTCACAAGCCGTAGACTGGATGGTGCAATGAGATGATGGCCATCGCGCTCGACAAGTGAGTGGCAAAGCTCAGGCTCGAACAAAGCGCCAAGCGAACGGTCCGTGGTGATCGGTCGGCGTCAAGACAACCTGCAAAGGGCAACGCACAAGTCAGCACGGGCTTCCCAGCGACATCCCGACAGACGCAAAAGAGTGTACTCACGTCCTTTCCGCCTGACATCGCCACGGTCAGCTCGTCGGTTTCGGCCGGAGCAATGCTGTGCAGAATGGTCCAGGCGGACAATGAGCGAGCCATGGAGGTTTGTCAATCGCTTGCACGAGGATCGAGAGAGCAGGTTGGTTGGACATACTGGAGCATGTCCGGACCGCCGGCGTTGGACAGGCGGAAGGCGCTAAGACGGTCGAGCAGTCGAACTGCCTGGAATGGGGCTGGTCCAGGGAACGTAGACGCACCAAAATCCGGCTTGTCCTTGAGAACGATATGGTAGAGATCGTGTTCGATCATTCGGATATCCCAGATCTGGTTCTTGTCCGTACTCGGCGGCTGTACGTGCAAGGCTTGGCCGACGTCTTGCGCAGTGATGCATCCCGGATCGCCATGGACAGGATGGATGCGGTAGTGACCGCTATGCTCGAGTGCGGACATGGCGATGAAGAGGAGCTGTTGAGTGAGATAGATGTGGCGTAAGAGAGGTGCTCGGCGAAGCAAGACGAGTACTGAGGTCGGGTGATTGGGGTAGGCCTCGAGATCAGTGCGGAACGAGGAAACATCTGATGCTGAAGGCTGCTTGAGAGACGGGCCTTATATGTCTTCCTCCAGAGCTCTGCTGCGCAGGATCACCGGGCTTGTTGCCTCGGTGCCTCATGTCTGCTCTTGGCTGCTGCGATGCCTCGGCGCTTCGGGTCATCAGACTGTTCATCTCAGACTCATTGACGATGAAGCGACAGTCTGGCCAATGCGTTGGCCAGCGATAGGCCGTCGGAACAAGCCTCAGTCACGCAGTGCAGCCGGCTACTCAGGAGTAGGACCAGCTCGCGCTTAGCCATTGAGCATTGACTGGTCTACCGTCCATCGCTGACTGATAGCCACGCTTGAAGGCCAGTCATCCAGCACTGGGCAGGATGACTTGCATCTACGTGGCCGTCTGCAATATTGAACCGGCGAGACGCGCCCGCAAAGGCGGCACACATCATGTCGATACGACCATCAGCATCGGCGGCTGTTGGACCATCTCGACGAGAGAAGACATCTACGGTGAACTCTCCATTTGGCCTCGATAACCAGCCCAATCTCATCTGACAAGCTTAGTCGTTGTGCCGAGTGCTTGCCAGCTTTTTGAGTCTGAGGAACGATAGCGAGGGCCGACACAGTAGCTTAACCGAGGTTGCCGGGCCTGGACCTTGCGTGCCACTCGAGCTGTCCACAGACCGGAATGATTTCTTCCCGGGCGAGTCTTTCGTAGCGGTGCTGACCCCTCGGCTTCGAGGGGTAGCCTCTCAGGCCAACCCGGACCAGAGGCGTCGGTCGTCCAGCACCATGGTGAAGCCAGCCACGTATGACGGCTGCGGTGATGCGGCTGATCCTTGACAGGCGACCCCCTCGTTGCAATGCCGCACGCAAACGTGTGCGCTTCACGTATGCGCTTCAGAGCTCGGAATGCGGCTGTCCATGGTCGTTAAGGCCTCCTCTCAGTGCAATCCACTGTCACGAGAAGGGCACGTTCTGAGGCCACACTTCATGCAGATCCAAACGGATGCCACGGTTCGCTTCACACACAGGTGTGCAAACCGGAGGTCGCGTAAGGCAGAGGCGGGCCGTAGGAGCATGGCCGCAGCCAGACAGGCAAAGTCGCCTAACGAGGCCCAAGCGAAATCTCTCAACGTCATTTTGCGTTTCGTTGCAAATTCAGCGCACGCCTGAGTCGCCGGCCGCTGCGGTGTTTGGCAGCTTGGCACCGAGCTCTAACTCTTCCACGCGGTAGGGTCGAAGCGAGTTCGAGATCGAGAACGTGCCAAGAAATGGTTTCACATCTTCCGAGATGCTGGTCTGAGTGGACGCTGATGCTCGCACGGGTCTGATTCCTCCGTGGGTGGCGGAGAGGTATGGCCCAAGAGCATGTAGGAGCATTGGTGGTGTTGAGAAGTATATATTGATGAGCGTGGAGCACTCCCGTGCTTGACTTCTCTACCATCCAAACACTCCACAAGATCTCTCAAGATGAAGTTCTTCCCCCTCCTGACCGCAGCGCTTGTCTCATCGGCCGCCATCTCGGCGACGCCTCTCCAGGCTCGCCAGGCGAGCTCGTCCAGCAGCGCCGCTGCCACATCGACGCAGGACTCTTTCTCCTCGTCGTCGTCCAGCTCTGGCTCTGGCAGCTCGGCCACCTCTTCCGCCTCTGCCTCCGCCTCCTCTGCCACCTCCACCAGCAGCAGTGGCTCCTCGACTAACAGCAGCATCATCAACAGCTACAACTCGACCCTCTCATACAACTCAACCGCCACGGCCAACTCCTCCGACGTCTACGGCGTCTCCGCTGCTGGATTCGCCAATGTCAAATCGGCCTCGAACCCGCTCAACATCGTGCTCACGAACGATGACAGCTGGGGCAGCGCCAACATCCGAGCGCTGTACTACGCCTTGCGTCGTGCAGGTCACCGAGTGCTGATGGTCGCCCCGTCGCACAACCAGTCCGGCAAGGGCGGTACTGTTGTGCTCCCTGCCTCGCTCAACATCACCTCCGCTGGTCGTGGCGGCTTTGCACCCGTCGGCGCGCCCTTTGCCGGTCTCAACGTGACCGACCCAGGTCTGCGCTACTTCAACGGGACCCCCGCTGCCTGCGCAGGATGGGCACTCGACCACGATGCGCAGTACTTCTTCAACGCCACTTCGCGCAACGACTCCACCGCTGGCGTCGATCTGGTGGTTAGCGGGCCGAACGAGGGCACCAACCTCGGTCCTTTCCTTTACACCCTCTCTGGCACCATTGGCGCATCCTACTTTGCGGTGGAGCGAAACGTCCCCGCGATCGCATTCTCCGCCAGCACAGACGTTCGACAGTACACCAGCCTCAATTTGAGCGATGTCGACGATGAGAGCGTCAAGATCGCCACCTACTCTGCCAACTTTGTCAGCACCGTTGCGGACAACGCCAAGGCATCGAACTCGTCCGCTCGCGTCTTGCCGCTGGGCATTGGTCTGACGGTCAACTACCCCGAAATCGCCCCCACGGGCAACTGCACGGATCTCGAGTGGGTCCACACCCGTCTGACTGGCAAGGCCATCATCGACCGCTTCGTCGTCAACTCCACCACCGGCCTGCCAACCTATGCCAACTACGTCAGCGAGGGTGTCAACGCCTGCCTCGCCGGCAACTGCAGCTTGCCCGGTGAGACGGATGTCGTCGAGAACGGAAACTGCCAGGCTAGCGCCAGCATCTATTCGGTCGACTATGACGCTCCTACCAACGCTACTCAGGACCTCGTTGCGGCCCTGACCAGCGGCATTCAGTCGCTCAACTCGAACGGTACTGCTAGCAACTCGAGCGCCAACAGCACTTCTGCCTAAATAGAATTCGCTCAGATGTAGACTCATGGAATAGACTGCCCGTAGAAAGAACCCCATTCCTCTCTTTGGAATAGCGATCGTGATGAAAGTGCAATGAGAACCCCTAGGGAGGTCACTGCGACGCCTGCTCCTGTGCCGCCCGTATCGCCTCCCTGTTCCTCTCCCTCCCTCTCTCGCGCTTTCCCCCCTGCATCGTCTTAACGAGCTTACTTCGCTGTTCCACATCCCCCTCGGGATTCGAGCTGGCGTTGGACGGCTTGCTCTGCTCGACCTGGGCGACGCCGATCATGGACGTGTCGAGCGGATGGTTGAACCGCCCCTTGCGCGAGGAGCGCGTGGCGATGATCTCGGCCGACGAGGGCACTTCGATCTTGGGCCACGTGGTGAGCGCGGGGTAGAGGCTGAGGTGTTCCACGATCGAAGGGTCGAGCAGGGCGCGGGGTGGTTCGGAGTTGCTACTTGGTGAACTGGCCGGGAGGAGCGCGCTAATCAGGGCTGAGTTGGATTGGCGTTCGAATCGACCCGAGGAGGTGAGGGTGAAGACGCCTGCTTCGGCGGTGTCGTCCGTGGTCGGCGAAGATGGTCGGAACTCGGACCGCGTATCGAAAGTTGTGATGACGGAGGCGACATCGGTCTCGGATCGCTGAACCAGTGTGAGGTGCAAGATCGGGACAGGCGCAGTAGTGACACGGATCTGCTCCGAGATGTCGCGCACCTTCTCGTCTGCCAAAAGCGGTACCAGCAAGGCGCTGACAGGCACATAGAAGAAGGCAGTTGCTCCTTCGACCACTACCAACAGCCATTGCTTTCCTTCTGCATCGCTGAACGGGAGCAGATCCGAAATGACCACCACGGGCTTGCTGTCCTGCGCATACTGGGCTGCTGACGGCTCCGCCTCTTCCTTCTCGTCTGCCTGTCCGTCTCCGGCCTGCTTTCGCTTGGCAGCCTTGTTACGCTTGCTTGAAGCCTGCAGCGCTTTGGACTCCCTCTGCCTCTCCTCGCGGTCGCGGGCCAGAACGTAGGGCGCAAGGGCCGAGCTCAGCTCGTTGATCGAAATGCATGCATCGTCGGAAGAGGTGTCCGCCGGTGAAGGCTCACCTGGCTGTGGCAGGGTCCAGACTCGCAGAGCGCGCCCACCTTCCGAACTGACCAGTCTGAGCTTGCCATCGGCGTCAGAAACAACCGCAAGAGCTCCAACAAACGCCTCTGAGCCTTGTAAGTATCGATCGACGACGTATGCGAGACGTTTCGGCCCCCAACGGGAGATGCGAATGTGCTCGTCGCGGTCGCCTGTGATGATGAATCTGGGCGGCGAAGACTTGTTTGCTGCAGGAATGAAGGCGAGGCTGGTGATCATGCTGACGTGGCCGAGGAGGATCTGCATCGAAGGATCGTCGGGCGAGTCCATCTGGTCCTGCTCGTCGATCTCGGCGCCGTTCTTCTTGCTCTCGGCTGATGGCAGTGTCCGTACGTCATGCTCGTTGATGATGAAGCTGCGAATGTCTCCGAAACGGTCGATGCAGATGAGCTCCTCCGACCCTCTTGGAGTCGCATCGCTCGGCGGCATCCAGTGTAGAGCAGCCGCTCGCTTAGGCAAGAGCTTGATGACGATCCCCTTGCCGAACTCGAAGCCCTCGATGCGCTGATCCGCTGTGCGCTCGAGCTTCCACACGCGCAGCACCTTGTCGTCTCCAGTGAGGGCGAGGAATCGATCGGAATGCGAGAAGCTGGCGAGGCGAGCAAAGCTGATGTGCGGGTTGTCAGCGTAGCGTGCTGCATCTGACTGATCGGGGAGGGTGGGCTGCGGGACGAAGACCGTTGTTGACATGGCGTACGTTTCGAAGCTGCCGTCGGGTCGAGCATCGACGAGCTGGATCGAGTTTGCTGAGAGGAAGACCGAGGTGTCTGAGCGGTGAGCCACTGCGACGTGGTGGAGTGGCGCGCTGACCATCTTTGCGCTCGATGGGCCTGCTTCCGCCATGATGTCTGCAGGTCACAGTGCTGGATGGTATGGTGTCAAGATGGGTCCCAGGCGAGGTTGAAGGTATGCTTCTTGACCTCCACCATCTTGTGTGGTTCTTCCTAGCAAAAAATGTCCAAGAAGAAACCCTGAGAGGGGTTGGGCGAAACAGCAACTCGCACGAAAACCATATAATGTTAGACCCTCATTGCCGCAATGCCTGCTCGGAAGAAATCGATCACGATTGCAGCTTAGCTTGAACGGGGCTCGCCGGAATGAGCTCGTCTGGCCCGGCAACTGAGCAGCACAACACGAGGAAAGGCGAGAAAATTCCAACTCTTTGAAATCGAGTGAGCAGAGCGTGCAATTCAAAGTTGCGTTGGGCTCAATACAATTCGAGAGCGCTCTGGCTCACCAATCAACTCGCTGAAAATGGTCACCCAACCCTCACCAAAGCAAGCCTGAGCCAGAAGGAAGGATTCTCACTGCGAGTGGCCGTCGCCAATTATTCGCGACTTCTCTCTGAGAGCACTGAGGACCGCCAAAGCTTCGCATTTTCGAATTGGCCTGTTCATCGTCGTCGAGATCACCATCATCTTCGCTTCCCTTACCTCACCTCACCTCGCCTCATCCACCCGTCGCACAGCCTGTCGATCATCATGGCTGCTCGTCTCTTCGCACAGTCCTCCTTGAGGCTCGCCCGAGCTTCCAAGGTGCCGGCTACCGCTGCCACCTTCAACTTCCGCAACCTGGCCACCGCCGTCTCGCGCCAGCCCATCACCCAGACCACCACCCTCTCCAACGGCCTTACCGTCGCTACCGAGTCCAACCCTTCTGCCCAGACCGCTACCGTCGGTGTCTGGATCGATGCCGGCTCTCGTGCCGAGACAGATCGCACCAACGGTACCGCCCACTTCCTTGAGCACATGGCTTTCAAGGGTACGTATCCCGCATCGACACAGCAGCAGTTCTGCAACGCATCAGCCCGCCCGTGATAGCCTTGCACCACCGAGTACCTGCAAAAGGACGGCCTCGCATGGCTCCGAGTCCATTTGTCGCACGTCCTTCAGTCCGTTGCCTTCTGGCAAGCAAGGCGCATCTTCACCAGCGTTATGACGCGCCAGGCATCCCATCAGACTTGATTGAGGCTTTTCAAGGTCTGAATGGTGCTTCGATCGTGTCAGACGGCAATACGACAATCTACGACCTCGAAATGTCACGGGCGGTCTGGCGCAGAAAGACCAAAGATGAACGAGCGACTGACCTTTCTTACCATCCCATCCGCACGCCTCGTTCTTTTCCTTTCTCTACCGCACAGGAACCGGCAAGCGATCGCAGCACGCTCTTGAGCTCGAGGTGGAGAACCTCGGCGCTCACCTCAACGCCTACACCTCGCGAGAACAGACCGTCTACTACGCCAAGGCCTTCCGCAAGGACGTTGATAAGGCTGTTGACATCATTTCGGACATCCTGCAGAACTCCAAGCTCGAGAGCTCCGCCATTGAGCGCGAGCGTGATGTGATCCTCCGCGAGCAGGAGGAGGTGGACAAGCTCAAGGAGGAGGTTGTCTTCGACCACCTTCACTCGGTCGCCTTCCAGGGTCAGCCCCTTGGCCGCACCATCCTTGGCCCCAAGAAGAACATCCTTTCGATCAAGCGCGAGGACCTCGCCGAGTACATCAAGACCAACTACTCTGCTGACCGCATGGTTCTCGTTGGCGCCGGTGGCATTGAGCACGACTCGCTCGTCAAGCTCGCCGAGCAGCACTTTGGCAGCCTTCCCGTGAGCTCGAGCCCCATCAAGCTCGGCCAGTCTTCGTCGCCCAAGACCACCTTCGTTGGCTCCGAGGTCCGCATCCGTGACGACACTTCGCCCACCTGCAACTTTGCCCTCGCCGTCGAGGGTGTTTCGTGGAAGTCGCCCGACTACTTCCCCATGCTCGTGCTGCAGAGCATCATGGGTAACTGGGACCGATCGCTCGGCTCGAGCCCTTTGCTCTCGTCGCGTCTGTCGCACATTGTCTCGTCCAACAATCTCGCCAACTCGTTCATGCACTTCTCCACCTCGTACTCGGACACGGGTCTCTGGGGTGTCTACATGGTCTCGGAGAACTTCCTGCAGCTCGACGACTTGATCCACTTCACTCTGCGTGAGTGGCAGCGAATGAGCACGGCTCCCACCGAGGGTGAGGTGGAGCGTGCCAAGGCGCAGCTCAAGGCCAGCTTGTTGCTCGGTCTCGACGGTACCACTGCCATCGCTGAGGACATTGGACGACAGCTCGTCACTGCCGGCAAGCGATACACGCCACAAGAGATTCAGGCGGCGATCGACTCGATCGGCGTCACCGACATCCAGCGTGTGGCACGCACCTACCTGTGGGACGCTGACTTTGCGCTCGCCGCACATGGCCAGGTCGAGGGTATCCTCGACTACAACCGTATCCGATCCGACCTGAGCAGCATGATCTGGTAAATTGGACGGCGAGACGGAATCACCCAGTACATACTTCTCACATCACCAATCCATATTATAGCTTGGCCACGCATCGGCCGGGCTGATTTGACACTAGACGTCATCGTATCTTGCGCGCGGAGGAAACCGCTTTCTCTGTTGAATTTCACAACACTTTCTCAGCTCGCCACGGCCGCTTCCAGTGGCATCGCTCTGCGACTGTTGACTGCTGTGAGTTGAAACGAGGCTTGCAGCTTCGCTGAGCTAGAACGCTGCTGAAATCTCGGCCTCGCCATCCACCGATTGAGCACTTCGACTTCTGTGTGGCTGCGTGGCAATTGAACGACCTGGGCTGCTAGCGGACATTTTTGCAAAGCAAAGACTCGACTATCTCTAGCTACGGAGTTGGATGCGCTAACGGAATGAGGATCGTCGGCAGTAGCAATGCTGGACGACTCGCCCTTCTGAGCCAAGAAGAAATTGAGGCAGCAAAACACGGTCCGAGCGAGAATTGGGCCAAAGCGGGCGGCTCTCTGGCACGGGCATGAAATTCCAAATTTGAGCAAGGCAGCAGACCGGCTCTCAAACCATCTTGGCGGGTCCAGAGCCAGCAAAACAGTCAGCGAACGAGCCAGGCTCGTGAAGACGGGAAGCGCCTTCGTCCAAAGTAACACAGCGCGGGAAAGCGTTGCACCTCGTCGTCGCTGCGCCTTGCACTCCAACCCACGTCTACCAATCAAGTAGTCTTCTCTCGTCGCTCCACTATCATCCTACGCACCCTGCTCGCAGACCGAGTCAGTCGGTCTCGCCTCCATCCGAACAACTTTAATCGTCGCGGTCGTCTAAGAACCCGCGTCACCTTCAGCAAAGATGGACTTCGACGATATTGGCAGCAAGCTGGCCAACTTGACCATGTACGACGTCAAGTCGCTCTACCGCTCGGCCAAGAACTACGCGCTCAACGTCAGTGACATTGAAGCCAAGGTTGACGAGGCTACCAACGACGATCCTTGGGGAGCCAGCTCCACCCTCATGACCGAGATCGCCCAGGCTACCCACAACTACCAGGACTTCAACGAGATCATGCCCACCATTTACCGCCGCTTCATGGAGAAGGAGGCGCGCGAGTGGCGTCAGATCTATAAGGCGCTCCAGCTGCTCGAGTACCTCATCAAGCACGGCTCCGAACGTGTCGTCGACGACGCCCGCTCCCATCTGGCCACCATCAAGATCCTCCGCAACTTCCACTACATTGACGAGAAGGGCAAGGACCAGGGCATCAACGTGCGAAACCGCGCCAAAGAGCTCGCAGACATGCTCGGCGATGTAGACCGCATTCGACAGGAGAGGAGGAAGGCGCGAAGCAACAAGTCCAAGTACACGGGCGGAGGCAATGGCGAGTTTGTGCCCGGCAGCGGCACCGGTCGATACGGCGGATTCGGCAGCGACAGCTACTACGCTGGAGGCGGAGCTGCTGCAGGAGCTGGCAGCTCGAGCGGTGGTGGTGGCGGCGGTGGCGCCGCTGCGCGGGAGAGCTTCGAGGAGTACGACGCGGGCGACTTCGAGGAGACGCCTGCATCAAAGGCAAGCTCGAGCACCACCCGCGCTGGTGCATCCCGATCCTCACAGGCTCCTGCACCGGCTAAGAAGGAGGCGCCCAAGGTTGCTGACCTCTTCAGCTTTGACGACGATGACGAGCCAGCTGCCCCTGCACCGGCTCCGGCTGCCAAGCCCGCGGCTGCGAGCTCCTCGACCAACGATGCGTTTGGTGACGATTTCGATGACTTCCAGGCTGCTCCTGCCGCTTCCGCCCCGGCTGCACCTGTCAAGGCGAGCGCACAGCCTCAAGCTGCTTCCTTCGACTTTTTCGACTCGGCACCCGCCGCCTCCGCAAAGCCAGCTGCCGCGAGCAGCTTGATGTCGCCAACCCAATCTTCGAAACCCAGCACACCCGCTGCTGCCCCTGCCTCGCGCCCTGCAGCTGCCACCAACACATCGTTCAACTTTGACGACCTCTGGGCGTCCTCGTCCGGCAAGTCGAGCGCGGGCGGCAAGCAAAAGACGTCGATGGCTGAGATGGCCAAGAACCAGAGCTCGAATGCTTTGTTTGCTTCGCAGACTCCTGCGGCACAGCAGCAAGGGGGTAAGAAGAAGGATATTTTCGACTTGTTGTAGACATGTCATGTACGTCAAGGATGTTCAATCGCATTCAAACCTATCTCCGGTCCGCACAAAGCATTGAGGCTTGTGACTGTGCGCCTGTGTGTTCTGTGTACGGTCTGAGACTCGATGCCACGCGCAGACGGTGTACGAGTGTCGACGTTGCTTTGTTCAGCGTGGCTCATCTCTTTCGCCACCATCTCATCGCTCGACATTGCCCACCAGAGTTTCTACATCATGGCAGGACCAAAGACAGCCCAGCGAGAGCTCATCAAGACCACGCACACCGTCGCCAAGGTGCTCTCCTCCGACTTTGGTTTACGCAGCGGCTACGAGGTTGTCGATGCCAACACTCGGACTCGACCTACAGCCGCGTCCTTGTCATCATGCGAGCTCATAGGCGACAACGGGGCTGCAACAGCGCTGAAAGCTTTCCTCGCTCAGCAAGACAACAAGCCTGTCTCACCTACAATGAGACGCGTCGCAATCTCGCCCGAATCGCTCGCTACCATCAAAAGCGGAGACGTCGTCGTGATCGAGCTGGATCCGTCGAACCAGCTGATGCTGGTCCACGCCGTCAAGGGACAGACTGTCTCCGGAACGCGACTGTCCCTCAGCATCGATAATATGCTGCACGATGTCCTGGCCGCCAATGAGGTGTTTGCGACCAACGAGACCGTCACCACCGAGCTGCCTTCCATCATCGCCAAGATCGATCCGAACAGCGTCGCACTTCGCTACGCATGGGACGACAAGAGACCCGCCTTCATCGGGCTGAAGGAATGGACCACGCAAGAAGCGGTCGCCGCGCATGAAATTGTTTACCACGAGGGCGACTTTGTCTTGCTGGAGCCTCGCGACAACGGTCCTCTCCTGGACGTCGCGCAGGTCCACAGGATTCGCAATCAACAGGTGCTCGTTCGATACCTGCATCGTCAGGCATTGCCCAAATTCAAGGATGAGCGCCTCTTGGTACCCTCGAAGGAGCTGGCGCGGATCGACACGGCCACCTTCAAGCCTGTCGCCACCTGCCGCGTTTCGCTTCCTCCTTCCAGCACCTCTTGGACCACGGAAGGGTTCTACGTCAGCAAAGAGAACGCTCACCTGCTTCGAGCCGAGTGCGAAACCTGCACACCTGCTCAGATGCAACGTCGAAAGATCCGACGCAACTTGGAAGTCCTTCGCAGTATGGAGTTGATGTGCGGCGCCGGCGGTCTCAGTGTCGGCCTCGGCCTGTCGGGCGCCTGCGAGACCACATTCGCCATCGATGCCGACACCGACTCGGTCAAAACCTTCAAGGGTCATCATCCGGGCGCAACGACGTACTGCTGCGACGCTGGTGACGCTCTCCACCGTGCTGTTTCCGGTCGACGTGCTAAGGATGGTCTCGAACTGCCCCGTCGTGGCGACGTCGATTTGATTGCGGCTGGCCCACCTTGCCAAGGCTTCAGCCGCAAGAACAAGATGGCTACCCGAAAAGCCGCCGAAGATGACCCGAGAAACCTGCTTGTCTGCACGGTACTCGGTTGGGTCGAGTTCCTAAAACCTAAGTACCTGATCCTCGAGAACGTCGAAGGATTCACCGCGTCGAAGCTTGGCGGTCGCGAGCAAGGGATGGTCAAGCTCGTGATAAAGTGTCTGCTGGACCTCGGGTATGCTGCCACGTGCGGCTTTGTCCAGTCTGGAGCCTTTGGATGTCCGCAATCTCGAGGCAGATTTGTGCTACTCGCCGCGAGAGCTGATGTGACCTTGCCATCGCTGCCGAAACCCACGTATCACTTCCTCGGCAAGGCCGCAACATCTTTCACCTGGACGGATGGTCACGGCACGTCTCATGCAGCAGAACGACCTGACACAGCTGCGTTGCTTCCGACAGTGACCGTCCTAGATGCGATCGACGACCTGCCAGCCTTTGACTGGAAGGACCCGCACCTCATCTACGCCGGACCGGATCAGATCGAGCAGGCACGTCAACAGCAGGACATTCCGCAGCTCGAAGTCAGCTCCGGATCAGCAACCGGCTTTGTCGCTGCGCAGTACCGCAAGCGACCGTCGAACTCGTTTCAAGAGCGCATGCGTGTCTTTGCAGGGCAGATGACTAGAGCAGTGTCGCAACATCAGACATCCGGTCCAAGCGCCACGGATGTGGAACAGGTGGTCAACGTCGCCTTGCGTCCTGGAGCCGACTACGACTCATGGAGCCAGCCGGAGGTCAACAAGCCCGCGCTGCTCGGCCCTCTCCAGGTGAGCATTGTCGCAATCAAGGTCACGCGATAGACTACTTACTGACTGCCTGCCTTTTGCCATTCCACAGCTCAATCGTTGGCAGGACTCTTACTTCAAGTACGAACGCATCGATGGCGACCGCTACTTCAAGGTGCTCCTCACCGACGCGTCGGCCAAAGGCAGCATGATCCACCCGACCCAGCGCCGACTGTTCACGGTAAGAGAGTGTGCTCGAGCGCAAGGCTTCCCGGACTGGATCGAGTTTGCCACCGACGCGAACCTCAAGTCTGCCTATCGACAGATCGGCAATGCAGTGCCGGTGCCGCTCGCCGTGGCGCTCGGCGAGTCGATCACGGCTGCGAGGCTCAAAGACGCCGAGCGAGCCAGTCGGCAGCCTTCTCAGTCGCCGATCACAATTGACGATGAATGACAGGCATCGTGGAAACACGCATAGTTGCCGCAATGAACGAGCGTCAAGAAGAGATCGAGCTGCATACAGGGTCTGCTGTGGCATAAAAGTGTGATCTTGAAGAAAGAGAGCGCCAAGCGCGTGTGTGGGCGAGCGGGCGGGCCTTCCGCCAAATTCTCCACTTTTGACGGAGTTGTCCGTCTTTGTTGCTTCCCACGCTTCATCACGGCTTGCTTCCGAACCACATCTCGTCGCTCGTTCCGTTCTCTCTCAGTATCGTCACCAACTTGCTGATCACGGCTGCAGCCCTCTCATCGTCAAGGACTCGACTCACACCCGCTAGGCCAGAAGCTGCGAGAATCATCGGAAGCCCAGAAACTCGCGCTCGGACCGTTTCTTCTCAAGGATCCGCCTCAGCCAGCATTCATCGCATCCTTCTCCCAGACCATCACATACCGCCCGCTCCCGCTCCTTGGCCTCCTGCAGCGCTCAAGCTGCCCTCCATATCCCGCCTCTGTCGTCAGCGACCGCTGTCTCCTGATCACATCCAAACACTCCCACACAGGTGGATCTAGCATCCCGCAGCACTTCAAACGTCAGAATGCCGACCTCAGCATCAGCAGTAGAGCCAGCGCTCGGCGGCGGACCAACGAGGTCGCTCGGTGTCACTCCTCCTATTGCCACCAACGGCCCCACACCAAGAGAGATTGAGGTGACCAAGACGCTCGTCGCCGAGCTCGAGAAGCAGGGCGTCTTTGAGACCGACGAGGAGAGCAAGGTCCGCGAGGTCATCTTGGGAAAACTCGACGCCATGGTCAAGGACTTTGTCTACCGCGTCGCAATAGCCAACGGCATGTCGGAGTCGCTGGCCCGCGCAGCAGGCGGAAAGATCTTCACCTTTGGCTCCTACCGTCTCGGCGTGCATGGACCAGGTTCGGATATCGATACGCTCTGCGTCGTGCCCAAGCATGTGCAGCGAGAAGACTTCTTCACCGTGTTTGAAGGCATGCTCAAGGATCGCGAGGAGGTAACGGAAGTGGCAGGCGTTCCTACGGCGCATGTCCCGCTCATTGCAGCCAAATTCATGAACGTGGATATCGACTTTACCTTTGCTCGACTGGCGCTACCGAGGGTAGAGGACAATCTTTCGCTCGAAGACGACAATCTACTGCGCAATCTTGACGAGCGCGACGTTCGAAGTTTGGGTGGTTCTCGTGTCACGGACGGCATCCTGCGCCTGGTGCCCAACATCCACGTCTTCCGCATGGCGCTGCGCTGCATCAAGCTGTGGGCACAGCGTCGGGCGATCTATTCGAACGTCATGGGCTTCCTCGGTGGTGTTGCGTGGGCCATGTTGACTGCGCGCATCTGCCAGCTCTACCCGAATGAGGCAGCGGGCGCCATCGTCTCGCGCTTCTTCATCATCCTCTACCAGTGGAAGTGGCCGCAACCGGTGCTGCTCACGCAGATCGAAGACGGTCCCCTCTCGGTGCGCGTCTGGAACCCCAAGCTGTATCCGAGCGACCGACTCCACCGCATGCCCATCATCACGCCTGCCTACCCCGGCATGTGCTCGACACACAACGTCAGCCAGTCAACGCAGATGGTCATGACATCCGAATTCAAGCGCGCTGCCGAAGTCGTCGATCGCGTCATCATCGGTAAGACCGACTGGTCCGAGCTCTTTGCCAAACACGACTTCTTCTTCAAGTACAAGTACTATCTCCAGGTGATCGCGAGTTCAGGATCGGCGGATTTGCAGTTGAAATGGCACGGTACGGTGGAGAGTAAGATCCGACAGTTGGTGATGAAGCTCGAGCTGGTGCCGACGATCATGTGCGCGCATCCGTTCATCAAGGGGTTCGATCAGGTGAGCGAGTGTCATAACGATCACGAGGTTCGGCTGGTTGCCACGGGCGATATTCCGGATGAAGTAGCGCAGCGAACACAGAAGGTGGCAGCATTGCCGGAGACGGAGGAGGCGAAGGCTGCCGCCGCCGAGGAAGCCGCCAAGGTCACCGACGGCAAGGAGGGGCATAGGATGATCTACACAACGACGTTCTACATCGGGCTGAGCATCGAGCCCAAGCTCCCCGGCGAGGGCGCACGCAAACTCGACATCAGCTACCCCACCGCCGAGTTCACAGGCAAGGTCAAGCAGTGGGAGCAGTACGATGAGGCCTCGATGGGCATCGTGGTTCGACACATCAAGTGGTTGCAGCTGCCCGGATACGTGTTTGATGGAGGCGAACGACCGGCTGCTGCGAGCAAGGTCAATGGGAAACGTGCCAAGTCTGGCAAGAAGAAGAACGGTGATGCGGAGACGAATGGCGTGGCGAATGGGAACGTTACAGCGGTGGACAATGGGGATGCGGAGATGGCAAGTCCGACCAAGAAGCAGCGCACAGTGCCAGGCGCGGCGGCGGCGGCGACACCGACACTGCCTCTGCAACCGGGGACGGCGAGCAAGGAGATCGAGAACTTTGCACTCGCTACGGGCAACCAGCCCATCGCCGCTTCCACCAACACCGCTGCCAACCACTGAGCGCGTCATTCCCTTTCTCTTGTCCTCCGTCACCCTCGCTTCCACTCACTTTCAAGCATGACCCCGTTGTACTCTAGAAAAACTCGCAAACCCAGCAATGACAAACGCTTCACCACGTCTGCAGCTCCCATCTGGTGGGCAGAGACACGCACACACGACGACAAAATATCGGAAGAGAAGTTTTTTCTATCTCGCTCTCAACATGGTGAGGGGGGCGAGAAGAGATGGTACTAGCTTACATGTGACATTGCGTCGAGAGTGAGGCAGATGTCGGTAGGATGTGTGTGTGGTTGCGTGAGTGCAGAGATTTTGACGAAGCCAACGGCCCCGGGATGACGAAGATAGGATGCGGGGTGAGATGCAATGGAATCGGGGGCACGTTTAGGCCTTGATGGCGCGGGCGGCGCCGACGCGCTTAGCAGCGAGCTGGCGCTTGTTGAGGCGAACGACCTCGGTCGACTCGGCCTTGGGCACCTGCGCAGCGGGCTCCGAGAGCAGGATCTCGGCGTGGATGGGGTGACCCTCGTAAGGGTTGATACGACCGTGAGCACGGAACGTGCGACGACGCGTCTTGGGCGCCTGCTGGATCGAGATGTTGCGGATCACGAGCTCCTCAGTGTCAAGACCCTTGGCCTCAGCGTTCGACTCGGCGTTCTTAAGGAGAGCAAGGAGAAACTTGACCGACTTGACGGGCCATCGACCTGGTGGATTGGGAAAGAGGGAAGGGCAAAAGGGTCAGCGAGAGTCCGTGTGGGAAATGGTGATGTGAGAGTTGCTGGGCATGTCTTTGTCGGATGCAAGCCTGGCATTCGCTTGTGGTGATTGATGCTGGCCCGATGGAATTGCAACGGGCACTGCAGTAGACGCTGAGTAGATGCGCCGGTCCATCATGGCTGTCGATCGTGCGGACCTGCTTAAGCGCCGTGCTGAACCCTGCTTTTCTTCGACGTTGATCCAGCGTGACCCTGATCTCGCGTACGAAGTCCGGGCCCGTTCGTCGTATCACTCTTCTGCCGGATGTCCCCGAATGCATGCTTTCCATCTGTTCCTTCTGACATGCCCTGACACCTTTGCGCAAATCGAAACTTACCCTGAGTGGTCTTGAACTCCTTAGCCTGCTGGGTGCGGCCAACACCGCCGTTGAAGCGGCGGAAGGGGATGCACTGCTTCTTCTCCACGACGTTGCCGAGGTACTTGTAGGCGGTCTGGAGCTTCAGGCCGTTGACGGCGGCGGCGGTCTCGCGCGTGTTCTTGAAGTGAACACGCAGGTACTCGCCGCGCGACTTGGCGGTCTTCTCCGCCAGCTTGGAGTCGTCGAATGCGTATCGGACCTGTGTAGATGGGGAATGGTCGGATGGTAAGAACGGGATCTGATGGGCGGTGTTGTGGAAAAGCAGCAGCAACGACCAGCGAGCAAGATGGCAGATGGAAACTGAGCGAGGGATGAAGGTGAATTGTTGTCGTTGATGCTGTGCCTGATTATCCTCCCTTGCGTCCTTCCTGCCCGACGGGCGTACCCTGCGAGGTCGAAGAAGACCGTTGATGATTGCTTGGCAGCACCACGCACCTTCTGCCTCCCAAGTGGAAACGTCACCGCACGTCTTCGTTGTCAAGGTGTTCAATCCGTTCTGACCGCTTTGCGGGCGATGATCTGCCACTGACCCCCAAAGAAGCTGTGACAACAGATGGAAGGTGCGTCCGCCCCAACGAAGCTATCGCGACTGTATGATTCCGTGTTTTGTGGCCATTCCCATTTGATCCTCGGTGCCTCCCTACACATCGAAGCACTGGCATCGACGATCACTCCTAACTCCCCCGTCCTAGCTTCTGATACGTCTAGATCTCGCCGATACATCTGGACGTCGTCCTGGCCATAAGCTGCTGTGCTTCCATGTATGTCGTGGGTTGCTGTCGATTGTTGGTGCTGATGCTGCTACTGCTGTCGCTCTGGTCGGATGTTTGCTGTCTGTTGCTGCTGGTCGTCGTCTGTCGATGTATGTAGGCGAAATACGTACCATCTTGAACTATCTGTATGGGTGGTGAGCCTTGAGGATGATGGGAGAAAGGCGAAGCAGTGTCAAAGTGCGAATCTTGGTGGTGTCGGCAGCGCACTCGATCGTTCCTCCGTCGAAGCTGCGAGTCTGGCACTGCGAAAAATCCACGGCAGCAAAGCCAGTCTCTCTCTCAGAGCCTCACCACCTCACAGTCTCGAAGTCTTCCAACTGGCAGAGCCACGGCTGGCCTTTCTGCTGCTCCTCTGGGAAAGTGCCCGATCATTACAATCCTCGAGCAGCTTCAATTTCGGATTCGTACTTTTGCCAGCCCTGAATTCGAATCGTGCGTCCTTTGAGAATTGACCAGCTGGCCACATCACGTGAGCTACCGATCAAAACTGTACGTTCTTCAAACGGCTCATTTTTGCAGGAAAACAAATTTTCCTTCTTACGATCTGACACATTGCGAAAATGGCTGTCTGTGGACGGCTTGCTCCAGCTGTCACCCTGGATTCGCTGCTACCAGGACGTCACTGCGCCCTGCTTTGACGGGATTTCGTCACATAGTCAACACGGCATGGGGGCTATATGGGATTGCAAGACAGGAGCAGGCGGACGCAGCAGCAGCAGCAGCAGCAGCAGCAGCAGTACCGCCGCCTCACTCAAGCTTCACCGTATCAAGGTGCTACAATCGACAAGCTGTTGCATCATGCAAGAAAAGTGAGAACTGGCTTGAGCCAGGCGTCTGGGTTGTCGCACATGGGCAAATGTCCGGCGTTAGGGATGCTGACGAACTCGGCCTTGGCACCTGCTTCGGCGAGCTTCGTTGTGAACGCCTGTAGCGTCTCGGGCAGCTTGCCGTCTGCCTCGCCAGCAACGAGCAAATGGCGACTCGACGACGCTTTGCTGAAGGCTTCGACGATGCCGTCCTTCACGAGATCGTAGTTCTGCAGAGCCCGTGCACCCGCTGCGAAGCCTTCCACCTGCGTAGTCTTGACCATCTCTTCGGTTCTCGTTCTGCATTCTGCGCTGGCTTGCGAGCCAGGACCGTACCATCGAGGGACCGTGGCAGCGGCGAGCTCGCCCATGCCCTTGCTTCTCGCCAGTGCGATGCGCTCGTCCCATGCACCGACGTTGGCGGCTGGTGTGCTGGGTTGTGTGTCGCACGCTACTAGCCTCTCGTATCGGTCTGGGTGTCGCAGCGCGAAGGAAAGAGCAGTGGCACCGCCTTGGGAAACACCAATGACGGCATACGCCTTCTTGACTGCCAGACTGTCGAGCAGGAACGCCACGTCGACCGAAAGCTGTGCGATGGTGCATGGGTCGGCAGGGACGGCGGAGCTGCCGTGACCTCGCTGGTCATACGAGAGGATGTTGAAGCGTGCGGAGAGAGCCGGGATGACGGCGTCCCACATGGTCAAGTTGGTCATGAGCGAGTTGATGAGCACGATCCACGGGGCGGTCATGCTGTGAAAGTGTACGCGCGTGCTGAGCCGTTGCCCATCCGGCAGTTGCACAAGACCTCGTCCTGCCGATGAGCTGGGTCCGTTGACGGGCAGCGTGACTTCAGATGGGTCTTGGACGTGCTCACTGCCCTCGGGCTTGGGGACAGGCACGTTGGCGCGGTCATCGACGTCGATGGCGACGAGGAAGCGGGAGACCATGTTGTAGACGGCGACGGTGAGCGTAGCCTCTGCCACCTTCCTGTTGACAAGATCCTCGCCCTCAAAACCGTCCGCCGTGCCCTTGTCGCCGAGCTCCTTGACGTTGTCAGCGAAAGCAGATTTGAGCGACGCAAAGGTCGAGTCTTGCACCCGCACCTTGGTGGTCATGTCGTCGGCGAGAGCAAGTGCCGCCTTCGCCAACGGGCTCAGGACGGATGCCGCTGACAGCGGTGCGCGGACGTCGCGTACCGCCGCGAGCTGTGCGGTAGTGCAGCCAGCCTGTTCCGCGACCGGTGCGTGTTGGATCCATTCGAAGTTGGCCGAGTTGTGAGCTGCGACGCGCAGGATCATCATCTCTCGAACATCGTCCGGGATCGAGTTCTTGGTCCTGGTGGCTCCGAGCAGCGTGTTCCAGCCATTGGCGATGGCGGGTGCGTTGAGCAAGGATCCGTCGAGCGGGGTGAGTCCTCGAGCTCCCCGTCTTTCTCGGATGGCATCGGCGATAGGATCCACGCCGGCCGCAGGGTATCTGTACGGGATTCGTGGCATCTTGAGATATCGATGCGACCGAATCACTTGGCGGACGTCGTGGATGGCTGATCGAAGGTCGATGGCACAGCTTGAGGTGTTCAAAGGTGGTCAGACATGAAGGGAGCTCGACCCCGCAAGAACTTCTTCCTCATCAGCCCGAAGTGGAGGATTGACAGCGCCAGAGCACGGACCGTGCCGGCCCAGCTGCAGGCACGGCTAATTGTTCAGGTCGAGCTCAAAGGGTCTTCGGAAATAGCGCACCGATGCACCGTGAGGAAGAACATTCATCCGCCCGGTTATAGCCAGGGCAAGCGCACGGAAACTCGATCCGCACCGGCGGCTCTGCTGCCAATCCGACGACCGGCTTGACGTCGACACTCTCTTTCAGCCATTCAGGCGTGGTGCGAAGAGAGCTCTTCACTTGCCCAGGGCGGTCCCCAGAGAATCGGGCTGGCAATGAACCGTGAGACGCACGCTGATTACGTTTGCTCGACTTGAGCTCGAGTGCGAGGCTGCTGTCGATAATGTTCCGTGTCGAGTCAAGTCAAAGAGGTTCGCTTCGACGACCCTCGAGTCGCTTGAAAGGAGAAGAGTGTGGGGACCTTCAGATTGACTGCCTCGAAACCATGAAGCGGATGAACGAAGAGCCAAAACGCGAGAAGCCGTGATATCCCTGGGCAGCCACTGGCGAGCAGCTGATTCCAAATAGCCGGAAGAATTATTTTGGCTCCACTGCTCGGCAAGCGCTCCTTGTTCTGCTGCTCGTCCCCGCCCTTGTCCGGTCAGCCCTGGCTGAGGTCGAGCCTCTCTCTCTCTATATATCACTGAAACTCATCTGCTCTTGCTCCGCTCACCTCCTCTCCGTACGCTGCTCGTCCATTCTCGTTCGCACACACAATGAGGTTCAGCGCCCCCCTCACCGCTCTGGCTGCGGCCGCTTCGTTGACACTGCTTCCATCCGTAGCAGCACACGGTCCCGAAAGCAAGGACGAAGTTGTCAAGTTCCTCGATCAGCAGCATGCAGCCTACCACTGCGCACCTGCCATCGCTGCTATGACTGCCGCGCGCAAGAAGTCGTGGGCGCAAAAGGTGCTTGGCGGCGACTCAGTACAGAACAAGAACCTCTTCATTGACGGCTACTTCGAGGAGCTCGGCATCGATGGCGAGATTGCTGCCAAGGGCATCAAGGCACTCGAGGAGAAGGGAAAGCGCATCATGGCATGTGACCCCGTCGTCGAGAGCAAGATCCGCAACTCGACGTGTGTCCTGTCACCCGAGACCACTCCCGGGCCTTACTACCACACCGAAGATCACCCCATTCGTGCCAACATGGCCGATTGGCAGCTCGGCGTACACTTCCAGATGGACGTTGGCGTGATTGACGTCGACACATGTGAGCCCATCCCCAACATCCTCGTAGACCTCTGGCACGCCAACGCTACCGGTCACTATTCGGGCCACCCTGACCCGGCGCCGCACCTCAAGGACGAACAGCCGGCTTCGACCGGTGTGCGAAAGGGTCTCCTCTCTGCCTACCCCCGCACCAACACGCACGAGTCATGGCTTCGAGGTGCCCTGCCCACCGACAAGAACGGCGTTGCTCAGTTCACCAGTGTCTTCCCCGGCTACTACACGGGACGAGCTACGCATGTCCACGTCAAGCTCCACAACGACTGGCAGGTGCTCCCCAACGGCACCTTCCGATCTGGCAGGCTGATCCACACTGGACAGTTCTTCTTTGACGACGAGCTCAACATGATGATGGACAAGGTGTGGCCGTACAACACCAACCCGATCGCCGACTTGCCAGGGCGAGGACGAACGCGCAACTGGGAGGACTCGCTGCAGATCTACCAGGTCTCGCACGACGGCGGCTACTTCCCTACGTTTGACGTTGAGAAGCTCGGTGGTGTCATGACGGATGGACTGATCGGCTACATCACTGTGGGTGTCAACCGCTCGGTGGTGGTCGACGAGAGCTGGGTTCCGACCACCGGTGGTGGAAAGACCAAGCCATGGGTGCCCAGCAGTGAGGGTCCTGCCCACGAGGAGCTCTAGGTTGGAGGAAATAGCTGTGCACCCACCTCGTCGCCAGTGACACATCCGTCTGCAATACTGATCTGCTCATGAGAAAGCATTTCGACCTTCTTGTCACTCGTCTGGACAGCATCTGCTCTTGTTTGCTACTCAATCCAGAGAACATCCGTCATTGCATCGCCCTCGCTTTGCGCCTGCCTGATTCCGCGACGGTCATGACATTGCAACGGGACCCTTGGACGCCGGACTGCTGAGCGACGCCCTCACGGCGGTAAGCGGCGACCTGAGATTTGCAGTGCAGTCCTGAGGGGAAGCAGACTTCGCTCATAGCATGCACCTGTTGCTGTAGAGTAGACGCCGCGCTTTGATCCAATTAGGACCGAAGTCTGTTTGCAATGAGGCACAGAGCGTCAAGCCGGGTGTGGATGCAGCCAGGCCGAAGGTTGCCGTGTGGCTTGGTGGGTCGAAAGTGTGACTTTTGAGGTGAGAGAAAAGAGGAATTGCCGCGCTCCCGCCTCGGACTTCACCACACGGTTTGGCGGCACACAGGGCGAGAAGAGAGGCACGCGTCGATTTATGCACGACTAACAGAAAACTCGAGCTCCGATCCAGCAGCATGCTAACGGCCAGTCACAGTCACACACACAGCCTGCCGAGGACTCAGTTAGTCAGGCAGTCAGTCACACACGCGACCTGCAATTTTCTGCCAACTCAGCGGCTAGACAACGGAGCAGCAGCAGCAGCTGGGTCAGTGCCCACGCGCCCGCTCCTCTTCCCCTGAGAGGCCCTGTCTCAGAGACACACACACACACACACATCACGCTGTGCTTTCCACACGCTCGGCAACCACGCATGCTGCCGCCGCTCTTTCGAACAATAGCCAAATTTCCAAGCAAAGTCGATCCACCAACGCTTTCTGTCTCTCTTTCACCTCGTCCTCGTCCCCATCTGCCAGCCTCTTCTCATTGATCGAGCATCATCTTGTCCTTTGCACCTGCAGTCTTCTCACTCTCGTTCACCCTATCGCGTCCGTGACGAGATCAGCTAGCCTGGTTCGACGTTCTCATTCCGTATACCTTGCCCTTCGATCAGCACAGCGCCTGGAGCGTCTGCATCGATCTTGTCTCTTAGACCTCCGCCTCAGAGTCGCCTCTTGCTCGCCATTAACTTCAGCGTCCCAGTCTCCCGCAGCAGATTCGATTCGCCGCAGCAACATGCGTCGCTTCCTCAAGGCAAAGGCGATAAGCGCCCTCGCCCTCCTCACCATCGTAGCGACGCTCCAGCAGGCATCAGCTTCGACACCACGCTTGAATCGCATCGATTTTGACCTCCAAGGGAGAGACCCTTCCCTTCAAGATGCCTTGCCTTTGTTCACCGACAACTTTGCCCGCCGCTCGCATCCTCGTCTGGCTAGACGTCAAGATCCGGCACCAGCACCAGCACCGACGGCTGCTGCCCTAGAGATGCCTTCTCAGGCCACGCAAGACGCCGTCGTCACGCAAGCTCCCACAGATCCCATCGCTGCCGCTCAGGCCGTAGAGCAGATTCCCGGTGTCGCGGGCAACGCCAACGGCAACGCAGACACGTCGGGCAACCTCTTGCAAGGAGACGGCTACTACAACTACCCATGGAACAACGCCACCTACTTTGCACCCAACGCCAACACCAACGGTTCGGACGAGGGCGGCTGGCAGGAGCTTCCTGACGTCCCTGGCTTTACCTTGAATCGCACTTTCACCGTTTACAACGTGTTCGGCAACGAATCCGGTGTGCTACCTTTTTACGCGACCAACAACCCGGATCCCACCAAGGTGCTTCGTGCCATCGTCGTTTGGCCTGGTAAGCCACGCGACGTTTGGAAGTACGCCAACCTCATGATGAATGCTCGAAGTGTTGCCGTCTCCGACAACTTTGCTCAACAAGGCGCCACCAACGACTCGTTCCTCATCCTCGCCCCCGCCATGTTGAACCAGATGGACCTTCAAGCCGGTGCTGCGAGATCCAACGAGATCGTCTTCCACGGTTCCGGCTGGCAGCGTGGAGCAGGTTGCAGAAACCCCGTGATGAGGCATCGCGTCACCAGCTACGCCGCCGTCGACCAGCTCATCGAGACCCTCTTCAACAAGAAGACCTATCCGAACCTCAACCAGGTCGTCGTGGCAGGTCACTCGATGGGAGGCCAGGCCACTCAGCGATACGCGCTCATGAAGAAGACCAAGGCGTACGACAACAATATACGCTTCTGGATTGGCAACCCAGGTTCGTGGGCGTGGCTCATCGACTCGCGCCCCTACATGAACGTCAACGACACGTGTCAGGCCGGCGACGAATGGGACACATGGCCGTACGGACTCAATGGCAACCAGTCCAAGATCACGCCCTACGCGCGACGTGACGTGCTTGCCAACAAGACCGCCGTCATCAACCGCTTCCTCAGTCGTCAGATCTCGTACAACTTTGCCTTGCTCGACGTGGGTCTCGGAGACTCGCACTGCCAAGCTCGATGGCAGGGAGGCAACCATTTGGACCGAGGTTCCGAGTTTGCGTTGCAGTTCTCCAACACTACAGCTTTCCCCGCCCTGGGGGGCAAATTCCCGATCAAGCACACGCTCGACTACGTCGCCAACGCTACGCATCAAGACTACGCCATGTACTCGGCCAACACGTCAATTCAGCGACTCTTCTACGACGATCTCATGGTTCGCAACGCCAACATCACCAACACTACCAACCCAGGTGACAAGAAGAAGAAGGTCAAGGGTGTCAAGGCCTTTGCAACACCGGCGCACGAAAAGGTGGCCATCGGCCTGCTGGCAGGCTCGCTTGGTCTGGTTTTCATTATCTTTACCGCGCTTCCGATCATCTTTACCGCGGATCATGTCAAGGACATTGACATGTCGTGGGACGCTCAAAGCTATTTGAGTTCCGAGTCGAGGAGGATGCTCGTGGATCGCAAGTGGTAGACGTCCGCGTTCGGCCTTTTTCTCACGCAGGATCAGCATCGTCTAGTCTTTCATTTGGACAATCAATCGAACTTTCATTCAGAACGCACGGCGTGCATTGACATGAAGATGGAGCGCCTGCGTGCTAGGAGTGTGTGGTCAGATTGTTTGAGACACAAGCGAAGGCTTCGCAACTCTCATGACAGGCAACGCAGCTCGACTGCAAACTGCTGTTCTGATCTTGCTTCGTGAAGCGATGCCGACATTCGACGGACAGTGCGCGAGGAACAGCTCAATGACAATGTGGCGATACGAGTCAAAAGCTTCGTCGATGGTGCGGCACAGAGTGATCGAATTTCGAAAGGGCCTCGCGAGCAGTGCTGTCGCAATCTTGAATTTTCAGTGAATGTTAGCAACGCGTGTCGGGGCCACCACAACACTTTTAGGGCGGGAATTGCTCCACACACTAAGAGAGCTTCGCATTCGCATTCGCACACGCCATCCTCTTGCACATCATCTTCCCAACATCGCCTCTTCAGCTCGACTAGCTCACCATCCCCAGCGACAGTTTCTTGCGAGCTGCTCCTCCACGTCCATCAATCTGCAAGGGCTCCAACACGCAGCCTTCTCGTCCGAAGCTAGACAGCCTCGCGGTCTCTCCCAGTCCCTCGGCTTCCCGCTTGCACATTCGCGCCAGCTTCATCCGTCATGTTCTTGACAAGATCCGAGTATGGTGAGTAGCAGCCTGGGCACATCACTCAACGCCGCCGATCTTGCTGACCTAAGCCGCAGTCACTGACCGACTGACCATGTCCGTTGTGCCATCTACAGATCGAGGTGTCAACACCTTCTCGCCCGAGGGACGTCTCTTCCAGGTCGAATACGCACTAGAAGCCATCAAGCTCGGCTCAGCAACTGTCGGCATTGCGACAAAGGAAGGAGTGGTTCTCGGTGTCGAGAAGCGAGTGCAGTCCAAGCTACTCGAGTCGTCGTCGATCGAAAAGATCATGGAGGTGGACCAGCACCTGGGCGCGGCGATGAGCGGTCTCACCGCCGACGCGAGGACCATGATCGAGCACGCGCGTGTCACATCGCAGAACCACGCCTTCACATACGACGAGGAGATCAAGGTCGAGTCGGTGACGCAGGCGGTGTGCGATCTGGCGCTTCGCTTCGGAGAGTCGACAGCCGGTGACGAGGCCATGATGTCGAGACCCTTCGGCGTCGCACTCCTCATTGCTGGTATCGACGAGAAGGGTCCACAGCTCTACCACGCGGATCCATCGGGCACGTTCGTGAGGTACGACGCCAAAGCCATCGGCAGCGGCTCGGAAGGTGCTCAGACCGAGCTGCAAGACAAGTACAGAAGGGACATGACACTCAAGGAGGCCGAGATCCTGTGCCTGCGCGTGCTCAAGCAGGTCATGGAGGAGAAGCTGGACCAGAACAACGTACAGCTCGCCACCGTCACACCGAGGACCGCCAAGGACGGCCGCCAGTCGGGTCAGTTTGCCATCATGAAGGAGGAACCGCTGCAAGCGTTGATTGCCGAGATGTAGACACAGTCCCTTCGCCGCAGCAAGAAACAGTGCTTTTCATCCATCGTTCGGATCCGTGAATCAAGGCGAGAGATACAGTCAGCTTAGCCAGCGTCGATGTGATTGTTTCGAAAGACAGGCGCTCGAGCCAACTGCTTTGCGCTCAGTCGAGCCCAGCAGCAGCAGCAAGCAACTCGCAGCAGCGCCTCCGCTCGAAGGCGAAAAGACTGCTGTTGCGCCTCGTTTGAGAGGTCTGTCGGCCCAGCCGAAGTGGCGGGAGAGGTGCTTGAGCTTACGGAGGGAAGCGGCGCAGCAGACGGGCGACATGAGAAGGTCCGTGCTGTCGACTCAGCCATTTTCTCCAAAAGTCACCATGCGTGTATGCGCTGCTTTCTCGCAGCTCCTTCTTCCTCCTGACTGTCCTCCTGCCTGCCTTGGCCAGCTTCATTGCTGCGCATCTGATCAAGCTCGAAAGGTTAAATAGCGCCCTCCATCTCGGTTTCTCCATCTTCTTTCCTTTCGACCACTCGTCGACCTTCTTGCGCAGTTTTTTCGTCATCCGAGGCCATCTTGACAGCCACCAATCTTGCGACGAGGTCGGGTCTAAGATCGACACAGCATACCGTGCGAGAGCTTTGGTCATCATTGTACGTCAAGCCTCTCATCAGTGACGCGGTGACGCTACTCTTTGGCTCAGCCATAGTACGATCACAAGGTCCAAGCGAAGCGTGTCCTTCGAGCGATTCTACCTGCCGCTGCCTCGGATCTCAGAACGACCGTTTTCGAGCAATGGAAGCTCAGCGAGCACAGCTGCCGTCCGCGAGCTCCGAACCTTCTCGCGAAGGCACACCAGAAGTCGAGCCTCGGGATAATGATCGCCGCGACGTTTGGCAGCGACATGCGGACGTCGAGGCTGCTGTCGATTCCAGACTGACCAGAGTCATCACGAATCGCACTCCGCCGACCACCGTAGCAGCGGCTTGGGCTCAGAACGACTATGAAAGGGTCGTTGAGCTTGCGTCGCAGGCCATCGAGGAGAGTACGAACGCGCCAGCGCTGAATGACGTCCAGGGCGTCCGGAGGCTTTGCTCCACTCTGCAAATTCGTTTCAAGGCCTATCAGGCGCTCAGACTCCTTTCACTGGCGGTATCCGATGCCAATCGTACCTTAGCGCTACTTTCACAATTTGGGATCACCATCCAAGATGACACGCACGCACTTCCAGGTGGTCTTGGCGAGTCCGGAGCAGCCACCAACAGCAATCAACGAGGCCTCAAGCGCTCGGTCGTGGTCGAACGGTGCCCGGATGGCGGGAAAAGGCCGAGGACAGATGGCATCAGGGACCCTGCACCTATCACGATTCTCAGTCTTCCCACCGAAGTGCTTTTGGCAATCGCGGACTACCTCGACCCGCCGGATCGCATTCATCTAGCTAACTCCAATCGAGGTTTCAGGAACATCTGCGAACTTTGGCAGCATCTTGTCTTCGTACGAATCAAGCGCTTGGAGCGGGCGTGGGTCCGCGACACTATCGAAGCGTGCGTCGCTGCAATCGAGACGTGCCATCGGAAGTCTGCCGGCACACTGACGAGCGTAACGCTTAAGGGCTTTATCTTGCTTGATGACGTAGCACCCATCTTGGAAGCACTGCGACCGAGCGCACAGACGCTCACTCATCTGGCCCTCGCGACACGCAATCAAGAGCGTTGCTACAAGGAGCTTTATCAGTATTGCCCCAACCTCGAGAGCGTCGACATTCGCTGCGCACATCAGCCTTCGGAAGAAAAATCCATCGAGCGCATGTGCTACGACACGTATATGTTCACGAAGACACCGTGGCCTTTCAAGCTCAAGTATTTCTTTGCCAATCCGGACGTCGACTGCGGTCCTTTCGAGTCTCATCATCCTCACGTTCCGTTTGTTCCTCACATGAAGGGCATCGAAGTGGTCCACGGTATCAACTTTTGGAGACAGAGAGACCCCGGATTCGCCGCCGCCATCGACCTCATGGCTCCAACGCTACGCGAGTGGATCGACCGGCCCGGTGTCACGTGGTCTGAAGATCATTTCGAACGAGATGAGACGCCCAAGGACGTCGGAAAGGACCTCGTCTTTCCGCGCCTGCTGAAGCTCAACGGCGTCTGGAGCGAAGTCTGGACCCGCTGCGAGTTTCCGGCCCTTCAAGAGCTCACCTACAACGCCCTTCGCACCAGGTTCACAACCACCCAGCTTGCCAAGGATCAGCCGGTCAATGTCATCTCTCGCAGTCCATCCTTGAAGAGGCTTGACATCCTGCTGCCTCTGTTGGACAGCGCGACCAAGAAGATCATGTGGGCCATAGCAGAACTGCAGCATCTCAAAGAACTGAATCTGTGGTTCAGGTACACCGGTGGTCTCACTCTGAAAGGACTTGTCGAGTTTCAAATGGACGGCGACGACTCTCAAACACCAGTCAGGGTTATATTGCCGAAACTGCATACGCTCGGTATCTTCATCAAGGTCTCCTCGCTTTCCACCGAGTCATTCTTCGTGCATGATTTGTGCCAGTTTCTGTGTCATCGCTTCTTCCTGCTACAAGGATGCAGTCGTGACGAGGCGAAGAAAAGAGCAGAAGCTGCCCTCTATCTGTACGAAAGGACGTCGCAGAGGCAGAACAAGCCGTCAAGGAAGAAGCACTCAACCGAGGGCGTGGCGCTGGCTTCCGAATCTGCCTACAAGGGTGAATTCGAGACCAGGGACGATGTCACGCGAGAGAGATTTACGCCTGTCCTACCTCTTCTCGTCAGCAATCCATCGAAGAAGCCGGGCAAAGAGAAGATGATCTGCATGCCCAATCCCCTGCTTGACCAGCTCGTCGGAAACTACGCCGAACTCGACATCGATCCGGAGTTCGTCACCATCCCGAAGAGGATGAGTTAGGCTTAGCGCACGCTGGGCAAAGGGAGGATCGACCTTCAACCTCCTCAGAACGCGCTTCGTGCGTACGCAATTCAAAGTCTCGATGAAGCTTCTCTGTGGTTGTTTGAGTGACGTCTTGGCGACAGCCCGTCAAGATTGTCTTTTCCTGTGAATGCGTCGCTCAAGGAGCTCATTGGCAGAAAGTGTGATATTGGTATGTATGAAATGCCCAAGATATCAGGCGGGAGTAGTATACAGCAGAAGAATTGATACAAAACACGAAACGAGTGTCCGAGGGAAAACGAGAAGAGTGCTCGACCTTGCTGAGAGTAGAGCTCTGCGAAGAGGTCGGCCCTCTGCTTAGTCGAGCATGTGTGCGGCTCTTCAGCGGGTGCTAAGCGAGGTGGACATGAATTGGGTCGAGGTCTGTCCTTGGGAGAACTGAAGTGGGTCGCTAAAGCCGGGACAAGCCTGGATGCAGCGTCGCTGAAAGGAAGCAAGTTGACCACCGCCACTGTGGACGACTCCATCCCGATGACGAGCGAGGACGAGCAAGCAGCCAATGTGGTCGGCCAGCTCTGTCTGTTCGCGGAACCGGTGTGGCGACGCGCTACTCGTCTGTTTGTCTTGCACCGACAGCTTTGTCGAGCGTTGCGTCGGACAGCGAACGACGCCTAGTATGACGCGCGCCATGACGAGCATGAAATATACGAAAGTGGACCGCCACCCGCTCATCTAGAAGCGATACGACTGCTGGGCGGGCATGGGTCGAGCTGGCTGGCCGTACGCATTTCCATGTCCATACCTAGCATTGCTCGAGTTGAGGGCGACGCTGCTCTCTCCATACCCGCCGTTGCTCCACGGCCTCTTGTCCACGGGCGCGGCGATGTATGCGGGCATCCTCTCGCTCGTCGGTGTCGACTTGAACAGGTCGGACCTCTCCCTCATCTCCCTCGCCCGCTTGCGACGACGCGAGCAGGAGCAGAGCCAGAACAACGCTGCGACGCCCGCCACCAGGCCGACGACGATGCACACGATCAGCACAGATAGCTGCACGCGGCTGAGACCCGAGGTCGCATCGGCCGCTTTGGACCCCGCCGCACTGCCCGCGTTGGAGATCTGATCCGTCACCCCCGAGAAGGCTGCTGGGTTGACCTGGCGCTTGACGAGGATCATCTTGGGTTGCTGCATGTTGGTGCTGGTGATGTTCGGTGATGTATGCGGTGGTGGATTGGCCAGCAATCCTTGAGCTTGGTGTGCGGTGGCGAATGAATGTGTCGAGACAATGTCAATGGTGCGTAGAAGGAATGACAGATAACGAATGACGATGGCACATGGATGTGGTGGAAACGGAAGCCCTCTGGACCAGCCAGCGAGTGAAGACGATGGGAGACGGCGAAGTTGGACAAGCGGAGAGCGAACCGCCTCTCTCTACCAACCTGCGGAGACTAGTGGATTCGGCAAACACCACGGCGACGACGCCCGCGTAGATGACAGAGTAAAAATTGTTCGCCGCGACCCGACCCTCGCTTATAGAGAGATTTGGGTTTGATCGCCCCCACTTCCCCTGAAACTGGGGACTTGTGGTTTCGCGAGAGAGTGCGCAAGGCTGCGACTAGGTGGTGCGGCGAGAGCACGGTCAAGACAATCTGGAGGATCTGCGTTGCATGGAGCAGCGCTGCATATGCGGACATTGAGATGTGGGGTGGCGTCAGGCGCCGCCCTCGTTGTCGTTGAGCGCACATGGCTGCCGCTTCGTTGCAGCTCGTCTGCCATGCGTTACAGCGCCGTCATCGAATGGCTTCGAGGCCTCCGCAAATGCCCTCGCCCGACGTCATGCGCGTGCCGCCTCGTCTGTACGAGCAACGAGCTGTGAGGCGGCATGGCGGCGATCAACTCGGCTGACGATGGTGCTCGGTGCAGACGTCGAAGCGAGCTGGAGGTGCGGCGTCTAAAGCCAAGGCGGTCTGATGCCGAGTGATGGTCTGCTGGGCGTCGTGCAGACTTTTCGCCCGTGAAAGTGCCCGCGTTGCCAGTTCGGACAGCGCAAAAGCTAAGTCGCCGAAGTGTCGATCGGGAGATCGGGCTAGCGGATCGACAAGATTTGCTTCGACGTGCGAGATGGCAGTGGCCCGGAACAGTTGTCCACGCTCGACAAAGCGCTCGGACGGAAGATAACGTGGCATGCAGAGTCCAGTCGACACTTGAGAACTGTCGACTTCGAGGAGGCGGTCGATGCATGCAGCGACGTGTCGTCGGGATTGAGACCGTCAAACAAGTGGCAACGGAAAAGGTGCCTCGAAAAGGAGGTCGCCAAATTCACCGCTGGCTCTTCTCCCTACGCAAGACTCATTGTGCTGGGGTAGCTCGCAGCGAGAGTAGCGGTTCGGAAAGGAAGGTGCGCAAACGAGGGACCACTTAAGCACATAAGGAGGGACGAAGACGCAAGACGTGTCGACGGTCGGATACTTGACCGGCATGCGAATGAATGCGGGGTCACGACCAGTTCCAACTACCCCACACCGATGGTGCAGGTGGACGCTTGACAAGCTTCAGTCGACGCTGCGCAGCTCTTCCATGCCTCATTCAGTCCTGGCAGAGTCTGCGCTGGCTGTAACGGGACTGCGAACAAATCCCTTTTGGCCTACGAGTCTAGCGATTCACTTCGGTCCATCTGACAGAAACTGCTGGCAGACGATGACTCGAACTGAGCGTCGAGATGGCCTGCAAGGACAGCCCGTGACCATCATTTCCCTCGTGGGGCTGGACGACAGAATCACGACTGCCAAAAGCAACCGAAAGCTTCTGCGCATGACAACCAAGCTGTCGAACGTGGACAGATCTCGCAAATTCTCCGACGAGGGCTGCGCCCAAAGCGGCATCGGTTCGCTCCTTCGACGGTCGACAAGCTTGGCGCACAGCAGAAAGAAAATGATGCGGCGCTAGCTATGAAGTGTAGGGTCAAATGATCGTGCCAGGATGCTCCAGGAAGAAGAATGGCCATGTCTACAGCCCCTGCCGCCCCTGCCGCTGGCCGTGGGCTGTCAAAGTGACGTGCGCAGTTGGGGATGTGATTCGTCGATCAATTCGAATTTTTCGCCTTTTCGACGCCTGGGTGCCTGATTTCCAGTCTCTCGACTTGCCGACAAGGCAGCAAGAGTTTTATGGTCACAAGACCGTGCCTCGGGATCCATCCGAACTCGAGTGACCGGCGCGTTGATGCGACGACACGGCCCAGAACATCCCGACGAGTTTGCTGGGCTGACTTGAAGGACTGTTGGCGCCAAATGACGGGAAGGAGCGTTCGAAAGACGCAAACACGCATTTGGACACCACGCTCATCGAACCAATGAGAGCACAATGAGTGCTGCGAAATGACTCAGTCGTGGCTTAGAACACATGACACTACCTTTGCGCGATCGAACTTTGGTATCTCAGCAGAAGGTGTAGGCGTACGGCAAGAAGGCCGAAGGCGCTGTCCAGCCTCTTATCGCTGAGGCTCATTTGGTTTGCGGAACAATGGAGTGTGGGTATGGCGAACCCCTTCGCGACTGACTTGGGTTCGGGGTTGGGACAAGTGCGGCCATCAACAAAGGTAGCCCTGGTCCTGATCCTGATCGCCCTTCGCCTCGAGAGATGCTGAGCCTTCCTGCTCATCGGGTATTCCCTCCGGCTGATCGGGGGACCGACGACGACAACGACGAAGTTGTTGTTGCTGTTTCGCGTTTAACGGTCACAGAGCCGACTTCAGGGTCCCGCAAAGCGGACGGAAAAGGTACAGCCTGGCAGTCTCAGGGGCGCGGCCAAGGCGACTCAATTTCGGCTTGATTTTTTTCGGAAAAAGAATTCGAGGCGGCTTGGCTCAGGCCAAAGTCGACGTTCGGCGCTGTAGGGTCTCGTGTCCACTTTGCCAAAAAAGGTGCGACACCAACACCAACAACAGCTCGCACCTTTGACTCGGCATCAACACAGCCTTTCCTCTCCTTTGGCGCATCGCGTCGCCCCGGCACCCACTGTAGGCAGCCTGGAACCAGTCCGCTCTACCTTGGTATCTCGATTGGATGACAAGACTGCTGTGCTTGGTCCAACCGAGCCAAGCCACGGGGGCCATGGAAATTCAGCTATCTCTTCAATAGAAATTCTAAGCGCCAGGTCCTGTGACACGAGGGCGAAGTGGACAGGGGCAGAGCACCGGCTAAAATTTTAAGGAAAATAAAAAAGTTGTAAAAAAAGTGGTGGGTGGAGGGTTGTGTTGGACCAAATTAACCTTCCGAACGAGCACGGGGCCTGCAGCCGGCCGCGCCTGAACCACGTCAGATGATGCTGCTTCTACTCACAGCATGTCACTTGGCTTAGCTGTTGCGTGTCGCTCTTGCGTACGCTCTGGAGCGAAGACAGCCGGCACAACTCTTTGGAAGTCGACGAGCGCTAGGAGCAGCGGCACGTTCAGTGCGCCCTGTTTTCCTTTTACATGCCCGGTGTTGCTCTTGCGCCGTGCCAACCTGCCCCACACAGCCGTCACTCGAGACAGCGTACAGAAGCTTGTTCGCCTCGTCAGCGAGCCAGTGTGATGGACATATAAGCTCGATGTCTCCGTTTGCCTCAACCTTACTTTGCCTCTCACACACATCGTACTTCTCATCGTCGCTTCCTCCGCCGTTCACACGCTCGGAGTCGACTGTTCCCACGCCTCGTTTCGTTGCTGATATAGATTCGGCTCGATCCGTTCCTCTGTCGGTTTGACCGTTCAACTCTGAAAGATCACCTCTTTGCGAGGAATCTGGACGCGATCCATCTCTTCATCATGGCTCCATCGATAGACCACGCTGCAAGCTCGCAGCAGACTTCGTCCTTGGACGACATCTCCAAGGTCAAGTCGGCCCTCTTGAGCGTCTCCAACTCTACCCCGAGAAGCGGCTCGCATACCCCTATCGACCACGTCATCGCCAACAATGCTGGCTACACCGACACCGTTTTCGAGGGCAAGGCCGACCAGGCCGCTCAAGTCAAGCAGCTCCTCTCCAGCAAAGGCTTCATGCCCCCAGATCTCGTCACCGCCGAGGTGGACTGGTTCTACCAGTAAGCATGCTCTCCCGTTCGCCTTGCACCCATTATGCTAGCATTCACTGACCGCTGACCTTATTTTCGCTCTTGCTCGCGTCTCATAGGAACCTCGGAATCGACGATACCTACTTTGCTCTCGAGAACGTAGAGACCGTCGCGGACCACATCCTCGCGCTCTTTGGCGCCAAGATCATGGCCTACACCAAGCACTCCAACAGCCTCGAGATTGACCTCGAAAAGGAGTCCGAAAACGGCGCCGTCTTCATCCACTCGTCGCAAGCCGGCAAGTCGCAAGCCGATGGCCCTCAGTGGGAGCGACGCATCGACGCCAACTACCTCGACAAGTCGTCCGTAGACAAGGCCTACCGACTCGAGACCTACCGTTCCGCCGGCTCCGTCTCGGCCCAGTCGCAGCAACAGCTTCGATGCTACTTTTTGGCCAAGTGCAACTTTGTCGAGCCTCGACCTGCTCCCGACTCGCCCCACTACGCCGACATCCGTGCCGTCTCCGACAAGACCTTCCTCACCAAGGCGAGCGACAACACGCTCGACATCTACCAGAGCATCATGGACGAGGTTCTCCGCCGACAGGGCCCCGTCATCGAAATGTTCGAGGTCGAGGGCAGCCGAGAGCGCAGGATCGTCATTGGCTACCGCATGGGCACCACCAACAGCTTCTTTAGCGCCCTCTCGGATCTCTACCACTTCTACGGCCTTTTCTCGTCGCGCAAGTACGTCGAGCAGTTCTCCAACAACGTCACCATCATCTCGATCTACCTCAACCCGCTCCCAGCGTCCAACAGCCCTCCCATCGAGCACTCGATCCACCAGGTCATGAAGGAGGCGTCCCTCATCTACGTCCTTCCGGACAACCCCTTCTTCCAGCCTGCCCTCGCGGAGAACACCCACGCGGTCCAGGAGGCCACCTACGCCTACGTCGGCTGGCTCTTTGCGCAGCACTTCTGCAACCGTCTCGGTCAGGCGTACCAGGCGTTGCGAAACGTACTCAACGAGAACGACTCCCAGCAGGCCGCCATCCTCAACGAGATCAAGCTGCGTTTCCGTGAAGAGACCTTCACCCGTCAGTCGATCCAGGAGGTCATCGAGAGCCACCCCACTCTCATCCGCTTGCTCTACGTTCACTTCGCCAACATCCACTATCCCGGTGGCGCCGACGATCAAGAGCTCGTGCCCACCCTCTCCTTCCAGCGCCTCGTCAAGGAGGAAGTGCTCACCGACAATGAGATGTACGACCGCATCCGCAAGGCTGCCAACAACACGCACGAGCGTCAGGTCCTCGAGTCCTTCCTCTTCTTCAACAAGGCCGTCCTCAAGACCAACTTCTATACCCCAACCAAGGTCGCCTTGTCCTTCCGTCTCGACCCTGGCTTCCTTCCCGAAGTCGAGTACCCCGTCAAGCCCTACGGCATCATCTTTGTGGTTGGTGCCGAGTTCCGTGGCTTCCACGTGCGTTTCCGTGATGTCGCCCGAGGTGGCATCCGCATCGTCCGCTCCAGGAATCGCGAGAACTACTCCATCAACCAGCGCACACTCTTCGACGAGAACTACGCCCTCGCATCGACACAGCATCTCAAGAACAAGGAGATCCCAGAAGGTGGAGCGAAAGGCACCATCCTGCCGACGCTCGATGCCAACCCCAAGCTCGCCTTCGAGAAGTACGTCGACGCCATTCTCGACCTGCTCATCAAGGGCCAGACACCCGGTGTCAAGGAGGAGATCGTCGATCTGCTTGGCAAAGAGGAGATCCTGTTCCTTGGTCCTGACGAAGGAACGGCCGACCTCATGGACTTCGCCGCCGAGCACGCTCGCGCTCGTGGCGCGCCTTGGTGGAAGTCGTTCACCACCGGCAAGACAGCCGCCACGCTCGGTGGTGTGCCTCACGATGTCTGGGGTATGACCTCGCTGTCGGTGCGTCAGTACATCATCGGCATCTACAGGATGCTCGGTCTCAAGGAGCAGGAGGTCACCAAGGTCCAGACGGGTGGTCCCGACGGCGATCTTGGCTCCAACGAGATCCTGCTGTCCGTCGACAAGACGGTCGCCATCATTGACGGCAGCGGTGTCATCTACGACCCTGCCGGTCTCAACAGGCAGGAGCTGGTGCGCCTCGCCAAGGCTCGTAAGATGATCTCGGACTTTGACGCGTCCAAGCTCAGCGCCAACGGCTACCGTGTCTTGGTCGAGCAGAACGATGTCAAGCTGCCTACCGGCGAGATCATCCCCGACGGTGTTGCTTTCCGAAATTCGGCTCATCTGCGATTCAAGGCCGACCTCTTTGTTCCCTGCGGTGGCCGTCCCGAGGCCATCAACATTTCCAACGTCAACCAGCTCTTCGACCAGGACGGCAAGCCTCACTTCAAGTACATCGTCGAAGGTGCCAACCTCTTCATTACCAGGCAAGCGCGTCTCGAGCTCGAGAAGCGTGGCGTCGTCCTCTACCCTGACGCCTCGGCCAACAAGGGCGGTGTCACCTCGTCGTCGCTCGAAGTGCTGTGCGGTCTTTCGCTGGAGGACGCGGAATACGTCGAGTCCATGCTCTTCAAGAACGGCAAGCCGACCAACTTCTACCTCTCGTACGTCCGCGACATTCAGACGATCATCGGCCGCAACGCTCGCGCCGAGTTTGAGGCTATCTGGCGCGAGAACATCGAGTCTGGCAAGCCGCGATCCACCATTTCGACCGAGCTCAGCACCACGCTCAACAAGCTCTCCGAGGAGCTCGAAGCGACGGACCTTTTCTCTAACGAGCAGCTCCGCTCCGCTGTGCTTGGCCAGGTGTTCCCTCCTACGCTCATCAAGAAGGTCGGCCTCGCCAAGCTCATCGAGCGCATCCCCGAGGCTTACGCTCGCTCGGCGTTCGCGGCAAAGGTTGCCGCCAGCTTCGTCTACGCCAACGGCCCCAACGCCAGCCACGTCGACTTTTACAAGCACGTTTCGACGCTGCTGGCTCAGCCATCGCCCTCAGCGACACAGCAGTGATTCAGCACACGCATTTGCTTCTTCACGATATCTCCCTTGTAGATTCCGCACCTGGACTTTTTCTTTCCCTGCTTGTTCGGCGCAGCTGCCTCTCATGGCAGCCTTGAGACGTGTATAATATAATTTCCGTGATCCCTTCCATTGCTGCGAGTCTGGTGTGAGAGATTTGCGCGCAGGCCGCAACAGAGGTCTGCGCCATAGATACAGTGCGTGCGTGCCTCAACAGACCACTTTTGACAACATAATTGGCGCCAGACACCACACTCACTCATTCAACAATGCATCTACACATTGCAATGATCAATTGACTCATGCGCAAGCATCAAATAGCCCTAATTATGCGTCAAATACTGTGCTTCATTAGAGAGTTTTTGCAGCTGTTGGAGGGGTTGGGGTGAGGGTGGTGGTCGGAGCTGAAATGCTGACCCCCTGATCAGGGGGTGCCGAAGTACCTTTCGGCTGTTGGAAGGGTGGTGGTGGTAATGGTGGTGGTGAAGACGGAGCCGAGCGAGAGTTGAATGAATCTCTTTGAACTCCAAAACTGATGTATTCTCGTGCGTGTGAGTGAGTATCGGGTGTGATGAGGCACCGATATGAGTGAAATGGCCTGGATCGGCCGTGGTGGTAGTACTTGCTTGTTGCGATCATGCAGGTGTAAGGGGACGCGTGCCTGATAGCCGTCTCGAGGCTCGACTCTTGACCTCGGCAATGGCAAGGCAATGCAAGCCGAGATCAGCGAGCTCGGCGTAGGGTAGTGTTGCTCTGCCGAAGTGAGAGGCGGCTATCGACTGACCCTTTGAACACTCCGTTCAGAGGCAGCGCGGCGTAGCTCAGTGTTGAAGGTGTAGCTCCTACGCCCCGTGAGTGTTCTTGACGGCGGCGTAGAGCTGTGGGCNGGTTCCGGCTGCAGTTGAGGTGCTGCAGTGTCAGTGACGGTTCTGACCAGTCCTGTGTCAGACGGCACAGACAGTGATATAGCAGCAACACAATTTGTATTGCCGCTGCGTGACTGTGTGACTGTAGAGGGTGAAATGAAGTGATCGCTGATGGCAAAGACAACGTGAGATACGTGATATGTAAAGTAGAGTGGATGAGGCCCAGCCTCATCCTACTCGAGCGAGCGTGATGTATATAAAGAGACCTCTGGCCCTGCCTGGTTCTCCTGCCGGCACAGCTAGCCTAAGCCGGCCCATTGTCTACCTGCACAACCTGCGTGTGTGCCTGGTCACGCCCCCATCCGGCCCTGGCGGCCATCCTACCGTTTGAGGTGGTGCCCGTGTCCAGTCCTGCCCCTGCTGATTACCTGCGAAGCTTCCTGGAGTGATCCTTGATAGCGGCTAGCCGTCCCTTGAGGAGCTAGCTCAAGTTCAGCCCGAGCCGGGCTTGTATTGCCAAAGTCGTGAGTTCGGCAATGACCCATACCTCCCGAGCGAACCCATAACAGTACCCCCCTTCCGAGATCCAAGCTCCTGCGAGGTGAAATGAAGTTCTCCTGCGCAGCCGCTTTCTTCGAGTTCGGC